CAAATTGCCGCCAAGAAAGCAAAAGCTGGTGCTCGCGACGTCGACGACCTCGAGACTCGTGAACCCCACCATACTGCAGCACAAATTGCAGCCAAGAAGGCCAAAGCTGGCGCACGTTCTGTGGAGATCGAGGAGCGTGAACCCCATCATACTGCCGCTCAAATTGCAGCCAAGAAGGCTAAGGCAGGGCTCGGGATGTAGATGAGCTTGAGACCCGGGAGCCACACCATACTGCCGCCCAAATTGCAGCCAAGAAGGCTAAGGCAGGAGCTCGGGATGTGAATGAGCTTGAGACCCGGGAGCCTCATCATACTGCGGCTCAAATCGCCGCAAAGAAGGCTAGCGCTGGTAACTAGAGGGAATGTTCAAATTTATGCATGGTGGAGAGGGTTGAAGTTTAGGTATCTTGGGATTTGTAATTAAGTTTGGAGTGCTTGGGTTCGTGGGAAAAAATGGCAGGAATGGTACGTACCTGATAATGTCAATATATACCGCAATTGGGCGTTTCTGCAATCTGGGTCTTCTGATGGTCGTAATCGAGGTGGTGATATATGATTGATCGTAGTAGGATTTGTTGGGTCAAATTTCCGCTTTCGCATTTACCATAGACATGCAACAGCATTTCTTCCATACGTGCTTCTACATGCATGTGACCTTATCACTACCCCGTGGCCATGGCGGTCGGTCTCCCTAACATTTCTGGCTTGGAAGGGATATAACGGAGCAGAAGTTGAACTGGATTACAGCGGCAACTGACGAGTGCGATTATGTTACAGATAATTACCTATTGGGATGCGCGAAGTCAACTGATGTCCAAGCACATGACCACACCTCGCACTTTTTCCGTGCCTGCCGCATTGCGAGGCTGGGCTAGCTGCTATGCGTTCTCCTCAACTTTGTCTTATACAAACGGTACCGGAAGAGGGGAATGAGGTGGAAGACCACCCGGTTATCACGAATCAGACGAACACGGGGGGTGGGTGAGTATGTGAGGAAATCTTGCAAGGCGTCGTTGTTGTTATACAGTATGAGATTCAGGCTTTGTTATTTCAACACTGATGTTACACGGCTATTTTGAATCGTATTCGCTTTCAACAGATACATATATACAAATTGCGTCCCCGTCTCCGTCACAAGAGTGAAAAGCGCTCCTCGGCCTCCAGTCCTAACACCAAAGTAAACAAACATAACAGCCAGGGGTAGCTAGGCTGAGACCCACTGCTTTTTAATACAGTAGATGTAGATAATGAGGAAAAGAAAGACGAGGATGGATGCTAGAAATGTAGATCCGTCTGCGTTGGGAGACAGACACAAGCCGGTTCCATGTCTTGATATTCTCGCTGGACGGTACTCGCCGACTGAGCAAACCTCTGCTACCGTGGGCTTTCAAGTCTTTGCGCAGGAGAAAGGGAAATGATGTTGCTCCTAAGGTTCCTTCGCCTGATCATTGATTTGATTGTATCTGCGAATCCGGGTGTGACGTCCCACCTGGTCCCTCGGTAGGGGATGCCAAAGTCGGTACAGAAGAATCCGTAACGCTTTTGCCGCAGAAAGATCTGAATGGAGCATGTGGTAAATATATATAATGGGAGAGATTTTAAAATCGGCGCTCCACGTATATCCAAAGAGACAGCCGAGTGAAGAAACATCTAAAGTGCTGGCTAGAGATTCTGGTGAGACGGTCCGTGGGTGCCGGTGGAGTGAATTGTCAATGTATGACATCCCTCCAAAAACGTATAATGTGGTATTGACTTCAAATCCAGGCTCGGTCTGCTGACAAACGCTCCAACGCAATCGTAGATTTCGGGGTGTGGTATGAAGATGTGGAGCTTGCTGGGTATTGATAAACTGAAAGTCTGTTGGCAAAAGAGTATAATGGAGAACGAATGGCAAGCCACCATTTCTCCCTCGATTTCATATACTCATTGTCCCACCGCTTCGAGCTGAATATCTTGGCTGTTTGCTTCCTCCTCCATGAGCACCTGGATCGAGAAGCTAAGTTCTCAAGCATGTATGATTCCTTAGCCAAAAAGTTGCCGAACATCTTCGTAGTCGATATATAGATCTGCCAAAACGCTTTTGGACCGGGGAACGCTATAAATAAATACCGTCGCAAAAATTCAATACAATACTCCAACTCAGTGAACCAAGTCATTTCTTCTCGGTATTCTCGCCCACCACTTCCGAGACATCATCTATGTCAATCAGGCTCTGGGCAGCAGGGGGTTTCGAGGCTGATTTGGACTGCATCTCAGTTACCCATCCGCATATTCCGGCCCCAATCCTATATCCAGCTAATCCTAGAAGCGCAAAGATGATGAGAAGTAGATTGACAGCCGCCAGGAGACAAAGTGGAATTGTATGCCAGAGCTGAACTCTTCGTAGAGGGCAACCGCCTAGTTTCTTGCCATCGCTTTCCTGCTCGGTTTGCAACATGCCGGCCATGATGAACCGAAGTGGGCATTTCTTCGGCTCGGGAGGAGGTGGGACCACGACGGTATCGGCGGCGGACGAGGCCGTGGAGGATGATATTGATTCAGTGTCTGCATCTTTTTCCTTCTTCTCCTCTTTCTTGGATTTCTTGCTTTGAGAAATAACAACGTCACCCGAATGTCTTCGGGCTCGACTATTAGCGTAATGCTTTTCTTTTTTTGACGACGGCATGCCGAAACTGAGAATGCTGGACATTGAAAGAACTGTTTTTCAGAAACTGGTGATTAAAGCAAAAGTAGAGTATTTAAGACTTCGGATTTCTTAATCATTCGACTGCGGGGTTGCTGTCGTGATACAAGGCAGCTTACATATAACGGGCTTATAGCATATATTAAGTAGTTCATGGCGGCCTGAAAAGAATCAGCTCCTAGCCCGATTGCTATAGCTAACGGCACAATAATCAAAGTGTGTCACGTTGATAAAGCATGTGCTATAAAACACAACAAGAACAGTTCAGCTACCTGCAGCCAGTGAGAAGCCGAGCAACGTGGCAGCAATGGACGAGTTCTCCGCACACCATCAACAAGATAGGGGATTTAGAAGTATGTTTCAAAAATGGAGCTCTATGAGCTCTAAGCTTCTAGACTCCAGAGCTACAGATGTAACCCCACGGCCCAGGATAATACACGGTCCAATCATACCGATGTTGGTGGTGAGACTAAATACCGTTCTGCAAGCCATCATTGGGCTCTCTCACAAAAGGTGCCCAACCAACACCAGTCGGCAAATGCTTCAAGGTACCTCGTCACGACTATTCGACAATTGAAAGGGGATACGTGTGAGCGCCACTCAGAAAATAGCCCGGCATGGCACTGCATTGAGCAAGCCAAAAATTTGAATAGCAAATCGGATGAGGATATACAATGTAGGAGAGCCCGAGCAAGGGAAGGAAGAAAAGAATGATCTTCACATGTCGCTGGAATTGGGGGCAATGCTGCAAAGTGGCTTCACCCAAGTTCATGGTATCCAATACCAGGATGATGCACACGATCGCTGACACTTGTGTGGTAGACGATGTGGAGGCTACCGGCAGACTTCACTTCATCCTGATTTCTTGAGGTATATTGTGAGACATTCAAGCTTGTGATCATTGGAATGTCTCACAGATTCGCAGGGTAGAGGAGCTTTCAAGTTTAGAGGAGAGGATAGGAGAGGTATTGCACGTAGATGAACGAAAAGACAGAAGCAAACGAATAAAAAATCGGAAGTGAGAAACAAGTAGGAGAGATAAAGTTTCACTCGATCTGCTTGCTGTCTGGTGGGGTGGCCTGAGTTTATCCGAAAACGCTTGGGCCACTCAGCGACAGTACAGTACAGTGAACGTCACGTCACCACTTGCTCTATCTATTCGAAGCTTCATGGAGCTTCCGGAGCTTTCCAACCTCTCAACGACAATATCGCGATAGCCTCAATCATACTCGTAGCATATGCTTACGACCTAATAATCACGAATCGAAGCGAAGCCCAGCTCGAGCGCCCTCACAATGGTTCTCGAAGACGCCTGGAGCGAAAACGCCCCTCCCTCCGACGACGACTCATACTCGAGCTCCAACAGCGGCAATGGCAGCGGCGCCCAATACACGGTAAACACTGCTGGCTTCTCTAGGCCGCTTCCTATCATTGGCAAACTGTTTGGCTACAGCGACCAATTCATGGCCCAACTGGTCCAAACCAGACTTCAGCACATGGCCAAGGTGCTCCAACGGCAGCCCGATATCGAGGAAGTCACCGCCATCGCCTTCTGGACATCAAAGCAGGTCTCTATCATGTCATATGGGCCATTCGTTGGAGTAGTTGGAGGATGTTGGCGGGCTTGGCAGACCGCTGATACATTTCGATTTCCATTCTTCCAAGCTAATTTAGAGACGTTTCAAAAGGAAGTGTTCCCACATACGAACATGGCGATATTGAGGGGGAATAGGGCAGTTCAGGCATGGCATCTTCTTAGGACCTTCTCATATGGCGTTTGTGGGAATTTCTTCTCGACCATGTTTTTCGGAAGCTATTCCGTGAGCGTTGCTGCGGTTGGGGAAGCGTCGGATAAGAGGTTGAAGGCTTATGTGGAAGCCGTTCGAAAACAAGGACAGCAGAGAGTCGGGAAACTACCCGGGTCGCCAGGTCAGAGGCCACAGGGCCCTCCTGTGCCGGTAGGTGCGCAGGGACATGATGATGCTAGTCCGACGGGTGGCATGTTTATGGGAGCAGAGCCAGAAATCCCGCAAGAAGAGTCACAGTGGAAACCTCCGCCTCAATCGAGACCTGCTCCAATTCAGACACAAGCACCAGAACCACAAAGCCAGCCTTTCGATGTATTCGGCGAGGACACCCCCACGGCCGCTCAACAAGGTGCAGCCCCTGATACTCAAGCCTCACAATCTCAAGGCTCGGCTTGGGAACGGTTAAGACGAGGTCAACAGCCAGGAGGACAGGGTGGTGGGTGGGATAATGTACGGAAAACACAAGGGCCGGGGCAGAGCGACTGGTCGAAACAACAGGCTCAGTCACAGAAGGACCAGAAGCAAGGTTCCACTTTTGGAGAAAACTACTCAATCTCAAAGACGGATGAGGATAGGAGTTATGCGAAAGAAGAGGCGCAGAGAGAATTTGATGCTCAAGTTGAGAGAGAGAGGCGGGGTGGGGATTCTTCTTGGAATCAGAAAAAGTGGTGATGATTATTATACTAAAACAAAAACCCAGCTTTTGGGAGACTATGAATAAAAAAATATGCCACCTTTTTTATTTGCTATTTATTAATTGGTCTATGAGAACCTACGGCTCGAACTGTCCTCTTGATATTCAGAAGCCCGTCTGCCTTCACAGGCTGGAGAATCTTAGGTTATGTGATGCGCGGTGCAAGGTTATATAGGCAGGCGGGGGGTAGCAAGGCAGCTTGGCTTGTATATGAAGGTGCCTGATTAAAGCCCTGGAAGACTGGAAGGAGATTTTTAGATGGGGATAATGTGATTAGGGCGATGGTGGGTGGTTGGTTAGCTTATGAGTAGAGGCTAAGAGTTGGAGTTTGACATACCTTGGCACCTTATAGATTGGTTATGTGTATATTATGCATAGAGATGAGATAGACCCTGTGTTCAAGATTTAATTAATATAACAGAGGAGTTCTGGATCTTTCATTCGTTTCGTTCCGGGCTACAGTTGGTAGGATTAAGAGTCTAAATCAACCCCCACACCATTGTATTCGATTCGTGTTTTTGAATTGATATGTTTTGGGGTGGGTTTTGCAGGTTCACGAGCTGAGATTTTATACTCTGTCTGCTGAGTTACATATCGTCTCGCGATGATGCCGAATGGGGGGGGGGGAGGTGGGGGTGCTTCATGTTTTGGTACAGAGTTGGCGTTGCGATAGTACGTATAGCCAAAGTATTAGCAAGCATGCATGAGTTTACAAGCAAGTCCCCCGACCTGCGTGCAACAGGTTATAGGATCGACACTTTTCCAGAAACCCTTCTTATCGTCCAGTATGTGTTTCAGTTGACGATGATCCAGAATACTGTAACTCGAATGTGGTGTCTTGGTCGTCTTAGAAATGATTAGTATTAATGTAGTTACAATATATCTATGTCTCTGCCCAACGAGCCGCAGTCACAGCTGTAGTATAAACCATAGCTACAAGCCCAACGACCATCAAAACTACATCTCCAGCTTTGGAATACCTATTATCAGCCACGCCCTTGAAATGCAAATATCCCGGGTAGATGTACAGCAGCGGCACAGCCGCAAACGACCCAACCAACGCAACGAATTTATCTAACTTGGAAGCTCCCAGATACGATACTACGCCGCAAGCGCAGACCGAGAGGGTTCGAAAGGCATTCTTCTTCCATTTGGTCACGGAGCTGCGTTTCCCGGATTGGCGCCCAAAGAGCGCACCCTCGACGTTTCGGATGGCTGGAAATAGCTGCACTGGAGCCCCTACCAAGATAGCTAAGGAATAGAGGAATTGGACGATGTTGACGAGTTTATTGTCTTGTGGGAAGTTGCTGATGATTTCGACTCGTGTTTTGTCTCCGAATGTGGCGTAGCTGAGTGCTCCGACGGAGGTGAAGATGATGGTGATGAGGATCATTACTATTACCAGCAGCCTCTCGAATTTCTGGGGCTCACGCATGGCTGATTGCACAGGTATGATCAAACCAATGCCCTCGAAGGAAAAGATAATTGAGCCGATGGTTAAAGTGAAGTCCCGCGGGTTGAACTGTTGAACGGTCTTGCTAACACCCTGCGTTGCGAGCGCAGTTATGTCGGCTTGCAAGATATACACCAGGCCAAAAATAATACAAACACTGGAGAAGATAGCAATTCCACCCAGCTTAGACATATTGCGGACAAAGGCCAACGGAACCAGGAATACCAGTTGGAGCCCGATGAGAGCCTTAGTGGAAAGCGGCCATGACTCGTGGAGCACGGCTTCCAGGAACGAATTCATGTTCTGCGCCGTGAAGATAAGGCTGGCACACACGAATCCGATTTGAGAAATGGTGATAGAAGCCAATATAATAGACCGTACTCTCTTCCCTCCAATTGCCTCCCCGATCTCACCATACCCCCCACCGTACTTCTGTCGACATTGCAGCAGCAGATGCATCGCCAGACAGGAAACCAACGCCACGACCACCAAAGCGACCACCGAGAACGCCAGTCCCCCATTCTTGAAAGCCTTGGGTAGGAAGAGCACCCCAGTGCCGATGAAGGACTTGATGAGCAGGAAGAACGTCTTGGCACTCGAGGCATCCCCTTGTTTCTGCGCAGTCGATTTCCGTCTTCCCAGCAATGGTCGGGTTTCCGGTTCTCGTCCAACCTCCTCGTCTATAACAGAATCCTCATCGTCTGAATCCTCATCGTCCGATTGCGCGCCGTAGTCCCGTGGGAATAACGAGCCGTAGAGATCCGGGTAGCTGAAGAAAGTTCGGTAGGGAGCTGTGAACCTGTTGGCCGGTACAGGCGGTACGTTTGGACTGCTGTGGAGGTTGGCCATGAGAGGCGAAACAAAAACTTCGGTATTGGGAGATTCTGTGGGTGGATAGTCTCATATTATAATTACTTGTATTGCTGCTGGTTTTAGAATTTATAGCTTTTAGAGGTTTTTTCACCTTCATTTTCAATGACGTTGGGTGAAAATCTTGGTACAGTAGTGCCCGGCCCGTTAAAAGCTTGGAGGCTAAATGCTCTAGCGAGTGGAGACCCCGTAAAATACTTCAGCGTTACTGTATATAGAGTTCTGGAAGTCGTTTAATTACGAATTATCTAGAATAAAACAAAGGCGAATCTATAAAAAACGTGATCAATGCAATAAATACTTTACAGTATTCATAGTGACAGCACAGCCCCTCAGTTCTTTAGATAGCAAGTTTTGGCGCTCGAAGGCGGGGTTGGACTAACCCCCGCCTTTCGGGATCTCATCCGATCTACAGGAGTTGGGCAAAAGTGTTCCATGCCTTCCTTCCAGTTGGGTATAGCTTCAGCTTCATGTATTAAAGGTCCCGGAGTAGGTACAGCACATGTAACATTAGGTTTTATTCGAGAATTCTCGGGCTATTGTGTTAAATATACATTGAGGATTTCGCCGCGAAATTTCCCGTTTTAGGAAATCAAACTACCACGAAGAATCCAAAAGCCATGCTCCGCCATTGTGTACCTATCCATGCCGAACGCCATAGAATAACCATATAATGACAAAAAGCTGCCAGACTTCCCTATGAGGTCAAAGCAACCACAGTGAAAGCGAAATAACCACGCCAGGTACTAAAAACACAGCCAGACTACTTCGCACGCGCAGACCACCACTCTTCGACTTCGTTGAAGAGGGAGATGTCGACGTTGGCGTTGCGGTGCTTGTCTTCACCAAGACATAAATCTCACCCGTAGCATCTGAGGACATGAAGAGACGGCCGTAGGAATCCAAGGCCAATCCCACAGGGCGGAAGCAATTGTCTGGGCATTTGGAGTTATCAGGATTCGTCATGATATCTGTGAGAGAGTTCGTGCTGTCTGGAGCAGCGACTGGTGAGCCGTTTGAGAATGCGATGGAAGAGACTTTGTAGCCTGTGGGGTTATCGCGATCCCTTGGATCCTAGTTAGTATACACGATATCGGCTGAGCAAAGCCACGAGAGAAGAACATACCAGCTGCCGTGCAGAGAAATATAAGCTTCTGTTCCATTAGGTTCGAATTTGATGTCTAGAGGGGCCATATGCGCCTGGAAAGTGAGTAGAGGAGCAGTGTGGTTTTTTTGACAAAACTTGTCATTGACCGTACTGTTTTGGTCCAGCGAGAACTGGCTGCCCACCTTCAGCTTTCCAAGGTTCGGTATGCTCGTATTATAAAGTGCAAAGCAGTAAGGATAGCCGTAATTTCCGCCCTGGTTCTTATCCGTCGAACTGTTGAGAAAACCATGGTAGTTCAGCTCCTCTCCAGGATTGTTCTGATGGATATCGACATTGTCCCTCTCTATCATATCTGCGGAATTCTCGACGCTGTAAATGCCCCCAGTAAGCGGTTCCTCGGCCACGCCAACTGAGTTTCTTAGGCCCCATCCAAGTATACGACCTTGTGTTGCAAAATCGTAAGGCGTGGAATTTGAGGTCATCGCCTTGTCCTCTAAATCGAATGCCCTGATCTGCGAGTGTCCGGTCCTAATATCTTCAGCCTCCAGGTCGAGATTGGAAACGCTGCCCCTGGAAACCACCAGCGTCTGCGAAACCATCTGGGATATCAAAAGCGTTCGTGTTACATGATCATCGCCGCTCATTCCATCAATCAAAGTTTGGTTGTCTCCACTCACTAAAGGCCCCTTTGCGTCGTACTGCCATGCATAAACTGCGTCTGAGGATGAGGCATAAAGGGTGCGTTGGTCAGTCGAGAGCGCAATGCCGTGGGTTAACTGCAGATGTTAGGATCATACCACACCCAGGAAAAGAACGCCTACTAAAGGAGAGTCTATTAAGGTCGTCTTCTTTGCTACCTCTAAACAAGTTGAGCCGCCATCAATCAACCCCAGGTGGACTATGCCGACCCCTTGCTCGACGACGAGGAGGTCGCCCGCAGAGTCGAGTATGATTCCCCGTGGCTTCGTCAAATTTTGGGCGATCAACTGAGCACTCCATCCATTCGAGAGGACTGGTGCTGGATATGATGACTTCAAGCTGCAGTATTCATTGGAGGCTGTAACCGCCGGGAGCAGTACAGCCAAGAAGAGGAGGGGGGTCTGAGTTCTAGTCGGAATCTGCATCTTGAGGATTTGATTTTCTGTGTTATTTGGCAGGTTGAAAAGAAAAGAACGCTGCAATTAATATAGCTTGAAGAAGTATATTCACACGCCTCACGGTTGTAAATGACTACGCCTCATGGTTGTGAATAACTCAGGCGTAGATGTGATGAACTGAGACAATGCCAAGCAAGAGACCTACCTTGAACCCCGCGTTTTGAAGACGCCACAGACATCATCAGATCGCATTCACTGATGAGAGAGCATCTAATGAAGCTTTGATCTGGGGGTTTGGTATTGCGTGGCTCTTTTCGAGGTGTTACTGTTTGAGGGGTGCATGAATGATGAAAGTGAAATGCAGAGAGTTGCGCTTGAAGTCAAGACTGGCGAAAGGAGGCTAAACTGTTTTGAGCCGCCCCTTTTCCCCCTGAGTAAGCGAGGATATAGCATCTCGTTTCGGTTGTGTCTATCTGGGACTTCCTTTACTATCCCACACTGATATATAGTTGCTCTATCTTTTAATTCTCTGTGTGTTTTGTTCATCGGTGTGAAAGCTCACTGCTTCGAAATCTACAAAGTAACCCCTCACTTCTCATATTTCTTCATCTCGTGCCTGAAAGTCCTCTCCATCTCATCCATCACCTTCTTCGACTCCGCGTATGCAATTTCCTGAGATGCATCTTTGCTATAGCCCTTCTCCACATGCACTTTTTTTCAATTGTTGGTATAGGTCGTCTACTGACTTCGCGTCGTGCTTACTTTCTCCCTTGCTGTGGTGATGCCGGGAGTGGCGGCAATGGGGCTTTTTGGCTGGGGATCTCTGGTCGGGTACGAGCATTCGTACTTGTTTGGCTTTTGCATCGTGGGTGGTAGGAACTTGGTGATGATTTTTTGGCGCTGGTTTCTGTACTGGCGCTGTTTCTGGCTTCTGGCTCTGGACTGGTAGAGCAGGGCGATCTTTTGCGGTGGAGGATTCATGACCTGGCATTTGGTCTGATTTCGATTTCTGTGACCGGGAGGCTGAGAAATTTCTTGGACTCCACAGAGACTGGTAGTGTAGTAGTGTTTAGAAGTTGTTCTGTGTAGCTGCCAATATTCAAGATATATATGCATGACACGTTAAGCAAGATGCTGGGTGTATTAAATGATTCACGAGCCATTTATTATGACTCTGTATAATCAAGGGTTGATTATTTTGAGCCTTCATCAAGTGAAATAAGGTTTAAAGTACTTATAGCATAGCAGTGTCCATTGTCACTCCGCTCTCGTTGCGCTAGTCAACCTCCTCAAGTCTCTTCAGATCACGTCTCACCATAACCTGCGCTGCTTCTCGGTTATGTCCTTTCTCCTTGTACATTTCCTCCGAGTCATACCGCAGCTTTAGCAGCTATGGAAAAGATCCTAGCAGGCCAGTGAAACTCGCATGAATACCCTGGCGCTTTGAATATTCTTCTACGACATTTGATCACAGCAATGGAGTTACAAACTACGGTTATGAAAGTAGAAGTATACTAATTATCTACCTAAGCTCAACGACCATACCACTCCACATTTTTTCCCACCTGCCTCCGCCTACCTAACCAACCAACTCCTTCAGCCGCATTATCTCATAACTCGCCAACAGAGACGCAGCCTTGCGATTATAGCCTTTGCTCATGAACACATGCTTCAAATCCTGTTCTCGTCTCTCACTATTAACAAACCTCCGGAATCGAGCGACGGCGCTTGCATTCCTACGCTCAAGCTCTTCTGCGACCTTTTCGGGACTACCAGTCGGTGTGTAGGTTGGGGGTTGGTTCTTGGTGGTGGTCTTTGTAGCTCCCTCAGTCTCAGTATGTAAGTGTGCGTGGGGGAGAGGGTCATGGCTGGTTGAAGGGCGGTCCTTGGCGTCAGTGTTCGTAGCTTCTTGGGCTTCTTGAGTACTGTGAGGAAGCGAGATTGGGTAGCGTTGATGCTCTGATGGGCCGTGGCTTGTAGTTGAGCGGCGCTCAGGCGTGAAAGGGGGCATATATTTTCTGCTAAATCGTTCCTTGTCTCCAAGTCCTAAATCCGGTCGGCTATCAAGTCCACCATCAAATCTTTGGTATGGATATCCTGATACCGGGGCACGCGCAAGTGTTGGATCAACAGAAAGCGAGGAAGGTGTTGGTTGGATTGCGTTGGGGTCCTCAGCCGGCGCTACAGGTAGTTCTGGGGAGCCAGGCTCATCTCCGTAGGAGGAAAATTTGGAAGATGGAAGATGGACTTCAGGGTCATCTCTTTCTTCATGATCGCTTAATTGGGAACCAGTCATGTTGTTTGTGGTGTTTGTTTGAATGTGTTTAAGCTATTTAGTTGAGTTGTGAAGATAGCAAGATGTTTGATGGCGTTTGTTGTTGTGTGGTGAAGCTGACAGAGTTATATTTTGGGCTTTCCTGAGGGACCCAAGGTGAAGAATAGAATCAAGGAGCAAGGGAGCTGGGGACGTGATTAGGTGTCACAGCTTTACAAGATGAGTAAGTGTTACATCATTCTCACAGTCTTAATCACGGGATGCCATAGGAAGAAGTTGCCCCCGCTGATGAATTCGGATCTCCGATTGGCAAGCTTAACTACAGAAAGGATATTGAGGAACCGTATAGTAAAGAAACGTAAATCCCATTCAAGGTCTTTGTATATCCACGAAAGTAGGCTGAGCTCCAGCACCCAATTTACGTACCTTCAATAACCGAGTCTCAGAGTTAATCAAGCTCAGCTATGAGAACGCTGGAGAGAGTGAAGGGGTAGGCGGAAAGGAAGCTGTGTGTGAATCATCAAGGCAAAATTGGATTGGGAATCCAAAAGACAGTCGTGAATACTGACTCTGCGAGCTGCAATTAGCGAAATACAATAGCTTTCATAAGGTGACGTGAATATTCTTTCAGGCTTCACACCAGTCATCTATTGTTGAGAATCTATAGCTTATTAGATGTTTTCTCTTGAAGTTCTCAAGAAGATGTGGGCACTATCATCGCAACCAAACAAACAAAAAGATTGGAAATTGCTCATCGTTTTTTCATTCTATTATCTATGTATGGATACCTCTTGCCCTTTACTTGCCGCTACAGATACCCACCCTGCCAGTTCCGGAACTCATAGGAATCGCTGCTGTTTTCTCCAAGTTCATTAGACAGCCATGCCATCCTTATCTCCGCTTCATCCTGTGCCAATTCTCAGTCATAGCCATTCTTCTCAAAGAATTCAACCAGACTACCGAATAACCTCTCATCTATTTTATCCTGTTCGATTCGCTTGACGTAGCGATCCAAAGCCTCGATTGCATCCTTGACTTGGAGATCCAATTCCGCATTGCGCATTTGGCTCTCTTTTATGCTTCTTTCTCGCCCATTCCGCCGCTCGGAACTTGGCGATGATGTCTTTCTCTAACCGTTAGGATAATTCTAATGGAGCCTCTTGGTGTCCTCGATCCCGTTGGTTGAATACAGAGGAACTGAAGAGGTGGTAGCGAGGGCCAACGGGTGCTTGTTTCTTTCGGGTTCCCATTTCGACGAATTTGCTTTCTGTTGTTCGATGGAGATTATATTTGTTGAGTTGTGATGTCTTGAATGGATGCAAATATGTTCTGTAAAGACATGGAGTAAGGTGCGTATATAGTAGGGAAAAGACACGGAAGAGGCTTGCAATCACAAAGGGTCACTTGAAGAATAACCTTCTGATTATAGCGTTTGCTCTATGGACAGTCAACTGAAGTAATCTTACAAGGGGTTTGTTCAATCACATTTACTGTTCCGTAGTTCTCAAAGTATGTAATTTGACAGCTGAATGTGTTGTCGGAGGTGGCACTTATCAAAGAACAGAAACAAACCTCATCACTACGTTTACAGCATTTGAAAGCAAACAAATTGAAGATATAAATCATATAAAGCACATCGATCGATATCTTGACTGAGCCCTCATCACCAGTATTATCTTTCACTAAACAATTTCTCGTACCCCTCCCCCCTGCCTACTGCAACCGACCCCCAAAACCTTGCCTCCTTCCCCTAATCCCAAGCCATCACCCCAGCTCCTCCGAACCCCAAACCCCAAAAGTCCATCTTCGCAACCCCTCAATCCAGTACCCCAATCTGCTTTTCCTACCACTTCACCCCTCCCCGCTTTTAACCATGCCATGCCACGTCTTGTCTCGAGATAGATGAAACGCTAGATATTTTTGTACTGCAGGCGGTAGTTCATATGAGGCTTCTTTCGCTTTTGTCACTCATTCGCAGGACGAGGACAACGATACGCTAATACATATCTATTATTCTGTTTAGTGCTTGTGCTAGCTTATCTTTAAGAGGAAGAAACTAGGAGAATAAATACGAAACTATTTGTACGGTGGGGGAATTGGATAATATTGGATGGAGCAAGGTAATAATCGTAATGAGTATCCATGTCAATGGTCTGACTGGGTATGCTTTTTCACGTATAAAGATGCAGGCGGAAGGAGGGCGAGGGAGGCATGGCATTCGATTATACACCTTGTCTAAAACGTGCTGGGCTATTCACACACTTCCTGTTGACTCGGAACCGGAATTTAAAGAGCATCTTATTATTACCGCAACGAACATCAGAACTCCCTTCCTTACAACCCCGTCACAAAGTGTAGAGGATCTCACAATCATAAGCACAGGGTAAAAATAACGTGAAGCCATAACTTCATATCTTCCATGCCACATATCTCATGCGTTTATTTTCCTTTCTTTCTTCTTGCCTCTCTGGTGATCGATCCCATAATGTCATGCGCATCCATCCAGCCCAGCCCGTCCGCCAAACGCCATGCAAAACCGTACCAGCCACTTCTCTCAATCCCATCTGTCATGTCCACACAACAGAGCTCAAGTTCCCATGGGGCTAGCTCATTCAGAGCAGAGCCCATTTTGTGGCGACAGGACAACGTCGAGATAGCGCGATTTCTCCCACACACCACAAAATTAAACTTCACTCAAAAAAGCCTCCCGTCTCCTCTTTCTTTCTTTCTTTCTATACTAGACAAAACAAAACAAAGCATCCATCGTGTATCGCAACCACAGCGGGACTGAAGACAAAAGGCGTAGAAGGGAAGCATCGTGCAAACATTATATGCGTATTTTATCGCTTTTGGTGGATGCCCCATTCTCTCGCACGAATTTTCCGCCCATCCTTGGGCGGGTGCGACAAAAACTCCCAAAGCAGAGCGCCATTATTTTGAGCGCTGATGTACATGCAAGAGCCCGACCGATGAGATTGAACCACTCCCAAGTTCTATTATAGGAAATGCATGGTTAAACAAAGGATTCGGGAAATGCTTCATGCTGTCGAAAAACCGTCGCTATGCAGGAAAGGAAGAATACGCGATGCCGATGAGGCAACTCGTCGCAAATGTACAAGAACTGATGAGTTTCGCACGTAATTATAGGACCGTTCAGATGACGGTCATCATATGCATTCTCTGGCCCAGACTTCTAGTCGGGGAAGAGTCGATCGAACCATTGAGGATAGAACCGTTGCTTTGGCTTCGAGGTAGGTTTTTAGGCGGGCTCGCCATCGGGTCAGTGAAGACTCGTGTGAACGCTGGACTGGATTCACGCTGAGGAGCTGCATCAGGACTGGGCGATCTGCCATCAGATTTCCGAATAAGATCTGCTAGAGTACGACTGAGAACACTCGCGCGATGCACAAGATCCCGGAGACTAGTAGTGTCGAATGGCATTTTTTCCGAAGACTGAGCAGCCATCTCTTTGAGCAAGGGATCTGACGTTGCCCGATGTTGGTGCATGGTTTCCATTACTGAACGGGCGACGTCTGATGCGCTCCTGATGCTGGAGGGACGTGTTAGTGTTGGAGGTCGCAAGTGATCCCTAGTGGGAGAGCTGTTAATTACAGCTCCAAATATATCGTCGTCGACCGAGAAGACTGATCGCCGCCGAACTGTCCCACCATTGTAAACAAGCCCAGTCGGACGGCCGTTCCGGTTTAAAAGCTCGAATGGCGCCTCAGGTCTCATCAAATGCTCCACATCAAACCCACGATCTCCATCGTCATCATCCGCTGACTCTCTATCAAATATGATAGATGATGGTGAGTGAGGTGGAGAAAGTGTAAGGTCCTCTTCGTCTGGAACTGCAAGAGCAATAATGCCCTCAGCCTCCTTCCATAGTGGTGCTGAAGCTCCCGTCAATAAGCCCTTTTCTTTCGCCAATAATCGTAACCTCTTTAAATCCTCAACCAGCAGACAAACCTCCCTTATTTGGCCAACATGTCCAACAACACTCGCTTGGCTTGCTTGAATAGCTGGAGGCACCAACATGCCACTGCTCTCTATGTTGAGATCTCCGTCTCCATCATCTGCATTGTCGAAACTGGTGCCTTCAAATTCGAAATCGTTGTCCCAGTCTTCGCTGGACCCTTTTGCTCCCAGGCCCCATGTTCCAAATTTGGGCGTCAACTTCGCATGCTCTCGCTGCCCCACGTTATCAGGAACCACAGGCACACTCTGGCTTCGAACGTGTAAAGGAGTCGGACCTCGTCGTCCAATCGCACGTCCACCTCTACCATCCGCCAGCTGTTTTACATGCGCTGTTTTAGGTCTTGCGGTGTTACCCATATAATCTAATTTCTCTGCAGAAGGTGGTTCTGCCCAGTCGAACAAGTTACTCTTCGGCCGTTCTGGGCGTACTGTATTTGGAGCGGGGCTTCCATTGGTTGAAGCGCTGTGGGTCAAATCTGCAAGTGCAGCGCGAAAGCTTGGACTTACTCTTCGAGAATTTAGAGAGTTAGACGGAGGGGAAAGCTGACTGCTCATAGCCATGTTTTCATCATCTCTCGTCCAGTCCTCGTCATCTTCTGCATCATCCAAAGACATGCGAGTGAATTCTTTTGTAGCGAGAGAGAAACTGGGTGGAGAAGATGGGATTCCAGTGGAATTCAAAGAAGCATGGCGCACTGGTGTTTCAAACCCTTCTTCTTGTGAGTAACGAGGACCTTTGACCGGTGTAGACATTCCTTCGTCTTCTTCAATAATCCTGTTATGTCCTTCTGAAAATCCTCCATTCCCTAGCATCTCGTGAATGGAAAGCCTCTTAGTCTTTGCGCTGCCATTGACGCTAGGCGGAGATTCGTCAAACATTGAATCCAGCGGGGTGTGCCGGGACCGTATGCTGCCTGTAGCTCCCGACCTTAAAGAATCGAAGACCGTCTCGCTTTGAAAATCCAGATCTTCGTCGTCACCGGAAGTGAATCCTTTGGTATCATTATCAGAGCCAACAAAGGTCTGATCTGTGATTTGTGATGTACGAGATGGCTTGGACGTATGAGAGGCGAAATTAGAGAGATTCGGAGATACGGGACCAGCCGAGGGGACTGACGTGTCGGTAGCATTAGGTTGTAAATTCGGCGAAGTGGGACTATGTCGATGGGCTGAAGACGAAGACGAGGATAATCCAAGGCGAGCTAAATCAACATTAAAACTTGACAGCCGAGACAGAGGTGGCAACGGCGAAGAAGTGTTTCGGGTGCGTGCTTGAAAACTCGAAGCAAATGGATCATTCGGGGATGAAACCTCTGTCGGCGACAACGGCTGCTTTTGAAAAACTTTTGGATCCATGATCAACCGCTGCCGGTTGCTGCTAGTTCCATGTGCTGATACAATACTCCGTCCAGGCATGGTTGAGACTGGGGCTGATGAATAACGCACACCGCCACTTTTCCCATCTGCGTTTCGTTTGTTCCCCCTCAGACTCCCAGATCTTGATATCCACGAGGTTGGCGAACCAAAGTTCATCGAGAGAGCACGACGTGCAATCTTCTGAGACTCTCGAGGCAACTCTGTAGAAGGCAGTATATTCGAATCCCCGTTTACAAGGTCCTCGACAGCACTGTCATCAAATGGCAGACCGTCCTCATCAAAGAACACTTTACCAGTAGACTTGGCCGCATCTATCTCAGCCGGCTTCATCAAGGTAGGCCTTGTAGTCTCGCCCGGAAGTACCCTCTTTGATGTCGACTGTATACCTTGTACATTTCCGTCGCTAGATTTTCCTGACAACCTTTCTTTCGTGAGCCTTGTTGGTCGTGCTTCGAAAAAAGGGCGCCATGTTATGCGTTCTGGCGTACTAAATTTACTCGAAGGGGTCATTCGTGTCTGACTTGGAGGGTTTTGCAGGACGGAATCTTCCTTCTTGGAATCGTTTCTGAACTGTTCCTGGAGATTGACGGAACGTTGGTGACTTGTTGCCGGTCTACGTAGGGTTGGTACTTGCGACTTGGATCCACTCCTTGATAAGAATCCATTGTCTTCTCCTCGAGATGGAGCTCTTTTCACCAGTTTGTTCGGAGGTAATTGAGCTGGGCTGCTGGCAGGATCGGACAAAATTGGAGCAGCAGAGCCATGTGAGACTGTTATTGATGGAGAATCCGGACCAACGCTTGACCTAGGACTGTTGTTATATGAGGTGGGTATCGTCGACAATCTTCTAATCCATGAGCCTCTCGACGAAACAGAATCTCTCCTAACCACCCCTTCAGCATGTTCAACAGGCGATGATAGTACCTCCCCGTGTCTGACAATTGAATTTCTCTTCCCGCCACTGTTTGCGGCTTCGAGTCTTGCAGTCGAGGGTCGTGTGCGGTGGGTCAGAGGAGGATTCGAGGAGGATAGAGTTCGCTGCCGAATCTTGTGTTCTGAGGGGGTGCTCATGGTCGAGCTTGTGCCTGGACGCGAAGCCGGGGAAGAATAGCCATCACGATGTTCATTGAAGTCTGCGAGCTCTCCAGCTTTTCGTTTCTTCGAGGAGGGCCGCACAGGTGTGATTCGCTCAGGCTTCCCCAAGGCCAAACCGGCAGCGGCAATCCCAACCGTACTCGAGGCAACAAGCTATAAAAACCAGAATGTTAGCTTGGACCTGGAACAAAGCAGTGTGAATAGGAATTGGTGATGGTCGTTCGGTGGCAGAGTAATGTTCCAAGGCAAGGCAATGCAAAATGCAAGTCCCTTAATTTAAATTGGGTTGTACTCACGCTGGGAATGGTCTTCATCGCGAGGAGTGTCCCCTGGCAGGAGGACCAATTGGCAAGGGAAAGACCAAGAGAAATGTCGTGGACGTGAACAATCTCATGAACATTGTAGAAATATATCCATGCCAACTGTTATTCGGGGTGTCGAGGAAGGAGTAGAAGGAGGATTGGCCAATGTCTGTCGCTTGTTTGTCGCTCGGCGGAGGGTAAACACCAGAACAACTTTTTTCGTGTCCCCGTTCAATCTGCTTTCGAGGGAGGTAGGGACAATAGGATGGTAGTGTAGTGTAGTGTTTACCGGCAGCCGGGTCTAGTAAAAGAATGTGGAGCTCGCGGTGAAGGAGGTAGTGGGAGATGAGTGAGAGTGAAGTGGGCAGGCGTGTCTACGAGAGCTGAGCTGAGAGTGAGTGAGTGAGTGAACAATAATACCGGTAATGGCAGGAGGCGCGTGGAATTGGAGATTAGACAATGATATTATTGGGCTTTGGAGCTTGAGCTTGAGCATAAGCATGCAAGCAAGCGTGCCGTAGTTTAGTCTTGGTCTTGGTCTTGGTACAGTAGACGGCGGCCGTATCGCCTGCAAGATTTCTACAGAGCTAAGGTTACAGTGTACGTGAGTGGACTCCCCTCTGCTCCCCTACCCTGGACTGCCATCTTTAGCGGCTGCCTTGACCAACGAAACAACCACCAGCAGCCCGGCACCTCGTCCGCTTTTAGATTTCCGCCCAGACGACCACTTAAGTCCGTATATACGGTGAACATTGTTATAAAGGGATGACCCTGCCGCCAGTCTGATCAACATGAAGAACGCAATGCCAGCTATAATCAACCATGGGGCAAGCCCGCCCGCTTCATAGCTGCTATCAGGTATCTACGCAGCCACAGCCCCGCCGAAGCACGCTACATTATGTTCAACTCCTCCTTGGGACCTTGGCTTAGCTACTTCCGTACTCCCATTAGCCTGTGCCCTGGAAAAAATTAGGTGAGACCAAGGAGGGGCTCTAAAGCTTCATGTATGTTGTGTACAAGCTCGTACAGTGCCTACCTACGGGCTGATGGTTTGGCACGGAGTCAAGGTTCTGTTACGGTACGGCAACAGCCATGGCATTGGTGAGGAAGAAATCTAATCCGGATCCGCCGCATGAGAGGGACGCTGTACTCTCACCAGCTACCAACGCCGTGAAACACCACTAGGAGGGAACATCTCTTGTCTTGATTCTCGGAATCAGTGCCTCAACATCTACTCCGTGGAGCTGGAAACGTGATGTGGAAGATCGGGGATTTCTGGTATTAATTACAAATTTCATCCGGACTTGTGACAATCAGGAGTGGGCAACAGCTGCTACTGGCACAGCAAGCTAGCAGCATATTTTCCATGCTTACTCCGTAGCTGGATATCAAAATATGTTTGTTGTGTCACAGATACAGTACCGAAAGAAAACAACCCAGTATCCGCCATAGTGGTCAAACTATTGGCAGGGCAGGTCATGAGACATTCTGGCACTCTATGGGTCCGTAGTGCTCGGTCAGCATTTTAATCATATATGCATAATCCGAAGCAGAATGCCTTGCCTAAGGGATGCATTTCGGTATGGTATTGGTTGGAAGCCGGACGTGATTGATCGTACAGAGAGGCTGCAGGATTGATTGCTTGCTGTATGCTGTTTCAGATGTCAGCACATTCGCTAAGCCAACATGCGAACCAGCTCCAGCCAGCTGCAAGCAGAAATGATAGTTCGTTGGACTTACATTCGCAAGGTTGCCCTTCCATCATGATTCGGGAAGTAACTCCAATGTCAACAAGAGGGGTAGATAATTCTCGTCCAGATCAAGACGACTACCTGTTCACGAGGCACGCCACGTAACCTCCCACTCTTTCCTACTTTAACTTTAACTTTCTTCTAGTGCGTGCCGAAGTCATCGCATAGCCAGGCTTCATCCTTCCAGAAAGATGCAGGTATCCAGCCTGCTTGTTCTACGCCACATTCGCCCTAAAAGCATACTCCACTTCTGACGGACATAGCAAGCAGTCCGGTCTTTCAGCATACGAATACCCCTCTTCTTCAAACCAGTCACGTACTTTCGAAACTAACATAGTTCATGCTGTGAAAGAGGAAGTTTTCGCGATATAAACAGTCAAAACTGGCCTGGCCCGGGGAAGGAAGTGCTGCCATGAAAGCAAAGCAACAAACAAACAACAGCCAACTTGGTAATTGACACATCTTTTGTTTATCATGATTCCAAAAGCTAGTTCCCGTCGGCCATTGTTGACTTGTTAAGACCAGACCGAGTCGCGTGTCTCCAAGCCCTCAAATCCAATCAATGAGGTTGACAGCCGTCTGCAGTGGCCCTCAACCCTGTCCATGACAATGCATAAACAAAACAAGGCTCCTTCTTTTACCGGAACGGAAATTGGAGATAACAATAACAACATGAAGATGTCCGTTTGTCTTTCAGCTCTCGGGTTTTGAGGTCCGGGTGAAATTTGTAAAGTTTTTATTATTATTTCGAACTTGTGACGTTCTTCTGACCAATGTTCTGGATCTACTCCCGTAATGATCGATCCACCTAATCTCAACGGCTGGGCGGAGACGCTTTGACTGTGAATGAAAAGATGAGGAAATAAAGTCTCCGTCCGCTAAGTCAGTATCGAAGTATGGAAAAGTCCAAACTTCTGTCATATGTGACGTAAGTCCCTAAACTTCTAGGCGTTAACGTCCCCCTCTCTTCCAAAACCTCTTTTTCTATCTCCATGGTTCAGGGTCCGGTCTATATCTTATTACTACAGTATTCGGAGTCGGCGTGCCGAACCAGAATCCTTCACCCAAGGATCAACCAGGCCAGCGACCCAACAATAACACCAACACCAATACCCATCCATCTGGAACCACAATCTCGCAAAACAAAACAAAAACAAAAAAACAAGCAAAGTAATTTCCTCATTCTGGCATCTCGAAACAATAGATTCGTTTCGCGATTCAGTCAAAAACAGAAAGATCAGAAAACAAAAGATGATCGGATGCTAGGATCTAGCTTGCATGGCTTGGGATTTACGCTGCAGGTTGCGTTGAATAACCCGATCACCACAGATCTTGTTTTCATTAATAGTATGCTACATGGATACGCGTGAGTGTGTGAGAGTTTCCGGGAGAGTTACGATGCGATACGTATGTAGCAGTGCAGTGGGCGCGTCGTGTCCAATGGGGAAGGTGTGGGACGCGACGTCGACGCGTATTATTAAGCTTGTGTTGGAGTGAAATGAGACGCGGGGAGAGATCTTGAATTAAACTTTGAACTTGTATATTCTATCTATAATAGATAGCTTAGGTAGATACGAAACCTATTCCTGTCATGAAAAGTCGAGGAAAAGGAACTGGAAATTTGGAGAGACATACCTCCGTACATACAACTGCCGTAATATTCCGCCCTCCCAGTTCTTAATTGACAATCCAGTCCAACCCCTTTTCCTCTGCAGGCAGTTCAACCCATACAGTACCCCGCCTCATATATATATATAATACACGGTTATCCCTTACTGAGTATACATACAACACGGCTCGGCAATACGTCCCTACTTTATATGGAGAACATGTACGGCTGAACTCGTCTCCATATCCAACCCGTCTATCGTCATCTCACAAAAACCTCGCACCAATCAATAGGCAATACGACGCAAGGGAGTAGTAGCGTGGCGTTTATTCATTACGGTCCTGTTTTGTACAGATCATGGAAAGCAACTCGGATGATACCTGGATCATGTCGTTCAGGGGTATCGGTGCCAGAGCATCTGGTTTCGGGCTCCAAAGTTTGAAAGAGTATGCATGAATTAGCTGTCTTTTGCGCATCACCGAGTAACTTGATATCCTTTGAAGCTACTGTGTGAGCTTGGTTCTTGCCGAGGTGCTGAGGAAATATATCACGTGGCTAGTCACACTCTAGATATACACGTGATGGATGGTTTTCTACAATTGCTGTTTCGTTCCTGTTGGTCTTCTGTATTGTCATGTGTTTTTGTTTTCAATGATAATTCCTGGCATGGAGGCAGGAGAAGCTGAGACGGTTTCTTGCTGCCGTACCATGATGTCGGGCTACGAAAGTGCGTTGCGGAATGGAATTTCAACTCTTGCCGTCCCCCTCTTTACCTCTCAATCATCACAAGGTCATCCGTAGGTGGGTGAGTTTCCGGTGAGAAAGGCAAGGCGAGGCGCCTCTCAATTGGATTGCCACTGTCATTTCAGCCTCATCCGTCAGAACTCACGCTGCAAACGAAAGTCATCATAACGTGCAGACAGAATGGAACCCAATCACCAGCATCAATAGTCAAGTCAACTCTCGCACCGTCACATACATAACTAACGCATTTCTGCTACCATACCACAGCCGGGTGTTCTTCGTCTCAAATTTCTTTCTTTGTTCGCTCTCCCGTCCCGAGATCTGCAACGTTGTAGGGTGCGTTGCACCGCGTACCGAGTCATTTGTGCTTCCCGGTGGCATGGGGAGGGGTGTCATGCTGTGGAGTGTTGTGCTGTATCCTGATGTTGTGATGTGAGGAGGTGATGGGATGGAGCTGTAGGGATATAAGTTTCATGCTGTGTACGGGTTGTTATCGTTGGGGTGACGCCGAGTGCCGGGTCGAGGGGGAATGTTGAACGGAGTGCTTTTGGCTTGTTGGAAAGAAGAGAATCTGCTTGGATTTCATTTCCTTCCTCTCTTTCTGGGAGCTTGAGGTTAAAAGCTCCTTATGCGCCGAGTTATACCTCACTGTCTGCTGGTTTTACGGACTTGGTTGCGTCTTAGGTTCCGAGTCATATGTTGCGTCCTCCTTGGCTATGAGGACGTATTGTTTATTCTCTTCTGTAATATCTCATTTATCCGCTGTCAGAATCAGAAAGCAGTTTCTGATGTTCATACTGCTAGGTCTGAATGTTCTGTCAAAGTGCTTTTGTCGGCTGCTTTTCTGGCGTCCTTGGCCTAGGAATGTTTGCAAGTATGGATTCTGAAAATAAGCTGACCAGGTCATCTCTTCCGCTTTGAGTCATTTTCACTTCAAATTGAGCTTTACATGTGAATCAACACTGACCTTCGCTCGACGTTCTTGGCATTGTCTTTCGTGCACTCTCTCACCATCCCGACCGGCGGCATTGGTATCTACAACTCTGTCTAATCTTCCTCTCACGAGCGCACTATTCGTGTGCAACATATAGTCTCACTATAGATTACCTGAAAGCAAGATTCAAGAGCAAAGAGAGGGCGAAGGGAATGGGAAAGTCTTCACAGCCGGTAGCCTCCACGGCGGCAGCAGTCAAAACAGATCAAGTGTTAAGTTCATCAGGTCCGGCACATTTGCAGAATCCTACTTCGAGGGGAGAGAAGATGTGAAGCCCAAGATCAAAGAATTGGTCGCCATTCAGAACCAGAAAGCCAACAAGATCTGCTTCACCCACGGAGACGCCCACAGCGGGAATTTCCTCGTCAGAGACGGCAAGGTAGTCGCTCACCTTGATTTTGAAATGTCGGGCTTCTTTCCTGAGCACTGAGAGTACACATCAGCCATGACAACGGCCAAGATTGTGGGAACTATGACGATTCTTTTTGGGAGTTAGGAAGTTTTTGAAGGGATATCCGAGGGAACTCGAGGGAGATATTCTTCGTCAGGAGATCTTTGGTAAATATGGAGTTCGATTAAAGTTACTTCAAGAAGCATACAAGAAAGTGTAAGCCAGACACAAGGCTAAATAAATCATTAACCTTTGATTGTAATGCCTCCGATACAAAGCCAGACCTCTGTGAGTATCGTGTCCCAAAGTTTGGTCGATACACACATTTTAGTACTAGCTGGTTTATGAAAATGACATTATAAACTTTCAGGGAGCGCACGAATCACATTTTGCAGTAAGTTTTAAAAAGATCGATTTGTATACAATGGAGCTTTCATTAACGACGCTGTATGATTTCTAAAATCCAACGACAGGTCCAGCGGAACATCTAAGAGTAATCATCTAACCTACACCACCCACCATGTCGATCCAAGTTTCTCTCTCAATTTGTCTGCGGGTGCATATCCATTTTCTCCAGAACTCTGCCGAGTAACGACATAGTAGACTCTTTAGGTTTGCACATAAGCATGTCGTCGTTCTCGAAAGACCAGCCCTCCCATTTCACGGGAATAGGCGGTATTCTTTCTCCCTCCTGGCCCATAACAAAGGCTGGTGAGAGTTCTTTCGTTCTTGTTATGTATGCGCTTCTCGCTTGAAGGTTCGCTCCGAAAGCACGTCTGTCGTCTCGGTCCATGAGAGAATGAAACCACTCCGCGTGCACCTCAGCCATCCCACAAATGAGATCCACGGTATATTACTCTCCTGCCTTTAGTAAGGCTCGGTACTTGCAGAGCTACCTTATCGCTTTCTGGATCCAATCTCTTGTCAGTTGCGAGTTCAAGATCCCGCGTGCATGGTTGACTCAAGATCCGTGTTTCATGTAATGGTCCAGATCCGACCCTACTTCGTCGCTAATGTGGAGGAATTTATTCAGATTTATGAGAACCAGCATATCTTTTTCGCGCCAAACTGTGCTTATATCCCGCCTCTCGTATCTTGCGTTTTCCCCTCCCTCTTGAATCAGTCGATGCTGTATCAAGGTTTCTCATTCTCGATGAGGGCAGCCAACTACGAGGGACCAATAGTACCCTGGGAATTTTGTGTCGTCAAGCTGCTCATCATAGTCGTCTTGAGGAATGGGTCGACTTGATCCTTCACTCTGAGGTACTCGGGTAGCTGGGCGGGCTTGAGGCAGGTTGCTTTGGAGCTGCTTGACGTGGGATGACGGCTGGAAGGGCAGGATATCTTGGACGGGATGGAAGGATCGGCTGGGTCAGACTTGCTTGTCGTGCTCTTGCCCTTACTTCAGTAGCGTTGGGTCTGCTTGGTCTCCCGCGAAGTGTTGGCCGGCTGGTGCTCAGTTTCTCAAAATTGCCTTCATTGAACTCAGGTACATCGAACTCTGATATCATGATGTAAAGTTCTTGTTTCTCCTTTTGGTGTCCATTTTTCCATGCCGGGCCGGATTCAAATTGGTCTCTGGCCATTCCACTAACTTTACGTCTCATGTGATTAATATATCGAGATGAGACCGAAGCAACGAGGTTTTGTTGAGCTACACTCAGTCATGATTCTGCCAATGATTCACACAATACACATTCACACACGCAAGGCAAATCACGAGAGAATCACATGGAAGTGGATTGCCATATTTCTAAGTAGTCACTGCTTAACCTTCTTTTTCACCTTGGAAAACACCCAGGAGAGAAAGAATTTACAACACTACTAACCCCAAGAGAGCTAGATATACGAGTCAAGATATTCTGCCCAAGATGGGACTCTTCGGCTTTCGAAAAGCTCACCCAACAACACAAAATGAGCCAACACAAATCTACGTCCATGACCAGAAACTACCCAGCCTTTCTCAGCGCCAATAGTCGAAACACCCAAGATATCTCGAGAATATAACAGCAACTGTCTTTCGCGGAAAAGTGCTTTGGCGGCTATCAGGCTCTATGAACCACGGTCGCGCCCCGAAGGTATGATTCTGAATATACCATATAACCGGGTTGTGAAGTACGGAAGAGACGTCCAGCTCGCGGGGGCAGCAGCACTTCGTTTTGTTGCAAGGAATATTACGATCCCGGTACCCAAAGTCCATTGCACTTTTGAGCACAAGCACGTCAAATACATTGTCATGGATAGAATCGACAGGGAAAAAATAGGGATGGACTGGAGCGAGAGGCCGGAGGCAGAGCGGGCGAGCCTACTACGGCAGCTGAAGGGATATTATGACCAACTTCGCAACATTGCACATCCACGACCGGGAATCATCGCTGCTGTCGCTATGCAGAAGCTCTACAAAACACGGAGTTATAAGGGCAGAGAGGGGTTCGGGCAATTCGCCAAAGAGGCTGAATTTAACCAGTTCCTGCGCTTTGGCATCCAGAAAGAGGATGGCTTCTTTGAGGCGACTGGAGACAACTCATGCCTCACAGACGAAGAATGGTCCGAACTTCGAAAGATAATCGACATGCAGGATCATCTGCAGAAAAGTCACAGAATATGCTTCACTCATGGAGATGCCAGTAGCTCAAATATCATAGTCAAGAACGGCAAGATAGTTGCCATGATAGACTTTGAGTTATCTGGCTACTATCCTGAGTATTGGGAATATACTTGTGCTATGAACGTTAATAGTCAAGATGGTTTCTGGAAGGCTGAGGTTGGGAAGTTTCTGGACACTTATCCAAGAGAGTTGGAAATAGAGGAGACTCGCCGGAAGCATTTTGGTCCTCGAGGGCTTCGTGGCAGGTATGATTGGGCATGACGGGCTAGGCTCTCACTGAAAGCTCGCCCCCAAAACCCCGGGCTTCCTAGCCTTCAGATCCAGCAAACACTGTCCAAACAGGCCATTCGCCCAACTAAACCACTGTCTCGTCCACTTGTGCGCATCGAAACTATTGATACTCTCGTGAATAAGTCCCAATCCATCTGTACTGCTTACGATTTCCTGCAGCGCGTTTCTGATCTCCTGGTCGTCGTTCGTTGTGAAGATTCGGATGATGCTCGCCATGGGCCACGCTTGGCCGTAGCCGGCGTGGGGACCGCCGACGCTGTGAGGGGGGTATGTTAGTTGGTGAGGGTGGGGGGATGGAGGAATGGATGGATGAATGGATGGAGAGTTGAGGGATTGGAAAGAGGGGGCCTTACGCGTTGATAACGGGACCGCGCATGAAATACGAGTTGTCTTTACTGAGGATCATCTTGCGTGTGTTTTGATAGACCTTGTCGTTTTGGTCGAGGTAGCCGAGGAAAGGGGCGCTGAGTAACGAGGGGATGTTGGCGTCGTCCATGATGTTTTCTTGCTCAGATTAGCTATACCGTACCTCCAGGGATGAAAAGGATATACTTACGTGATCCGTATCCGTCGACTTCAAAAGCGTAAATCGAACCGTAAGTTGGATGGTTCACAATAGCGTGCTTGGTGATGGCATCTCGGATTCTGCCTGAGAAGTTGTGCATGTGGTTGGCTAGATTGCGCTGGTTGCCTATATTGGCCATGATTTTAGAGGCTGAGTCTAGGTAGCGCGAAAACATCATGTTGGCTGGGATGTAGAGCTGGTATATAGTCCTGTTGAATTGGTTAGCTTATTTGCAGATTTAGAGCTTGTGTGGACACTCACGAATCATCACTTGGCCGGAATGCTGAACGTATTAAACCCGTGTTAGCTTGAACTGGATTTCCACGCCCTGAGTTGTCAAGAGTTTCTGTTGCCGATGTAGTTGTACGTTGCCAAGTATATGGAAGTGTGTTGACCGATCCATTCGACGAGTACGTGCCGCCGAGCAGGGATTCGGTGGTTGCAATGATGGTATTGATAGCATCGACCCATTGAAAGTTGCGGAAGAAGTCAATATCATTAGTAGCTTCGTAGTAGTCGGTTGAGAGCTCTAGGAAGGCTGCCAAAGAGTCCAACTCGTACTTGCACTCAAAAGCAATGTTGGTGGATACCGCTGGTGTAAAGTCGTCGGGGGTGTCTTGATTCTTGGAAGGCCCAATACCTGACTCGACTGGTGGCTGGAAGGAATTGCAGAAAGGTGCTTCGAGGATATATCGAGCCTGGAGATTGATCACGCCTCGGTACAAGCTGGCGAGCGAGCTCAGGCTCGAGTTTGCGGTAACAAGTGGCAGGTAGCTTTGCATCTGGTTCGCAGAGTCTCGCAGCCACATTGCATTGATATCCCCCGTAATGAGAAATGTCAATTCCTCATTTGAGTTGTTTGCGGCCACTCCTTTCCACTTGACTGCGGTATCGAGAGAGTTCGGGAAGGAGTTTTGGAAGAGGCGGTACAAGTCGGGATCCTTGATCACGGACTCCATATCCTTGATTGTGTCCTCCACAATTGACGAGTTGAAGGTCCGACATGCTGGCTCGGGTCTCATGTAAGACAGTTGGTATTTGCCTGAGCTATATGGCTGGTGCTTTTGCTGTGAGTAGTCCAAGTAGTCGGGACATTGTGCTCTCGCAGAAGGAGCAATGACAAGAGCTGCGGCGACGAGACTAAGAATAATGTCCTTCATCGTACAGTGCCAATAGTTGCTACTTTTGGACAAGATGTGTATGTTTCTCGATGTTGAATCCGAGTCTCCGCCGTCAAGTGTTAAAATCCAAAGGCTATTTGTTTATAGTAAAGTCTCCGGTCAGGTACCACAGCTACCCCGCCTTTGAAGCCAGTGAATCCCTGTAAAATACCCCGCTATTACCCCACATGCGGCACGAGCTTTGCAACTCTGCTATTGGTATTGGTCGACGAGGCTGGATTTCCAACTCTTTGTTTTTACCGACTGCCTCATTCGTAGTAGTCGGCCCTTCTGGATAGCTTCAATGTAGGCCTTATGATTTAGTCACAAGGGCCTTGAACTCATGAGCTTCGCTGAGAAATAGCCCGAGTATACTATAATGAAAACTTACTCCAAGTTACTGGTTTAAAGCTTATTTATTACCATGGAAATAGGTGTGGAAAAAATATATATAGTAATCATGATTATAACTGGAGCAAAAACGAGATCTTGACTGCAGCTGCAAAATGGAAAATGCAAACTGGAAAAATAAAGAATGGTTTTCAGAATCTTGTTCGAGGTGTTGAATCGATGTTTGGGGCTGCTACCGTAAATACAGTAAGATGCATGTCTGCCGACATTTTTGCAAAGTCTATAAGAGCCGCCCGCCTTAGATCGTGGATTCTTCTTCTAGCCCGATGTTTCCAGTTATTTGCCTCTTTCATTTGTGAGTGGGCAGCTATTTGTACAGTTCCAAGTCCGATACCCCTACGGTTGCAAATGCTCCGTCATAATACGATTTTTCGTGTCATGACGGGAAAACCCAGGTTATTCCCCTGTTATAATAGCAATTTTCATATCACTACCTTCTAGTTCTGCTCTAAATCTCTCTGTTATTGCCTGTTATAATAGCATAACATAAAAACCCATATCATTTCTATGTTAGAGAGAGTGAAAATGCCTCATTTCATCTCACTTAACATGAAAATTAGTGTTATTTCTTTAATTTTCGGCATATGTGGCATGAAAGGTACCTTTTTGTGGATAGTGGAGCTATATAAAATTAAGTGCTCTCACTCTCCCTCTACCTTCTCTTTCTTTACTCTCCTTCTACCTCCCTTCTACTTCTATGCGCCCACAGGTAAGTCGTCACCCCCTCTCTTCTGCTAGCCTCTAATAATCTCTAATTATCCTAGTTTCCTACGAAAACATATATTAATAAGGGGCGAATCTAGGAATAGTAGCATTTTTGCCTATTTGGGAATCTATGGCAGATTTAGGAGGTAGGGGCGGATTTAGTGATAAAGCAGAAGGGGGCATTCTAGAGTAGATTTTATAGTAAGAATTAGACAGTTTTCTACTGAAAATGCCCCGTTAGAAACCCCGTTATGATAGGGTTTTCGACATGGAAAAAGTGTACAATTTTATATATGGATCTCTATGTCAATTGCTCTATCATAACAGGAAAAATCATGTCAACACCCCAGGGTTCTGATAGAGGAATTGACACGATTTTTCGTGTTATGACGGAGCATTTGCAACCGTAGTGACCTAGGTTTTACATTTTAGCAAAGGATGTTTAATTTCAGCTCTCTGCTCATCTCGCTACATAGGCTGGAGAGCTACTTATTATATGCGTGTATATCAGACGTTCCATGCAGTTTTGATCCCATCCATTTCTATTTTCAACTATACATCGTTCAAGTATATCTACAACTCGATGGTATCATCGTTACAAAGCTCATCAGGTGCCAATGGCACCTCTATCCTCGATACCAACCTGAATGAGTAAGAGCATTCTTTCGCAGCCTCCATGCACTGTTCCTCCGACCAAGGCAAAAAGACATCGAATCTTTTCGCTGCCTTTATCTGCGTTAATGCCTGGAGCAGCCGTCCCCATCGATCTTTTCGATATAGGCCTGGGATTAACTCGTGCCCAGTCAGGTGTATTGTGAGCTCCTGTAACCCCGTGAGATTCGCAAGTATATTGCAGGTCTCCTGCCAGGTATCGAAGTCATAAGGAGCCAGGGTAAGGGCCGTGGAATATTTGAAGTTCCAGGTAAGGTTCAAGGCACATATCTGGTCTAGGCGCTGGGGCAGGACAGTCTGCTGGAGGTACATGATGGTATCGAGGTGATTGATATCAAATATATTATCTGCGTACAGCATTGAAACGGTCTCTCTATAGATGCTCCGACATGTCTGCACCAGAGGCAGTAGGTTCGCTGGCTTGGCAGGGTGGTTACTTCGAGGATGGAGGTAATATCCAGGCGTCGTGCCCAGCGATATATGCCCGCTTGTAAGGCCCCAGCAGCCATGTCGACGTGTTTCGAGGTCCAGGCCAACGTTCTCTGTACAGCTGATCGCTAGCAGCCGCTTTCGAGCGCGGACAATATGTAGCAAATGACCGCCTAGAACTTCGGTCCAGATAAGTTGACGGACTTCAGCTGGTAGCCGGGCAAAAAGAACAGATTGGGCTTGATCTGAGTTCTGCTGTGGGACGAATTTCTTGAATGGATTCCAGGATCGAGTCGACTTATCGGGCGTGGGGGTGGGGGGAAAAGTCAATGCCCGTGGACGACGCGATGGGAGCCGTTGGGGCGCGTTTATTTTACGCCCCTTCTGCGTCTGCTTGAGGTCTTCAGCATTTCCACACCTCATCTTGTCGGCGTTGATTTGAGCTGAGTTGCGTTGAGTTGAAGCTGTAATGGTTCGTGCTGTGCTCTCTCTGGTTGAATGACACTGTACGAGTAGACCACTACCACTAAGACTCGCCACCTGTGACTAAGCCAAACCGTATAGTCCAACAGAGTATAGTAGGAAGGATCAGGGCCCACCTTAAAGATAACGAGAACGAATACCAAGCTTTGCAAGGCGCAGTCCTACTAAACACTCGTTTAATCCTACTCGGATACGGAGTAATCGTATATCATGGGGTATCCCTCTAATATGTATAGGTACCGGATAAGTATTGTACAAATATAAATAAACATGGGGTTTTAGTGTGTCCGTTAAGCCTATTAGGGCTTTGTTTACTTAGAAGACTGCCGAAATAGAAATAGGAATAGACAGAGTAAGCACTAATTTCAGAATTTGCACAATACTTATCCGCTGTACCTCCGTAGAGGATCGTGTTCGTGGCTTGAAGAAGCATTGTCTTTTATATTATGTATATTTACGGATGCTACTTGTGGCTCCTCCTACAGATCTTAAGGTTATCTTTCCAATCCTTTCGATCGTAAGTAAGTAAGCTACTGTAAGGCTCAAACGTATCTTCCGGTACGAGTAAGGCTGCTAAGGCCGCTAAGGCGACGCGGACTACTAAAGTTTAAAAGTACGTCCGGCGCTAGGTAGAAGCGTAATTGTTCGAGCCCCGCTCGTTTGGCAAGTATTTAAGGTTATAATCAATTAAGCCGCTAATCCAAGTACTGTACTATTCCTAGCCACTCGATGAGCTAAACTGTCTACGCACTGTTCAAAGCGCCTAAAGGGGTCCAGGAGCCTAGAATACCACTAGCGCTTCTTGGTCAGGTTCCGCTACACTAGCTGAGCTGACAGCTCCTTACTCGAGTAGTAATTTCTACTGTATACCTCGCATCAAGGTAATCTTACATCTCTCAAATTCACTTTCCTATACCACCGTACAGAGTAGTATCAAGACGTCTATAAACGCATAGCATTATAGAAATACATGTTATGTTACTCCAATTTCTACTATTGATTAAGTGAGCTTTTTAGGAGTTATGAAAGTGACCAGGTGCCAAAATTGGTGAGGGCATTAATGAGGCGGCGACTTGTAAAATTAGCACCAAATGTGACATGCCCAATCATATCCACTATTGTGTGTATGCTGCTGTTTGTTACCCATTGGGCCATCTCGCCGCTACGGACCCTCCACCTTCTACCACGGTACTGTACTACACGCCGTATTGGTACACACCATCAAGTTTCAAATTCACATCCCCATTGTAGTGCTTTCAGCCTTCCGCACTGCCCCTAAAACCATTATGAAATGAAATGCCATAATACGAAGTAAGAAGAAGGTAAGCGCGCTCAAGGATCTACTGTCTTCATATCCGCCCAAGCGCGCCAACTAACTATCTTCCTTCGTAACAGGCAGAACTGTTCCGCCAAAAGACCAGACCAGGCCAGGGGTAGATAATGACCGTAAAAGCACCAAAGCAAGGTCCCCCAGCCCGCCCTTGGCTTGGCGGAACTGTTTTGCCCAGGAAGTGTACCCTTTTCTCTTACCGCAATCCTGACAGTGTCAGTACTGTTTAGCGTGGGAAGACAGAATCCCTCAGAGTGGCTTTTTACCCAAAATAACTATGTTAAAGTGAAATAGCTTGTATTTCGTTCATTCTGAGCTTTCACGTGTAAGTGGCACGGTATACGTCGGTATTGTGCCCACAGTCAGCCTTAAGCAATGTGAGTAATCCCCTAGTAGGGCTCGGATTATTTGTGATGAGAGATAAGTTTGAAGGATCAAAAGGATTAGCTGTAGGCATCTCATGTGTTATTTTCATGTTGTCACTTTTGATGTATTATTAGAAATGAGCTCCTGATTTATAGGTTCATATATATGCTTTGCATTGTCATTTCTTTCATCTTTCTCTCTCCATATCGTCTGTTGTCCTTGCCCCTCATAGTAACTGCCTTCTTTGCCTGTTTCTTGCAGCCGTGAGGCTCTGCCACTCTTTCAACACCCCCAGAAACCCGAGCTTCACCACGCGCCACAACTACAACCTCTTCTCACTCTTCTCATTTCACCATGAAGCTTACAAGTACCTTCGCCGTTCTTTTAGGCTATTTCACAACTAGTCATGGCTGGATATTGGACAGCTCCTGTTCAGCGTATAGCCAACTGATAAATGATGGCATGAACAATGCGTTCGATCTCGCTCAAGCGGGGTCCGATACATTTGCTATCACACTTCTGGGAAGCGGACCTAAATGGCAGGCACAGAAAGACCTCATATCATACATGTTTAGCGAAGCTTTGACAAATGGCAACATTGATACTGGTAATAAGAATTGGCAACTTGGCGAGAGCACATTTGCTTCAGTCCTGAAGTACAATACCAATAATGGGCAACCCGACGCAACTCCTGCCAGCCTTCGAAATCTAGGCACGGACTCTCTTATTGTGTATTGCGATTATTCCCGCTTCAAGGAAGGTCAAAACTGCGACGGGGTGAAGAAAGATGGTTATACCTGTGATACTAGCATTGGTATATCCATGCCGATGGGTCCCATATATGATGATTGCAAGAGCTCAGGCTTTTTCAGCACAACTGAAATTTCGGTATGTAACGAACCAGAAATGGTTATTACGATCAGATCCTAACCTCTCTCTAGGCCTGGACATTGGAGTATGCTTCCCTAAAGGCCAACCGTGCTTCCCAGATCCAGATGTGCCCCTCGTTCTTAAAAGATCAACAGAAGCTTAAAATCAAAAGCTTGAAAGATCAGGGAAAGAAGGCTATTCTAGCAAGAGGCGCGTCAAAGCTAAAAGCCTTGTTGGATGACCCCTTCAGGACTGCTATTGATGCAGCGTACCTGTTCGAAGGTACTATGCTTCACGAAATGACACACGCGATTCCCAATGCTGGCACTGTAGATGCAGGTCCAGGTGAAGTTGGGAAAACCGATTCGTATGGCTGGAAGAATTGCCGCAAATTGAGTGGCAACGGAGGCATAACCAACGCGGATTCATACGCTTTGTTTGGAATTGGTAGCCGGATGATTGCTCCGAATAATGATGCAACACCTCAGCGACCCATGGAAGACGGATCAATTCAAGTCCTTCCTGGCGAAGCTTCAGGCTCGAAACGAAACCTTCCCGCTCGAGCGGTCAATGCAAAAATCACTTTAACTATAGATCATGCAAACGTTACATTAGATAATGCTAATGCAACGGGTTTTGTGTTTTCTGAACCAGGTTCAGCACCTGTCACTATCTCGAAAGGCCGGGAATATACGATTGGCACGGATGTACTCTCCTTGGACGGCTCTGCTATCATCGAAGACAAATCTACAGTATTCTTCGTCCCGGCATCAGCTACTACGGGCCATACAAGCAGTTCCAGCATCATTTCCAGCAGAACTTCCCAGGGCTTTACTACATTAAGCACTTCGGCTCGTAGCCAAAATTCATCTACATCTACATCCTCACTCTCGAGCAGCGGCTCATCATCATCAGTCTCCTCCCATTCGAGCTCTTCCGGCACGACTTCCTCGGGCAAGTCGCCTATCAGTAGTCTTTCTACCAGCAACAGCTCAACAATCCGAAGCTTTACCAGTACAAACTCCTTGAGCAAGACATCTGTCAGTAGCCAATCTGCAACCAAAAGCTCCTCAGGACAAGCTCCGGTACTTTCAATCTCTTCTACAAGTTCCTCAAGCCAAAGCATATCAAAGAATACGACAACTACAGTTGCTAGCTTATCGTCGAAATCCTCGTTATCTAGCTCGCAGTCCAAATCCTCGGCATCCGGCTCATTGTCAAGCTCGTCTTTGTCTTCCTCGCAGTCTTCCACCAGTTCGGCAGGATCTATCACATGGAGTGGTTCGTGGACTGATACCACAACGGCAACACCAGCCTCTTTTGCTTGGCTCGATGTTCCATCGACCACAATATCAGACCAATCAGCAACGTCCGAGGCGGTATTGCTTGGAGGCCTATTCTTTGGTCTCAAAACCAATAGACAATGGCTCACGGATTCTAAGCTAAAATCACAGTATCTTGACGACGTTAAGCGTACACGAGACGAGGCGGAGTCTTTGTTCAATGACTTGACAAACAAGCCCGACATGCCAGACTGCTCCAACACCAAGAAAAAGAGAAACTCAATGTCAGAAAGGCAGTTGAGAAGCTTACTTCAAGACAGGAGTATAATAGGCAGTATGACTGGGGCAATTACTGGTGCGCTTAACGATGTTTCCAAGCTTGTTAGCTGTGCTACGAATGTAGTCAAGAACTTAGCCGATGAAGTGAACAGATCTACTCCAAACGTCGATTTAGTCGAGAACTTGACAGACACTTTAGCAGAGATTGCTGAAGATCTGCAGAACGAGGACAAGCAGCAGTCTTCCTCGCCACCTACGAGTACTGCCCCTACGAGTACGGCATCCAAATCTAGCAGCTCTTGTTCGACACAAACCAAAAGCGCCTGCGACACTTCATTGTCCGTCTTCACACCCTCTGGTGCAACGACACAGTCGACTTCCACTATCACACTCTCTTGCTCGACCGTCACCGCTTGCTCGGCCTCGCTGACTGGATCCACGACGACAAACAGTGCGGCGCAGATCACGGTCACGATCACAGAGGGTGATTATGCAAATGCCTACGACACTTATACTACAGACTGGTACAACCTCCAGCAGTCTGTCCTCGCGGAGGCTATGGCTGACGACACCGATGAGTAAGTGACTTTTCTGGGGGAATATCTCCTATTTTGAACGTCCCAAAAGAGTCAAATACTCTTACGAGACTTTTTCCAATTCCCAAATCCTATTTTATGAGGCAATGCTGACTCTGAAATCTTGATCACAGTTACATCACCTGGTCATCCGACGAAGCAACTACGACGGGCTCAATCTCCGGATCGATAACCACTTCACAAAAAGCCTCACCCTCGGGCCAGCCAACAGCTTCCGCAAACTCGACCTCTTCGATACCAGCATCACTTTCCACCAGTTCCAAGGGCACCATTTCCAAGACATCAAGCCTGACTATCACTAGCAGCGCATCAGCTAACGCCACTTCAACCTCCTCCCCGACTACCACTCGGAAGATAACATCGGCCCCCCCAATAACCTCATCCCCCCCAATAACCTCATCCCCCCCAATAACCTCATGTACACTATCAAGCGTGACTGCTTTCAGCTCAGACTATTCGTACTATACCATTGACTACCCCTCCACGATAGAATGCGCGTGCAACGATGGCTGGATAACCGACGTCAAGACGTCCGTTGGCGCTGACAATTCAATAACCTATACCTGTGACGTGGTCTCAACGATCATCGCTGTCAGCACCGCGCCTCCCGAAACAACAGCACCAGCCAAGACGACGGCACCGCCTCCACCCGCCTATCAGACAGGCACGTGCAACCTCCATATCTTCGAAGCATCCGAGAATTATAACGCGCCCTTGTATGTCCAGCTCAACGTCACGGACGGCGGCAACAACCTGCTCGCTAGTCATAATACTCAAGGTAGTTGGGGCGACAGCATTTCCGTCATGGCGGATGAATCCAAGCTGCCGTACGATATCAACGTCGACTTTCTGAAATCAACCAAAGTTCCTAGATCCAGCGGCCCGGGAATGATCAAGGGGAGAATAGCCATACCGCCTTCACAACCGATCGTGCGCTGGGAAGATTGGAAGTTGACGATAGCTGCGGGCGACACCAAGTGGGATGATACGGATACGGACAACACGCAGATGCCGTGGTGTTCGGTGGGAGGTTGGGATAATGGCAATTTCTGGGATTGGTTGGATGAAGTAATATCGTTAGGAATGGATGGGGGCTCACCGGTAAGCCCCTTTATTATCTAACTTTTCCGTCTGGGGTATAGTATGCTGACTTGAGAATAGAATCGGCAAATGGATTGTCACTGGGCGTGCTGATCTGATTCACTACGGCCCCCATTTTATGGAAACACTCATCATAAGGAATCATCCTAACGAGTCTCCTTTCAGCTGCTTACGCAGTGATCTTTTGATTCAAGGATATATGAACGCTAGGGCTTATATTGAAGGGAAACTCAATCAAGTGCTGATTGTTTATTGTATCATACTTATCATTTTCTTAAGGTCGAGTCATAGCACAGACCTCCACCATCTATCCTCATAGCGAAACGCTAGCAAATTACAGCAACCCAATTTGGAATATAAGTAACAACGCTTCGCACTCGCTTACTAGCCAACCCCCCAACCCCTATTATCCATCGCTAAGAGTTACTCGAGTACCTCACCTTGACTGCCTATAACTTCCTTAAATATAGTCAGCTTGGCGCTAAGCCAAGGCTTGCGGAGCTATACTCCGCACTCCGTGCCGTGTAAAAGTAATTAGAGCCCCCCTTTTTTATAGTGAGGATTCTAGTACGTACGCCTTGGAAGCTCTACCTAGGTCAGTCGCACCTGCTAATTAGGGCTTCACTTTCGTGTCTATCCCAGGGAGGATGAGCCTTGCTATAAAACCCCGTTATCTCATCTCAGCTCTCTTCCTCACTCCACCTCCAACCCCCACATGCGAGACTAGTGACCAAAGCATATTTGAATCTTTTTGAAAAAAAAAAAACGGCCGAAAAAGCTATCTCAAATCGCCTTACGTTACAAGAAGCTATTTACAATACTTCCTTTCTATCCTAATTCCAACTATGTGGGTATCTCAGTATATTCTCATCGAATCATTTTGCGCCACTTTTAGACCCCAATCAGGACTCCGGAACACCTGTTCAATCTTCATGAAAATGAAAGAGAAATTTGATGATGACATGCATGGCGAAAATTCATTCATGCTAGGAACCAACCTCCCTGCTCCCACGCACCCGGCATGTATAGGGCATTGCATCTGAGATGTCGAGTATTGATGCCTTGAAGTAGGAAGTCGAGTCTTTTGAAATCGATTGGTTTCAGAATCCATCCATCGAAACTGGATGGCACATCAGTATTGCAATCCCAAACCCGGGTTCTATTGGGGGGGGGGTCACGTACCCGTTCTGCAAGTAGTCAAATCTGTTGTCTTCTGTAAGAGTGGCAGAAACTGCAATAATCGGTACCCTGGGGCGTTCCTTCAGGGTCTGCCCAGACACCTTTTCCAAGGCCCGAATCATTTTTGTGCACTGTACTCCATCTATAAGTGGCATCTGGAAATAGTTAGAAACGTAACGAAGCGAAAATACTAGGACTCGTACCTGTAGGTCCATGAGTATGACATCGACTTTTTGAAGTTTCGAAGCAAAGTGGTCGTGGCATTCTTGGCCATCACGCGCAACGACCACTTCGTGACCCAATCTGACCAAACGGCGAGTGAGCAGCTTAGCGTTGATGGGATTGTCCTCCGCAATGAGCACCGACAGAAGCTCTTTAGGATCAGAATCATCTCGGCCCATTCTGGGGAAAGGAAAGTTCGGGCTCCCACTCGCACCCGAGAGACTGCTGAAACCAGAACTTAACGTCCCAGGCGTCATGGCAGTAGGGTGAGGCGGCTTTGGGAGTGGAATGATAGTCTCCTGGTGTGGGGTCGTGTTATCGTTTTTGCTGGCAATCTGTTTGCTTTTGAGGTCTGGAAGTGATACCAATAGAGGTTCAGCCTGGGTATGAGTGCTGACTGACAATACTCCAAGCGCAGGAGGTTCACCTGGTGACAGTCGTATATTATCGAGGGGAGCGTGCTCGAAGGGCAATTCGATCCCGAAGATTGTGCCCTTTCCGAGCTCACTACGAACCCTGATCTGTCCATTCATATTGCGCACATATCGAGCAACGACAGCGAGGCCAAGACCCAGAGTTTTCATATCCTCTCCCATGATCGGTGGTAGTTTAGATGCAGTTACAGAGCGACCATCCTCGTCAATAATTTGCTCAAATTCCTGGAATAGGTCATCGAGCTGGGTTTCCGACATTCCAGCCCCAACGTCTTGGACGGTGATGTCTATCACCGAGATGGTTTCCTTAGTCAGGATGGGGCGGATGTCCACCTTGATTCCACCTGCTACAGAGTGTTGAAAAGCATTTGTGGTCAAATTTGATAGCACTTGACGTAGACGAGCCGCATCACCTTTGACCCTCTTTGGTAAACCTTGATGTGTGGAGACCGTCAAATCGAGCCCCCTGCGCATTGCTTCTTTGCGAAAAGCAGTGATAGCATATGATACGGTGGCTCCGAGATCAAAGGTTTCACCCTTTGAATTGACAGGACTATCTTCGGCCTTTGTAAGATTCAATAGATCATCAATGACATAGATCAAGGATCGTGATGCTTTGTGTGCTTTCTCTAGAAGTTCGCGAGTCGGATCTTCCATTTTGTCCTCTAGGGCCATTTCCAGATAATTGACAATTGCATTGAGTGGCGTCCGGACTTCGTGGGATGCATTGCTTATCAACAGACGCGTCATCCGACTATTTTGGCTTGCGGATTCCTTTTGCCTCCAGATCTCAATGAACCTACCATAGAGAAGGCTCAACACTCTGGCAGTCTCTAACTGGTCATCAGTCCACTGCTTACCTCTGCCGAGGACAGTTTCGGTCCAGCGCTTAAAGCTAGCCCTGGGTTCGAGATACTCACTACCGGCGCGGACAATCTTCTCGTACGGATTGCCTGCCCATCGTATTTCTTTCAGCTGACCCTTCCGGAAGAAGACTAGAAAATCGTTTCCCTCAATACTCAATGGGATGATAAGCAGTCCTGATATCATATGAATTCCAGCGGCAAACTTGATATCAGGAAAGTCGACATTGATGTTCTGTGATGAAATTATTGTGGTGAAACGTCGAGATTGTAAGTAAGTAAGTATTGCTAGAGCTTCAGGGTACGGATCTAGCCTTCCAATTGCTTGCGCTTCGTCTTGAATGCTTAGGAGGCCGAATTCGGCGTCAAAGACACGAAGTAGGTCAGCAGACGAGGCAGCAATAAACCCTGCAGGAGACTGCGTCGGTGGAGTCGTAGCAGGTGGTTTTCGAGCTTTTATGCGTTGAATCATAAGCAGGCGCTCAATGTTCGTTGCCGCGCATTCGCCAATGTTTCGACAAAGTTCTCGAGTTGGCAGTGGCATTCGAAGTCCATGCTCTCCATACTGATGACAGGCAATCAAGCCCCAAAGCTCGGAATTAATGACGATTGATACCGACATAGAAGATCGGACACCCATATTGCCGAGGTACTTTGAGCACAACGGATTAGTAGAGTACAAAGCCAAATATTAAGAGAGGGCTGAGGAGACGGCTTGCGAGAAGATTGGGAACGGGCTAGGGAGCCGGTATATGAGCTCTCGTAACAGCTCCTAGCCCCCCTTATATATTATTTCAGCAAGTTTGTATTAAAAAGAGGTTACCTTCAAATGGATGGGTGACATGGCACGTAAATATGAATGACTGAGATCAAGCGGGACCGCGAAGTCAGTTGCATCGCGGCAAACCTGTTGAAAAAGTTAGAATGTATGCTCTTAGTCCAAAATGTTTGGCTTTAGGACTCACCAATCTGGCTGTTTCTGCATCACGGTCGTGTAAAACACGAATTCGATTGATTTTATACAAATCTCTAGCCTGCTTTGGAATATCTGACGCTGGAAAGTGAAGGCCTAATAAAGTATTAGGGCAGAAATACCTGCAAATGAATGGTACGAGGTTGCTTGCCTCTAAACAAGTCGTTGCTCGCTTCCGGGTGGACAAGTTCAGCATCTATACTTCCGTTCATTTGTTCGTCAAAGCGATACATCATCACCCGATGGAAACTTGTAAGCTCTGAGATGATTCCTACTACAACATCAAGGACTTGCTGTACAGTATTCGACGCAGCTAATTGCTGTTGCGCCTGTGTCATGGCATTGAAAATGTCCATGGAAAAGGATGCCGTTTGTCCTTTCCATCGGGCCATTTCGAGGGCCTTTAAGGGTGTGCTCCCACTCGTGGTGCTTTTGAGCCTGTCCTCGGGAGAAACATCCATACCAAGAGATGCAAAAGGCGTCCTGGGCAGATTGGTTACACCTTCCGGATCCTTGAGATAGAAACCATCTGCATGTTCTTCAAATTCACATATCACCAGACCTCCTAGGGCGAGTGCATGTATAGCACCCCAGAGACGAATTCGAGACCCATCTGATGATATGATTGAAATGTTGAAGATATCGAGCTGGGTATCCTCATTCGGCTTGGCGGGGTGCTCCAGGGCATGCGTGACATGAATGACCATTTCCTCCCGATCGCCTGGCTCTATTATATCAAGGAAGGACCTCAAGGCGAAAAGCTCTTCAGGCCCGTAGCCCAAGATACTGCGACAATTCTCACTGCAGATACGGCATTCGAAAACTTCGTCCGCATTGGACTTGAAAGCTACCAGCGCTCCGAAAGATTGTATAGCTCCTGGTATGCGGATTGGTTCATCTTCGCATCGATGGAACGTAGACTTTGTCTCTTCCCCGGTAACACCTGGCAACACGCCCGGCGGACCTGACTGTGATGGGACAAGCTTCCTCTCAGTGACCAGCCGCGCATTGCCGTCATCTGTTATGAAAGGCCCATTATCTGGAGGCGGCGGGGTTGCCACGCTTCGTATAGTGCTGGGAGGAGGGGTCGGGAGGCTTGGTGGAGGAGCTGGAGCTGGAGCTGGAGCTGAGACATAGACGGGGTTTACGTTGTCGTCTCGCCGCTTTGACCGAGTCCTCAAATCAGCTATTTGTCCACCTTGCAAAAAAGTCCCGCCTCGTTCCAACTCACAGATGTTCCAGGCTGGGCATCAGCGCCAGATCTAAGAGCATCGTCTCCATTGTTCCAGGTCCCTTCTACCGTCTTGTTAACCAGATTGCGGATGGGAAAGACACGCTCAATGGTGAATTCGCTGGCGGGTAGGAAGACCACAGGAGGTCTGGAGTCTTGGACATCTGGAACGGACATCTCAGGTCATATTCGTCGGTCAAACAGACAGACGATGGAGGGAGGAAGGTTCTCTTCTACTTTGTTTGCATGGCCAGGTGGGTGGCAGGTAAAAGAGAGCGTCGGGTGATGCAATATGATGCAAATTCAAATGCGAATGCCCAAAATGGCAAAATCCTCGTGGGGATGCGGCAAACAGAGCTTTCTCGGGGTCCTTGAACGATCGATCTGATCGATCAAGTACAGTGCAGTAGCTTTGGGGATATATAGCCCACCCCGCGCCTGTTGCTCTGATAACGACCCGTACCGAATTATCTGCAGGCAAGCTTTCCCATTGGTCCAAATGAACCGCAGTAAGTACTTTCATACCGTAGCCGATAGTAAGACCTAACTTACTATAGACTGGAGGAAAAGGTAGATGGATGTGTCACGAATGAAGTGTCGTGGATGCGTGGATGCATGCATACATACTTTCCGCCTATCTTAGGTATCCTATGTAGCCCTACAGGACTGTAGCTCAGCCCAGCCTCGTCTCAAACACGTGATAGTTTCCTATAAAATCCCTCCAAGCTCTTCCAACCTGCTACCTACCGTGCAGTACTCGCAAGAAGATATCGTCAAGAGACAGAAGTCTGCGCTCTCGCCGAGTGTGCACAAACGCCGTAAAGCTGCATTATTCAAAAGCCATATGTGCATACATGCATGTTTCCCCTGGCCTGGTTTCACATGGTGTTCCTTGAGCTATGCCGCAAGACTTAGCTGATTAAACTCTAAGGCACTTTCAAAGGCTGACACAAGCTTAGTAAGCTCTGATTGGCCATGAGAAATGTTTCTATGAAACGAAAACCCCCTTTGGTATATATGATCGCCGATGCACTTCTTATGCCATTAGTATTTTGGGAGTAATAGCCCCAGACTTTAATTTTTAATGGCGATATGCGTTGAACTATTCATATCCTGGGAACAATTTTCGGAGAAACAGCTTAAATAGCTTTGAGCTAAATTATCTGTCAGTATAGATTTCTTGATTGTCCTTCATCTTCACTTATTTTTAGAACAAAAATCTTTGGATCTTGCATTCAGCATACATATAACATCCTTGCAAAGGATACTCTTGGCAGCATTGAGAGGGCAGAGCCTATCGATGTTTATATTCAGTCAAGTCAGTCCTAGTCGTCTCGAAACTTCAAAGAGCGGTAGTGTGCTGGTCCTAAAGCTCGATTTCATTCAGTGTTCTGACCATTAGATTCATGGGAGCACTAATGAACCACTCATCTGTGTGACTCCCGTAGATATGTCGAGTTCTCCTACTGCTACTCCTGCTCAGCTAACTTCGTGGCGTTCCAATCTTGAGCGCCAAGTTCTTGCTTTGTCTCGTGTTCTCAATGTTGTGGATATACGTTCAGCGCGTTCTAGCACTTTGGTCACTCCCAGCGGATGCCATTAATAGCGATGTTTAAGCGATTTTTGACGTTAATTTTCTACGACCAGGAGCCATTCAGGTTGATAATATATCCTCCGCGGCAATTGAAAAGCCTCTCATGGTCTCAGAATCCGGCGCAAACCCCTTCTTTTATATAATGACGGCTCAGAAGAGTAGGCTCTACATCCTGGGATCTGCAGCGATTTAAATCGGTTTCAAAGTAAAGGTTGAGTTAGCTAGGTCCGGGGATGAAATTTTCGGAGAGACTATAAATACTACCTTTAATAGAAGCTTGGGGAGAATCAGACTCTAGGCTAGGAGCCGAAGAGATTCGATTAATGTCCAGAACGCAAATTTCTTTGTAGACCTTGCAGAGGCGTTCATTGCCATGAGCTTGTAGATAAATTACCGGCAAGTTGGCAGTTTTAGCACTGGAAGCTATTGAAAAGAAAGCGTTCATCAAGTCCTATCATTCATACTGTTGCTTCATCATCTCAGCCCTCCAACGAATAACCCCCCGTATGAGTCCCCATCTTCATTAACCGCTCCCTCATCCCCTCCGCCCTCACCCTCTCCTCCCCCTCAAGTCCACTCAAATCAACCTCCTGCACCCACTCCCCAATGCCATGCTGCAGTACATTCCTCGCCCTCAGCGTACTCCCCCCCACATGTCCCATACTGCCATGCAACGTCATCCTCTCCGTCCCACTCTCATACACCCCGCGATGCAGAATATTATTATTATAAAACACCACATCGCCCGCCTTCATCTTGACCCTAATCTCACCCGGCAGTCCCTTTTCCCACGGCCCCGCGTCCCTTTCAACCTGCGTACGAGCTCTCGCATGAGACCCCGGTACAACAACCAAACTCTCATCATCCCACAACGCCAGATTCCACTGCGCATGCCACGCCTCCTTCCCCAGCCTAGCCATCTCCTCCTCCGCTGTCGCGCTCGCCGGTATATCATCCCGGTGCCACACCAACTCAAAGTCCCTATCCGGCCTCACCAGCAGATTAAACAGCTCCAGCACCAAATCCTCATCTTGACACTGTAGCAACTCTTTCACAATGTCGATGACGGCTGACGAGAAATAGGCTTTGGTGAATGTGGCCGAGGTGGGGAGCGAGGGGTGCATTAGGAATTGCACTCCCCAGATACCGCTTGCTGCAGGGTTCGTACCGGGCGCGATGGGCCAGGGTGGGAATTGCTTAGGCAGAGTACGGACGTAGGGCCAGTTGCCGGCACGGGCGAGGGTGATGGTTTGGGAGGCCGCTGCACGGCTGTGGGGAAGGCATGAATAGATTAGCTTATATTACAAGTAAAAGCGAAGTGAGGTATCGCAGGAATTTATAAGTTCGTAGTACGTGTGCTGGTTTAAGTCAGGTATCGTGTATGACTTACAGGGTGGTTATTTGTTCGGGGGTGAGCAGGGAGGGAACGAGGACGAATCCATCCCGTTCGAGGTCCTCCAGATGAGATGACTTGGACATTCTGTCTTGATTTCTGTAGATATGAATCGTTTTGCAGATTGTACAATTCGTTATCAAAGCAGGTTATGAGGATTGCTATGTTTACAAGAACACCAAAGCTAGAGAGGCCGATTAAAGGGGAAGGACAAATATAACTTGTGTGGTCATCTTTATTGTTATGTGAATATATATATGTGAATGTTAGCGGTCTCACTTATATATGACCTGTCCAGTTCTTCTCAGCCTCTTTGAGGGGTATATTGTAAGAAGTCAGGTGACCGGATGTCAAAGCAATGTTGCCAAAGAAGAGCTTTAGGGTGAATTTGTTAAGATGGTACGGTAGTAATGTAACGTAGCAGGCATACGCGGTATTGAATACCAGTCAGTATTGCCAAGGCGCCACTATGGCTGGCTAGCAAGTGGTGCCATGTGGGTTCTAATATTGCATCTCAGAAGTGGGGAAGGGAGGGGCGATCTTTGTTCCGAATCACCTATCACGTGCTCCTTGAAAGGTCAATACACTTGCTTCTATCACAATGTCACTGTTGGGGTAAGCAAGAATGGTAAAGCTTTTGTAGGTAGTTTATTTCATGTAAAAGGTGTACCCCTATAACTTGTGCTTAGTTCCCATTGATTGTAATACCACTTGGCAGACCCAACACCTGACTATTTGCTTCGTAAAGACACTGGGACGTCACCACCTCCTCATCATCTGTCTCAGTGAGACAGTCATTCGAGCTTCGACTCTTTACATTGCCAGAATACAGGTAATCCCATTTCTGGCTTCTTCTCCCATTGCATGACGCTAGATCTACTCTTCCGTGGCCCGAATCTTCAAGGCACTTGTTTGTGTCGGAGAGGGGTTTGAGGGTATTGTCCGGTCCAGTTTGCCACGTTTGCCCGTCGTCGGCCGTAGCATTTGCCCAGCTAAGACCCCCTTTGGAAGCTGTAAGCGTGGTCAGGGAATAAGTATTGAAAATCATCCCTGTTGGAATGCTGTCACAAGATCCACGCTCTGCAGAAATCCTGAAAACTGCGGTGCCATGAGAAGGTACATTATTTGCAGTGACATGCTTCCTTTCAAAAGCCGATACTCCCGTCCAGAGATCTTTGACAAAAGCGGCCGAAATGGTGGGAATTCCAATCTTGTCGAAAGAAAAGCTTTGGCTGGCAGTAGTTTCGCCTCGATTAATGACCGTGAGCAGTCGATCTCCATTGGCAAGATCCTTCGTCAACATGTCCCATGTCCCGTCCTGGCTCACCAGAGTGCTCTGTAATGCAAGAGGGTCCTGATTAGCTGCAATCAGGTCCTTATTTGTGAGATATTCGATCTCTTCAGCGCTGAATCCCGGGATCCATGCACTGATAATAAGTGGTGCAGAAAGACTCGACCAAATCGCAAAATGAGACCGTTTTTCGTCCAAAGTGAGGTCGAAATGGTCAACATCAAGAAAGTCCTAGCAAGAAGAATCAGAGCCAGAATATAATATTGTAGAAAATTGCGGTTTTGGGCATTTTTTCTGAGAAAGAAAAGGCGGATTCCCAACTTCAGAGTACACCTAGAGGGGCCATAATCTTATAGAAACCTTAGTACTTACTGGATCGTTGTAGTATCCAGGCTTCTGATATCTGGCCAAGCGGACTTCTTGACCATAATTGAACATTATGCTGTCCCATCCAGTTATATTGGGCCAGTACAATGTAGAATTGAAGACCAATGTATCTCGCGAATGTCTTGCTAACTGCCCATATTCGGGAACCCATCCCATGACACTGTACCAATCTGTCAAATTGCTGGCTTCAGCAAAGTATGCTGGTGCGGATTCGGAAAACACCATGGGCTTGGTCATTTTGCTCAAAATACTGTGCCAACGACCGTAAACCTCTTTGTATTCTGCTTCCGTCCCGGTTGGCATATTACACCCATCCAGTTTGAGGTATTCAAACCCCCAAGAAGCAAAAGTACTCGCATCCAATTCCTCGTAGCCATAAGCCCCGGGATAGCCACCACAACTTTTGTTTCCCGCATCTGTGTATATTCCAGATGTGAAACCGAGGCTCTTCAAATAGCTTGTCAGCCAAGGAAGGCCATTCGGGAATTTCTCTGAATTCCAAACCATTGACCCGTTGGCAGCTCGATCGAAGTTACTCCAGCAGTCATCGATATTGATATGATTGTACCCAGCAGCAAGTAATCCATTCTCAACCATTGAATGGGCAGTGTCGATGAAGATTGATTCATTCAGGCCGCACATGAAAGCAGACCAGTTGTTGAACCCTATCAAACTGTTAGTATGATCTCCAAATATGGGGAGGGTTTCTTGCCCATAGGTGGGGTTGGCTGAAGCACGGAGAATGAAGGTGTTACTGCCACCGCCAATACCGACAAATACTTCAAGAATTGAGCGACCATGATAGCTAGGCGTTAGAACTTGGTCTAACGGTAAGAAAGAGGAGATCTAGGAATGCTTGTGGGATTATCTGAGAGGCCTAGTTGACGACTGGTCTGAAGGAAAATCTCCAATATTTTGGAATTTGATAGCCATGATATCCTGATACTTATTAGAATCTAATGCTACGTTGTTCGCAAAGATACGGGTGGACCGTCCTCGTTAAACATATTGTAACACGATATAATTCCCCGCCTTTGCTGCAGGTATGTCTATCCTTTCGACACGTCAGGGTTCCAGCGGGGTTGAAATCGTCCAAGGTATCGTTGGAACGTTACGATTCATGTGCGGGTCCAGTCCAAATGCTGGAGCTCTACTCGTAAATCTATCGGTAGGTATCAATACGACGACCGGCGCGGTCATTGTCATGTAGAAGAAGAGTGGGCGACGCGGTCCTCACCCTCAAGCCCCAGCTAGGGGGCACATTTAATTAGTCGCAGTACAAAAGAAGGCCGTGGCCGTGCCCGACTAAAAACGCCCCCTAGCTGGAGGTGGGATGTGCGAGAAGCTAGGGGGGAACCGCCGATTATTTCCAGAAGATTATGCGGTTTTTACTCTTCCGAATCGAAAAAACATCGCATTAACGTCTGCTATATTCCTTCACCCATACCTGTATCACTTCAATTCAAATCGCACAGCCCAATCGATGAGTGAGAGGACAAGTCAAGCGGCTCAACTGCAGACACATCACATCACACTTTTCACTGTCAGACATCGTCGCACTTTCTTCTTTACAAAGGGTATACAATTCTATTTATCTATTTCTTACTATCCCTTTCTTTGCACAGATCAGTGTAGAAATCCAGTCCAGCATCTTGTCTAATAGTCCCATACATCGAACTGCTATCCAACGGCCTCCCTCCCAGCTTCTTCCCAAACTCAGCCGCTTTCCCCATATTCTCCAACGCCACCTCCGAAACCTGCAACCTCATTCCTGCAGTTTTCGCGCAATTCAACGCGTGTCTAGCATCCTTCATCGAAAGCTCAACGTCAAAGCCAGCCTTTCCATCCGGAGCCGGCGCATATGCTCCCGTCGTCAGTCTCTTGCTATAGCTCTCTAGGACCGGTCCAAACATATTGCCAATCATGCTTTCCATAATTTCGGATCCCAGACCAGTCTTCTCGGCAAACACGTGAGCCTCCGAGATCACCTCCATGAAGGAGACGACGCAGATGTTGCCTGCGATCTTAAGCATACTAGATTTGGAGACGTCGGTGCCCATAGCTATCACGGAGCGACCCATGACATCCTTCAGGTATGGAGCAATCTTCTCCTGAGCTGATGCGGGACCGGCCGTGACGAAAATGAGCTTTCCTGCTTCAGCCATAGGCGAGGCTCCAAAGACGGGTGCTTTGGGAATGTTAGCAGGTGAGTGATGAAAGAGAAAGGTAACTTACCAGCTACAAATTCTCCTCCTGCGTCTGAGATGAGCTTCGCAATCTTGACAGAGGTGTCTGGATGCACGGTCGAGCAGTCTACGTAGATCTTTCCTTTGATATCCCCCGAGGCAATAATTTCCTTTGCTGTTGCTTCTAGAACGGCATCATTGCTCACCTGATTTCCGGATCAGTAGATTTCCTATTCCTAGAAAAGGGTTTCACTTACACAAGAGAAGATTATGCTACTCTTCTTGGCAACTTCAGTCACAGTCTCAACGGGGATGCCTCCCAACTCTTTCACAGGCTCTCCTCGTGACAGCGTTCGGTTCGTGTATATCAGAGCAGGTGCTGAGATGGAAGTAAGATATTTTTGAAGGTTCTTGGCCATGCCAACACCCATGGAACCGAGTCCGATCCAGCCGACTTGAATTTCTGCCATTGTATTGATTAAAAATGATTTATTATTCTGTTGGGCAAAATTCTACAACAGAGGTTTTCTTATAGATCGGATATTTTAAGCTAAGAGCACGGGACATTATGACTTGATCCGGGATAACTGTGCTGGAATTAGCTCGACGTTGAAGAATGGGGGTGGAGCTCCACACTTGTCTCGATTAACAACTTCAAGCGGAAATGTCTTCCACGGCATCAAAAAATACAGGAGATGGAAATTATTTATAAAATAGGATTCATCTCATTCGTTCCTCTAAGCTGTCTTCCATCAACTTTTCAAATTGGATATCTATCTAAACCTCGTTTTGTCGTCCGGCCCGAGTTAACATAAATCTCGGCAATATTGCCAAGTAACCGAAACACACAGTAGCTTTGAAGGCGTAAATAGAAGAATGGCCGACCGGTCTAAAACCATTTGAGAGTTTCCTGGCTAGTCCTATTTGATGGAATTGATATTTCGATTTTCAAAGTTTTCAACGTCTTGAAACTTTAAGTTTTAACGCTAGTTATGCATACGGCTACTCTGGACGGTATCATCTAGCACACGTCACTATGAATCAAGTTAAAAAGATCCTACATCCCGAGTTGTGTTCGAGATATAAAATCAGGTGAGGTCCAGTCATGTGTCTTCAATTTTCCCACAACACCACAACATTGGCTTTGCATCTCAGATTCTCAGTTGGACGTCTTACTGTCACATTGCCACCTTCAAGTCCTTCCACTTTCGGTCCAAAAATAACTGATCAAAGATATGGACACAAAGCTTGTTGTCCCTTGAAATATCCAGAAGCCCAGCGCTATGTGCTTGAATGCTAGAGTCCACCGCTGAGTTTTGAAATATTGTTTGCGATGTCATGGAAGTCTCTAAGATGATAACGAGGTTCTAATATACGTGGTTTAATATATGCGAGGGCTGCTCGGTTTCGAACTTTTGTTGTGCACTGTTTGTTTCTGGTATAAAAAGTTTCTCATATACTAGAGCATAGAGGCAATGTTCAAACAAAGGAAAGCCCAGGGTGTATTGCGTTGAGTGAGTGACGTATCGTTCGTCTTTAAGGGGTTGGATTCGCCAGTCCACAAAAAGGTTATCATTCTCAAGTGACTGGCGATTGGTTGCATGTTGCGAATCTGGTGTTATTTGGACTTGAAGAGTTGTTGTCAAGTAATCAGAGACCCCCTTTCTCTAGTCATGCTTCTCGCTTAACTGAATCCTTGCCTATGTCCACATAGGATAGGGTATAAATTTCTTTGCAAGAAGCAGAATGCATTAGTATATTGGTCTTACTAACCAGTTCCTCTCTTATCGCCGGATCCGGACTTGACACGTGAATATAATAAAGAGCAGGGCATTGCTATTTCCCTATACTTACAAAGCAAAGCTGCAAAGGTCATAATGAGATTGCTCAATTGAATATAGAGATAAACATATCACTATCAACAAGGAGTTTCAGTTATCAAGAAAATCCAATCGCTTAAGCAGAACAGTCTGATGAATTGGTCTTAGAAAGGAATGCCTGAAAACTCGACATCAAAACAAGAAACAAGCAGCCTTATATATGTCATTGTACCAATAGCCCGGCGACCGGATGGAGGTCAAGGAAGATAAACTGCTCAAGGAAGTTTTTAAAGGTAATTCCGACTAGCAATACTCTAGAGAATGGGAAATTCATACTAAAAGCACAAAAATGTTCCACTTCTCGAAGCCAACAAACCCAACTGCAACAAGTGAATCAGTCAAATAGCAATTTAAGACAAAATCTGTCGTCAAACACAAAAGGCGCCCACTTGGCCAAGTGGGTTAGAACAAATTGTGTTGGGCAAGTAGGAATTGTAAAACCCCTTTAATGCAGGCTTGCTAGGGGTTCTCCTGTGGTCAACCATGGTTGATCTCAAGGTTTTGCAATTTTTTTACTTGGTTTCTTTTTGAGGAATGCGGGCTTGGGATAAAGAGTCTCGAGACCTTGTTTGTTTTCATCGATCGATCGATCGATCTCTAAACGCAATCAAGTGTGTGTAAAACCGCAAGTGCAATCACAGACGAAATAGGCCAATATAGCAAGACGCTCGCTAGTTGGAGATATCAATGCTGCTGCAACTGCTTATTGTGGATCTGCGCTCCTATATCTATCCATTCACTTAATTTGTTCCTCTTTGGCACGCGTCCTCCAAGAATCTAGCTATAACGCTTGCAATTAATACCTGCACAGCTAAGACGTTCATTCTGCTGTCAGGTATAGAAGTGCTGTCATTTCTTTCATACCTTGGGTGGTTTCACTACTAAAAACTCAGCTATGTATATTTCTATGACTTGCGATGTTATGACTTGGATGTTTGTTTGTATTCTTGTAGACGATTTTAAAGACAATCTACTTATTTTCCGACATATCGACGAATGATATGCGGCTCTAGTCCTAGCACTCTCTCACCCTCTAGTGAAAGATGTCCTTTTATACACCCCTCTAGCCCATAACCTCATCTATAACCAAAGCCATAGTCAGTGAATCAAGCTGTCCTTCTTTATTCATTTCCAAATTGGCGAACTCTCTCCGAGTATTTATATAATCGATGGTTAGATTAGTAGGTCTTGCATGATTGAGAACGGAAGGTGACGGAAATATACCAACTGCCGAGCTGGTGGGAGGTTCAAACATCGAATTGCATATGGTATTTAAAATCTGAATTCCATAACGCACTTGTAGTACTTCATAACATCTCGAATTCTCTTCATCTTAAGACGTATTTCATATGAAATAGGGAAGATCAGTCAGCATAGAAGGAGGCTTCTGCCTCTATATAAGTCCTTCCATCGAAGGCATCCAACAGATAACAAGAATAGACGCCTTTCCTTTAAACAGCCTTGTTTGACCACACTTAATACGATAATGCCTACGTGAACCATACGACACACCGCTATGTCTTGGGGATGCGATATACTCCATGTTACAACACTTACAATATGCGTTTCGAAACAATCTGCTGTCAAGTTCTCATTGCAGTCAACTCATAATTCACTCTATTTTCAAATCCACCACTATATCTAGTCTCGAGATAATAACCAAGATGAAAGGTATCGCAAAGCACTAAGGGAGCTGACTGCCCGTCTTCAAACAGGGATATAGAATTAACAGTACACTATCATCAGCACAGCCCATAAGTTTGTCTGGCTTCCAAGAGTTCCAGTTTCCCTCACCAGGAAAAAATAAGAAGGTGTTGAGGGGTCAAATAGCAAGCAAGATTTTATGCTAGGATGTAGTTGACTCCACCTAGTACCACGTATATATTTTTAGCCCCTTTGGCGCATGCAGGAGATACGCGAGTGCGAGGAGAAGAAACACTAGCTTAGCCGGTTGGACTCCCATTCTCTGGAAAAGGAAATCGGTACCATCAGAAACAATGCGGAAATTCCACAGGTGGGTGCGTATTGCCACTTGTTGAATATTGGGGTTGGGTTGGGTTTGGTGAGACATGAATGCTAGTGTATAGTAGGGGTTTCGGAGATCCGATGGGGCTGCAGTCTAGATCTCGGTAGAACTACAGTAAGGGGCCGAATGAACATCAAAGACGAGATGGCGTCGTAAACGAGAGATGCTGTACTTGCAGAATACGTCAATGCGAAGGTTTATGTAGGATAAGGCATATTATATTATTGAGATATCCAGATCCATCCCCTAAAAGTTCATATGCTCATTTTATCCGTTCCTGCCCCCTTCCCTAAAAATGCTCCCTCCGATCTATTATATGCCTCCATCCCAAACGCCTCAAAAATGCCATGCTAAACCTCACCCCAAGTAATCCGCAATGCAGCAAACCAATCATCTCAAAAAACAACAACCATCTTCCTCCCACCCATCTCCCCTTTCTTCAAACGATCCAGACCCAGCACCACATTTTCCAAACCCCCATGTACAGCTTCAATACCAGGTACCTGCACCCTACCCTCTCCCACAAGTCTGTTCAACTCCAGCGCATACGCCCTATTCGTCTCGTCCAGTACAAAACGCTTCATCTCCACCGTAACCACGTGCACGTTCCCCGGTACCTCTTCCTCGGATCCCATCATCGCAAGCGGTGCAAACTTAGACGCCCGTTTCTTACTGAGGACTTGTAAACAGGCAGTCGCGGTTTTCGGGCCGACGAGGTCGATAGCGCGGGTGATGTTGTCGCCTGCTATACTTTTGATTTCTGAGATGATTTGCGTGTTGGACTTGTTGTCGCGCTCGATGACGGTGGCGCCGAGGGAACGGGCGAGGGGCGCGGTGTGAGAGGATGTTATGGCTATGACGCGTAGGTGGGAGAGGGCGGCGAGTTGGAGGGCGTATTGGCCTGTTACTGTGCCGCCGCCCCAGATGAGGAGGAATTCTTGTTCTAGCTCTTGGTTCTCAGAGTCTGCGGGTGGAGGTGGATTTGCGGAGGGAGGAGGGAAAGGCACATCGAGCCAATGCCAAAGCGTCATTGCAGCCGTGAGACCAGCGACGCCGAGGGACGCGGCTGATGTGAAGCTGGTAGATGGCGGGAGGGGGAGGACTGTGTGCGCGGGTACGGTGATATATTGTTGAAAACAGCCGGCGCGGCGGTCGCGGTAATATGTGCCTGTTTCATGTCAACGTTTCTATTTCAAAACTCTTATAAAGGGTAAAGAAAGGGAGGAGGGTACATACTAGTCCAAACATAATCCCCGACTTTAACATCCCTCACGCCAGCCCCAACCATTTCCACTACGCCAGCCATTTCTCGCCCAGTTATCCATGGGAACTCTGGGAGGCAGAAATTGTAGTCTACTGATTTGTAGTCGATTGGATTGAGACCTGTTGCGCGGTTTGAGATGACGATTTCGTTTTCGTGGGATAAGGTTGGGAAGGGAAGGTCTGCGAAGCCGTATGCGCCTTTTGCTGCTACTATTAATGCTCGGTTTGACTTCTGAATAGGTATCTCCGCGATGTTTTCCCCTGTTGTGATATTGCTTTCATCTGGACTTGTGAACTGTGATGTCCAGTCTATTGACTCTTGCGAATCTGTGGAATCTCCCGGATTCTTTCCTTCAATTTCATATTGTCCGGGAGAGACTAGTACTTTCTCCCTCCTGGATTCTTTCTTTGGGATGTTGCAAAGTAGACACCGGAATATGCTTGAGAAAGACATTGCCTGAGAGTTAAGGAATACAAGACAAAAAGAAGTGCATGGTGACCCAACTCTGGGATAAAGAAAGTTTTATATCGCATATGCATGTATGGCGAACATCACTAGCGATAAGATGTAATCAGTCGTCTTCCCCACCCAACTGTCGGAAGTCCCTGTGGTGGTTCCGCTATACATGTTAATCGAGCGGGATGAGCTTGCCGTAGATGGGTCTCTACCCACCTAGCACCTTGACAGCTATTGGGTAATAGCTACCCGTGCGAGCCGTGGTAATGGTGAAGAGGCGTCGGCCAAGTTGGGATGGCTTATCAATGTTCGACTCAAAAGTGGGAGAACTCGCACACGTGACTAATGCTGGTGCTCGAATATCTGAGTGAAAACTCGTGTTACTATTCATCATCATCGCTATCATCTCCAAAAATGGCTTTGAATACTGCCTCTCCCGCCTTTTGTCCTTCTAAGGCTTCATTTCTTTCCACATCGATGGCCACTTCTTTTGGTACTTCATTGATCACTGGTTCTGTTTCCGTAGGTTGGCTGCTCCTCGTACCAGTATCCCAATTCTGATTCCTCATCATCTCATCAATTGCGTTACGAGAAACAAGATCCGGAGCGGTGTTCCGAGGTGCAGCTCCCTCGTCGGCATGTTCAGTAGAACCCGGTTGCACGTGAGCAGGAGGCTTAACATTGAACCGCTTGCAGAGAAGTCTTGTAGGGTACCAGTCTGTAGAGCTTCTAGTCATCGGTCCATACATACCTAATTTCGCTGCTTGTTGTGCTGGATCTTCTGGTTTGGGTTCAGGTTTGCTCAGCAATGAGGTAGTGGAATCAGGGGCATCTGATGCAAGTTTTGGAGCCGTATTTGATGTAGTGAAACGTGTAGCCATCATTCCTGACATTGGCTTGAAGATTTGCGCGCAGTTGGCGAATTCGTTGAGCTCCTTCAACCAATCATTCTTCGATATACCGGGGGCCTTTTCTGGTAAATTCGGATTTATACCAGCTTGATTCTCAAGATATGCTCGATATCGATCTCGTTTCGATTCGTCTTCGCTATAGGGCATAAAGCCGCTTGCGCCTCGACTAAGAGCAGCATCTGCGGTATATTTGTCGACTTTAGGTATTTGGGCTAGGAATTCCTTCCGTCGTTCTTCTTCAGTCATGGCATAACCCGCGGGTATTTCACCCAGAGCCGCTGGAAGATTTGATTTGCCAGATGCAGAAGCAAGTTTATCTCGTGCTGCTGGACTTAGAAAATCAAACACCGACTTCCCTGGGAGAGCTGCTTCGCCGAGTATCGCGGCTCTGGATTTCGGATCAAGCTTGGATGCTTTAGCAGCATCTGCCGTTGATAGATATGCACCGGCTGATCCAGGTTTTGGTTCTTTCGAAGATTTCCAGCCCTGGGGAATCTCTGGAGGTGCATATTTCCCCGCAGACTGGATTATTGAAGAGAATTCGTCGCTGCTACTCAGTGTAAATCCGTCCAAAGGCAGTCGACCGTCGTGACATTTGCGAAATCCAATGGCAGCCTTAGCCATTGCTGCCTTTTTAGATATAAAAACAGGTTTTGATTTGAGAAGTGGATTTACGGATCCATTCGCGGGCTTCTTCTTTTTCCTGTCGCCTCCAATTACTCGGTTGTATGATATTCGGGGTCCAATTTCGTAAGGATCTTCATCATCTGACCCGGTATCATTCAAAATGCCAATACCTATCCCACCTCTTACAGCTTGCTTTTTCTTCAACTTGGAATTAGCGGCCTTTGGGCCAAGTAGGTTTGTTGAGACATCGTCCTCATCGTCCGATTTGACGGTATCTGATCCAGGTCCATTACTTGGCTCCAATTTCGTCTCCCCTTCAAATCCTAAACCCTTGTGATCGTTCTTCTTGACGAAGCTAATCATGTGCGTATTTTCCGGCGCAAAAAGATGTGTGGTGTTGTTGTCCTCTCCTGCTTTTTCCACGCCATCCAGACGTGCTTTACGCCGTATCTTTGGGCCGACACCTTGTCCCTCTTTCCAACCCATCTTCTTGAGAAGCTTAATCCCGATAGTTTCTCCCTCGGTCCTAAATAAGTCGATAAGTGCGCCACGCCGTGCGGCATCATCTTGGGTTGTGCCGAGCCCTGCAAACCCATTTGCCGTTTCTACTCGTTGTGCTTCGGCGGCATCTGCAATATCCTCCTCATCCATAAAGTCCTCGGGCCGTTGCTGGGGGGCTTTTGGCGCATCCTTCTTTCGATTGGATCGAGACGAGACAAACGTCGATGGTGTCCATCCTTCTTTGGACCCTACGGTATTGAAATATCTAGCAATAATCAGCATATGGACAGGCTTATGCAAAATCAATTGTCTTACCCTGCACTGAATCCCCCAGTGAAAGCTCCGTGAAGACGCTTTTGTCCCCTTTCATCCCTCACCTCCTGCTTCCAGACGGGGACATATGATCCATCGTCTCGCACATCCGGATCCAGAGGTGGAAGGGGAGTTCCGAAGGCTACGAAAGGTGATTGTTGTGCTTGAAGGTCGGCCTCGAAAGTTGCACGGGACCGTTTAACTGACATGATGGTGTCATATGAGGCGATTTCGACCAAGGGGGAAGTCGAGTGGAAAGGCTGCGATGAAGGTTCAGCCTTGTTGTGCAGAGGTAGGTGAAATGGGAGAAGGACGTGTCATTGGTGGCCTAAGCGCGACATCAAGGTTTCCACTACGAACGAGTAAAGTACCGAGTACCTAGGCGCCAAGCTTTAACGCCTTCCTTCCATTTTAGGAATCAAGGCTGGACTCACTCCGGGGACAGTGTGGATATAGAATAAAGCGGCATGACTTATATGGTTGATTTGCATGTTGCACAACCTGTAAATGGTGCCGCTTTGCCCTTGCCATTTGCGGGGACAGCCTTCTTGACGGAGACCATGCTACATACAGTATAGGTAAGGCTTTACGGAGGTAGGAGGGAGCTCCTTTTCCGGAAAATCGTGGCAGATGTGAGAAGTCACTTTACGGTGTTATATCAATATTACCAGTAAAGTATTTGTTTGCTTACGGGAATTTACGGGTAATTATTGATTGATTGCTTGGGTTCCCTAGATAGGTAGCTACTGTCGGGCCCAGCCATTCGGTCAGCCATGCATCACATCCGTGTACCTCCATAGATAGGTATGTGCACCCAATTGATATTTATCGTCGCATATCAGCCGGAGTAAAGAAGTCAGACTGTATGGGATTTAATATTGCGTCCATCTAGAAGTCAAGAGCACGTAAATTACCTGGACTGATATTGTACCAGTATTTTAGTAGTTCGAGCAACTGCGGAGGAAAGAACAATAATGGGCCTACGGAGTATCGATAATCAATTGCCCTGTCCCTGTACTGTATGCGCTCAATGTTTATGATTCTCTTATACAAAAAGTAATCCCAACTGTAGACTAAATTTCCCCTATTACCCGTTGCGAATGTGACCTTACGAGTAGGCTTGGGGAGTTCGTAATACTAGACTGGGCGGTATTGGCGACACTGCACTGTACTCGTACCTGCCCAACTGCCCACCTAACTTTTTGCTTGCTACCTACCTAGGTACTCTACCCGCCCCTTTCACCACCACCACCACCTCCTCCTCCTCCTCCTCCACCTGCTTACGAACGACCTACGTACCACTCTTCTCTCTTTTGTTCTGCTCTCCGGATTCGATTACACAACAATCGCACTCTACAGTAAATCGATCTTGTCTTGTTCATCTCAGCGTTTCAGAAGTGAGGACTGACGTCGCTTGAGTGAGTCTGGACTAGGTCTGCAGTTCGCACCCTACCCTGCTGCCCTACTGTTCCTTCGGCTGATTGCTACCTGACCTGGCGAACGTCGGATCGAGATGGCAACAACAACCTCAGTATCGCCGACGACCGTTGAGCGCAACGGTTCCAGGCGAGGTCAATCCCACTCCACCCCAAGCAGGTCTCAGTCTACAAGAACCAGGAGCACTGCAGTTCCCCCCAGCCCTCACCGCACCAATTCCACCCACCGCCGCACATCTTCGCGCCACGCCGCCGTTGAGGAAACATTGCCGCATGCAAACCATGAGGCTTCCAACGTCGCACAAACACACACTCGAAGCTCCAGCAAAGACCGTCCATCGCGGAACGAATCAAGCAGAAGTGCGTCCGGCCATCACCATCGATCCAGCCGATATTCAGCAGACATGTCCACAGCCGTCGCAAATAGCGGAGGGCCCGCTCCCGTAGTGACCGCCCAGGATTCCAAGCATGGTGGGAGGTCCGGAAAGTCGAGGACTATCATACCAGCGCAGACGGGAAATTGGGTGTTGGGAAAGACAATCGGTGCAGGCAGTATGGGGAAGGTTAAGTTAGCTCGTAGACCAGAAGGGGGTGAACAGGTAAGTCCAAGTTTTGCCTTAGATCTTTCGTTCTCAACAGTAACTAACATTTACAGGTCGCTGTCAAGATCGTACCTCGCGGTATCACCGACGAAGGACACAATCAAAGCCGCGCAGATAGGGAGCGCGCCGAGCATTCGAAGGAAGTCCGGACTGCGCGAGAAGCTGCTATCGTCACTCTGTTAGACCACCCATACATATGTGGCATGCGAGATGTTGTGCGCACGACTTATCACTGGTACATGCTTTTCGAATACGTCAATGGAGGACAGATGCTAGACTACATTATTTCTCACGGAAGGCTGAAGGAAAAGCAAGCGAGAAAATTCAGCAGACAGATCGCAAGCGCTTTGGACTACTGCCACAGAAACAGTATTGTCCACCGTGATCTGAAGATTGAGAACATCTTGATCAGCAAGACGGGAGACATCAAGATCATCGATTTTGGCCTGAGCAATCTCTTTGCTCCACGGAGTCATCTGAAGACATTTTGCGGCAGTCTATACTTTGCCGCGCCAGAGTTATTGCAAGCCAAGGCGTATACCGGACCAGAAGTCGACATTTGGAGTTTTGGGATTGTTCTTTACGTCCTGGTATGCGGTAAGGTGCCTTTTGACGACCAGAGCATGCCCGCATTACATGCCAAAATCAAGAAGGGCATCGTAGACTACCCTAGTTGGCTTTCCCCTGGTGAGTTAATCATGAACTCTACCTGAATTAGTACTGACTAGCCACAGAATGCAAGAATCTCATTGCTCGAATGCTTGTCACTGACCCCAGACAACGCGCTAGCCTTCAAGAAATTATGAACCATCCTTGGATGGTGAAAGGATTCGGATCTGCACCCGAAAACTACCTACCAATACGCGAACCACTTACACTGCCCCTTGACCCAGCAGTTATTCAAGCTATGACGGGCTTTGACTTCGGTCCATCAGAGCTGATTCAGAGCCAATTGACAGAAGTCATTGATTCTCAAGACTACCAACGAGCTGTTCGATTAGCGGTGCACGAGCGTGAAAATCAGGGACCTCCAAGAGATCCCGAAAAGAAAAGAGGGTTCGGATTTGACTTTTACAAGAGGAGAAACTCCAGTAGTCGTGATACCCTCACAACTCCTAGCGTCGAAGGGTTGGCTCTTGGAAACGATCCTGTCAACGCTTTCCACCCCTTGGTTTCGGTCTATTATCTTGTTAGAGAAAAACAAGAACGAGACAGGCTTGCGGCAAATCCTGGAGCTACGACTATGCCACGTTCTCCAGGAGAAGCTCCTCTTCAACTCCCAGAGATCCTAGCACCAAAGGCAGCACATACCAACGCTGCCACTTATGAGATGCCGGGTGAGAAGGCTACCGGAGGACGCTCAAGACCACGTGCTAGAACGCATGGCGAAGATGACGCTGCTGAGGCTATGAAACACTTGAAAGTGGGTAGTGCGAGTGGTCCAACTTCACCGGCTGTCATGGAGCCTTCATCTGAACAACCACATCGAAAAGAAAGCACCGCAGCTGGTATTCTAAGACGATTCAGTACCAGGAAACGCAAAGACAATTTTGATAAATCACACCCACCCCAGGTCACTATTCAATCACCACATGAGCACGGAAGTATGAGGAAGAGCTTCAGTGTCCGAAGAACTCGTGACCGAGAAAGTGAAGGTCCATCATCGATGCTTCGATCAGGGAGCAGCCAGCCTCAGCACAGTGACCTCCTAACCCCACCAGGATCCGCTGATAACTCCCGCAATGTCAATGGGCTGGGAAGATCAACGAGTGTCAACTCGGCCGACTTCAGAAGAAAGGATGGTAGAAGAGGTGGTTCAGACGCAGTACCTCCAAAGGTCACATATAAGGATCCATCCCCAACGAATGGTTCAGAGCATTCGACTCTCAATGAGAAAGGATCACGCGACCCAGAGCAAAAGGCTCACTTGAACCCAAGAGCGGCTACGATGAGAGCAAAGTCTCTTGGTCATGCACGAAGAGAGAGTATTCAAGCTCGACGAGCACGGAGAGAAGAGGCGCGAGAAGCGAACGTCCCAGAGGAAACTGATATGGACGGGGATGCAAGTGGCTTGTCCACAGACCGTGTTGACAATGCGGAGCATGTGAAGCCAGTTTTCCTCAAGGGCTTATTCAGCGTCTCTACAACATCTACGAAGCCTGTCCCGGCAATCCGAGCAGATATTATCAGAGTACTGAGACAGCTAGGAATTGATTTCAGTGAGATCAGAGGTGGATTCAGCTGTCGACACACACCATCGATCGATCTTAAAAAGGTCATTGACCTCCAACCAAGCAGTCACGGCAACCAAACCCCGGGTCACAAAAGACGAATCAGCTTTGGAGGCTTCATGGGTGGTAACAACAATGATAGAGACCGCGAAGACTTCAGAGATGCAGAAAGATCACCTCACACTCCTCGGACTCCGGGTCGGCCTCGGGGAGACACGAGCTACACTAATTCGGATGCGTCCGATGAAAGTGTCCCACGACAGAACAGAGGCTCATCCGCGCGTGCCGTTGGGGAAACAAGCACCCACGTGCAAAGCGAACTGGGCGGGAGCATGATATTAGAATTCGAGATCTTCATCGTCAAGGTCCCTCTTCTCTCGCTACATGGTATCCAATTTAAGCGTTTGCAAGGAGGAACATGGCAGTACAAAAATATGGCAGATCAGATCCTGAGAGAACTCAAACTCTGATGGTATGGGCGGGGCGGGGCGGGGGAGTAATGGCACGAATTTCCTTGAATGTCCTGGGCGCGAAGCATATCAGCGTTGAGCGAGCGAGGGCGAGCATTATATTTTATCATCAATCACAGCAAGCAAAGTAATTTGGTGCAAGTAACGCGACAAGTTAGTTCCCTTTGTTTTCGGCGGAATGAAATGGTATGGGATGGGCAACGAATATGTAGGATTTGGATTCTTTTCTGGGAGGATCCTTGGATGTGCATGGAGGAACTGATCTTAATTGGCCACCTTACTTACTACTTGCTTGCATGCAAAGACAGTATTGATATTGGATCGCATCCTAGCTAGGACCAACAAAGGAGAAAGAAAAGATTCGATTTTCCCTTTGAAGTCTTTGATGTGTCTATTCGCTTGTGCGGTGTGCAAGTTGACGAAGAGATTCCGGTCATACATAGATAGACTTATAGTAGGTCTATCATTTACTCGATGAGGTGAGGCTTTACCTAGTGGTATAGAGTCGTCTTGGGATGTTCTGCAAGCGCAGCTTCATCACTAAGCTTTTTTCGAGGGTTTTCTCATTTGTAGCGGTTGTGTACTGCTACCAGCAATTCTGAGAACTATACTCTTGGAATGACGAGCAAAGAAATACCACTCTTTCTTGCTCAGGCAATACCAAGAGAAACTAACTCCTTTGTTTACCTATTATACTCTCACACATCTCTCGTTTCCCGACGTTGGCCGTCCTGTCATACTCTTTACTCGTTCTATTTAACGGTTTATTTGATTATTTGATTGATATCAATGATGTCGTACTCGACCCTCTACCCAACCCCCTTAATAATCTCCCACATATTCCCCCCGACCCCCGTGGCCGACACATTGAAATGAAGCCATCATTTCCCAAACATGCGTGTCCTGCATCTTCCACGTTCACATCCTCCCCGCCCCGGCCTCTATCTTCACCCTCCCTCCCATTTTCACCTCGACAGCCATCGCTCTACCCGTAAACCTCGTCGTGGAAGTACAGAAGAACTTCCACCACATGCCCGTCGCACGCGCTATCCAAGACCTGGTGCACTCCGTCATCCTAGAGCTCGTCCCGCGTACGTTGGCCGTGGGCACCTTCACCCTTCCCGCTAGAGGTCCCGGCTCGGACTCACATTCGCGTAAGGAATATGAATCTGAATCTGAATACGCAGTCGAAGAATTTGTTCGAGAGAGAATCCGCCTCGACGACATCTAGCAGGATATTTCCCCCCGCGAACGCGCCGTGTCAATGCGCTCCATGATGATCGCGCTCGGCAAAACTCACACGCTGCGTCTGAGCGACGCGTGCGTGCTGCGCTGAAGGATACGCCGCTTGTAGTCGGGGGTGGAGAGGGGGTTTGTTAGAAAGCATGAGGTTAGGAAGTAGGGCATGATGTGATGTGATGGGAGGGTGAGAGGAGCGTATAAATGCGCTTAATAATATGGTGGTAGATGAAGACTTTGTAATATATCGTAGGTTTGGTTTTCCAGGACACTACCTAGGCTTAATATTCTCTGCACTGCTTGGTAAAGCCTCACCAATAGTAGGTAGTAAATAGTAGTGGGTAATCCAAACGCCTGTTCTCACGTTGTTATCATAAAATCCTCGCCTTTATCCATACATTCCCTGAATTAATTGCAGTTCAAATGGCTGGCTTGCCCCCTGACCTTCGCCTCGTAACGCCGTCTCTTTCTACGCCCTCACTAAAGCTCGTCCCAATCCCCGAATCTATATCCCGCCCTCTAGCACCCCCATCGTCCTCTTCCTCTTCGTATTCCTCCTCATACTCGTCCTCATCATCCGCTTGCGCACCAACAGGCTGAATCTCGGTGTCATCTAATACATACTCCTCTTCATCCTTAACCTTCGGCTCATACCTCAGCGGTTTCTGTCTAGATACCGTAGGGAATGTCCTAGGCGTGTCCGATAAATCGGGTTCCTCATCCGTCTCTTCCTCTTCTTTAATCCGTTCATCCCCATTCCCCTGCTTTCCCCCCTGAACCCCTTTTCTCCTCTTCCTTCCCAAACCAGCTCTGAAGCACAAGCCAAGCCGCCCCAGCCAAAAGTACCTCGACACCCCAAAAAGCCCCCGTAAAGCCTATAAAAGCTAAAATCCAATGCTTATACATAAGCCACCTCATGCCCTCAAACCGTGCCGTAAATACAACCCTCACATCGTACACCTGTATCCCTTGCCCAGCTTGTACTTCCAGCAATGCGTAAGCAGGGAGGTTCTTCCAACCTTTGGGAAAAGTAATGAGTTCGCCCATGGGAATGGAGAGATGTTCTGATTCGGTTTTTAGGGACAGGATGTAGAGGGGCAGGGAGAGGAGGCGAGTTGCGAGGGAGACAAGGGGAGAAGTGTATGGCAACAAGGTGGGTCGACGGGAGGTATAGAGGATGGTGTCTGGTTGGAGTGGGAGTGGTGAGGTGGTTTCTTGAGTTGTGGGGTTGTGGTTTGGGGACAGGAGCGTGAGGGCCAGCATGAAATTGCCCGTTTCGAGGTTGCAGGGGGAGCGCGGGACATGGAGGGTCAGAGAGATATCGTAGGCTTGTTGGGAGATCAGGGAGGAGTCGAGAGAGGTTATGCCGTAGGGGTGTGGGCCGTCGCTGGGTATTGTTAGTTTGTTTGTACGGGACTACTTGTACTTGGAGGGGAGAGAGGGGCAGTACCCATATTGAAGGTGAACGACCCTCTCAATTCCAACCTGCGGAACATAGTTGAAGTAGAATAGCACGTATGCGACTATCGCTAGTCCGAGGAGGATGGCCGAGCTTATGAGGAAGAGGATGGTGTTCAGGTATGTCTTCTGCGCGGGCTTGGATGTTGCGACGCGATATGGCTTCAGGGCGAGATCCTGATTGTTTGTTAATTAAGGTCCTTGAGCTTTGATGTTACCGTATAAAATATTGATTACCTTACCATAATTGCAGCCGCTCTTTGTGCCGCGGGCAAGTAGAATTGTTTTGCTACGCTTCAAATCTTGACATTGATGTTTGCGTGAGCTTGGAAGCTGGGCTGGGGAAGCTATGCGGTGACGTCGAGCCACCTAATCACATGTAATAGCTCATGTTGGCTCTGCAATGCAATATTGAAGGGATGAGATTCATGTAGTAGGAAGAATTCTAGGTAGCTTTTGTACATATTTGACATCCGTCTGTATATTCTAAAGTATGTTTCACTTATGGGGCAAAGTATTTCTTTGGTTTTAACTCAAACTCCATTCATCATGAACAATCCAATGCTAAAAACTCTCACAAGAACCCAAATATCAATCTCCCAGCTTGCAAATCCGCATATATGCAAGATAAAAACTACGCCAATATGAACAATCAATCATCACGCCACATCATCGTTAGATTAATTAGCAGTTCTGAAGATAATTACTCGGCACCAGACCAGGTCTACCATTCTTTCCAGCCACCTCTGCCTCCCACCATCCGTCATCTTGAAGTCTCAAGACTGCCAGGATATCTCCTTTTGCAAAGCTCAGCTCCTCAGGAATCGCTGCTTGGTACATATACATTGCTCGAGCTTCAAAAATAGTTAGCATTTGAGACAAATTGGATGAAAGAGACTCACCGAAATGAAGGATAGGTCGACCCTCTCTATTAAACTGCCTGACATCTGCAACGCTCTTGCTTCTCTGTCTAGAGGCTGATCCTACCTGTGAACCACCTCCCCCATAGTAGCTCAGGGGCCTAGCGGATCCAGAACCTCCCGATCGACCACCACCCCGTCCTTGAGATCCGTATCCTTCATTTTGACCTGGAGCGAGTTGTATTGACATTTCGCCGCCCATGTGGCTACTGCCAGGCCTCTCTTGCTCCCTAAAAGGGGCTGGGGACACGGCGCGGGCGACTTCATTCGGCGAAGCATGGCGGTAGTATTGATCTGAGCTACGTTTCTGTGGTCCAGTAGACTGAGTACCAGCACGTTGACTGCCGTAAGGGTTTGGAGATGCAGAACGATAGCCTTGCCTTGTATCTACATGCATACCTGGACGAGGAGATGCACTGCGGGGAGGAGCTGGAGAGGTAGCCCGCGGAATATCATTTCCTCGGGTGCCTGGTCGGGATTGTGATCCCGATGGGTATCCTCCACGAGCCTCAGGTTGTTTTTGGGCAGTGAACATATTTCTAGTCTGGTCTTCATACTTTTGCCGGGTCTGCTGCATCGCTTTGGAGGTATGTGCTGGTTGAGGAGCTCCCAGTCGTTGCATTGGAGGCTGATCGTAGGACGGGGGTGGAGTGCCTCGCATACCTCCCATCAAGGCCCCGTTTGCCATTTGAGCACCGCCAGGTCGAGAAGCTGGGCTTGCTCCTGGAGCAGGAGTGGCAATACCATGGTAATTATCTGCCGATACCCGACTGGATGAAGCTTTCGTAACACCCTTCAATTCTGCAAGTGCTTGAGCAATCGGATCCAAATCTTCCTCTTGTGACGAATTGTTTCGGGCGATCTTTCCCTTCCTGTCTGGCGTTTGTACATCAAAGACGTTGTTCCCGACGTTCAGTTGGAAATTGGCTCGAGGATCGATGGGTTCCGGACTTCCACTCGGCCTGTCACTGATCATGTTCTGAGAATCTTGGCCATAAACCTGAGGTCGTCTAGATGGTGTGCTTTGGGCGGCTGTTGTTCGACTTGCAGACCAGGTATTTCGGCTTGATGGTGTCATTGCAGCGTCATCTTTCTCTCTGTTGCTCTTTCTTCTGAACGGGCTTTGGAAGAAACCACTTTTCTTTTTCAGTACCGTCTTTTCTACTGGGGGTCCCGCTTGCTTGATTGGGGACGTCTTTCCACTTGGGGGTTCTTGGCTTGAAAATGACGTCGGGTTGGAATACTCGCTGTTTGAGTCGCGGCTTGAAGGCCTCGCGGGACTATGTGCCGAGCTTCTCTCAGAAGGAGGACCCGTTCGGCATAACATGGTCATCCCATCCATAGGATAGGGGTCATGGGGGACAGCGGCCAGCGGGCCATGCTGAGACTGTTCAAACTGCAATTTACTTGGTTGTGTTTGATAATCAAGCTGTGGTTGTCGGGACCGGTCTGGAATCGCCTTCTGGGGTGTCAAGGTAGCCTCCCGGCTGGGAGGAGTTCCAAGATCATGTCTGAGGTCTTGGGATAGAGCTGACTGTGGATCATGATGAGATTCGTAGGTTGATGGTTGAGGAGATGAGCTTCTATAAGCTGGGTTGATGGTTCGCTGAAATTGGGCAACAGAATAGTTCTCATCCTCGGAAGCTTCTGACTGACTGTCACTAACATCCCCACGACGGAAATTGATGTACTTTGGCGGATCAGGGATCTCCTGCCCAGTCCCATGGTCACGGATGAAGGCAGCAATATCCTTCTCAACTTCGCAGTTTTCAAGCGAGAGTCGGACCTTTTCGCATGATGCATCGTCACTGACACAGACAGTAGAGGCAATGTTCGCAAAGTTCCAGAGGCTGCTCTTCATAAAATCCAACCTCTCCTCTTCCAGATCCTGAAACTTGTCCGCCGCTGCCTTCCAATCTCTGTTCCATCGGCCAGTTGTTTCCTCGAGAGCCTTAACCGCGTGTTCGTAGTCGGTGTTTGATGTCGCAACAGTAACCTGGGTCTTCTCTAACTTCGCCTTGTTCTTTCGCTCCTCTTGCCCCATAACCATATGGCCTTGTGCTAAGTATCCTTTAATCTTTAGACATTCTTGCTCGTATCTGTCTCGAGTCTAGTGGAGTGTGAGCAGTAATATTGATTGACTCAAGGCAAAGAGCTAACCTTATTAACTTGATTTGTCTGTTGCACCTTGACCTTCAATAGCTTCTCAATACCACCCTGCACAATCTTTCGTCTCTCCTTCATGGCACCTGCAAAGGCCGCCAGCGGCTCCTCGAGTTCCGTCTTCATTTGACCAGCATTTATTTGATGCGACTTCCCCATCTGCTCGACCTCTCCTCGCAGAACATCTAAAGAAGATCGAAGGGTGCCGCTCTCAACGGATCCTAATGGCTTTCGTGACAGCTGTAAAAGCTTGCGGGAATAATCTTCTTCGATTGAAGAGCGAGCTGTAGAGTGTTGTCAGCGAGAGCAAACAGAGGACGGCGAGTAAACAAACCTGTGTAAAAAGCTTTCAACTCATCGCAAGTCTGTTTTGCATTGTGCATGCGTGTTAGAAGAGGATCAACCCCAGAATCATCTTTTCCCCAAAAGTTGTTAGCAAAGCTCAAGGCCACCGAGGGACCATCTGATATTGTGCCGGGCATGATGCCCAACTGTTTTGTTGATATCAAGCTCCACTGGGCAGACGGAATCGAAAGCCCACGTTCAGAATCCTCGGCTGAAACAATCTATGGATGTGTAACTCGGACTCGAATAACGAGGGATGTTCAATGAAGAATTGGAATGCAATGACTGAGTGTTAAGCGCAGGGGACAAGCTTAGTGGAATGGTGTGAAGAGCTTTGAACTGTTTACTCTGGGCGTGTTGCCACGATGGCAAGATTTTCGGGATTTCGCACGTGATACTTCGTCATCTTCAGACGATACGTGACAAGGCTTATGTACTCCGCACTACCTTCCATAACTTAACCGTCCATATTATATTGCATGTCCTGGGTATAATCTATGGGAGAAGTGAAGAAGAGAGGTATTTTGGAGAAGTTGGCTCGAAGCCTCTTCGGAGGGGACATTTCTATTCAAATCTACTACTATGGGATCTTAAAGCGGTATTTTGAATTTACATCTCATCCGATCTCTGACTAAACCTCTTAGAGCAGCAGCGACCTTCAGCTCATATAACAATGCCTTGCATATAAGAACTTTAAGCTGTTGATGGCCAAGAATGGGTTGATTGGTTACCTATCGCTATATCGGCCATCGGGTTGTTCAAGGACGCTTCATAAGATTCTGGTGGCATGCTAGTAGTGTCTGGCGATGAAGCTGAATCAGAGGACTGGCTATAACAAGCATCCCATTTAGCATTTAAAGCCACTTACACCAAAAGGGACATTGTTTCAAGCGTTTCCCTCACCTCCCTTCCCCTCCCTGCATGTGCAAACGAAAATTAAGCTCCCCTTTCCCCTTGTACTTACAGTACTGTATTGTACTATACTATACTCTGCAGCAGTACTCCGTCTGTGAGTGCTGGCATTGGAATGAATGCGCAATTACACTTGTACTCGGTAAATCCAGATATAAAGACTCTTCTCGAGGAATCATAGCATATTCATTGCCATAGAAAGGATGGGAATATCGTAATATCAATCCTGCTGTACATTCTATCATGAAGAAACTCTCAGATCCATTATGGCCATGCAATCCATGGTCCTGGGCTTCCAGTTTACCTAGCTTGAGCTGGCAACGCTAACCCCATTTGGACGCAGCCGCACTCTTGGCCGGTGCGGTCGCGACTTCTCACCTTCGTCAACGACTGCGATTTCAACACCCTCGACCAAATCCCATGCAAACACCTTCCTCCCCTCCTTCCTCCATCGACGAGCGACCCTACTTGCCTCATCAATGCCCACATCTCGCCGGTAGACCTTTCTTTCGGCTCTAGAGAACGAGAGCTAGCTTGCCGGAGTGGGTCTGCGCCAGTATAACAGCAACTTCGATGGTCACCTCCAGAGGGGGCTCTTTTACACCTTCGCTAGCACAACAGCAGCAGCACCAGCAGCAACCGCAGTCTATTGTGACCGCCGGCGTCACGCATTCGCCTCACGGGTCCCATCACGGCCCCTTGAGTGCTGGCGCAAGTCCCGGCATCAACAGCCCCACTGGAGCAAACCAAGTCACCAAAATCGTCGTTGCCCAGGTCTCGCTCCTCCTTGGCTCCCTAAAAGAAGATAAGGATCGCAATCCGAAGTGGGAACAACAAGCTGAGCAGCTCAGAAAGGTAGGCTCTGTCGCCTTTGCATTTGATAGGATTGGAATAGCCACTGACTCGAGCCTCATAGCTGATCGATGAGAGCGGCATGGAAGTATTTCAAAAGTTCTTCTGTCGTATCGTGGCCGGCAGCGCTCCGCAGATCTTTCCAAGCCTAAATAGACAAGTATCGAGCGCGAACAATGGGAACTACCAATTGCTTGTCGAACAAATGGACGCGATATGCACCAATGCCGAGCAGGCAGGGAAGATTGCGAATGCCATCGAAACGGCGAACGAGGATATATTCCGTGATTTCGACCTCTCAACGTTCATGGAGCACTTCAAACTAGACGCGCTCGAAAAGACAATTCTAGCTTTGGCATTCAAGACTGGCCCGAGACCAGATCTCAAAACAAAAGGTCCGTTGGCCACGTTTTGGCATTGCGATCAAAGACTGACAAGTTCTAGCAAATGCCATACTCTCCACTAACTTCACGAACCTCGTCGAAATATTGGCTGATCCAATTACTTATGGCCATGCGCAGCTCCCTATTCATCTCCTGACCAAAACTATCGGCCAATACATCCAGGAGCGTCCGCCAAGCTTCGACGACAACGCGCACCGAGAGCTTGCGGCAGCTATCCACCGCAGGTATCCTGAGGATCATAGTCATATACCTACAGATCTCCTTGCCGCCCTTTATTTGTGGACGAGTCTGAGCGACCGCAACCCGCTAGTGTTATATATAAAAGAGAGAGGCTCCACCATGACAGCAGACGAAGAAACCTGTAGAAATCATCTCCGCGTCGCTGGAAACATACAGCGCGATGAAGAGCAGGTTGCTGCTGCGCTGATATATACCACCATCAGTCAGACGCCGCCTTTCTCCACCTCTACCTTGGTTAGCAGTCTTCAAAAGGAGGTTCCCAGAGACTTCAACTGGGGAAAAGTGCTTTCGTATTTTGACCAGCCACAGTTAAGGATAACATCGGACCAGTTTCTCAACCTCTACAAAGCTCTACGGCCATTGGCAGTGAACGAAAATCTTGATATTCAGCTACTTTTTGGTGGAAAATGGGTAAATTCCGAGACCCAATTGTCCTTCCTTTGTGCTATTCTATCCCTTACTCCAGACCAACTCGACGCGAAAACAATTCCGGCTCTTGAAACTTCCTTCGATGAGAGTGACTTCGGGGTTCTGGAGCCCGGGCTCGCATCGCGGGCCTCCTATGCCGTCAGCCACCCTCTTGTTTCTCTGGTTGCCTTGACAGCTATAATGGACGTAGCTTTGGATACACAACCAGCATCTGATACTTATGAAGCTAGGCGACTTTTCCAAAGCGTTATTGTCCCTAATTTAGATATATTCCTGGTCTCTGCTTTTGGGGTACCAAAGCCATGGTCGGAACTTGCACACGATACCATCAACACCTTGTTCGACCGATTTCTATACAAAGCTGACCCCAACTACGATTTCGTTCTTATGGCGCTGTGGCGCAAAGACAAGGCCTGGGTTGCGTCCCGCCTATCAGATCTCCATGCGAGAGCTCCCTTGGAGCTGCCAACAATCCTCTTGCATGCCAAGAGACATAAATGGCTAGACGACTTGATACCAATCCTCAGTGGCTTTGGACTGGACCTTGCAGCGTTTGCTCATGCAGAAGATGCTTATTCCCTCGACAAGTGGGCCGAATCTCACTCGACGCACCCCGAGGAGCTTGCACGTGCTCTCATGACCTTCTTGAACATTAAGTCTCAACATGAGTTAGACGCCCAGCGCTCTGAAGATGGGCAGAGGGTGTTAGTCAGTGTTATGCTTCCTGTTAGGACCATATCTGCTCTTCTCCATATTCTAGAAGACATATTGCCAAAATCGCCGGTGCCAGACCTCATCACCGTGCAACGGCAATGCATCACCGCATACCCCAGACTCATCAACTATGGAGAAGGTTACGACGATATCATTGATAACAATGGTCTGGAGTCGAATTCTTTGCCGATTGCAGCAAATGAGAAGATGGAGGAGCATTACAAACGCATGTACAACCAAGACCTACAGCCCAAACAAGTTGTGGAAGCTCTCAATATATACAAGCACTCGCGCTCCCCCACCGATCAGGATGTATTTGCTTGCATGATACATGGCTTGTTTGACGAGTACGCACTTTATGGCACATACCCATTAGAGGCATTAGCTACCACGGCTGTTCTATTTGGCGGAATCATTCAGCACAAGCTCATATCCGATCTTCCACTTGAGATTGGCCTCTACATGATTCTCGAGGCTGTTCGAGATCACCCCATCGACCAATCGATGTACAAATTTGGATTGCAAGCCCTGATTCAGCTCTACCCTCGGTTATCCGAATGGCCAGGGTTCTGCAGACAACTTCTTCAAGTTCCGGGTCTGCAGGGAACCGAGGCTTGGATTAAGGCGGAACAAATTGTTCGCGACGCTGACCAGGAAGAAGCTTCTCGTAACGGCGATGCTCATCAGTTGATGAACGGCGGGGGCATCACTAACGGCAATATCGATGAAATACTTGCAGCTGAGCCTAGTGCACCCGAATTTAGTGCACTGCATGTAGAGCCAAGTTCTTTACCCGAATACGATGACCCATCCTCGGACATTCAAGAGAAGATACAGTTCGTCTTAAACAACGTCACGGCGGACAATTTAGAGTCAAAGTTCAGTGAGCTTAAGGATTCGATGGATGATTACACTCAAACATGGTTTGCAGGCCATTTGGTTGAAGAACGCGCAAAGATGCAGCCAAACTACCACCAATTATACCTCGATCTTGTCAAGCTGTTCGGCAGAAAGTCTCTCTGGGCAGAAGTTCTGCGGGAAACCTACGTCAGCACCATTCGCATGCTTAATTCTGAGGCCACCATGCAGTCTCAAACTGAACGAGCACACCTGAAGAACCTGGGTGTTTGGTTAGGCTCCTTGACTCTCGCTCGAGATAAAGCTATCAAGCACAAGAATATCGCCTTCAAGCAACTTTTGATAGAAGCATATGACACGCAACGACTAATAGTCGTGATCCCATTCGTCTGCAAGGTACTTGCTCAGGGTAAATTCTCTACAATCTTTAAGCCGCCGAATCCTTGGGTCATGGACATCATCCACCTTCTGATTGAGCTTTATCATCACGCAGAGCTGAAGCTTAATCAACGTTTTGAGATTGAGGTTCTTTGTACGGAACTAGAACTGGACCACAGAAGTATCGAACCTTCTTCAGACATCATGAATCGTATGCCTCTAGTCGAAGAAGCGACAGAAGTCATGGCCCCAGAGATCCTGGACAGATTCGATAACATGTCCATGAATGGCCTCGTTGCTGGCGTTGGAAGTGGCAGGTTCTCTCCTCAAGAGATTGCATCTTCAATCCCTGACCTCGGTCCACTACTTACATACCCTCCTGTGAACGACATGGTCAACCAAACTCGTTTACGTGAAATCCTGAAGACTGCCATGAACCGCTCGGTACAGGAAATCATCGCCCCTGTCGTTGAACGCTCAGTCACAATTGCGGCCATATCGACTGCCCAGATGATCCACAAGGACTTTGCGACCGAACCGGACGCAGATAGATTGGAGGCAGCAGCCATCAATATGGTCAGGAAGACGGCCGGTAGTCTTGCTCTAGTCACCTCAAAAGAACCTTTACGAGCAAGCATAACCAACCACATGAGGACCCTATCTGCAGACCATGGTCAAGGACTTCCAGAGGGGACCATCATCATGTGTGTCAACCAAAACCTGGAGGTTGCCTGCAACCAAGTGGAGAAGAAAGCTGAGGATCGCGCTGTTCCTGAAATCAAAGAGTTGATCGAACCAGAGCTGGAACTACGCCGTCAACATAAGCTGACAAATCCAACCGACCCTTTCATTGATCGGGATCTGAGCCGCTGGTCCTGGACAATCCCAAATCCGTACAAACTGCAGCCCAATGTAGACGGCTTAAATATGCAGCAAATGGCCATATATGAGGAATTTGCTCGACAACCACGTGCCCCGCTGGCTCTTTCTCTTTCGGGTACTACCCACGTCGCCACTTCCTCAGATACAACACGGTCAGTGGCGAATGAGGTTCTACAGGATCAATACGCAATCCCAAATCTTGCAACGCCGGCAGCGGAGCCTCCTGTGATGCCTCACCTCAGCAATCAGCAACTTGCCTATGCTCAGCCAAATACCAGCATGGCTAACGGAAGACTTCCTATTCCGATGGATACGAGAAGCATGATGGAAAGAGTACAAAAAACCCTTCTTGAACTACAACGCGCGACAGCAGAAGCTCCTGAGCAGCATTTCGAGGATCTAACCAAGAGAGTTCACGAAGAGTCTCAGCCAGTCCTGAAATCTCATGATGAGCTTTGTGATTTTGTAATCAAAAGCCAGCATGGGCCAAGCACTGAACCGCTTGATCTTTTCATTGTTGATCAGATCTGCCGTTTACTTTTCAGTGGAACCCAGGACCAACTTCTTATAGAAACCTTGGTGTCTGCGTTGCAAAACATTCGTAGAATTAGCGGTCGGGTTGCAGGCCAACTCGCTCTATTTATCGGCGACGTCGAAGATGAAACCCTGCTTAATATTCCCCTGGTCACAATCTTGATCGAACACAACCTGGTCCAATTACGACGCATTGACTCAGCTGCCTCCAAGGCGATATTGGGCAGGAAAGAAGGCTCACTTGACTTCCTGTCCTCCTTACTTGATTACGTACTTCTTGTCGATCGCCCCCCTGCCCTGTATGCCGATTTTGCCAAGAGTTTAGAGGTTGCATGGCAATGGATCGAAGAAGATCCGTCTATTGAGGTTGGGCAACAGCTGAAGCAAAAGTTGTTAGACCACAATCTACCCCGATCAATTGGCCGCAGTATCGAAGACTACCGAGCCGATGAAAAGCTTGTCCATCGCCAAGATCAAATGGACTATGTCTTCGATGAGTGGGTTCATCTGTGCCGGAACCCCAATGCAAGTGAGAAGGCGGCACCACAATTCATCCTGCAGATGTACAAGGGGCAACTAATTAACGAGCGTGATGGAATGTGTTTGTTCTTGCGGATCAGTATCGATGCATCCGTAAAATCTTTCGAACAACACATACAGACAAGTGGTAGTCTCGACGAGGCTTACAGCACAATTGACTCGCTAGCGAAGCTGATCTCTCTGATCGTCAATGGACGTGAGCGAGAGATTGAAGGCCAAGGTGCAGTTCAACCGACCAAGGCTGAATATCTCAAATTTGTCTTGTCTCTCACGGTTTTGGTCCTGAACCACCATCATGTCGTGCGTGGAGATAACTTCAATCAGAAGGTGTTTCTGCGGCTGTTCTCTACTCTTCTTTGCGAGATGAACAATTTCGACGGTGGATTGACAGACGTGGAGCAGCGAGATATACTTTTCGTCTTCGCTGAAGTCTTTCTGAAAGTGCGTCCGTCACACTTCCCTGGCTTTATTTTCGGTTGGCTTCCCTTGGTATCCCACCGAAACTTTATGCCTCAACTATTGAGACTCCCAGATCATGCTGGATGGAATCGTTTCGCCAAAATTGTGGAAAACCTGATGCTCTTTGTTGGCGAGCTCCTCAAGCCATTGCACCTAAGTACAGTGACGAAAGAAATATACCAAGGGGTTCTGAAGTTTATTGTTGTCTTGCAACACGACTTTCCCGAATTTGTGGCCGCCAATCACTCCAAGCTCTGTGCCAACATTCCCAGTCACTGTGTCCAGCTCCACAATCTGATTCTAGATGCGAAGCCCAGCCCTTATCTCAAGGCTCCAGATCCATTGCAGCCGGGGTTGAAGATCGACCGTATCAACGAGATCCGCGAGTTTCCAGACAATGAGAACGATGTCGAGGCTCCTCTGCGGCAGAGCGAGTTGTTCGAGATTCTTGAACAGGCATTGCAGACCGGTCCTTCGGAGGATGCTGTTGCACATATTGCACATGCAGCGCAACGCAGGAATGGCCGACAGACTGGACCTGGTTTTGTGCCTATCAATGTGGACCCTAAACTCTTAGACTCACTTGTAGTGTACACAGGCATGCATGCCATTACCAGGGCAGAACAGACGAACGGCCCAGCGTACATCCAAGCATCCCCTGATGCAGCGTTACTTTCTATGCTAGTTCATGAGCTTAATCCTGAGGCGCGGTACTACTTCCTCAGCAGTATCGTCGACCAGCTCCGATATCCCAACAACCACACCCACTACTTCACTCAAGCCTTGTTGGAAATATTTGGAACCGATCTCAACGACCAAGAAGAATCTGATATCCGGGAGCAGATCATTCGCATTCTCTTGGAGAGGTTGATGGGGCAATGGCCACAACCGTGGGGAGTGATTCTCATTATTCAGGAGCTCGTCAAGAACGAGAAGTATATGTTTTATGAATTACCATTCGTTAAGTCGATTCCGGATGTAAGTTCCCTTTGCATCTACTTGATATTAGGATTCTAACAATACTATCAGATCGCTGAGCGTTTTGCTGCCCTCGCATCACGTCCTCTTCCACCTATTGTGTAGACAGGGCCAGTCTGACACTCATAGCCAGAGGTGACCAGCATAAGCACCAAATACGAATTACTTCCGATTACACCCAAATCACAAACATCACCACCTCAACGTCTTGAGAGCCCAGTTTCTAATTGTTACATATCCTATCAAGCACAAACGGCGTTCTTTGTCACAGACCATTAAAGATTTTTCTGCATAGCGAGCGAGGAACGGATATTTTTGCAAGACTTTTCGGGTGGGGTTCACGGGAATGGAATTGCCTTTTTTCTCTCCTACTTAATGCATCCTACATGATAATGTTTCGTTCCTTCTTCTGTACAAAAGACAGAAGAGGGCAAAATACGGGGCATGGAGGCGCGGGGAAACAGATTATACGGCGTGAACATGGTTTTTTGCTTTACGCTTGTATTCCATGTAGAGTGGGCAGGGAGACTGTATGTATCATAAAATAGGAGTTGTGATTTTCTGAGACCGGACTTTTATTCTGTGATGATGATTTGATTTCTCCTACTAATTGGGTGAGCCCAGCTAGTGTTGTTTCAGACTAATACTTTTGCAGATCCTGAGTTCTCGATTTGATATGGATCAAACCACAACCTCGGGGCTAGCTCTTAGTGCATACCGTGAGGCGGATTGTTTGTTCACTTACTGGCGCGGAGCTGGTGATGGCTTCGGGATCGATGAAGCTAGATGGACAATTAACGATACGAACATAGGTACATTAGGATATGTGTAGGTTATGCGTTATAGGTGCCAATTTATGGTGCGGTGCGCCGATGTCCTTTCCGAGAACGTGAATCAATCAAACAGGCAGAAAAAGGTGGAAGGAAGGAAGGAGAAGTTGGATTTTTTTTAATGTGTTTTTAGAGCGTTGCTAACAATCCACTCGTAAGATCCCACCGTTTTGAGTCGGGGCGTCTGGAGGGGATGTTGCATTACTGGGGGTTCTTGCACTTCTTAGAGTTAGAACCTTGAAGATCGACATAGAGCCTTTGAGGCAAAGTGATTCAGAATCATTGCTTATTTGATACCTAGGTACTATGGAGTTTGTCAAGCTTGTTTTGTATATTCGTTCCATGATATCACAGCTTCTTCTCTCACTCCTTCCCTCAACATATATGCAGCTATATGCAGCCTCAGAAAATATCAATTAGTATTTCCCCCTCAAAAATCACTTCACCTTCTCAAGTGCTGCACGCCCCAAAGCCACCAATGCTTCTGCATCTGACAATGTAATATCCTTGGACCCATTCACAGCAACATCCATCATCGCAGCAGCCAACTCATCCACTTGTATGCAGCGCTTATTCCCCATCATCCAACCAAACGCATCTCGAGGACTTGTAATATCCTTTTTGATTACGAATGGCGCCTTCACAATCACCGTCTCCCAAAAACCTTCCGTCTCTTCCTTTTCTGCGAATGAGAGCATATTCACTTCTGCTTGTCCCTGAAATCAGGGTTAGTATCCAATCCATATATGTACTGAGAGGGCATATTCTTTCTACCTTTAGCTTTCGCATGTTTCCTGCGAACCATAGGGGTTTGCTTTGGTCTCTCTCGGTCATGCCGCCGCTGAGATGCAGATAGCGGAATTTCTTTTGGGACTCTGCTAAAGTTCTGGAAAATGCATTGCCGAATGCAAGTGGGTAGTCGATTTCAAGAACCTTGTCGCCAGCTGTTGTCCCCATGCACCTAATCTAGTTAATACAAGCAAGAAAACACCTGGAAGACATGGTAGGATCGGAGCTGACCATATGCAGGCATCCGCTCCAGAAAGGACTTTGATATCGTCGTCTGAGTAGGAATTGAAATCTTTCTTGACTATGATTTGGAGCTTGGGGTTATTGCTGATTGTGTCTGGGAGTAGACGGCGGGAAAGAGCAACGATGGATGTGATGGATGGATTTCGAAGGCATTGGTTGAGGACTTCGGATCCGATAAAACCGGTACAGCCGGTCACGATGAACTTCATGTTTCTTACCGAAGTCAAGTATCAAAGTAAATGATATCTGGAAGACGTTGAAATGGTCTCTGTGTAATGTGAGGTAGAGTAGGCGTGAAATAATACAACGTTAATATGAGACGATAGAATCTAATTCCGATAACTCCGTGGTATCCAGAAGGATCAAATAACTCTCAGATACTGTATCATTGCTTGTCAACACGATACAAACGACGTTGTAGGTTGAAACAACGCACTATAAAGTCCTCTACCTGGATGTAAGACGTATATTTAAGCTCAACCTTCTCAAAAAGGGGGGTGGAGCTACCCCACATCGCCTCGCTTCGCGTGGGGTGGTGCCTGCAGTATACAGTAGTACTGTATGTATACGCGGATCTCCTAGGGCATTCAACACAATCTACAATACCAACCAACCTTATACAATAATGGCAAATATGGCGTCCCAAAAAGACCTCCAAGATCTCTTACGTATCTTAACAACAGGCCGCAACAAACTCCCCATGCTGTCCGCCATGGGACGCGTCCAAGCTCTTCAAGGAGCAGGACTCTACAGGTCCCTGTTCCCCTCCGCCCCGTCAATATACCTTCTAACAACCGCCCAGTATATCCGACATAGCAGCCTCTACAGCCCCAGCCCTAATAGCCGCCCTCTCCGACGAAAAGGCAGCTAAATCCCTCCTCGCAGCCTGCAAAGCGCATCTCAAATCCCCCGCCGACTCGGCAGGCAGCAAACGCGCCTCTGATAGCGCTCTGCCTTCTTCGAAACGAGCGAGATCGGCTTATGTGCCGAACTCGCCTCAGACACCGCAGGAGTTGGAAGCTTCCCTTGCTCTACCACAGCCGTCGGAGGACGAAGAGGCGATTTCGAAATGCACTGTATACACAAACAGAGCCCCGCTCGTCCTGGCTTTTGCGGTACAGTTGTTGAAATATACGATGCCGGAACAGCCTTTAAGTAGTAGACTAAGTCTGGGACAAGCGGTGGTGAGTGTCAATTCGAGGAGCAAGGCTCTGAGTATTGGATTGGAGAAGGGGAAGAGTGCTGAAGAGGAGGGGTGGGGGAGCGGCCAGCCGAAGGTGAAGGTTATGGGGCGGGAGATTAGCGTATTGAAGAGGAGTGGGTATGAATGGCGAGAAGAAGAAGTCAAAAGGGACGAGGACAAAATAGAAATAAATACAGAAGTCGAAAGCCAGAGCACGGTGAAAGAAGACGGCCCGACGCCATCGGTTTCCAAGCCGGAAGGAGATGGCTGGACGGTTTCTTCACCTATATCGTCTAAGGGATCAACATTTGTAGCACGATCTATTACTGTCACGACTCCAACGCAGGCGGAGAATTGCATTAGGTCGCTAGTATCATTTAATGCTGAGATCCGCTCCGCCGATCACAACATGTACGCCTACCGCGTGCAATCACCCACCTCGAACAACCTTTTTGAGGAAAACAGCGATAACGGTGAGCGTGGCGCCGGTCCCCATCTCTTGGGCATCTTGCAAGCAGACAATCTTCAAAACGTCCTTCTGGTAGTAACACGCTGGTACGGTGGTGTCTTCTTGGGTCCAGACAGGTGGCGCATCATGTCGCAAGTATCCCGCGACGCACTGTCACAACGGCTTCGCGTAGCTGGCGTGCTGGGCCATGAAGCACTGTGGGGCCTCGATCTCGAAGCTCTGAAGAGCAAAGACGGATCGGGGACCAATAGCTTGCCGATTCACAGACCCGAGGGCGCGAGGGAGTATATTCTGAATGCGTTTGCAAGTCCGCCCGAGAAGGAGCAGGAGAACGGGGCCAAGGGCAAGAGGAAGAAGAAAACGTTGCAGCAGGTGAGGAACGAGAAGGAGGATAACCTGGGAATGTTGCTCGGGGCATTAGATAAGCTGATTGGGAGCTGGGTTGGCCAAGTTGGGCGTGAGGAGTTGGATCGGATGGCTTGGGGGTGGTATGTTAGTGTTAGGCCCGAGGTGGAGGGTGGGATTGCGGGGTGGGGTGGAAAGGGGGAGGTTAAGCTCTGTGAGATTTTGAAGTTGCAGAAGTCGTTTCGCTCTATCCCACTGAAAGGTGAAAACAATGCGAATGAAACACCCATCTGATATTGTTAACTATCTTTTTCAAGAGAGGTCGTATACAGGTCTAGACCATTACATATTCCGTACTCTATAAAAACTCGATACCCATTCAAACGCATCGAATTCGTGAATAATACCTTTTATGAATTGGCACTAAAGTATGAAGATCTATAAACGGTATTTAAACTGGGAAGATAATAAAATATCTGGATATTTAGTTAAGTTGAATCGACCACTTTCCTGGAGACTTCCATCCGCTCCCGGATTAATGTGATACTCATAATTAAGCACCCACCCCGTCCCAGTAGTTCAAGAATATAACGCACTGTCATTACTAAACTTATACTTATCATGCACGTAACCTTCTGGTGGATTGCGTAGCGCTTGCGCAAAGTGCGACAGGCGAAAGTTTATTATGCCAACGGTGTAGTCTGGGTTCGTGAGGGCTGCTAGAGGGTGCATCCTGTCCCAACGAATTAGCATAGTGAAAAATAAAGGGCTTGGTGGGTGCCAAGGAGCCCATGAGCTGCCTCGGGAGCTGACATATGAAATCCTAAAGCAGCTCCTGGTTCCTCAGCTCCCAGAGAAAATTGCCACTTTGTATGAGAATAAGCCTACCACGTGTCCATATCCTAGAACACCATTCCTCAAGTCTCTGACTCTTCTGTGGCTATGAAGTCGTCACATTGCCATGCTTATGTGTTTGGTTCCTATCCACTTCAAAGAAGGGCCCCATGAACGGCACCTCAGTAGATATATACCCATTCCCAAGACCATGTCTTGCCTGAAACATCTGGCTCAGCGCCCTAGGCAATTTATCCCCGTCTATAGTAAAGGAACCCGTCGTATCGTCATAAGAACTCAAATTTTGCGCTGCCAAGATGCGGAAATCGACATCGCCGGGCATTCCAGGCTCAGGAATAGTCTTGAAATTGTGCTCCGATGGGGCGTTTATGCCATCTAGGTCATTTGCTGTATCTCAAGCGGCGAGTTGGTGGGCTTGGTTTCCACCAAGGGGTAACGACGCGGTCTGGCATGCTGTGATGAAGAGGAAAAGGACGACGAGAGGCGAGGGTTGCAGTAGAAAGGTCTGAAGCCATGAATCTCCTCGTCGACGAAGAAAAGGATGAGGACGACCCATCTTGGGTTGAGGTGTGCTGCGTTACGAAGTTGGTCGGAAACGTAGAGGGTAGCAGCGCTCTTTTCGTCAGTTATTTGCATGTGAACTTTATGATATTGTAGCGCACCTCAAGTATTGTATGGCGCGGGTTTAGGGCTGTAAGCCTTGAAAAAGCTATTGTTGGCCCTATTGTAATCTCTCGGAATGCGATCCTGACATGGTGTACCATGTTACGACGAAATAAAGAGAGGAGAAGGATAGCGGATAAATTTGTGGAAGCACGACGAAGTAGTTTTAAAAACCGTAGAAGTTTGCTGCGATGTAATGATAGCCCACAAATCTCATGTGTCACACAGACAAGATGGTAGTGAAGCCGAACTGCGGCTCTGCTAATGAACTAGTTCCCGCTCGGGAGCCATGGTACTCTCCAAAGCTTGAATCTTCAAAGTCCTGCTGAACGAAACGTAATAAACGTAATGCATTGATTCGTCTGTCTGTTCTCAGACTACTACTAACTAAAACCTGGCACACATATCTGTTATTATCTACTCTATAGTCTCTGATTCGGTATCGGCCTTCAAAGTGGCAGTCGAATCAGAGAGATCATTTTCTTCGGCTGACTCGAGCGTAGTCTCAGCTGTTGGTTCCTCGCTTGGTTTCGGCTCAAGCTCGTGCCCATTATCACTTATCATAGTTGGAATCGTAGCTTCCTTTGCTTCCTCAACCGTTCCAGCCTGTGCGGATTCGATCGCTGAAGAGTCTGTCATCGGTGCCGGGATATGCTTAGCACCAGGAATGTCATGTAACTCCTGACCTGAAATGTTGGTTGCAAGTTTTGGGGTTTCCGACTGCGTAGCTTTTGTGGCAATCGGCGCCGTTGCTGCTTCCTTCGGAGCATCAATGTGTACTAAGTCCTCTTCCGGATCAATGTGCCACACAGTCTGAGGCAAGGAAAAGCCCAGAACGGTAGATTTCTCTGTGGCGTCGCTGACTGGAGCTGGGCTCTTAGCCGGTGCCCTTCGTGCTGGACCGCGTGCTCTACCTTTTCGAGCATCAGCTAATGGCGCCTTCTCCTTGACCTCTTCAGGTTCTTCCGCCACAACGTCTTCTTTCTTCGGGGGCTGGGCACCAAGTTGTAGACGTTTATTTAAGTCCGCCATGAAGCCACCTTGGAGAGCCGCAATTTTACTCCCAACGGGTCTCGCAGGAACTGGTGGTTTTGGCTTGGCTGCAGCGGCAGCACCTTGATCCGATCCGACAGATTTTGCCGATGAATTTGACAGTACTTGGGATAGGGGAACATTTTCTCCCGAATCACGCGATATGGGCTTTGAAGGTCGTGCAGGCACTTGGGGTTTTGTTTTGGTTGGTACTGGAGGTGTGGCGGTATCCGCCGATGCTGACTTTCTAGATGGGCGTTCTAGAACGGTAGGCTGTGCATCACTAGCACTGTCTGACGAATGTGACAATTTCGACTTGACTGGGCGGGCTGGGATTGATGGTTTCATAAGAGCTCCGATGCCTGTGGTAGCACGGCCTTCTTCACGTCCAAGTGGAAGGCCGGCGGCAGCTTTTTCTTGATGATATGCCACTGCGCCAGTTGTAGGACGCTCGTCGGGGGTCGCGAGGACTTCCTTTTCAGGTGATTGCGGTCCGGCTACAGTTGTTTGTAGTTGTAAACTGTCAGGAGTATCCTCCCAGATATCTCGACTAGGGAATCTTTGCTTCATGCCTCCTGGTCTTGTATCGAGATTGAGGTGAGCCTTGCTTGACCACGGGCTTTTCTTCTCCTGATGTAAAAAACTTTCTGCTCCACTGGATTCGCTCTCTGCAAGCTCCTCTTGTCGTCTCGCAAATGCTTGCTCGGGAGTCTCCTTGGATTCTTTGGCCTCGGTGGTCTCGCCTTCTTCTGGTAATTGCGGCGTCGAAACGGTAGCGGTATATTGCAAGCTATTTGGGGTATCCTCCCAGATATCCTGACTGGGAAATTTACGGTTCATGAGTTCAGGTCGCTTTAATCTATCTGCGGCTGTCAATGGCTTTTTTATGCCGGCATTCTTCTCATCCTCTGGAAACAGTGGCTCGTACTCCTCCAAATCCTCCAATTTCGTAGAAGAAGGAAACTGAAGGCCAGGGATGGTTCCATGAATGCTTCCAGGTCGGCTTGAGGGCCTGCTTCCAGACAAACTTGTTTGACTAGCGGACTTTTGCTGGTAAAAGCTATAATCCTGGCTGTTTTTGCGCTCGAGAAGGGGAGAAACAGCAGGTTGAAGCTCATAGCCAAAGGGTTCCTTTGCAACTTCATCAGAGGCCAAGATAGGAGCACTATATCCTTCATCATAACCAGCGTCTTCTTCATCTGGCTCACCGGGGGTTCCAAGTTCCTCGGTTGACTGGGGAACAGATCCGCCCCCGTAGATATGGCTAGTACGGCGTGCAGTATCTACGTGAATCACATCGTCGTCGTCAAGCTCACTCTCAAGAGCAGTATCTGAAGGTGCGTGGAGGCTTCGAGAGAGTGTGCCCTCAAACTCCGTCTTGCCCTGGATGTCTGTAGGAAATGATGTCTTTCTCAGAGGTGAATCAACATGCGTCTGAGACGTATTCGAATGGGCAAGTTGAAGTCCCGATGACTGTGGGCGAGGAGAAGACATACGGGAGGTGTATTCCTCAGCTGCTTGGTGGCCGACTTGTTCATTTGGCGTTCCGATTGCTGCGGATGTCCCTAGATTATATTAGATTACTCGCGTGGTTTATGTGCAAATAGCACAACTGTAATCCTTACCAAGTCCAGAACCCCTACTAGCTGTATCCCGAACGATTTTGTTCAAATCATCACTGCTCATAGCCCACTCCGGCTTCCCTTCTCCATATTGACCAAGTTCCTTCTTAAAAAGTTCTGGGTGTTTCTCGTAGTATGCTCTCTCGAAACGATCGTGAGGAAGGACCTGATGCCCATGTCTGCCATAAGCTTCTAGTGGCATATCGTGCTCACGAGCACTGGTTTTGCGGGCGTGGTGTCTCGGTTTCGAGCCGTCGTTATGGAATCCAATGCCTGGTGCATAGGGAGCCGCGAATGGAGCCGGCGAAGGAGCTTGCACGTCGCCGGCATCGGGGTACATGGGCACACGTTGACCGATTTCTGGAATGCCGTGGTCGCTCTCGAGACTTGATGAGGGGCGTTCAGTGTCATTGGAAGCTTGGCTAGCAAAGCTGGTCCTTGACTTCAAATCACGCGAAGATGGATCCTTGTCGTCACTGCCAGCCTTTCCGATGCCGAAAGAAGCTGCTTTCTCGGAGTCGGTACGAGTAACCTGTGAGACCCTCTGCGTAGCGCTTGAAGTTGGCAGAGATGGCTTTGGGGCATGAAGCTTCAGGTCATTGGCTATATTTCGAGTTTGTGTACTTGATGTGCCAAGCTCTCTCGAAGCGTCGAATACCTCCGCATATTCATTTCCTTCCTGCCCAATCGAAGGCAGGGCAACGCTCGAGGGGCGGGATGGCAGATCCGCTCCAGAGTCATCGCCAGCATCGTTGCGGAGGTTTCCGCCTAAGGAAGATTTGGGAAGGTTGCCATTATGTCCCAGAAATGGAGTTTCGTTCAGAGGAGATCGAGCAAAGCTCTCTCTCGATGGCGAAGCCGAACGGTCAAGACGACGGTTGGCAGGACGAGGTGGGATCTTGGGGATGTCACTGCCAAGAGAACTGGAGCTGCCCGAGGATTGGTTCTGGGCCCGCGTAGGACGAGGAGGTACTTGAGGAACTGCTGTCGACATGTTGTGTATAATTCGAGGCCCAGATGAGAGAAAAGACAATAGTTTGCTTGTCTGCGTTCTCTGTTAGTTATGCTGCCAGGTGGGAGTGTAAAATCTGAAGCGAGTCATGTAACAGTCAAACCTGGAGGGGTTTGAGGGTAAATAGAAGGGTTTGCAAAGAATTGTGATGTTCCAAGGATGCACTGCAGATGTTATCCACTCGCAGGAGCCACGCCGCCAACGTTCAGACCATGCCAATCCAATGGATAAAACGGAGAATTCAGAAGCTGTGAGCAGCTCTGTGGTACCTGACTGCTCAAGTTGTGAGGGCGTGGTGACCCAGAACGGCTTAAACCGAAGCCCAACAACGGCTCAAGGGAAACAATGGGTTGAGGATGATTGCAGACGTACTTACTGTTATTAGGAGTATCAAAAAGTGTGATCTTCAAAGCTCAACCATCGAAGCTGTCCAGAAAAACGAAGAGTTTTAGAAGTCAGAGAAAGAGAAGGGGAAGTGGTAGTTAGTGGAAGTGGAAGTGGAAGAAGCGGTCTCATTGCTCACGTTCCTCTTACTGCTCAACGCTAAAACAAGACTTCCGTCATGCTGCGGCATCAACTTGCAAGAGCGAGCTGGGCAACCATTGGAACAGCGCCAATCCACAATAAATGGAAAATCCTGGTTCGAGTGTTCATTCATCACGCAACTCGGCAACAGCAGGTTCAATTCGATATAATTCGATGATTCAGTCAACGCCAAGTACTGTAGTATCGATTAATTGACTGCTCCTCTTCCTCCCTCCACATTTCCATTGCTGCAATGCAAGAGGTCTCTTCTACCCAGTCACCGTTCGCATGAAGGAAAATCCCTCATGGTGATAGGTCACGCCAAAGAGGTATTTTTTACAGGGGGGTGTGCGCCACGCCCTGCCCTTTAAGGTGCCCTACTAGACGACCCAGGCTGCCAGGTCCAGGGCCGGCCCAGAGGCTCCAGAATGCCACCTCGTGATCGGGATCGACGGACGGCTTGAAAGAGGGGTTCAATATCAAGGTGCGAGTTATTACTACCGTACTGTATACTTAGGTATGGGTTACTATGGTTATGGGTATGGCTATGGATATATTCCGTAGGAGGAATCGTCAAAGCAATTGCAAGTCTCTGAGCAGAAACTCCTCCTGTCCCACCTGCGCATGAGACAAAGTCCCAAACCTTCGGCGTTGCCGTCACCATCCTATGCTATGCCAAAGCCATGGTCAGTATACAATGTTCACGTGGTTGTATTATGAAGCTGCAGTAGTTTAGTACACCCACCTCCTCCCAACTACAGGATTCAGGCCTTCCCCGCGAAATGGCCCATGCGGTGTCGCCGGCAATGGTGGCTTGCTTCTGCCTACCTAGGTATGTCACTGAGTGACGTTGGTTTTGGACAAGGGCATTCAGGAAAGCTCGTGACTAAATCAGCACTTGATTTGGGGCAAAACCTCCATCCCTAATCAACGGTCCAAGATTCCGAATACACACGCAATCATCGCCCACGGCAATTGGAAACCGAGATCGAGACATAAAAGTACAATTGCTGAGCCCCCCGATGAGATAATTTCGTAATACAGCCAGCTTAACCAGCCGCGAGAGCCCGTAACGCCATACCCCAATTCGCATGCTTTCTCCCTTTTCTAATCCTCACCTCATTCATTGCAAACAGTGTCGCTCATCCAGCCAAGCCCCGCAGTTCCGTCCAAAAAAAATCACTGTCTCTCCGTGTTCCTCCACCTGCGTCTGCTCACCACCACCTCTCTCCGCCCTTTAGATAATCATCTGCGCAACACCCTGTCCACCAAGCGTCTTGCTCCCCACAAAGCCCTGGCCCTTAACACCCGCCAGAGCATAGAACGCAGCTGCAACCGTCAACATTATAGCAGCGGCGATCAAGCTGGACGCCTCTTTGATAATGCTAAGCCATTGGATAATTGCCATCACCAGGTAGATACCAGCGCGCATATAGTTGGTGGTGAAGCGGCGCATGAAGGTGTCGAATTTCGCGGAAGTGGGGCAGATGCGTAGGAGGAGCGGGATCTCGATGAAGATAATGAGGAATGAGCTTGCACTGTAATAATAGCTTGTTAGCTAGGGGTATAGAGAGGCCGGGTTGGGAGGAAGGCCTACAGGCATAAAGCTCCGAAGAGAATCATGATGCTAACGTGGAAGAGATGTGAGATTCCGAGGGCGAAACATAAGAATATGCAGATCACTCCAGTCCTGCCATTCCCCTCAATGTCAGCATTGTTTCCATGGATTCCGAGCTTGTCATAACTAGCCAGCTCCAACAGTGTAGTGTTTCCAAGCAGCCTGATCACAGTCTATCACCCAGTAATCCCATAGAGCTCTGCCTAAAGCTTCTGCTACCATCTGTGAAGCTTCAGGGAAACCCAGCGGGAATGGTTGACTGCCCACGCAAGCTCCAAATACCTGAACAAAACACAAAAGCTGCCAGCTTACCATTGTCCATAAATACCTGCAATCCATAGTTAGCCATTTTCTCCTTTAAGTTTAAGCCCTAGACAGACAGAAGACACCTACTGAAATTCCTCGTCGCGAATTCCTCGGCGATCGTCATGTTTGCGTGTTTAACTCGGTCGATATGGGGTGTTCGGGTACCAAGGCTTCTTAGCAGTTTCCTGACCGCCGGAGATCTTGGATTGTGGGTTTTATGCGCGAGTATTAGAAGTGTAGAGGTTCGTGACTGCGTGTGCGGGAATGGTGATAGAAGAGGTGGGTTGGGGGTTGCGATTTTGTTGATCTGTTCGCAAGGTTACGTCTCGAAGCTGTAAGCCACGAGGCTTGTCGGGATGACTAAGCAATTGTATGGGGTCACCAGGGGTCAAAGTGTAGGCAACACGTTAATCTGGTACTTGTAATTTTGATTAAATGAACATCAGTTTCAATCGAAGAATATAATCTTTCAAATCAGGTCAATATCATGATTGGTTCTGTCAAGAAATAAGAGCCATCACCATTTGTGAATGGAGATCTCTCAAGGCACAAAGGATTCGTTACTCAGAAGGAAGCCTGAAAGATTCGTAACTGAACGGGTAGGCACATGATGCACTTTCAATAGCAAAAATCTCAGCCGGGACGCGTCAGGTCATGATATTTCAATGCCGTACATTGGGCATATTCCATTAATGGAATTGCCCCCAAAGAATTGAGAAATATGAAAATCCTTCCAATGCCCATTGTACGTTCCCTCGCAACATTTTCTCACTTTCTAGAAAGCAGGTATAATGCTTGCAAACAAAGACGAAATCATCCTCTAAGCATCTACTCCTTATGTACTCAACACATCGTTCGTACAGAGCGTGGCGAGCTCATCCGTAAACCAGCTTGAAGATGTCGTTGAAGATGTAGAAGCTGCCAGCACCATCGGGAAGGAGCTGGAATGTCTGGCTGTAGCTCATGGGTCTCTGTTCCTCATCGACCTAGTTGGTGATACCGGTTAGCAACCTTCTTGGTTTTCCGAACCAGTACTTTGGTGAGACGTACCAGGAGGGCACCAGTTACAAGAATCAGAATGCCTTGGGACTCTCCACTGGGTTGCGCATCGAGGGTCGCGACCTTATGTTGTACCTTCGCAAAGGGCAGTCCCTATAGATAAGGTCAATAACCATATATCAATGCAGAAACTCAAGCCTTCTTACTGCGAGTTTCTCCACAATACCAGTTGCGCCTTGTACCGAGGCCGACTCGAAGGTCAACATGGAGTTTTCACGCTATGCTCGTATTAGCATTAACGTCAAAAGATCCCTTTTTGACACTCACATAGAGAGGAACCAACTGCTTCCTGTCCTGATCGAACTGGTTGTAGTAGAACTGGGTGAATTGCTCTGCGGGGTAGGATCAGCCTTGTTCTGGCGGAGGGGTATACGAATATCCGCTCGCAACATCTGCGGAATGCCTCGAGCAATCTGATCATGCGAACAGAGATTTGGAGGCCTTGGGAAGAGTGCTCCACGTACGCGCGACTTCTAAAAAGTCTGAGAGGATGAGTTAGCAATGGTATCATGCTGGTATTAGAGAATTTTATAGTATAACGACATGGAATGACAGCGCATAGACTAGAATAGCAATGTACTTACTTGCCATATTGACGGGATATTTCGAGTCTTCTTGGTGAGGTTCCTGAGTCTGAGATGCTTCTGCTGCGATGGTGTTTATGAAGGCGTGGCGGGGTCGTTTCTGGTTGCCCTGGAACTCTCGCTAAAGTGGTTTAGCGCGACAGCAGAATAAATTGACTCAAAAGCAAATTCCTCCCTCCGAAATCTCTTCCTCCTTTCCTTGCCAACACAAAATCACCAACACACAATGACTCTTAACATACACCAAGAGAACGCATTCATGCCGTGCCTGGACCTAGCTCCTGTTGCTATCAATCGAATTATGTTATGCTAACGAACACCGCTACTCCAGCAGACACACTTTTTGGTACGTTCGATCAGCTCTTTTCCGCTCTTCCTCAGCTCAGCTTCTCTGATGACTACACTTATGCCTTAAGAACGGCCAGCTGAAAGGTTTACCTTCATGCTGAGACAAACCCGAATTCAAGCTCAACAGTCTGAGACCATACCAAGCTTCCTCTCATTACATGATTAAAGATGCTCTGTCGCTGTACAAACGCTGACTGGTGAAACAGAACATAAGATAGCGACCAAACATGCCAAAGTTAAAAAAGGATATGGTGATTCTACAATTGAGTGGACGAATACCGAAGATTCCATCAGCCTAAGTGGCAATAGCACAAAGGGCGGCAATATAAAGGCGACAGGTAACGGGGATCATAACAGACTGCCCATCACATGAATCTGACGAGACAACCGCTGTCTGTTAGATGAGCTGGGGCGGTGACAAAGTGGCAATTGGAAGTGATGATGGGACAGGATCACCTACTGGGTTGCTGTACTTTCGGATTAAACCATCATAATTGTGGAATAAAAAAACATGTGGAAATTATGAAACATGGAATAACCTACTCGTGAACCTGACCACTGTGAATAATGATCTGGATATAAAAAGTCTTAAAAATCAACTTATCTAAGGTAAAGGAGGTAATGAAGGTATGGGTTGCGGGAAGTTTACCTCTGAACTGCTGGCTATCGACAAGGCGCCGCTTTGTTCTGTCCTACAGTACCAAGGCACCTCGTAAGTTCAACCTCCACACCTCCCCTCCACTCCCCTCCCCTGCTGCCCTGCCCTACCTTTCGCATACTGAAGCGGGAATCCGTAGATTTTTGCGTCTGGGGTCTACTACTATTTGGAGTCCTACCTACCTTACTCTGTTCAATCTATTTCAGCCTCTGTCATATCTACGCTGCCACTCCTCGAGTTGCTGCCTCGCTACCGTTCAGCCTCTTCCCGCATCTGTCTACAACAACCACAACCTGCCATAGGTACTGTACCGGTACACGTAGAACCACAAATCCCGCCTTCGACAACTCACGAATTTGCAAACTGCCCTCCCTCGAAAACTGCATATTCACGTCCGCTGGGCAGCTTCGGTTGCTACAGCACCATCTTGAAGCAGAATGCCTTGCTTCAAGGGCATCGCAGTGAGCGTCCATGCGGAAGGCGCCCCACTGCCAGAATACTCAGTGCAGAAGCAATCTAGAGTCTCACGCGTCAATACGTACATCCCAGTCCCGAAGCCAAAGATTCCCCAAGATCCAGCCTCAAATAAGCCCGAGCCCTCCAAGTTTGCCATCTCGATAACTCTCCTCACACCCGGCTTGGGTGTCCCGTACTCGACACCGAAGTCTACCCCGGAGAATCCACACCCTCAGCCTCAAATAGTCGCTGGCCTACCCGGCAACACCTCCCAGCGAGGCACATATATTGGTTCTGTCGGTCCCTACGTACCTATCACGAAGTCCGAGAACGAGACCATCGCTGCCTATATCTATTTTGATGGTCGTGTAAAGGAAGAGGTTGCTACTCTACTGCGTCCCGGCGAGGAGACTTGGGTCAATTCGCGTTGGGTCCAGGTACCAGATTCAGAAGGCGGTGGACTAGCTGAGAGAGAATTCCTCTTCCGCGAAGTGGGATTGGAGCGATGGCTGAATGGCCTTGATCTAGATGGCCAAGATGCGGCGGCGAAGCTCGAGAAGCGTAGACAAAAGTTCGAGAAACGCCGTCGGCGCAAGAAGGAAGAAAATGGCAGCGATGATGATCTTGCTGATCCGATGTCGGGGACGAGAAAACCTTCGGGCTCACGGAGTGTATTAAGGTACGGGGCAGATGAGTCTTCACCAATCGAGAAACTATCCGATGATGAGGACTCCTTCAGCTCCGACTCGGACGATGATGATCTACCAGAGGCTGCTGGCCAAATTAAGGTCGCCATGTTCCGTGTTCTAGCATCTGGAGAAATCAAGAGAGGAGAATACTCACCCCAGTTTGATGCCCATGATGATGACGAGGGCAAGGATGGTAATAATGAAGGCGGTGACGGGGCCGATGTTGACCACACCACGAGCTTTGCTAAGCCAAAGACTTTGGATCCAAAATCGATCAGTACGCAAACAGTCACAGGCATAGATGGACCAGAGAAGCCTTTTGCAGTGTTTACTTTCTTCTATAGAGGCGAGAGTAAGTTTACAGCCCTTTTCTTCGAGTGCATTGCTAACAGCTCTCACAAGGACAACTGCAGAAGATGGGCATCCTAAAATCCAAACAGCAAAAGGGAACTACTGGGCCTACCAAGAGACGCTCAACTCAGCTCGACTTTTCCAACCTTGGTCCTTTAAAGCCTGGCGGAACTGTTGGGTTTTCGTCATTCAGAGATAACGATGGCTCCACCAATCGAAACAAGTCCAGAAAGAAGAGTAGTGGAAGCATTGGAGCCATGGAAGAAGATAGTGACGAAGATGATGACGATGCTGAGATTGTTGGCAAGATGGACGATGTCGATGACAAAGATGTCAAGACTCTGCTAAGCCCTGAAGATGCCAAATATACGGGAGAACTCGCAGACGGTGTGGGACGAATTAAGGCAAGTCTATTGATTCTTTTATGGGTGATTGATGCTAACCAAATCACAGCTCAAGCGACAGCACTCTGCAGAGCCCCTGAATGCAAATTCAAGGAAGTCCCCTGGGTCAATCGGTACCACCTCTGTCGGCGCAACTCCCCCGGCGGAAATAGATACAGCACCTACAGCCAACCAAACACTGTCAAACAGCGTATTTGGCGCAAACTTGCTTGATGATAATGTCGTCGGTAGTCCGCTTAAGAAGCATAGAGCTAGCTTATACGACACTGATAATGAAACTATACAGAAGCGGTTAGGTTTGGGCCTCAGCGGAGGTGGAGATGTTCTTGCCGCCGCTGAAGCAGCCCACGCACCTCTTCCGGAGCCCGCTATGAGGACTGAAGAGGAAGAAGAACTATGAAGGGGGCGGACAGAAAATATAATATCCGGAATACATGGAATCTAACACAACCTGAACATACTCTTGCTTCTGAAAAGGCAGCCCATTGGAAAGCACAGTATGCTGGATCTTTGGTTGATGGAACGGACGAAGACAGTCAGAATCACGTGCCGCATTGCTGCACAAGGTCTTGTAAGACTTTAACTATGAAGAGCGCAGTCGCCGCATCAGGTGAGCCTGTCGCAGATCTGCCATAGCCTACTTCGTGTAGTCGAAGCAGCATAGAGTAGATTAATATTAACATATATGAGAAATCATGCTGTAGCTGTGTTACTTGTCAACCAAGTAAGATGGGGTACATTTACCCCGATGCAGGTAAGTGGGTATGAGGGGAGGCGTCGGCGTCACACCAACCGCTTCTGTCGTGCTATGACTTTGACTTTGTTTTCTTGTCCATGCGTTTTTATACTTTCAGGCAGCCATCAAAAAGTTTTGATGCGCCTTTTCAAGATTTAAAGTCTCCAGAAGTACTTGCGAATTGACCTAGCTCAACCATGACAAACCTCAAGATGTTTTCCAAATTCTTTTCGTTGACGGCATTGCTACAATTGGTGCCTTGTGCAAATGGTGCTGGGCAGCAACATGTATTGAAAGATAAACCTACCAGTCCATTTGACGCCAAATTTGCAAAACTAGCCAAAGATACACTGGAGCTATGGCATGTACCTGGCGTTTCGATTGCGGTTGTTGATGGCAATGATACATGGGCAGAGGTGAGCTTTTGTCTTTCAACCTTCCTCTACAACAAACCGTCTCGTCGCGTCTCAAGCGTTCCATGTGGTATGAACCATCAAAAGCACAGCACTCATTTCATTGTTTCTCTCAGGGCTACGGTATCTCTTCATTTCCCTCCACACCCGTCACGCCAGAAACGCTTTTCTGCGGCGCCAGCACCACAAAAGCCTTCACAGCCGCCGCCATGGCCCTCCTTATCTCCTCATCCAACTACACCGGTCTCTCCTGGGACACGCCGATCTCCAGTCTCATCCGGGAAGATTTCGTGCTCCCGGACCTGTATTCCACCGAGCACGTTACCATTGAAGACGCGCTTTCTCATCGTACTGGCATGCCTGCTCATGATGCCAGTTACGGGGGTACGAATGAGAAGGGCGAGAAGAGGGGCGTGAGAGATTTGGTGCGGAGTTTGAGACATTTGCCGCTCACTGCGCCGTTGAGAATGAGGTTTCAGTATTGTAATATGATGTTTGTTGCTGTTAGCCATGTTGTTGAGACACTCACGGGGGTGGGGCTGGGTGATTTCTTGAAAGAGAATATTTGGGAGCCGTTGGGGATGAAGTCTACGGTATGTCTATTCCATTCTTGTCAACAAGAATGAGTCTACTTTATATCTTAAAGTTTTAAAACTTGAAATATTTAAGTTGTCATGTAATAGTAATGAAGTACTCCTTTTCGTTTTGAATCGCTGCATGTTGCTAACTTCAGACATAGTATTTCGACACAGACGCCGCACAAGCAGCTCCAGAGCCCTTTGCTCAAGGCTATGTCTATTACGAAGAAAAGTACCAACCGGTTCCATACATGGACCTTTATATTGTCTCTGGAGCGGGTGCCGTGATTTCCAACGTCCTGGACTATTCAAAATGGATCCGAGCCTTTTTAACCACCTCCGGACCTCTTTCCAATTCAGACTACGCAGCCCTGAAAACTCCCCGTACGCTTCTTCCTACTAGTGGAGAACTGTCACGGTTCCCTCAACCATATACTGGACCCCGCTCTTACGCTCTCGGTTGGTATCATGGCGTGTACCAGGGATATGAGTATTTTGGGCATAGTGGCGGCATGGAAGCTTTCGGCGCAGAGGTTGGTAAGTAGTCAGTCTTCTTTATGACCAAATCAGACCCCTTCCCCTATTTTTCCAGTATACAAATAAGACGACTAATCCATCTCCCACGTTAGTTATATTCCCCGACCTAAACTACGGCCTCGTCTCCTTCGGCAACACAGGAGAAACCTCCAACTTCGCAATCCTAAAATTAATCTACGACCTGATTGACGAAAAGCTAGTCATCCCTCCCGAAAAGCGCTATGATTGGAATAAGCAGTAAGCTACCACCCCCTTACACACCACAGACATCACAGAAACTTAAACCCCCATCCATCCATCCATCCATCCATCCACTCACCCATTCACAGAAACCAAGCCCTCCTCCACCGCCGCAACCACACCTACTACAACTCACCTCAGGCCCTCTATCCCTCTATCCCCTCTCCTCCCCTCCCCCTCACCCTCCCCCTCGCCTCCTACACAGGCACTTACACTCACCCCGCCTACCACGCCCTCACGCTAGTCCTCCTAAACAACACCCTACACTTCTACCGCGACAACGCGAGCTGGGTGACCACGTTCGAGCTGCAGCACGTCAGCGGCGAGTTTTTCCTGGCGTATATGGACTCGCGGGCCGCGCCCGGAGGAATTTTTTGGGCGGTGCGTAAGGCGGAGTTCGTGTTAGGGAGTGAGGGCGTGGTGAGGAAGTTTGGGGTTGCGCTAGAGGTGGGGATGGGGGAGGAGGGGAGGATTTGGTTTGAGAGGGTTTGACTCTTTGAGGAGGTTGGTTTGAATTGTTATATGGGTATTGGAAAGAGGGGGGTCCTAGGCTCGATCTGTGTGCTTGAAGCATTGTATAATCATATCTTCCTCAGATTTATCTTCTCAGTTGATTAGCTTCACTCACCTCCGCCATAGGATTCAGATGACGTTTCTGAAGAAGTTAAGTAATAAGACAAGCAAGGCTTGCACTCCATAATTTATTCACAGAATTGAACCCATCCATGTATTTGTAAACCTAGAAAAGTATGTTTGTTTATTCATCCAGTTCATACCAGAACTTCGCGAACACTGAATCCCAAACCCAAGTCAATACTTGGTCTGCATAAGCTTGCTTCTACCGATACCCATACCATACCAGCCCAAACTCCCCTTTCCATCCATAATCATTCCCTGACAATATCAAGCTCATCATCATCATCACTACTAAAAGTAACTATCATCTCCTTCGCAACCTCACCCCCCAAACTCTCCCTGCCCGCCTCCCTAATCCCCTTCTCAGTCACAAACCGCGTCTTCTTCTTGACAGGCTGCAGACTCTCTCCATCTTTCATCCTACCCAACTCCTTGCTTAAGTTATTTCCCCAGCCAATAGCAGCGGAGCTAGAACCCGTATTTGCTCGTTTTCGTTTGATAGGTGAGAGCGCTACATCTTTTGCTTTCCCGCTCAAGAGACCGAGGGACGCTGCATCAGTAGGCGCTATATCATTCGATGGGTGGGAATGGCTGGGATGAGCTTTGGAATTAGAGGGCTTAGGGCGCATATAAACAGCACCAAGCCCCTCCCCCATCGTCCGCAGCTTGTCCTCTAAATCCCTCTCTTTCTCCTTCGCCAGCAGCTGTCTCGTCATCCGCTCTTCCTTGCTAGAGCCACGGTGAAATGCATCAGGGTCGAAATCCACGTCGTCGAGCTTGTTGACTGTGGTCTTGTTATTGACGTATATCTGACTATGTGATCCCTTGTCATAGCGAACTTTCTGGTCTGCTTCTTTCTTGCCGCGGTTGGTCACGTCTTGCGAGTTGTATTTCCGGCGGCCGTAGTCACCCTTGCCGAAATTCATGGTGTTTACTTCCATGCGTTTGGAGTGTGTTTTGGCTAGGGTTTGGTTAACGTGGAAATCGCAGAACTCGGTGTGGCGTTTGTCGACCCAGGAGTCGCAGGTCTTGCCATCCTTTCTGATACTTTTGCAGAATCCCAAGTCTCGCGCTGAGCCGATCTCTAGAATGGTGTCTGCATCAGAGTTTAGGACTAGACTGAATTTGCCGGTGTCTTCGCGACCTTTTGGGGGAGGCATGAAACCGGGGTTCAGGATCGCTATGATGGTGCCTGTGGTGAGTTTCCAGAATTTGTCGAAGGCTGAGTCGAAGAGGAATAGGTCTAGTTCCCATTTGAGATCCGTCAAACCCATAATCATATATTTACCCCGATTGTCGTTTTTAGCATTTTGATTATGTTTCATAGGCTGGGTCTTCTTAGCAATGATTGCAAAGACTACTACATCCTCTTCTATGTCTGGACCTTGAAAGTCTGGGGCTTTGACTGTTCTAAGAAGATCTGGGACGAGGAATGTCTTTTTCCCAGTGAGGGTACGTGTGAGCACTTGGTGTGGAATGATTCGTTTTGAAAGATGTGCGGTTGAATATGGTTCGAATTGTGAAGCATCTGCCTCCGTGACTTCACTTGGTGGAACGTTGGGTTTGACAGCTTCCCGTTTCCTTGGAGGTATGTCCACTGATGCGCGAGAATCAGTTCTGGCTGTTGAGGTGCTATTCGTAGTAGCGCTAGAATCTCTCATAGCCGAACGAAGATTCGGCGTCGTTTTACTCCGTGGTATGGTGCTACTAGGCTTATTGATTCCATTCAATATATCGTCTCTGCTGAATTCCGGTGCTCGGTGAGGAGCGCTCGGAAATTCTACTGCAGCTTCCTTGAAACTTTGCATCTGGTCCTGGTCGATGTTGAACGCTGTACTCCTATTTCTCTTGATACGCAACTCCCTTTCCTGTCGATCGGTCTGCTGTGCTCTCATGGCAGCCATCCGTTCACTGAACGATTTAGGCCGGTCTTCATCTCGAGAAGACGCAAATGAGCCATCTCGCCCTGCAGCTTGGGAGGCTGGTCTCTGTAGGAAAGGACCCAGTCGCCTCTCCGGAACTTCGGCATCTTCCCTTTTTCGTAGACTTGGTGCCCTCTTTAACGAAATATCTCTACCTGTAAGCCCCTTGTCGATGCCTAAAAGTACCCTTTGCGGCGACGTGTGAGCCTGGGCTGGCTGTGCTCTTCGAAGAGGAGATACAGGAACATTGATGCCAGCCTGTGACATCGACCTCTCCTTCTCCAACCGCTCCTCTCTCAATCCTTCAACCCTTGCCTGCGCACGACTCGCGGCCACCGAATTTGCCCTAGAAAGTGGCCTTGAGCCTGTCCTGGCCTCATTCTCCGTATCCGAGCCCTGTTTCGACTTCTTCTGCAGCTTCTTGAGCTTCAATCGCGCTTGGATCTCTTGCAGCTGTAGCTGAAGTGTCTCTTCATCGTCGTCTGAATCACCCCCATCCATATCTAATTTCATCAAGTCCTTCCCCCTGTTCCTTATCGAATGTGTTGAGCCCGTCCGTTTCAATGGCGAAGGAGATGGAGAGCGGCGTTCTGCGAGGAGTTGAAGGCGTTTACGACCACCGGGAGTGCTCTTCAAGACGTCGTGGGGTGACCTTGGTGGCCATTCAGGGTTACCGACTTCGATATGTTAATCATAGAACTGCGCGCTTCCTGGGGTGCCTACCTTGCGACATGATCTGATTTGCGACGCCATCAGTAGATATCTATGTTGCCCACTGCCCGCCGCGTTGTTGGTGAGCGAAGATGCTGCTATGAGCAGGGGTGGCAGATAATGTTATTTATTATCCCCTTCAATGCGAAACAGAACTATAGAGTGGTGTTATCTTAGGGAGAATTTCCTAGGAACGGTGATAGATTGATTTACCATGAGAGACCGAGATCAGAACTTGTACAAGTGCATCATCCTCACTAGTAATCCTTCACTCATTGAGGAAGTCGCCGTTGTACAAAACTTATGCATGTTTCAGATGTAAACGCGCTTTCCTGACGGACGCGGTTCAACGCGGTTCGACGCGTCTTCCCCGGACTTCTTGGCATTGGTACATTTCCTTTATTGACAGTAGGACAATCCTTTCCAATTATACAACACCAAAAGCAAAAATGAAGACTCGAGGGAGACCGTCAACGAAAGCGAAAAAGGAACCAACTGAGGCGCCAGTAACCTCAGAGCCAAAAACACAATTGGGCCCAAATGTCGCCAATCCTCCACAGCTGTTTATATTGCCCGAAGGCATATCCAAAAATGCTCGTGTCATCTCTGTCGAAAACCCAAGATCGACCAATGATAGTAGATATCTCGTCTGTCCCGAACGAGGATTCTACGAGTTTACAAAGGTAGCGACACCAAAATCGACCCCTCGTAGCTTGTTATTATCTTCGCTGGATGCGGAAGCCGTAGATGGGGACAATGGGGTGGAAGACTCGACGGACAAGCTCTCGTCAAGCGGATATATTATGCGGGATGCAGGGCTATTTGTTGCGACTCCAATGGACCCTCTGTTCTTTGTTCTACCTGTCCTGGCCCCAGTATCTGCGTCCAGAGGTTCAGAGCCCCCGAAGAAGTTGTTCCTGTCCGGAGAAGATTATCTGGATAAGGTCACAGCGGCGTCGCCACATTTGATCAGTTTGTTAAGGGTAGATTCATTACGGGCGTCGATTGAAAAGAGAATGGCCGCTGTATGTGATACGGTAGATGCAGGAGACGAGACCATGTATCGACTGAGTGAGGAGAAAATGACGAGGGAATTGTTGAAAAAGGCCAAGAAGATGTCTGAGAATGGATTGCCAGCAAGTATGGAAGACAAATTCATCAGGAAATCACTCGATGTGCCCATTTTGAGCATAAAAAGGGAGGAAAGCTCCCTAAATGATGAAGAGACGCCAGCAGATACGCCAGATACCCAGGCATCGACAACATCAACAGACACAGCTACAAGCTCCTTCTCAGAAGCTTCGACAGCAGCCACGTCTTTTTCTGAGCACTCCCAGGGTACAGCCACTCAGCATATGAAAACGCCAAGCATACCCCCCATCAATGCCCCAGACGGTGTAGTAGATCTATTACGACTTCGGACTGCACTCTTCTTCATCTGCTCAAACTATATTGCACCGTACCTCAGTGAGACAATCAAAAAGCTTGTCCTATCATCTACTTCGACCGTCGACTTTGCACCTCTGGAAGCACATCTTGTACATCTAGCTAAGCTTCGACAAGAAGCTCTCGCTGCAAGGCAACTCGGCGGCACGTCACAAAAGCGATCGTTAGAGGAGGATGAAGATGGAGAAAGTCGAGCTGAGAAGAAACGGAAATTGGAAGAAGAGGAGAAAAGGAAGAAAGCTGGTGAGAGTAGGGGAGTGAAGAACCTGAAGAAGGTAAATACGACTGGGATGAAAAAGATGAGTGATTTCTTCAAAAAGAAATAAGTATACCATTGCATGTCAGGCGTATTGGATAGGCAAGGCGTTCATGTAGGATAATGTATTCATCTAATACCCCGGGCTCTACCCCTCACACTACCAGTTCCTCTCCCAAGACCCGTACCACCCGTACCACCCGTACTACCCCGTGAAGCCCCTCTCGTAGTTCCTCCTGCAAGATATCCACTTCCGGTCAACCCCCTCCCGCTAGCTCTTCCTCTACCCCTTGTGCCCCTCGTCCCTCTAACGTTAGTACCAGCCTGTCGTTGTCTCTCCTCATCTTCAGCCCTCCGTCTCGCCTCCTCTCTTCTTCGCTCCTCTTCCGCCGCCCTCCGCTCAGCAGCCTGTGCCTTCAGCACAACCTCGTTCTCCATATCTGAGATATCCTGGCTGGCGCCTTGCCAATTGGGGTTCAGGATCAGGCGCTGGTTGTGTTCTGTTTGGGAAAGGATGCGGATCCAGCTATTTAGGAGAGTCGAGGCTGATGTTACGGTTTTCGAGACCGTCTGGTTGGCCGGCGATGGTTAGTGGGATTATAGAGAGGATTGGGAGTTACTGACTTCCATATTTCCCTTTGCGCTTTCAAGACTTGACACCACGCCTTCTATCAATTCGTTGATGCCCCGCACCCCTTCCAACTCCTTCTTCAGCGCTGCCTCCCGCGCCTGCTCAGCGTCATATTTCGATTCTGGATTGCGCTGGGGGTCAGAGGGTTTGGTATTAGGCTTCGGCGTAGGTTTAGAGGTCTTGGAGGGGGACGCGAATAGGTCTTCTGTGTCCGAGTCTGAAAGGTCGAGTCTTCCAAGGTCTGGTGTAGACATTTTGTGTACAAGAAAAGAAGACAGGATTTTGGTAGAACGCAGTGATTATTGATTATTTACATTTAACGCGTAAAAACGCGTCTGGTAAAATGTGCTGGGTAAATCGTGAGGCTTTGTTATCGATTGTGCTGGCAAGTGGGGCAGTGTGGCTTCAGGTGGCTCCAATCAAAATACCGGGCGGTGAGTGGAAAACAAGGGGCTGGTATTTCAGCCTCTTGGATTTTACAACTTCATCGCCAACGTCAACATCAACACACCATGCACCATATTTTGATTTCTCACACGTGCGACCTTACGACGCAACAAAACAAAACAACTGTCGGACAGCTGCATTATTAACCTGCCTCTGCTTTTGCTTCGGTTGCAATATCATCAGTGTTGATTGCCTTACCAGCTCATAGTCGCTTTACTAAGATCCGCTCAACCAAACCGCATTTTGCAATTGCTCAACATCACCGCCGGAGCTGACACCATTTATTCACTTGTTGATTGTGGCGCATTTCAATTCAATTCAATTTATTCTTTCGACATTGACTGTGGATTCCTGGTGTCAACCTTGCAGTCCTACAGACAACCTTCATCCAACATGGCAACCTTCCGTCATACAACACCTCCTCCCACATCCCGCATCCACACTCCCTCAACACCTCTTTTTGGTACCTTCGACGACGACTATCAACCATACTCGCCCAGGAAGTCTTCCCGAATTTCGCAGCGCTCTCGCGCCGCGCAGACACCGCCTCCACAATCAGCTAGTCGCAATCTTCGCACGAACCCTTCGTCTTCGGGTTCATCGTCAACATCTCCATACCTTACCTCCCAACCTCGCTCCCCGCAAACAGCACCGAAGAAAAGAGGGCCGAAGAGCGATCCCGAAATTAGTGGACGACGTGTATCTGGTGCCTTAAATTACGAATCTACAGTTTCCGCAGCCGCCGCTCTTGGTCTCCCTACGCCTACTCCTCGAAAAGCCGAAAAGATGAGACCCGTAGATGTGCTACGTGCCAATGGCATGCTTCCGACTCCAGCAAAGACGCCACAGAAACGCCCAGAGGAAGGACAGACACCCCCCGAGGTTACAGCAATTGCGCGCAATTTATTCTCAGTTCGCCCTGACACCTTGGACGAGGTTATGCCCTCTCCCAAGAGGAAGGGAAAGAAGCGCTACACCGGATTTACATTAGACAGCTTTGAGGCCGAAAACGATCAGACGCCTATTGCGATATATACCGATTCCAATGAGCGCATTCCCGAGGCTGATATGAGTATGGACAACCCTTTCTATGGTGAAGGCGCCGAGCATGAATATGCAGAGCATGAGCCAAGCAAGCGCTCCATGAAGAGGAGAAAGATCATGGTGCCAGGAGAAGGAGAGCAGGATTTGGAGGATGTCGAGCAAAGAAAGGATGGGGTTATCTGTGTCTTGTAAGTCTAATATTCGAGCGATCTATGTTTGAGCACAACTAACCTTTTTGCTTTAGTCGTGGACGAAAAGTCTTTAGAAAGTTTAGCGATGCGCAAAGCCTTGACCATAGAGATACTGGTTCCATGGCTGACGGAAGTTTTGGGGAAGCTCCAGCCGCAGAAGCATCTGCATCAGGTGCCAGTCGTCTTCTATTCCCATCCGACCGCCAACTTCGATCTAAGGATCTTAGAAGCCAGGCTGTCGAGGATGAGGAAGCCGATACCGACATTGACGAATCTTCCATGCTTTCTACTCCCCGTACCCGACCTGGCAGAAAGACTAGATCTATCACTAACAAGTCGACGCCCCAATACAGCGAAGAAATCTCTACCCCTATGGCCCCTAGATTCGCTCCCGCCGTTCCGATCTCACCACCGTCTACATCCAGAGCTACACGATCAAGGAAGATTGACATGAGCAGCTCTCCAGCTGGCCCGGATAGCGACGATGCACTCAGTCCCTTCGACTCCTGGTCGAGGGTCAAGAACCCCAAGAAGCGTGTCGCAGATACACCGCCCTCCAAACCCTCATCACATTCCGACAAGAGACTCAAATTTTAATTACGTCCCGCAATCTTCCGGACAGCCCAGGACGATTAACTTCTTTCACACGACGCTGGAACAAGTCGGGTTTATTTCCGGCTTTTGGAGAGATTAGGGTCGTCAAAACGGAGTCTGGTTGTTTTTGAGTTCAGCGCAAGCATGCTTCTGGACTGTAGCGAGGCGCTTTTATTTGTGCTATGAAAATTATGCATGGCCCGAGGGTTGGGTCACTTTACTACAATTATATTTTAGTTTCGGTGGTGGATGGGGTTTTATGACCGTTTGTTCTTGGTCCTGGTCTGGGAGTCGGGTGATGAATCACTCACTACCTGGCGGACATTGATTGTTTTGAGGAGGAATGGGATGGAACGCGGAATAGGCTTGTGTTGTATAAGAGATACTTGAGACTTTCATGGCAACCTACAAGCAAGGAAGCGACGAATGAGGACATCTGCAAGCTAAGCAGACAAAATAGACGCATTTCATGAACTTTAACATATTTCCCATGCTCTCTCTCGCATGCTGCAATGCCAATCAGTCTTGATTTTTAAGTGAAATATGGTCTATAAAGCAAAAATTTACGCTTGCTCATTTCATCACTAATTGTCCATCCATTACCTACATGCACATGACTAATAGCCCCATACCAAATCCACCCATGCAATCTCGCTCCAAACACCTAAATACCATTCATACACCATATCACTCATCCAAAACTCACAACAAACTCTCCCAAGCATCCAAACCACTCTTCTTTTGCGGTTGCTGCTGACCCATACCCATGCCCATACCTCCCCCTCCAAACGCATTATGTTGCTGCAATGGAGGTGGAGCTCCAAAAGCATTCGTCTGTTGCGGAGCCCCAAAAGCGTTATTTGTATGTGTCTGCGTAAAAGTAGGCTGTGCCTGGAACGCTGGCGTTTGCCGTTGCTGAGGTGGCAAACTAAATGAACTTGCGCCCGGGGGCGGAGGGAGAGAGAAAGAGTTCGTTGCGCTCATGGCAGGTCTTTGCTGTTGCTGCTGCTGTTGGTTCATGGAGAGACTAGCCACGGAATTCCCCAGTGAAGAGACGGATTGTGATGAAGTGTTTGCAGAACCCCATGGATTGGACGCTGCTGCGCCCCAGTTTACGGACGTTGCAGGAGGAGGGGGTTGGAAGGCGGACATTGTTTGGGTGTTTGTGCTGTAGGTCGACGTTTGCGGTTGGAGTGGAGCGCTGAAGCTATTTTGTGGCTGAAGGGGTTGTGAGAATTGCGTTGTGGTGGGTGAGAGTACTTCTATGCGTGAGAGATCTGGCGTTATGGTCCTCGAGGCTGCGTTCGCCTGTTGTGGCTTGAGTGGCCCCATTGAGCTATTGCTCGTATGGAAGGAAGGTGTCGTTGGACTTGGGGTGGACCAGGAGAACGCTGCTGGTTTTGGCTGGGAATTTCGAGAGGGTTGGGATGTTGCGGATGCGGGCGCTGCATCCCAGCCTGCGTCCATTGTATTGGTAGATTCGCTGATTCCGGCATTGCCTTTGACGAGGCGCTCAAAGTCGATTTCACCGCCTTCTGCACCGCCATTGGTTGATCCAAAAGCGTTGGTACCTCCGAAAGACATGAAGTCGTCGTTTCGAGCAGCGCTGGAGCCATTTGCGCCTGAGAGTTCTTGCAGTTTCTTTGTCTGCTCTGCTTCGACGCGGGATGAGAGGCTTTTAATGAGCTCGATGAATGATTGGAACTGCTTCAAGTTGAGTAATGGACCCAGACTCATACTCCATAAGACTGGGAGAATGTCCATGGCAACAAAGTCTGCATCTGCCACGCCTCCCACTTGCCTTAGAACATTGAGTGCCGCGACTGCAACGGCAGGCTCTTTTGTTTTGATGGCTCTTATAAGAGGAACGATCTTCTCTTGCATTGTGTACTTATCCAAAGCAGTTGAAGAGCTCTTTTTGCTAGCATTCGAGTTCATGATGCCATCTAAGCCATCATTATTCGCTGCAGGATCATTGGTACCACCGCAAAGAATCACAAATGCTTCCAATCCGCGGACTTTAATTCCAAGACTGCTGGTCTTGCTGAATACGGAGGCAATGACTGGAAATAATTCATTCTTGATGGTAGAAAAATCCAATACTGGAAGTACAATCGGTAAACTTCGTAATGAGGCATCAACAATACTATGAGTTGGCGACTCAATTGCAAGGTGGATGATAGGCAGGATTTCTAGGATAATCAGCACAGTTGATATCTTCATCAAAACGCTACTTACCATCTTTGAATTCCTTGCCCGAGCAGTTGTTTTTAATCTCAGTTATGTGTTCCAATAGCACCATGAGGCCAGCCTCCTTTGCTAAGTCTCGTTCAATGGGACCTTTAGAATTGCCCGGAGGCAGGAATATCTCTCTCAATCTTGGCATTATCTTCTCCGTAAATGGTCTCCTTCCGGATGGTAACAGCTCAATGATCTTGAAGACATTTTGCAAAATCAGAGATAGCAGCTCACGGTCTTTCATTTCTTCCAGCAGTGCCGGAAGAACTTTCTTATCCAGGACGGATTTTGGGAAGGATGGCAGGACTCTCGAAAGCCCACGCATGAATTGTGCTTTCTCATTGGGTGTTTTAGTCGGGAGTGAGTCTAAAAATCGAATGGTAGATATCAGGATATTATCAAAATATGCGCTTTGTTGAAACTCTTTCGCCGTCATTCGTTGAGCTGGGCGTCTAGTTATCAGACGAGGCAAGACCGATGTAGTAAGATCCTTTGGAATTGGCCTTGAAGAAAGAAAGCCATTACCAGCTGACGGTATTGTTGATGAGGACGTAAACAACCTCTTGTAGGTTGACACGCTGGAGTTTGTTTGTAAAGGGGAAGTATGCGGAGAGTTGTAGAGGGCAATTATTAAAAGTCCAAGGGAGAACATATCGGCTCCTACATTCAAGTTCGAGTCCAGCACGAAATCCGGGGAGCAAAAGTCTAGGTCCATTTGCACAGAGCGGGGGAGTCGTGGGTCAACATTGAGGGCATCGGAAAGGTTAATAGGCTGTACAGAGGTAGCTTTTGTTGAGCCATCAGGGGGACTCGAAAAACTCAGCCCACTGATTTTCCAATCGGACTATATATCATCAGTGAAGAACTCAAGAAATTCAGCTCATAACCCACCTTGGCATTTATAAAAACTGCATCAGGAGTCAAATTGCCATGAACAAGACCAGCGTGATCATGCAAAAACTCCAATGCCTTGCTAAGCTGTTCCAGCCCCTTTTGTATTTCCAGCTCATCGATCTCGAGCTCCCGCCGCCTACGCCCTCCCTCCGAATCTTCTGTAACAAACCGACTTGATCTGCCACCCCTTCCTCCGGACCTTTCCTCTTCATCCTTTTCTGCTAACAAGCCGGCCAGAGATGCCGTTACAGGCTCCGTCGCAAATTGTAGTCCTCCATTTCGCGTTTCCTCGACCGGCTCAACAAGCTCCAGGATATTCGGATGCCGTAACCTAGCTAACGACGATGCCTCTTTCTTCAATCTTTCCACCACTTCTTCGGTGGCACGCTTCATTGAAGCAGCACTCGATCTCCCAAGGGACCCAGAGTGGGAATCCAGGGACTTGCGATCAAGCACGAACACAGACACCGCCTTCCCCGTATTTTTCTTCTTGCCATCGTATATCTTCCAAGGCCCAGAGGTAGAAATCGGCGAGGATGCTACGGTGTAATTGGAGTTTATGTTCGAGGAGAACGATTTCAGGGCTGAACTGAACATCTTTTGTTATTGGAGTTCCACCTGTCATTCAGCCTCTTTGGCTTCGTGTCCTCTCGTAGCGCATGGGGGCTCCTAAGTCGACCTATACGGGGTCCTCAGGCAATGGTGGAAAGCAATAAAGCTATGCTCGACGTTTTGTAGGTTTGAAAAATAAAATTATGTTGCAGTGGCTGCAATTAGTGAAGCATCAAGGCTGCCAGCAAGGCTCCGACGCCAACGGCTCAGATCGCTGCTAGATGATTGTATCAAATTTATAGGCGGGGTTTTGGTCACATTTCCTACAATAAAAATAACCACAAAGTAATTGTTTCCTTTTCAATTTAAGCTGATCGTTGTTAAGACTGCTCTTCTACACTACTACTAATGGATTTAATGTGCTTTTCAAAAACGTTTATTCGTTCAAGTACACCATATCATACGATCGTCAAAAGTACACCCGTCCCGTGAATCTATAAATATGGCGGCTAGCTCGCTTGTTGATGGTCCGATGTCCGTCTTTCGGAGGGCGCCCAAGAAATATCTCGAGTTGAACGGTCTGACTCAATCCATCCATTTCGTCTTCTCCCAAACATCTCTCTTCTATAAGGAAAGCTAGATCACCTGGATCAGCAACTCTGAAACATACTTCTGGCTGCAAATTCGTCAACATGCTTCGTCAATTGCGACCCAGAAGCTCGCTCTTCAAACAATCTCCCTCGAGGCTGTTAGCAAGCTATGAACCCTCGAGACTATACAGCATAAAGGCCGAAGCAGCAGCAACAACAAGGCTCCCAGAGATTGATCCCTCCGCCCTGACCATCACCAAAACCACCACTCCAAAAGAGTTGGTTCCCCAGAATGAACTGGTATTTGGCCGAACGTTCACAGGTAAATACCTCCCACCCTTGAATTCATACCAGATAACTAACAGCTACATCAGACCACATGCTCAGTCTCGAATGGACCGCCGCAGAAGGCTGGCTTCCCCCACGCATAACGCCCTACCAAAACCTCTCTCTCGACCCCGCCAGCTGCGTCTTCCATTACGCCTTCACCGCATTCGAAGGTATGAAAGCTTACAAAGACACCAAAGGCCAAGTCCGGCTTTTTCGGCCCACTAAAAACATGGAACGTCTAAATAAATCCGTTGCGAGAATCGCTCTTCCGACTTTTGATGGTGCTGCTATGATTGAGTTGATTTCTAAATTTGCGGCTCTGGATGAGCGCTTTATTTCCGATCAGAAGGGATACTCGCTGTATTTGAGGCCAACAATGATTGGGACGCAGAGAACACTAGGTGTGGGACCACCTGGCTCCGCACTTTTGTATGTTATCGCGTCGCCAGTGGGACCTTATTATCCTACAGGCTTCAAGGCCATATCGTTGGAGGCTACAAATTATGCTGTACGAGCCTGGCCGGGAGGAGTTGGTGACAAGAAGCTGGGTGCTAATTACGCGCCTTGTATTGTGCCGCAAATGGAGGCTGCGAAGAGGGGCTTCCACCAGAATTTGTGGTTGTTTGGGGAAGAGGAGTACGTTACTGAAGTGGGGACTATGAATCTTTTTGTGGCCATGAAGAATAAGGAGACGGGACAAAAGGAACTTATTACTGCACCGCTGGATGGGACGATTCTTGAGGGTGTAACGAGGGATTCGATATTGGAATTGGCACGTGAGAGGTTAGTACCTGAAGGGTGGTTGGTTTCTGAGCGGAAGTACACGATGGGGGATCTCGACGCTGCTGCAAAGGATGGCCGATTAATGGAAGTTTTCGGTGCGGGAACTGCAGCTATTGTAGCACCAGTACGGAATATCAGCTGGAAGGGCAAGCTAGTGGATTGTGGGTTGAAACCAGGTGAGGAAGCCGGAGAGCTTACGTTAAAATTGAAGGATTGGATTGAGGCTAGACAGTATGGGGATGAGGAGCATGATTGGAGTTATGTTGTGTCAAAGTAAAGTGTATTATATTATATAGAAACAGCAATTGGGCGGCAACTTCCGGGTGATAGCGTTGCATCTTAGGAGGCTATTCCTATAGAATTTGAAAATAGACATGACCTAGCGAGGTTCCATCGACTAGGAGCGGGACATCCATCATTATGACATTCTTAGCCCCCTTCCCCAAGCTTCGACTCACCATAAACTGTATTCTCTTTCTCACAAAAAAACACGAACCTTGTAATCACATACCAAACATAGACAACATGCAGCAAACCGTTTAATTCCAAGCTCAAAACAGATAAAATCCATCGTCTAACAGCACTCTCCAGGTGTATGTGCATGTGCATCTCCTCTCACTTGATATCCCATCTCAACCAACCTCTAATTCCATATGTACAACTTCCAGCCTCCATCCCATTTCCCCAAATCCATCTCTACGACTTATCCTCCGGCTCCGCCAAGATGCCCTCAACCTCTAACCGCCGTCTCGCTTCTTCAAGTGCCCAGGTTTGTATCCTATTGCATAATATTAGCCTTCATCCAATACAAGATCGACTTCATTTTTCTCCCTCCATCTCCATCTCTATATCCCCTCTCCTCCATTCACACCTATCTCTACACCTCATATCCCACTCCACTCCCGCAACCCAACCTATCCCATCCCCCTCAGTCCCTCCACCCCCAAAAACACGCCAATCCAACTCAAACAAAAGGACAAGAAAGAAAAATAACACTTACGAAGTATCAGGCTTAAAAGCATACCCCACAGCCCCCGCCGCCAAACTCCCGAAAAACCCATACACCCAAATATTCTCCCACCCCTCCACAGGCGCCTTCTCGCCCGGCTTCACACCGAACAGCCATCCAGTAGGCGGATCATACGGTTCCTCGTGGTGATGCTCATGTTCGTGTTCGTGTGCGTCCGCATGTCCTGCCTTTGCAGCGGATGCCGAGCTCGCAGATGCTGAGAATGGACGAGCGGATGATGAGCGTGCACAGGCGCTGGCGCTGCATGTGAGAGATCGGGAGGCGCGGAGCGCGGTGGTGGGGGTTGGGAGGACGCGCATTGTGGTTCTTTTTTCCCGTCTGCGTGAGGATGGTGGGCGTGGGTGGTAGGGAGAGAGGGGAGTCGAAAAGATGAGATGAGGTCGTTGAAGTTGGAGTTGAAGGTCGCTTGCAGACCGGCCCGGCTGCGCTAGTGGTGCCGCTCCTCCCCTCCGCCGCTCGGAATAGTGGAGATCTACATGTATCTAAACCTCCACCTCCGCTTTCTCTTCCGCGTTATAAATCTTGAGCAGTATTCGAAGTATCCCCGCGAATGCATCTCATGTTCGCATACTATCTGACAACATTTAACTATAGCAGTCTTTAAATTTAAAGTAGCGGATACCATGGTAATCCGAAAATTTGATCATCTACTCGACGTCCATTTGCCCTTGTTCTATCAATCTTTCCTTTGTGTTACGTCTTGGACTAAGTCCTATAGATAAGCATTTTGCATTTGCTACTATTCTTTGAACCATCTATTAAATTTAATGCAGTTGATATGTATGACTTGATACGATGTTACATGCCTGCCAACATCTAGATTACCTTACACTTCAAGACTTCTACCTCCCCTTCATCTCTACCTCCATCTCCCTCAGTTCCCAACCACCGGCACCATATCACTCCCCTCTAACCCAGCTTCCTCATCTTCATACCTAAGCCCCAGATCCCCCACCTTTATATATATATTTTTACGCGGTTTCTGGTCTGGGGTACTAGGCGATAGCCGGGGACTACTCGTAGTACTAGGCCCCGTGTCCTCTGCAGGAAGAAGTGGAAGGGAAGGAAAAGGAAGGATTAAATTTCTAGAATCAGAACCCCTATCCGGATTATCAAAAGCATCTTACTGGGCAGGCACCGAGTACATGTCAGAAATATCTGCATCATAACCCGCGTCATCTGAAACGCGGTCTAGCAGTGGAATTTGGCAATTATGAAAACCCGAATCAAGTCCAGTATCTTGTTCTAGAGTACTAGTAGCGCTTTGTAGACGCGACGAGCACAGTGAAGAAGTACCCTGCTCCTGCTCCCGATCCTGGTTTTCATATACAGCGTGTCCGACCGAATAGCAAACCAATTTGGATAGAACCCGAGTCCAGAAGATCGATCATCATCGTCCGGCTTATCCAAACACCCCGAAAAGGGAAGAGGTGTGTCTACTAGAATCTCTAGATCGGCACCAGACGTAGCTCTGCATGCAACTTTTCTCTTTAAGCAGAAGCAGAAGCAGCCCATGTTGATTCTTGAACAGCGAGTGAAATATTTCCGTCTCTTTTGTCAACCGCTGTTCGTATTACTAGGAAAGGTTTTATTGATTATTTTCTAGAGTTATGTATGCTGCGACCTAGATGAATAGGTAGGTAGGTAGCATTTAAGTGGTTCTTGGACGTGAATCAGAGATGAGCAAGCCAAGGCTGGATTTGAAGCAAGCGTTAGGCTACTTACTATACGGAAAATGACTACCTAGGTAAAATAAGTATGAGTACGAAAAGCAAATATATTGCCTTGACTCTCACACACTCACTGTAGAAATCTTTAACCACATGCTTGTGGATGGTCAAAACGACTTATTTAACTTTTCTTAATTGAGATACTATCCGTAGAGGAATAGCACTAGGGGCATTACGCACTAGAACCTATTGATCTATGTTCTTGCTCCGATGTAACGACGGTCGCCCATATGGACATCCTTTCTTCTGCCGGAATTCTATTTCAAACCCAAGTGGCCTCTTGCTCCACCAGCCAACAACAAAATACTGCTATTGGCATTATCCAGAAAACATCAAACAATATAAGAGGTATGAGGTAGCGACAAGGAACAATATTTTTTGGAAGAGACAAGATAAAAAGAAGTGGCCATCCGAACGCCGGGCACTGCGAGAATTTTAAATAAAACTCGTCAACGAAACCGAAAACTCCAAGGGCGCCAACCTGGCCGTGCGAAGAGATATATGTACAAAAAAGAAATCTGGAGACGCTGCGTATTATACACTATAGACATTGGTGAGAGAGTGATGGAAGATGTGTCTTTGAAATGACAACCTATGTGAGTCTTGATGAGTTTGGTAATTGAGTTGCACCAAGGGGAGAGACCTCGTCAATTTGACTTGGGGGAGCGCCTAAATGGTGCGGATCGTCGGTAATTATGGGGTCCTGAGAACTGGTGTCCGGATGTATCTCGACGTCGCCTCTAGACTCAAGTTCTTGGCGGCCATTTTGACGAGAGAAAGCCATCGAATCTGCTGAGCGTTCGATTGGTGACTGTGACCACCCAGCTATACTTCCTCCAACGATACCTGGCATGACTAGAGCAGCGCCTAGTGCAGAATTTGATCGTGAGCGGTTCGATCGGCCACGCTTTCGGGATTCGGGAGTTGGCTGAGGTGGCTGAGGAGAGCCAAATTGATCCTCGCGTTGAGAGTCGCCACTGGGTGTCTGGGGAACGGAGTTGCTTCTCGAACGAGAGCCACTTCTAGAACGTGGCAGAAATTCGTCGCGTGCTTGCTGCATAGCAAACTTTAGATTGTTCAACCTACCACCCTTGACCCTCTTGAGGAAACTTAATTCTTCCTTGACATCTGTCAACGGCTGAGGGAACTGGAATGCCTCTTCTTCGTCGGAAATCCTCAACTCCGGTCCCTTTGTTGGTCTACTCTTAATATAATCGGGTATGAGTCGTAGGATCAACTCATCAGGTACGAGACGGATGACAGCACCGATCGGAATGGACAAGAATCCGAGGACGATTGAATATGCCCATTGTGCACCATTTAGTCGTTTTACGCTGAAAGCTGCTCCACCCACGAAGATGATCATGACCTGGCCAGCAACCATGACGACATTAATTCCCATGAAGAACCAGTTCCTAGTAACACCTTCAAAGATATTAAACTTATTGTCCAAACGACGATTACTATATGGTGTTAGTGTCTGTAGTAAAGGGGCATGTTTTGAGTTTGACTTACTTCCATTGGTTGAATATTTGCATCCAGACGAAGGTGTTGAAGACGAGTGTGTTTACTGAATCAAGCTCCCGCTTAGATGAATACGAGAGGATTTTTTCCGACCCAAAATAGAGAAGAAATGTTATAGCTAATTGATAGAGTGCCTCGCCAATGATCATCTTCCACATGGTGATGGTGATCAGAGGAGCTGATTTGGGATCTGGTTTTCGGTCAAGAATGCTTTCAGTCGGAGGATCCGTAGCCAACGCAAGAGCAGCCATAGTGTCCATAATAAGATTGACCCAGAGTAGTTGAACAGCTGTCAATACAGACTTTTCGTCACTGTTAGCAACAGCGGAAACGAAGGTAAGCATGACTGCAGTGATATTGACCGTGACCTGAAATTGCAAGAATTTCTTCACTGCATCGTTGACTGCACGTCCCCACATCATAGCTTTGACGATGGATTTAAAGTTGTCGTCCATCAAAATAATAGCTGAAGCTTCCTTTGCCACCTCAGTACCAGCAATGCCCATGGAAAATCCAACATCGGCAGTCTTGAGAGCGGGTGCGTCATTGGTTCCATCACCAGTAACAGCAACGGTCTCTCCCAGCTCTTTGAGACGCTTGACAAGAATCCGCTTATCCTCAGGGCTAGAACGAGCGAGAACTTGTAGGCGTGGGATGGTTTGGTCCATCTTAGCCTTACTCAGCTTTCGAAAAGCAGGTCCCTCCATGATTACTCCACCAGCGGTAAAGATTCCACATTCAGTCGCAATAGCTTTAGCAGTGATCATGTTATCTCCCGTAACCATACGGACCACAACCCCCGCTTTCTGGCATATGGCGACGGCCTCGGGGACACCTGGACGGAGCGGATCTTGAATTCCAACGATGCTTAGTAGAACCATTTGCTTGAAGATATCATCGAAAACGACCTCATTCTTGTCACCCTCAGCAGTGCGAGCCCCCTTGGCGGGCCATTTGTCAAAATCCCGATAGACCATAGCAATTGTTCGCAAGGAGCGATTGGCATAATTATCAATCAAATCGAGTAGTGTTTGACGATTGTCCGCTGTCATGGTGGTGCTGGAAGGTTCCTTGGTAGGGTCCCGAATAAGGTTTGAGCACTTTTCAAGCAAGATTTCGGATGCCCCCTTTACAAAGAGTCTGTATTTTCCATTTTCCAGTCGCACGACAACACCCATGCATTTACGGCCAGAGTCGAAAGGGATGAGCTGCACAATCGTGGCGTTTGATCGTTCCTCATCAACAGGACCCATTCCAAGGAACTCCTTCGCAAATGTCAGGAGAGCAGTTTCTGTCTTTGAACCGACGAATGTCTGAGCGCCGTCAAGTTCACCCTCGAATGCAGTGGAATTGAGGACGATAGATTGCGTCAACATAGCCTTAACCGCTGGATCCAGAGACGAAACGACTTCTTGTGCTGGTATGTTTTCCGTTGCTACTGGCACTTGAGTCTGCTTGCCTTTGCTGGAAGAATTGGCGATGTCTTTAGGAGAGGTATCGATAGTGCCACCAAAGCGTGAGCTAGTGCCCAAAGTACCAGCGACTACCTTCATTTGATTCTGTGTTAACGTTCCAGTTTTGTCGGAGCAAATGGTCGTTGCGTTGCCCATAACTTCACAAGCCTTCAAATGTCGAACAAGATTGTTGTCTTTCAGCATCCTAGTAGTTGCGAAAGCCAATGCGAGTGTAACAGCAAGGGGTAGACCTTCCGGCACAGCCACGACAATGATAGTCACAGTGACGATGAAGATATTCAGGAAATCTTGGCCTTTCTGCGTCGGCGTACCATTATTGTGAGGCAGACGGACTAGGAATTCGATGAAGAGGACAATGAAGAGAAGTAGACCGGCAGCACCGCCCAATTTGGCAATGTACTCGGCCAGAGTGTTCAACTTCGATTGCAGAGGAGTAACCTCCGGATCTTCTCGCAGAGACATGAGAGTCTTTCCATAGCTTGAATTGACGCCTGTTGAGGTGACCAGAAAGGTTCCAACGCCTTCTGTGACCTGAGCTCCGGAAAGAATAAAAGGGTCTAGTTTTCGCAGACTGTCGTGGTTTGCAATAGCATTATAGACCACATCAGCCGGTTGCTTGCGAATCAGATCAGATTCTCCAGTGGTTTGGGATTCATCGCATTTGACATTGTGGCCTTGGATGAAAATTCCATCAACTGGAATCATGTCTCCTGGCTCCAGATGCATCACGTCCCCAACAAGCACGTCGAAGACTGAAATCTCCCGGGTTTTACCAGATCGGACAACGTTGACATCCCGGTCTTGCTTTTTCTTGTTAAGCTTCACGAATTGCCGTTCCTTCTGGTAATCGTTCAACGAACCAACAACTACCACAATGACAATAGCTATAATGATAGCAACACCCTCAACCCACTCAATTGCAGGATTGTCAGGTGTATGCTTGGTGCCAAATGTTTGATACAGACCGACGGCTAATGATACCGCTGCGGCGATTGAAAGGAGGATCAGAACTTTGTCATTATACGTGATCCACATCAGTTGTAGCAAGCTCTTCCCTTTTTTCACCGGTAACCGATTGTCGCTGAATATGCGTTTTCGGTCGCAGAACAATTCTTTTGATGTTGTGTTCGTCCTTCTGACTGAGGGTTCTGAATCTTTCGAGTCGATACGTGAAAGAGGCGTCTTTGAATCATCGAGAAGCTCCGGCGACACGTTCTTAGCAGCCTCCTTTGCTTCATCAAAGCTTACAGTCCCATCCAATTCACCTTCATCCACGCTCAGGCCAGATTTGCGATCTGTCCGCAGCCCCTTCTCCAACCCAGCCAAGCCTCCTAAGGCATAGAACGTTGATAAACTTTTTGGGTTGATCAGTTTGTTCAATTGTCCTTGTGAAAAGGCAAAATTGTTGTCCTGGACCTCAAAGTCGCCTTCCGCGCCTGGGTCAGCCGTCAGGGCTTCTGGGTCGTTCATGATATCTTCGTTTCCCGGTACATTCCCAACTCTATCCTTGTCTCCCTGAGCACTGTTTGCAAAAGTGTCGCCGCTGTAATTTGTACCTGGGTGGTCTCCATCTTCTGACTCCACTGAGTTTTGTCTCGACCGCAATCCTGGCACGGCAAGAAAGCCATGTGCCTTATCCCCTCCTCTCGACGTGGGCGAGGAAACATTGTGTGGTGATGTCGGCCGGCTATCCCTATCAGAGAAATTCGGTCTCTCCCCTTTGCTATCAAAAGATGGTGTAGATCGAAGATCTGGTATAGATATCCGGCTGCCTTGACTGGAATGGCTTGCGTGATGTGATCGATTAAATGATAAGCTGGCAGGTCCGTCGTTCGTGGAAGGGCTGGATGGCTCTCCCTGTAGAGTAGTAGGCGAATTATGAAATGCTTTTAAAGCAACTGAATCGCTATCCACATCTTGAGGCGGGCTGGAATTCATGTTACTGACAGCAGATGTATCGATAGTGATGGTAGGTCTGCTCGCACAATTATATTTTAGCAAGGCTGGCCGAATACATATCTTAACTTTGAGGGCAAAACTCACGCTCGTTGCCTCCGTCCACCTGGACTTGGCGATGGCGATACGCCGTCTGGACTTGTCATGATGGCAACAGACCGTCACTACTGGTGTCAACAAACTCTCCTTTGTTTCGTCAGCGCACAGCCCGAGGCGGCGCAGAGCCTTGGCGTGTATTTCGTAGGTCGGGCCCGAATGTTGTCGGCATCTGATAGAGGCTGTGTCAAAGTGTTGAGCCTTGAGGAAGAGGAAGAGGAAGATCTAGGCTGCCGAGAGGTATATAAGCTAGGGTTTTCTCAAAATTTGTGTTGGCAAGACTTTTATGACTTCAGAATGAACGAGCCAAGCACGCGGACTGCGGCATAATTGATCAAATGGCTTGGCTAAACTTTCTCTCGCCGATTGCCAAAAACAGTCGAGTATGTTGTGGCGGGTAGAGCATAGTAGAGCAGCGCAGCAACACTTCTCCAGGCAAGTATTCAACGTAAACAAACAGGGTATCTCTCACCTATGTGGTGTCCATCAAACGACCGCTGGGGACCTTGTAAAGCTCAAAGGGCAGGGCAGGAATCGAATGACGGGACTGTGGCAATGGTGCGGATTCTCGGGGCGTTGAAGCTGAGTTTCCTACCTCTATGACTTCGACATCTGGCACAGGCGCAACAAGGAGGCGGAAGCAACTGGTGGACCTGAGGGCATTGAACTGAATTGGACTGAATGAGAAAGGAATCTTAGAAATGAATAATTCGTAGGTAGGTTCTCTGTTTCGGAGATGGGCTGCTCTCTTGGACGAAGCCGAATGTCTTGATCCCAGTCCCAGACCCAATGGGCCTCTGGAGTCCGGGTAGGGATATGGACCGTTAGCGCGAAAAAGGAGGCTGTGCTGCGGTGAACGAGCCTTGCATTTTTGGCCTGGCAGCCTGTGGAGCCAAACCAAAAACTCCGTAGATACAGTAGAGCGGTTATGAAAACGCCACAGAAACAATTCATAATGGGGTGAGGGGGTCAAACAAATACTATCGTAGATGATACGGGGTACCTCGCCGTCGTCTGCTGTATATTACTAGTAAATCTATCAACGCTTCGTTTTACTTCGAAGTAGAGGTATATACAAGTACATCTGCCCCTTTCCCTTCCATCTCGGGCTCGTAGGTACTTATTCTAGAATAGACGCGACCCGCCAAAAGATGGCGTGGCCCTATATGTGGCCTTACTTAAACAAGACTGGTCTTTCCGTGAGGCCTGCATGCAGAGAAACCCGAGTGGCCAACGGCCGTGCCAGCATAGTAACTCACCACTCTTTTGTTGTTCCTCCTTCTTGCTTCCTGGTCCTTGCCCATGATCAGGATCTTGACTTGGTAAAAGTACCGAGTAGATTGAAACCAGCCAGATCCAATCTTGCATATGTAGGATCTCTCCCTCTACAGTATCTCTCTCCCTCTCTCTCTCTCTCTCCCCCCCCCCCCCCTACACGAGCATCAAGACATCACGAGAATTCCAGAAGCATAAAAAGCTCCTCCTAACACTATTGGCATATCTACTTTTTCGCTACTAGTGTCCATCAATCAGCATGCTACACTACACTTCGTATATCCCTTTGTTTCGTAACTCCTCCAAGCCGATGCCACCCCGCTGCTGTGTCAGTGGTATTCTTCTGCTCTGGACTCTAGGGCAATCCAGTCCTCTGAAACTGCTTGTAATTGATGTCTGAAGCAGCCGGTCAGCAACAGGTACACTCATCAAGTCATCAACGAGTCAGCCTCTTGGTAATTGGATATTCGGACCTCACATTACTAGCCGAAAGAAGCACAAGGCAAGGTATGGCGTTCAGCAGTGACAGGTCCAACAAAGCGAACACTTTACAGCACAGTACATACAGCACCTACAGCACAGCATATCACATTCATGATGCTATCTAGTGACCCCTCTCATCTGCGCTGGTGTGCAGCTACGACAGTCCAGCTGGGACCGTGAGGCAAACAAACCACACGACAGCTGGGACAAGGCAAAATTCATGACGACCGAGAGGCTGAGCCCCAACACATGATAGCTGGAAGCTACTTGAGGTTACCTCGAGTTGGAACTTCTCCACAACAGCCCCTCATATCGATACACAAGACCAAGACCAAGACCACCAAGATCTTTGTAGCGATTGTTGCTTTTGCTTCGTATCAAGTCAACAATTTGTCACAAATGCCAATACCGTACTATACTCCCCTCGCCACTTGTGACGCCCACTCCCTCTTTCAATTCCCGAAGAATTTGTTCACAGACGCCGCCGAGCACAGCAATGCCCCGCTTGGCACAACATTAGCACCTTGGCCCAATAATTTAACTGCCTCAGTTATCGCATGTCTCAATCTCCTTCCCGACTTGGCTTCCAGAGTATACGAAGTGTGCCCGGACCATAGAAATCCGGCCAACCCCTCCTTTCCAAAAAAATTGAAGAGGTTGGAAGAAATTCAAAACATGTCCGTTGTTCCATGTTCCATGTTTCAACTTTCCATGCGCCAGCCTTCAGCCACTAATGCTGCATCGATCCTAGCTGCGATAAGCGAGGCGCCAGACCAGATCTCCAGGAGTAAAGGGAAGGGGCCAACCAACCAACCAACTTGGTCGTGGCGAGACGAAGAGTGAAGAAAAAGGGGCTGAGTCTCGCCTGTTGCCACTCACTCGGCTAGGTTTCTTCTCCCATTCGGCACTTCATATGCTACCATGCCATGCTATGGCCTCCTGCTGGCAAATGTCTCTAGATAATATCAAATTCAGGTCTGTGTACGAGGCTGAGTAGTTCTCAACCCGCATTTTTACTTCAAGTGCCGGAAGTCATGATTTACAGGTTTCGTATAAGGTGCCGGTAGGATGATCTCCATACCGGAAAGGAGCCTTAATAAGCTTTTGTGGGCATTTCCGCCAATTTCTTATGTGACACTCTGAGTATATTCAGGATTATAACGCATTTCAAAGCACGAATAAATACTAAGCGCTGTCTGATAAGCCTGCAGGAATGCAATCAGATGGCGAGTCTTGTGTGTACTGTACCGACCCGAGCATAGCCCCTCGTTTCGATAGTTCATATCCCCACACCAGCGGTGAGGTGAGTGAGTGACCCAGCCAGACCAGAGCCTTGTTCAGGCAGCTTTTGATGTTGAAAGGTGGGGTAGATATCCAAGAGGTGGACGGAGTGAAAAGGAAACAACAAGAAAGTTAAGGAATTTCAATCAAGACTACCTTTGTGGAAGAATGCTCTATATCGAAGCATCACTGTGCGGCAGGCTTTCGAAAATCGAGTTTACTGAATAAGGCAATTGTTCCATTTACCCCTTTCCGATACTGCCCCTCTCTTTTGCCATTTGACATCAAATCTGCCTTTATGTCGTTTGGGCAAGGCAGCTTTTGCAGTCATGAATAGCACTCGGCTTGATTGTCTGCCTAGTGGTAATGCCTCGAGGCATATAATCCCCAACTCTGCAGTGCAGCCTCTTTCCTTTCCACATCGAGTCAATATGAGAAGCGCCTTCCAATCTCGCAGCAGAGCAAGCTTCCGAGACATACTTGTCTCGGACATCAGCCCTCACTCGTCCTCATGCTAGCTTTCCTTTCAAGCGCCGAAGAAATTCTGTTTTGATATCTCTCGCAGACTCTTAGTGCCCATAGAGTCAAATCGTCCCTTTCCTCCGTAGCATCTTTATGTACTAATTCTACTAAATCTTATTTAATCGCTTTCTATCCTCTCCACAGCGTTTCTTAAGGCCATTATGGACATTCACCGTTACGTTCTAATCAGCACCCGGCCTTCCACGAAGCCACCAGTGGTCTTCTAAACATCGTTGGGAATTGGCAGAAGCATGCACAGTATGCCGTCAATCACTTTGCAACACATAGGAAGGTATCCTTTGACCAATGCTAGACTTCTATCTATCTATTTATCTATTTATCTATCTATCTATCTATCTATCTACACTTACAAGTAAGTTTTATTTAAAGCTCGAGGTCATTTCATTTTATATGGGATGGAAGAACAGCGAGGACTTTATATAGTATAGTATTTGGAAACGAGCTATTAAACGCTGTTTAAATACAGTATTGCGCGGTGGCAGGAAAACCGACGATTAATGAATGAATCAATACCTTAGGTAAGGTAGGGTAAACAGGCAGATTAATCAAGCACTTACATCCCGAATATGACATATGATAGACTTCAAGCTTAAACCCCTTGCGTGCCTAAACATCTACAGGCGGTGATGGGAAATCTAACTCGCAATAGACGTCCATTGCTTCATTACATTATATTATTACAATACATATCTCGAAAAGAGTAGCACTGTAACAGTACGATAAAGTCAAAATGGTGCGCAATTAGCTTTCCATTATCAAACTGCCACTCAACGCCTCCATACACATCATGGCCCGGGTATCAGAAACACTGACTACGAACCTCCAGCCATCTAGCCGGAAATTGATGGCAAGACAGTGGGGGAGATCGAGAATATTATCCGTGAAGAACGGACCGGACGGGTCAAGTGCGCATGCAATGAATTAGATATCGGGTGAGAGACTGATAGTACGAGTATGCTGGCTAGATGTCAAGGTTTACATCAAATACCATCCTAAATCCCTACCAACTAACCTGTCCACCAAATAATCTTCTGCAAACCCCTTCGGTTCCCTAGCATCATTTCTCTCTCCACCCCCCTCACAGGCCTAAATGTCGCGTCCGAACCACGGTATCAGAAAACGAGCCTCCCCTCTGCTTTCATTTGATCTGATGCAATACTACATGCCGTACGTGCAATACATCAATCAGACAGTGGGAAATGCTTAAACACAGCCTATGCCAAGGGGAGTCTACAATAGCTATCTATCTGTCTTACCTTCCCCAGTCTTCGCTGTGGAGTGGGAGGGTTCTTACTTGCGATGGCTTGCTTCTGCCGTTTCTTGCTTGCATGCCCGGGATACATGTATTACATATTCCGTTTTATACCTACTATACAGTACAAATAAATCCTCGACCTCCGACTCTCGCGTTGATGCTTCACATAAAAAGGGACATCACAAGCCAGATATGAATTATAATGCAATGCAACTATCAAAGTCTCTTTTGATTCTCCCATAAGTCTAACTAACCAACCACTCCCAAGAATACATGTTTGGAATCGCAGGTAGCGTAGTGAAAGAAATATTGTATGTTGTAATCCGAAAACCAAAGAAACACCCCTAGCTTTTACATGCGACATAGTAAAGTCGCGATCCATATTGAAATGCCCTGATCGTTGTACTCGGTCTAGTCATGTATAAATAAAATCCCGCTCACTCCATTCTTTCGCCACAAACGCCAATTAACAAGAACGACAAAAACACATTAGGTATCCAGACTTCTCAAGAAAACCCCTTCCAGCATGCTTCTCGGACACAATTCAATTTTCAACAGAGAAGCGGTATCGAGACGTAAAGCCATCCTGTAGCTTGATATCCGCCTTCTGATCCTTGGGCACCATCTCGTGATTAAGCTCCCAGCCTGCGCGTCGACACAGTTCTGCTACCACGATATCGCAATCGCCCAGTAGATCGATGTCGAAATTGACGTGCGAGACTGGGTCGCGGGAGATGTAGATCTGTGGGATATTAGAAGGGAGATACGGCACGACGTCCGAGACAGGCGCAACTTTCAACGACGTGCCCATGACAATGACGAGGTCAACGAGGTCCTTATCGTGGGTTGTAAGGCGCTCGGAGAAGCGGGTTGGGAGCGGCTCGCCGAAAAAAGTAATGTCGGGCTTCATTACACCCGCTTCGGGGATGTCATAATCTTCCTCTTCTTCCGAATCACTGTTGCTGTCGAATCGACGGCGCTTCTTGTCTTGGCCATTAGCAGAGCGCTTGCGCTTCATGCCATTGGCGCCCTTTTGAGCGCGTAAGAGTGCGATGCATTTATCGCAGCGCGGGATACGGTTGGCTCTGATGTCGGGGAAAATTACGGTGCCGTCGACTTGGTATTTGCATTGAATGCATGAAGCGGTGGCGAAAGATCCATGGCATTGGATCAGCTTTTCGGGTAAGATGCCGGCAATATTCTCGAGATTGTCGATATTTTGAGTGTAATTTGTAAGAAGCTTTCCCTTTTGCTGGAGCATGTGGATGAATTTGTGAGTCGGGGTGAATCGGTCGCCTTCGGGGATAATATCCTTCGCGACAGAGTAAAAATAGGTAGGATCCTCTCTGAACAGGCTTATATCAAAGACTTCCTGAGGATCGCTAAGACCAAGATGCTGTAGCTTTGAGTAAAGACCAATATCTTTAGATCGGAAGTCAGGGATGCCAAGGGAAGTGGAGATACCAGCACCGGTGAGGACGATGATATTGCGCGACTGCTTTAGGAGATCAACCGCGTCGTCGATGGTATTGTACTGAGGAAGCTTGATTCTTTTAGATAGCTCCCGGCTTATACCAACGCTCAGGAGTTGATAATAGGCGTCGTCAGGTGATCCCTCCATGTCCGGAGGAGGCCGAAGATTAAATGCGGTCAATAACTTCTTTGCGGTGATAGTTCCTGCTTCAATAGTCCTTGAGCAAAACTCCTCGGGACCAAAAGTGCGGAGGTCATTTCGATATTGAATAGCCTCATCGTAGGTGCATGCATTTGGGTCTATATGTGGACTACTTTTAGCGCGAACATATAATGTTGAGTTTCAGGTGTATTCACTCACCACCCTGGAAGAGATATTGGTCGTCTATCTCGCCGAGAGTCTCTTCGAAAACAGATTCGATATCCCATTCCTCGTCGTCTTCACTGCCGTCAAGTGAGCCATCATCAGAGGCCTCAAGGATTTTGACTTGAACACTTCCGCTGAGCCCATTCACACCAGAAACACGTGGAGCGTCAGCCAGCGCGTCCGGGGTTGTCTCGGACTCGTCGTCGCTCGTGTCGACAATATCGTAGGGGCCGGTGACAAGGCAAGTTTGACTTACGGCCGCCGTGTCCATGTCGATGGATGGACTCAGAGCACCGCAATGTGGATTGTCTGAATTGTGGATGTTGAATTGAGGTTGTCAAGAGTGTCTTGAAGCGCAGAAGTGAATTCACACCAATTGCCACAAGCTTTAAGCGAGGCGAGGCAGGCGTTGTCGGCGAAAACGAGACGAAAAGAAAAGAAAAGAGGCTAATCCCGAATGCGGTAAGTACCTCTAAGTACTACTGTACTGTACGTAGCGTACAGTAGCTCCCGACGAAAAGATATGATAGATAACCTTTAGATATGGATCGAATCCTGGAAAGCGTGATCCAACCACCAAAAACTTAACATCGACCCATTACAGACTTTAATCGCTTACAAAGCAGCCTTACAGATACTTTCAATATGAAAAGGGGCAATGGCTTCTGCCAAAGAAAGCAGCGAGGCGCCTCAGCTTCTCTTCTCACCTCCCTCCGCCGGGCCAGGACGGGACACTGCAGAAGCACCACACGGCGCTGACAATGCACCTCGAATGCACCGTCGGCGCTTTCCACGGACTGGTTCTACACGACATGTTCAATTACCGGCTCCCACCGATGGGCCAAGGTCCGCTGCATCCAGTATTTATATGGGCTCTTACAGCCGAAGTGCTCGCCGATCAAGATCATCCCTCAAAAGCCCTGGAAATTCGACTCCTGGCTCTCCTCGTCCCAGCATGAGCCATAGCCATCTAGAAAGTCTACTTCAAGATCTCAACTTAGATCTCGAAACCTACGGAGTCGAAGAACTTCGAGATGGCTTCTTCGATGCTTCCTTCTTCAAACCTCCCAAGGTGAATTATGAAACCCTCATGAAGGATGCAGAATATACATTGCCGGCTGCTTTCAAGACACGAAATCCTCTTTCCCCCAAAGCTTTTTTGCCAGGCCAATGGCAATCAATTAAGAACGTTGCGACAGCTGTCGTAACTACCCGAGCCGGGATCAAGTTGACCAAATCATTTCTGGCTTTCTTCATTGCCTACATTCTATGTCTCGTTCCTTCAATCCGGATATGGTTGGGACGATATTCGTATATTATGGTCCTGTCTGCCTTAATCAACCACCCTGGACGGACAATCGGAGCTCAGATCGATGGAACTCTGCTCACAATCCTTGGGACTGCTATTGGTCTTGGATGGGGAGCTTTCGCACTGTGGCTGTCTGATTCCACGGCCGTGGCAAGGAGAGGATATGGGGGTATTCTAGCAGCATTTCTCGTTATTTTTATGGGTATAATTGCGGCCCTTAGAAGCTACTATATTAGAGTGTACCAAATGGTACTTTGTGCTGGTATCGCTGTCATTTATACCTGTCTAGCAGACACCTCAAAAGCCATTGCTTGGAGGAAATTGTTTGATTATGCTATTCCTTGGCTGTTTGGACAAGCTCTATCACTCTTGATATGCTGCACTTTATATCCAGATGCTGGAGCGAGGCCTCTCGCGGTAGCTCTCCATGATGCCTTTAGGGTCATGCAAGAAGGGCTAGTGCTCCCTCAACCAGACAACATTACCCAGCATCGGCAGATGGCTTGGACCTTTGTGAACCTCTCACAAGCATACAGAGATTTGGTCTTGGATATCTCTTTAACTCGCTTCCGCCCGACAGATGTTATGGAATTGCGAAACCTGATGCAGGCCGTCATCAGATCACTGCTATCTTTGAGTACTGAAACCCATCTGTTTGATGAGATGGAGACAAAAAGGCAAAACGAGCAGGCGCCAATAGAGAGATCCCCAAAATCGCACGGCGAAATTGTCATCAACGTCGATGATTCCCCTCGGCGCCCATCATTATCAAGATCAAATACAGAGGAGCGGGCAGTGAAGTTGGTGGCAAGTAAACTAGCTGATCCCACCTCGGATCTTCTCTCGTGGATGAGAAAGTCACTGGCGAGATGCGATGCTGTGTTAATGAGCATGTCCGGATACCGACAGTATTTAGGGCCGCCTGAATCGATCAAATCCGATATACTCGGAGCATTAACCAAAATTCGGAAAGTCATGATCAAATATGACGAAGCGGAAGACTCTTTAATGCATAATCCGGCACTTCCACCAACTTACTCAAACCATCCACAAGTTGTGGAACTTTTCCTTTTCATACACCCAATCAGACTAGCAGCGAATAGCGTAGAAGCACTGCTCGTCAAGGTTATGCAAATGCAACAACGACACGGAGGATGGCGGATATATCTTCCTTCGTATCCATTCGGGAAAGCGCTACAACGAACTAACGCTCAGGTGAGGCACGATCGAGGTGGTGTCACAGCAGGTCATTATTTTCGAAGCCAGTCACAATTAGCAAGGACCATGAAGGGTATGGCCAATGTCTACAAACCTCTACCACGCCATCACGAGAAAGAAAAAGACCCGGACCCAGGAATTACGCGCGCTGAGACATTGGGAAAGTATGTGGAAGAGGAGGATGTTGCTATGGACCGAAGCTCGCCGAAGAAACAGCGATTTCGATACAAGCTCTGGTCCGTCTTACATCGTCTCCAAGGGTTTGAGACTAGACACGCCCTTAAGATTATAATAGTTACGTCTTTGCTATCAGTACCAGCGTGGCTGGACCAAAGTAGAGGCTGGTGGAATCAAAACGAGAGCTGGTGGGGAGTTATTCTAGTTTGGGTGATGGCTCATCCAAGGTGAGTAATTCTATCCTAAAAAGATATCCTCGTAGGCTAAGAAACTCCCAGAATCGGTGGGAACTTCCAGGACCTAGTCACTCGTGCTTTATGTGGGGTTCTTGGGGCTGTATGGGGAGGCCTAGCATATGGAGCTCGCGATGGCAACCCCTATGTGATGGCAGCATTTGCAGCTATCTACATGATACCCATGATATATAGATTCACACAAAGCCAACATCCTCGTTCCGGCATTGTGGGCTGCATATCATTTATAGTCGTTTCTCTAGGAGCGAAGGCTGTAGATGGGCTTCCTTCCGTGGCACACATTGCTTGGACCCGAGGAGCTGCATTCGTTGTCGGTGTCGTAGCAGCTGTTATCGTCAATTGGATTTTATGGCCTTTCGTTGCAAGACATGAGCTCCGAAAAGCTCTCTCGGGCATGATGATTTACTCGAGTATAATATACCGAGGTGTCGTTGCGAAATACGTTTACTATGAGCAAGGAGATGAACCGGGGAAAGAGGATATCGAGAGATCAGGTACGCTGCATTTTCTCCCATCTCCAGCTCCTATGTTGTTCCATCTTTCATTGGCTATCTTAAATTGTCTGACTTGTTCTCTTGTAGAAATGCTAGAAGGACGCCTCCGCGAAGGCTTCGTCCGAATCCGCCAACTAATGGTACACCTCCTTTGTTTTCCCCTCCCCTCTTCTACCCTTCCTCAACTAACTCACCTAGGCCCTAACACGTCACGAAATCCGTCTCCGCGCACCCTTCAACCCGCTCCCCTACTCCGCGCTCATCGACTCCACCGAGCGCTTCTTCGAATACCTCGTCTCCGTCCGCCAATCATCCCTCTTCTTCCACCCTCACTACATATCCGACAACAACGAGCAAGCGGCCGAGAGTCTACTCGCGTATAGACGGGATGCCGTAGCTGCTATACTAATGAATCTATATGTGCTCGCTGGGGCATTGAGGGGTGATAGAAAAGTACCCGTATCGTGACAATCACCCCTTCCCTCCCCCCCCTCCCGTTTCCCACTTCTAGCATATCCTAGTATCTCCTTGTCGTTCAGTGCTAATCAATTTGAAACACAGCGATACCTGCCCTCCGCAGCCCTAGCACGCAAACGCCTACTCGATAAAATGGCCGAGATCGAAGCCGAGCAAGCACAGACCCGCGAGATCGAGCGTGTTCAGAGCGGGGGAAGTGAGGGTGAGGGACGCAAATGGAGTCAGATTTATAGTTATAGCTATAGTCAGAGTTTGACAGGGTGTGTGAGGCAGCTGGAGGCGCTGATTCGGTATACGAAGGAGATTGTTGGAGAGCAGGGGTGAGTTTTGCTTGATTTCTTGTGTTGAGTGATGAAAGAGGGTGAAAGAAAGGAGAGAACGAGCGAGAGGTGGTAGTGGGATATTTGCTAATTTGTGAGACAGGTTTGATATTGGTGGGATGGATGGGATGGATGAGATAGAGTATGAAGATATCACTAGCGAACGGCGGAGATGAGGAAGGAGTAGCCTGTACTTGCGAGTAGACAGGAAAAAGGCGTTGATAATAATTTGTTCATTCGCTACGTTGATATCCCAATGATTGTACTACCCTACTGTAGCAATATTCAAAATTCTATGCTAATCCTGAATGCCTCGCTTTTAAATATCCTATGCATAACCTAACCCAACTCCTCATTAAGGATATTCCCCATCACCGACATTGCCGGTGGTTTGAATGGCTTTTGCCCCACGACTCTCTTGTTGGGCTGTCTCGTACCTCCGGCATTCTCTTTGCCATGGGCCTCACTGCCGAACTTCCTCTTGCCAGTAATCGTTTTCTCTTTCCGCATACCGGTATCTCCATGCTCAAAACCCTTGAGCTGCGTACCACCATGATTGCTAACAGCACTAGCAGTAGCCTGTGTAGCTTGCGTGCCAACCTCTTCAAAATAATGATTATCCATCGCATCATTAGGCAAGTTATAGATCCAATCCTTCTCCTCCATCAACCCCACGAACTTTGACACCATCTCATCATCACCATTCCCCTTCAGCGTCTCCCTTGAGCCAACAACAAGCAACTTACTCTTAGCACGCGTAAACGCTACATTGATTCTCCTCCAATCCTTCAGCAAGTCACCAATACTTTTCGCCTCATTCGAGCGTACAAGTGACAAGATGATGACTTCTTTGTCCCTGCCTTGGAACCGATCTGCGGTGTGCATTTCCACATCAGTGTGTGAGCGGAGTCCGTGTTGCAGGAGCGCAAGTTGTGAGCGGTAGTGCGTCATGACGCCTATGCTTGAAGCTGGGACGCCGACACTGAGGAGGGACTCTACGAGCTGGACGCAAAGCTTGACTTCTGTGGGATTGACGGTTCCGTTACCCCTCGATTCTTCTCTTGAAAGAGGGACTAAGGGGTCGGTATTTATGAAGGCTACTTTGATTTCTGGGGAGATAAGGTCGCGGATCCAGCATCTGCCTTTCATGAAGCCGCCAAGACAGATGGATTTCTGGCTGCGGGAGATGGTAGAGGGGCTGAAGTGACGGTTTCTTAGGCCGTCGAAGTTAGGAACTTCGAGACTGCGGGCTGCAACTTCTGCATTTCCACATTTAAGTCGCCCGCCGTAGATGAGGGCGTTGCTTAAAGCCTGTACGTCTTCGCACATTCGGTATTGGTGCTCGAGGTAGACGACTGAACTCGGATGCATGTCTGATAGATGCTTGAAGAGACTAATATCCAGACCCCCTATGCGAGCTTCTTCGTTTTGGACAAGTGGTGGGAGCTGGTTGTGGTCGCCGACCAGGATGAATGTTCGAGCGAGGCGGATGGGTCCGAGGCAGACAGGAAGGGTGATCTGAGAGGCTTCATCGACGATACAGTAGTCGAATGTGCGTTCATTGAAGATGGCGTGATTGATGCCGAGACAGGTAGTGGCTACTATTGGAGTGTCGTGCCAGGCACTTCTGATCTCGTCGAATGAAGTTTTGTTTTCTACCGCAAGCGTTGTGAATTCCCGTACTTCCGGATGAATCTTCGCAAAGGTGCCTAGTCGCAGGATAGGAATTTGATCATCCTTCAGTTTTAGGAGAATGTTGTCAACAGCCGAATGTGTGTAAGACGCGAGCAGAACGCTCTTTCCCTGAGAAACAAGCGCTCGGATGATATGGGCGATGGTAGTGGTCTTGCCTGTCCCGGGCATTCCGAGGACGAGGGCATAGTCCTCAGCGCTCATCACCTTTTGAATGGCTCTCCTCTGGTCAATATTGATGTTCTCTCGATCTTTCAAGACGTATGCGGTGGAATTCGTCTTGAAGCTTGGCGCATTGAGATCTACCACCAGACCACGGATTTGGCGAGAACCAAAGGGCCCGTCTGCCATTGTCTGAACTATGTTGTTCCTGGCGAGAGCCATACCATTGCTAAATTCGTCCTTGTCAAGTCTGTACTTGACTGGCTCTTCGGGGTTCTTTCTTGCGGACCCGACAATTCTTGATCCGTCTGCTCCTACTTCCATGATGCTTGCGAATACTTGGTTATCGTGTTCGTCGAATCCAGGCTGGCGGATGCGGGAATTGTGCAGACGACGATCCACAGCAACGGTAATTCGATGCTTTCGTACCTTCGTTACATAACCATTTGCAAGAGCAAAGTGTCCCTTCTCGTCCGATATTACTATCGGTTCTCCAACCCCAATCTGAGAATCGATAAATGATACTTCTGCAGCATCTGCTCCTTTGATGAGGACATATTGGAATCGGTTGATCTTGGGATTGTTCTGATCTTCATAGGCAGAGCCAGGCTCGATGATCACGCTGGAGAAGCATCTTCCCAGTTTTTCTCGTTCGGAGCTTAGCATTGTCCACAGCTCCCTTCGATGCTTGAGACATTCCTTCTCTTCCTTCGTGAGCAAGTCATCCCATTTCAGGAAGAACTCCTTATGTTTTGGAGTCAGATGCTTCACGACATCATCGAATTTCGCTTTTAATCCACTCGTCTCGCCATTCCCATCATCAGCAAGTCTGTGATATATAAAACAAGTCGTCTTCGCATAACATCGGTTACACATGTGTTCCTTTTTTAACATAGGAGGTAGATGTGAATGCCGTTCCCGTACAAAGCAAGCGAGATCATTACGCTGCATGATCATATGGCGAAGTTCGTGCCGAATTGCCGGTATTCTGATTGTTTCCGATGTTTCCATGTAATAAAGGATACCGTACGCGATCTCAACATCATACCGGTCAGACAAAAGAAGATTATAAAGAGTGGTTTGTGCTCTGTGTGAAGCACTCGGATTTTTGCCGGTCTTGACCTCAAATGGGGCAGTCAGTGTTCTGCTCTTGCTGCCTTCTTTCATTGTGACTTGAACAGTAGCATCAATGTTGCCCTTGAGACCGTACATTGGCGACCAGACATGTTCCTCGACATCAAGCAATTTGCTGACGCACATGGTGGCCTTCTCGCCATGTCTGGCTTTGATTATGGCTTCGGGCTATATAAGAGTTAGTCTATATCTTCTAGTAACAAGTAGTTGACATACCTTTGGTTTAGAGGAAATGAACAGTTCTGCCCAGGACTGAAGCTCGGCCATCTTACTCTGTAGATGTTCTATGGCCGCAGGAATCTGAATCTGAATGGTATAAAGATCCTCGACATGCCTCGTGGCTACGTCTTCAATGAGCTCGCTCAACCACTCGGAATCCCATCTGTTGGCAGTCATCGCAGCTTGGAATATTTCATGCAAGAGCGTACCATACACTAGGGGAGGGGAAGAATCGCTCGTCGCCTTAACCCTATCTTGGAGCACAGCCCTGCGAGAGCAGCCAAAGGAGTCCGCAACCGTTGTGGAGGAAATCAGATGATCAGGATGTAGGATCAGCATGTTGTTCTCGTCGTCGATTATGCAACGTCCATTCTTGAAAAGCCCAATAATGTGAACATAAGCTTCTTCCGTGACTGGGCTATCCCACCAGCAGCCGCGGAGGTTAACAAAGACGGTTGTATTTTGTTTCTCGGCCTGGAGGAAGAGGATCTAGAGCCCAGGGTCAGTCACAGCAATGATCTTCGAATGGAGACCTACTTTTTCTTTCTGTTTGCTTCCATAGGCATTTTCAAATTCGGATTCTATGATGCTTGTGACTAGGTATCGCTGGATGGCTTGTTTTTGTGTGGACTAACATATTCTTAGCAAACGGGTGTTGTATATTGCTATGGATATCTCGTACGTACAGGTAATAGACCATTGGCTGTTTGCTGCATAGACTGAGTAGCCGCAACTTCTGCTGCCTCAAGATCAAATTCATCTAGGCCATCATCTCCAAATTCGTCATCAGAATCTGCTACTGACGCCACCCTTCTTGACGCCCCGAGACTGTTGACCAGTCCCGATGGTTTAGCTGCACCTTTCCTCACGTTCGGACTGGGAGCTTTTCTGTCGAATTGCGAGAGAACCTGCTCAAGATCGTCTCCCAACACATCCTCATCAAAACCACCAAATTCGTCTGTAGATTTCAGAGTGCTCGAATCTTTCGACGCCTTGACTGATGGAGGCTGTAGGTTTATATTACGGTGTCTTTGCGGTGATTTTGAAAAGGGGTTAATCCGTGTAATGGAGTTTGATGTTATCGTGTTCTCCAATATGGGCTGCGTTGGGTTTGATTCCAGTACTTCGAGAAAGGTTGCGTCAAGCTCGTCATCATCAAAGTCTCCGTAGTCTGAAGAGTCCGACTTCGCCGGAGCTCCCTTGGGCTGAGAAGTTCTATCGAAATCGTAGCTTGTCACCTGTGAATTTTGGGGTACGGAATTCGCTGCCATAGCCTTCATAGCCTTCGCCCCACGGCGTTCTTTGTGATGCATTGGCGAGTTATTTTCATCGGTAGGGGATGATCTCTCTGCCGATAATACATTTGGCGATCTGGAGCTCTCAGTTGAAGACCGTTTGGGTTGAGTCATGCCTTCTTGGACTCTCTCAATCAGGACTGAAAGCTTCGACGGCCCAATACTTGCTGACTCTGTGAATACATCACCATCCTCAGGGCCACAGAGTCTTCGGCGCTTGGGAAATTGGTTGCCGCAGCTGTTGGCTCTTCTAAACCCATTTGTTGATCTTGGGGTCGTTCCTTCCTTCGAGGGCTGGGGCGAAGACGTCTGCATCAAATGTGCCAATGCAGGGACCGATGGGCCCTGAGGGGTAAGAGCATTAGATCCGTTGAGGGAATAGCGGCCCCAGAGTTCTGATCCCGGGTCGACTTGTGGATTTGCAGTTCCACTCTTAGCAGAGAAGTGATTTGAGGCGAGGGCTGGTGAAGAGTTCACTGGTGAGGAACTTCTCGCTCGTTTCTTTGCTCTCCTGATGCCCCGGAAAGATGACGAAGAGGTTGGTTCGTTGTCCTTGTCGTAATCCCATTCTATACGCTCGTCCGGAGATACGTTTTGAACTGCTCGTATAATATCCCCCATTCCAATCAGGTCCGGAAGTGCCAGTCTGCTTCCAGGGGTCGAGGGTAAATTCGCCATTGGCAGATCTGCTAGAGCAGCCTGCTCTTCTGATATATTTTTCTTTCCCTCGGGGACAATTTGAGGGCCACCTCTACTGCCCGAATCCGCATTCTCCTTGTCATCATTGGATAGCAGGTTTATCACGACCTTCTCTGAGGACACCGCCTTCGAATCGCCGAATTGGAACACATTGAGCTTGTTCTTGGTAGCCGTTGAGACTGGAACATGTGGCTTCTCCTGCAGAGGTTTCGACGGGGGGTTTTGCTTTGGAGGCTGCTGTCCTGGGAAGCTCTTATTTCGGCTCCATTGTGGACGATTCTGCTGCTTTTGCTATATAGTATTAGCATAGAGTCTTGACTGAGTTTTGTGGATCTAGAGACGGAGAACTCACTCTTGCCTTAGCAGAATAATTCTGGTCTGAGAACGACTTCTGCAGAGGCATTGTTCTCTTTGCGACACATCGAATGTTGCAAGGACATCAAGATAGGATGGGACAGGACAGGTCCCAATGACGCAGAGATGTATGTTTTGTTTTGGGCTGTTCTCCAGGTCACGGCTCGCGCAGGCGCGCTTTCCTTTAGCAGACGCGACTTTACGTGTGAGTTTAGCGGTAAGCCCCATTTGATAAAGCTACAGCTAGGCTTTGATAGAGAGACGACCCTTATCGGACGGCCGGCACCAGCCAACTTGCTGATTCCTTCCCCGCTGCATATACTTACTTTCTCCAGCTCATTGAACTACCAGCTACGTCTGAACCGCCTCATATATAGCTTCATTTGAGGCTTTTGTCAACCTGCGAGGTTTGTAAACTAAAACTAAGAACACATCCCCCAGTCCGCAGCCATGTCTTCCGATAAGCCATTACCATTCATCTACCAGTTCGCCGCAGGTAATGAAGCTACCTACTCCCTCGCCCTTGCCCATTGAAGCTCACAATATGTCTAGGCGCGGTCGCTGGTGTCTCTGAGGTAAGTTTACACACATCGGCAGTAGGAAGAGCTTTGCTGAACCTTCCCGTCTCTAGATTTTAGTGATGTAAACCCCCACTTCTCCGAACAAAAAAACGCGTTGAAATACTGACTGGTACAGGTACCCACTCGATGTGGTCAAAACCAGAGTGTAAGGCCCACGGAAGCTCGGAGATCATTGCCAGGGACCAGGAACAGTATGTTGATGGGATTATAGGCAGCTACAAACCTCGGCGGCGGTTGGAGATGACGCATACAATGGCATGGTGGATTGCTTCCGAAAGATCATTAAGAATGAAGGGCACGTTCCCCCAACGTATGAAGGGTATTCAGGGGCTTATAGATGAATAGCTTTTCACGATTGTATCGTGGTATCTCGGCACCCATTCTGATGGAAGCACCAAAGCGAGCGACTAAATTTGCTGCCAACGATGCGTGGGGTAAATTCTACCGCGATCTCTTTGGCGTTCAGAAGATGAACCAATCCCTTTCGGTCCTCACAGGAGCAACTGCCGGTGCCACCGAATCCTTTGTCGTAGTTCCATTCGAACTGGTTAAGATTCGACTTCAAGACCGTACCTCTGCTGGTAGATACAGTGGGATGCTTGATTGTGTGGCCAAGATTGTCAAGCAAGAAGGGCCTCTAGCATTATACAATGGACTTGAGAGCACACTGTGGAGGCATATTCTCTGGAACGCTGGATACTTTGGATGTATCTTCCAAGTTCGAGCACTGCTTCCCAAGGCCGACAACAAGTCAACTCAGATGGGTTACGATTTATTGTCTGGTGCAACTGGAGGGACAGTCGGTACAATTCTTAACACCCCTATGGATGTTGTCAAGTCGCGTATTCAGAATAGCCCAAAAGTTGCCGGAACGATTCCCAAGTACAACTGGGCGTGGCCTGCGCTGGGTACTGTGATGAAGGAAGAAGGATTCGGAGCGCTCTATAAAGGGTTCATACCAAAGGTCCTAAGATTAGGTCCAGGTGGCGGTATCTTGCTCGTTGTGTTCACTGGAGTGATGGATTTCTTCCGAAAGATGAGAGCAGAGGCATAGACATGATTTCGCAGAAGGTCAAGAGCTCGAATGTTATTGTACTTACAGTTGAATACCTTTGCAAGAAGGTCCTTTGTACATACATTTTGCGTCGTTAGGTCTAGAAGACGTGGAATGGGAGAATATGTAGAAAGGTTACGAGAAATCAAGCGAGTGCCATTACGTCTACTTTTGCATGGAAGGTCTTGAAATACCTACAGTAGCCTCGAGTCGCGTTTTATACGTCTTTTCATCTTGCATTTCATGCCACTTTCTTGCGCGTCATTATCAATCAGTAATATTCTCAGCGACGAATCTCCCTAAATTGTCTAAATCTTTCCTCAATGTTCCAGGTATTTTTATTGCGTTCGATCTTGTCTTTTGAAAGACACATACAGTTCCAGAATTCCATCTTGTTCTCGAATCATACATGCCGCAGGCTATCCGAAAGGGAGAGCTCTCGAGATTGCTCTTTGACAGTCTATAGAGCAGGAGTCATGCGAGATCTACACACTTTGACGAGGGTGGCACTATAGCCTGATGATGTGTGGTGAAAATTGGGAAGGTGTATTTGCAAGAGTCGCCAGAGCATTCCTTAGCCACGTAAGAGATGTTTCAGGACGAATTGCTCATGACTAACTAGCATAGAGCTGAAATCATACAACATTGCTTAGCTGTGGTTCGTTGCCCTTGACAAGCAGGTTGCAACACATCGAGAGACCTGAGTCAACAAACCATAACCCTTCACTCCACTTCTAAAGCTGGTAATATTTGAACTTGTTCACCAATCCTATTATAAAGCCCTTCTGTGACTCACTCGGTTACTAGAATCGAAAAGGGGTATACTCATAACCTGCGGGGCATATTTATTACTCGATCACTTGCTAACAGGAGTCAGAGACGGGGTGAAGCACGTGGTGAAACATACCATATGAAGCACAATTTTTTTAACCAAACGAAATGGGTTAATTGATAAATAAATTATTAGACCGAGTCTCCAGCTATCTATTCAGCTTGAGTTTTATATATTTTCAAGAATATTTTGAAAACAAGGGCTTTTTACCCGTGCGGCTGTCCCGCCCATGTTTTTAGCGCTTCTCGAAGCAACTGCTGCATAACAACACTTGCGACCTTCTTTCCCTCCTTCCCCAACACAACTTGCCATCAACAACGCCCAAATCACCAATCCGACTCCATTTCCAGACTTCTACGACTTGCGCGACAATACTCTCACTAATTTCGACCCCTCCAAATTAACAGTCTCCAGACACCGTAAGTGTATTCCATGTTTCCCGTCGCATTCCGTTCTCTGAAGACGCGTCCTCGAAATGCGCCAAATCAGCGCAAACCTCCACAACATGCAAAATTACTAATTCCTTTGCAGGAAGCAATGGCTCGTGAAGGCACCCGCTCAGCCACTGGTTCGTTTTTACCATATCCCTATGTTGCCGCTGCCAGCTTGCGATATAGCTCAGCGCGTAACTTGCCCGAGCTCTGCTGAACCTCAGATATAGGAAACTCCCGACCGAGGGTCTTCCCCACCGTCCCTGAGACGACGACTACCACCACGAAGAAGCGTGCGACTGCAAACACTGGTGCTAAGAGAGGGCCAAAGGCGGCGACTACCACCAAGGCTGCCAAACCAACTGGCGTCACCAAGAAGAAGGCACCTGCAAAGAAGACATCTGTGGCTACGAAGGTAAGAAATATTGGATTCCTTCTACATGATCATCACTAACATTCTCGATAGGCAAAGGGTGTTGTGAAGAAGGCCGAGGGAGTTGTCACTGGCAACCCTGAGAAGAAGGTATGTTGCTGCGAATTCTTTGTTATGATGCGGGCTTCGACGCGTACACCACCCCTGTCCCCAAAAAAACTTGCCAAAACAGATCCTCAATGATTTGTGACTTCTCTCGAGTGCTAGACAGTACTTGATCATTATAGTTATGCCATTTTAGGACCTTCTAAGTTCTACGAAATGCAACCATCCCCCACATATTTTCATATCATTCACTTCCAATCCAAGTAAGCCCATCAGACACTTTGACTAACACAATACTTTTGATAGGCTGCTGGTACCAAGAAGATCAAGGGTACTGATGGCGCCGCAGCAAAGCCCAAGGCTAAGACCGTGAAGAAGTAGAGGTCCCGTCAGGGATGGATTCTCCAACGCATGCAACGACGGTTAAGAACAAAGAAGCCGGCCAGTCACTAAATGTACCTACTGGAATGACTTCACGTTCTGATACCCTTTGTCTTTGACTGCAACTTGGAGCAGAAATGGCGTTCGAGGAGTTAAGTTACGGAATGTGGGCTGGAGGATGTTCGGACCATATGGGGATTTAATGGTATGCACTATGGTACATGCTATGTGACGGACGGGCTTTCCTTGGTCTCTGTATTTGGTTGTTCTCACAATCCTGTTTCATGACGGTTTTATTAGGTCCAGGTACATTACATGCGAGATTTCGTTTCCCACCTAAACTTTTTAGACTGACATGAAGTGATTTCTACATCTCTATTTTACCCACAATCTTGAAACTACAACAAAATCTAAGGCCTTGGTTTATTACGCATTCAAGTGTATATTGTCATCTATACTTCTACTTCTATTCGCATACTTCTCACCTTTGCTTCTTCCCTGGTAGCCTCAGCGTTATGTGCCTGCTCGTCTTCCTACCACAAGTCTACACGTTGCTCTCCAGGTGCTCTCTTTTACAAGCCCTCTATTCGTTGAATGCCATTTCGATTGAAGTACAGTATCAACCTTACCATCAAATCCCAACACCACGAAGTCAAAGTACTTCGCACACTGATACTAATGAAGTAAGTACTACCGAATCTGCTTGAGCACCTCGTATTTTTATTCTACTATTGTTATAAACACAGCCATTCATTCCTACGACTTCCTCCCCAACTCCACCTTCCTAACACACACCAGATCCCCATCTCCATGTTCCCCCACCCCATTCTCCTCCCCAACCCCAAAGAACTCCCCCACAACCCTCCCCACAACACAATCCCAAAGCCCCGCCACAACGCCCCTGAGCTCATCCCCAGTCTGCCTAAAATCCGGAAACGCATTGATTTCCAACAACCACGCCGTGCCCCGCTCATCGACTAGGAAATCCACGCCAAAGACCTCAAACGCATTCGGCAGCGTCTGGAAATGCACCATCATGCCCTTAGCAGCCGCCTCGAACACCTCACCGGTAGTCTCACATATCTGACTCCACACATTGTCCTTGATCTCCTGTTGTAGATCGAGAGACCAGAAGGCTTTTACGGGAGGGTAGGCAGAGGGGGATTGCAGACATGTGTTTGTTAGGTGTGCGGAGAGGTCGGACGAGGTCCAGGGGGCTGTGTAGGGAGTGGAGGCGAAGAGCGCGAGCATGGGCTTGTAGACGTGGATGGAGAGGGAGCCGGAGGCGAGCACGTAGGTCCGGATGTGGAATTTCGCGGCCGAGGAAGCTGCGAGGAGCGGTGGGTGGATGTAGGGTTGTGCGATGAAGTGGCGGAGGTGGGATGTTACTATGTAATCCCCTCCTTTCCCCTTCCCTTCCCCATCTTCCCTTGTTTCCTCCTCTTCTTCTTCTTGCTCTTCATCGTCATCAGAATCAGGCCGTTCAGCTTCCCACTCTTCAAAGATGCCTTGGAGCTCGGCCTCGGTGCTGAAGAGTCGGATGCCTTGCCCGCGATCACTCATTCCTGGTTTCAAGATCCACCATTCTCTTTCCGCTGGCTCTTTGCCTTCGTTCTTCGTAAAGCTCTCTTGTAATTCCCATGCTTCTACCAGAGCCTCATCGAGGAACTCGGCGTAATCGAGCTCGAAATCGCAGGCTGGCTTGATGTTTGTCTTTAAGATGCTGCCGGGGTGTTTGGCGATCCAATTGTAAGCTGTGGTGCTTAGGTAGTGTTTGCGGATTAAGGCTTTGCGGATAACATAGGCGTTGATGAGAGTACTGGTTGGGTAGGACATGGCTTGTGTGAAGGGCAGGGTTTCGTAGGAACTGATTTGGAGAAATGGAGTTGTGGGGGATGGTAGGTCTTCGATATTCGATATCAGGGTATAGGAATCCTCTGGGAAGCGGGATTTGAGGGTTGAGAGAATCAAGGGTTGTACGTATTCATCTTCATAGTTGATGAGGGCGTAAAAGTGATTTGCTGGTCTGGTGGTCAAAGAGAGGTTCTCCATTCCTAGTGTGCTTGTGGATGTGGATTGAGATGATGGCCTGGAAATCACGAGTCAGAGTGTGTTCTGCTATTGTGGTAGAGATATTTGTATTGGTCTAACATGCTCGGTCTAATGCTCCCAATGCTATGCTAAAACTCACAGCTTCAGCTCTCCCTCTGTTTGCGCCGCTGCATGCATAAAATTCGCTTTTAATGGAGTAACACTGCATCTCGTTAGTAACTTGGACCGTTTATGTGTCTGGGACATTCTGACCTTGTGTAATGCTCTTTCACTGCCCAACCATCATTCCCAGGACCAGCTTGCTCAACCGACTTATACACATCCGTAAACCTTGGCGCCCATTTGAAGTGTTTGTGTGTATGCCGTGTAACATTTTCTTCAGGAGTCCCCGACCCTTCTTCTCTTTCCCTAATCATCTGCTCCTCCTCATCAGCCGTCCCCTCATCATCCTCAACCTCCTTGAAACAGCTCCCCTCCCCCCAATAATTCTGCAGCATATTCGTCCACATAACCTTCCTACTATCCACCCCTGCCACCAATGGCACATTAATCGAATATAGATCCACATCCTCTCCCCAACCTTTATACAGATGCTCAATCAACCGCACCGACAGCTTCGACGCTGCAGCAATAATCTCCGGATCCCTTGCTGAATCGGGGAGTCCTGGCCTTTCCTTACTGAAGAAGGCATAGCTGAGAGCAATAGCTCTCCTCTTACAAACAGCAGCCTCCAACGCACCTCCCAACGTCCCACTACTCAGACTAAACACCGCCGTAGAATTACGTCCATAATTCGGGCCACTGACAACCAGGTCGATTGGGCCGCGGTCATGGAAATAATGATATAGTCCTATCTGCACACAACTCGCGGGCGTACCATCCACCAGCACCCATTCCTCTTGTTCTTTCGAGCCAGCCGGTAGAGGGCGGGAGTGTGTGGTGCCGTCGTCTTGGTGAAGCGTGCCGGGGCGGAAGTAGGTTGGCTTGACGGTCTGGCCGATCATGTGGGCTTTGCCAATCCATGAGCGTTGGGTGTGGGGAAGGACGACGGACACGAGATGGCCTGATTCTTGGAGTGATTGGACGAGGGAGTGGACGTAGGGTGAGGATTGGGTTGAGGGGGGTCCGTCGTCATTTACTATCTGTGGAGGAGTAATTATTAGCCTTCTCCAGCGGAGGTTTTGAGCATCATTGACGGGTCGGGGCTTACGAGGATATGCATCGTGAGATATCTGGTCGCATTAAATTGAGAAAAGGGTTCTGGCGGGGAGTCCAAAATGTTGCAATCGTGAGGAAGAGCAGCATGCATTCATGCTCAGCGGTGGTGGCGCCGATGGCGGAATCCTGAGTTTTGGTGGGGCAGCGAGTGACCCCTCACCTTATACATCTCACAGATCCAATAATTGCAACAAAACAGTGGAATAGAATCAAATCCTTTAGTAGACTCTTCTTAAACCACGACGGATTATATTTTTGTCTCATCTAAGCACCTTATAAGCAAATAGACAGAAGTCTCCTAGCTCAAGATCTTTACCATAGTAGACTCTGCCTTACTTACTTTTTAACGTCTGTATTTGATCAATTCAGGGGCTTTCAAACCTTCAAAATTTCTCAACCTTAGGTATGCCTCGAATCTTCCAAACTCTAAAGATTGGGAATCCCCTCGACGATGTACACGTAACTAGAATGGATCACCTCCTGCATACTCCATACACTTCATGAAATGGGGCGATGAACGGTCCTACAGATATATACCTGTAAGCAGAAAGAGTTATCCAGGCTTGGTAGGCTCGAGCTCGAGGGAAAGTGATTTCCCCCCTCTCTCCGTAACCGAGACTAGCGTCCGTGGCCTTCAGTGATCCACAGAGTGGGCAATGTGTTGTACACTTGAGACTACTTGCTTTGTCTCTGAAATTGGAGCTCGACTTTTGCCCTTGGCAATGCCTCGCCTCTTATGTTGTGAGACATTAGGTAAGGAAGGCATCAATCACAATAGCGCAAACTTGGGCAAATCACATATTAGTCGATTATTTATTCAGACATTTTATTCTATAATCTTACGCTCGTATCCTGTAAGTAACGCCTCCCCAGATGCAACTCCCGTTTCCAATCCTCATGTAATGCGACCGCTGGCCCCACGACGCCATCCAGGTTATAATTGACTTGTACAATGTGGGAATTATTCATACAACCTCGGACATGCTTCTCGGGACATTCTCCTCGAGACTTGTTAAGGAGGATCCGCTGGGAATTCGTCCGCAGGAGAGACCGCACAGGGGGTTCACGAGGAGCCGCACCCTGCTAGTCTCATCTCCTGCGGGGAACTCACCAGTTAATACAACTCCAAAGCTCCTCCCTCAGATCCCGTCCCTAGTACCACACCCACCTATTCCTCAGCCTCGGCTGGGATACCACCTAAAACACCAAATTGACCACCAAGACCAGCAAACACGAGCTTCTTTCCCCTGACAGCGGTATTATCCACCAACGTTGCAACCGGAATATCGGGTACTGGACCCTGACCCGTCTGGTAATTGGCATTGAAGCCCCAAGTATACACCTTGCCATCACTCGTGATAGCAGCACCGGCATCGGGACCAGCAGCAACAGCGACACCATCTACACCCGGAATGATGCTTGGCTTCGAGATGTATCGGGCCCGGCCATTGGATTCCCTGTAAATAGCGTTGGCTGGGAGAGTTGACAGATCAACACCAGATTGGTTGTTCTGGCAGCTACCCCACACCAAAACTTTCCCATCCGTTGTGACGGCGATGGAATGCTGCGCACCTCCCATGATCTGCTTGATCGCCATTCCTTCAAGACCCTCGATGATGGTCGGCTGTGAGATAGTAGGTGATGCGTCATCTTGATCTGATTCTGTGCCGCACTGAGCGAAACCATTGAGACCCCAGGCGAAGACGTTGCCTTTATCATCAGCCGCGAAGCAATGATAATCACCACAGCCGATAGTCATAATCTTCTTCCGCGACAGTCCAAATTCACTTGGTACGAGGGACTGAGCGACGTTGCGAGAGATGATCTTGCGACCAAGTTGGTTCTGTTCTCCTGCACCCCATGCAAATACCTTGCCCTTGGTGTTGAGGGCCAAGATGTGGTTGGTGCCGGCAGAAAGAGTGGTGATGTTCTTGAGCTCTGGGATGAGGACCGGAGTCGACTGAGTCTTTGGGCCGTGGGGGCGGAAACCCAAAATGCCATCATTACCCTGTGAAATTTAGTAGATGAGCGTTTATCAAGAGAAGAATACATACCCTGAATGTACCCCATCCATAGACCAAGCCGGTAGTAGTGACGACAAAGCTTGTGCTGTCAGCAGCAACTACATGTGAGAATTTGGTGCCTTCTGGAAAGTGACTGAGGTCCACCTCACGCGGCTCTGCTTCGCTTGCATTCAGGACCAAGTCTTCATCATCAGAATCATCCGCATTGGCATTGGGCTTCTCAGTCTCGCGCCCGAGAGCTCCTTGATCGTTCACTCCCCAAGTCAAGATCTTGTTGTCACGTGTAAGGGCAACACAGTGCATCCCGCCAGCCGCGATCTGAACCACACCGACCTCGCTTGCGGCAAGTCTGCGGTTAAGACGTGGACGTTTGACATTTGAGACTTCCTGTTCAGTACCAGTACCGATACCAAGCTCACCGGCAGAATTCTCGCCGAATACGTAAACATCGAGAACCTGCGTAGGAGCGTCGTTGATGTGAGGCAGCGCCTTTGGTGGCTTTGGGACAACCTCCCTCTTTGGGGCGGCAGCCTTCTTCACCGGCGCTATCTTTCTTGATACCGCGGGCTCTTTCTTTGCCTTCTTCGGGGCAGGGGAACCATCAACATCATCTGATGCCTTGCGCTTGTTGGAAGACTTAGCGGCCGATTTTGGGGCAGCTTTCTTTGTGGTCTGGTGAATGTCAGCAAGATTTCTCACATTCACACGTGGCGAGAAAACGTGAAAAATCATACCTTTACGGGGGGTCGTCCGCGGTTCTTCGCAGCGGGCTTTGGATCCTTCGTGTCCTTGGACAGTCAGTAAATGTGTCGCGGTCAGTAAGGAATACAAAGTGACATACCTTTGCTGTAGTTGCTTTGGAGGGGCGTCCTCGCTGCTTTGCGGCAGGCTTCGAGTCCTAGGATGCTTATAAATAAAGGTTTGGCAAGTTGGTGGTGTGACGCGGAAATACCTTTATGCTCTTCTCGATGGCCGAGGAGGGTTTGCGCGTAGCAGCTGCAGTGGATGCTTTCTTTGGAGGCATTTTGTGTGTTGTTCAAGATCGATTGTGGTTGTTGATTGTAGAATGGTCTCTTGCTTTTGTCGATGTCGATGGATTTGTTTTTGGGTCGCGTCGAAATATTTTATGCAGGTCGGCCAGGCAGGGGTCTGGGTCCGTGCAGCAGATTCAGGCTAGCTTGTCCGAGCTTGCTAAGAGTGAATCGCGCTACCACGTGATAAGGCAGCACCTTTCCTGATGTGAATTTGTGATTGTTTTAAGGCTGCAAGGCGGAGCTTTAGGTTTACCAACTGTTACTAAGATACCCAAGACTTTTAGATCACGCAAAGAGCTAAACACGTTTGTTCCTCGTGGATCAAGACTATGTATCAGTAGCTTGAAGAAATAATTGTAAATCGCAAGAAGTTCGGTCTTGAAAGCTCCCTAGGTACATTCCAATTGGACTGTGAATCTGAGATGAACGACTGGAGAAGCTTTGATTTGCAACTATAGTCCAAGAGCATAGTCAACTTATGAAAGAGAGAGCTGAACTACGACTCGCAACTCGTAACGAAAACCGAGTGGTACTCAAGACTAATCCAAAATGAAAATGGAATATGGATTGCTGGATAAAGGACCTAAGTTAATATAAAAACTCTACTCAACCCCTCACGATCAGCAACCTACCTAGAACAACCTCCCCTCAAACACCTTCGCCAACCTCTCCCCCGTCACCCCAAAACCCCCCGGAAACCATTCCCCCACCTCCACTTCTTCCTCGCCCCCCCTCATAATCCCCACCAACGCCCTCGCGCTCTCCCAACAAAACACCATCCCATGCCCCTGAAAAGCAGCCGCAATCCACACGCCATCCATCCCCGGCACCCCGCCCACAAACGGGCACCCATCAGCGGTATACCCCATAACGCCCGTCCACTCCCTGCGAACCCTCCCCTCCTCCCCATCGACCCCCCAAACCTCTCCCCCAAAATACCGCCTCGTCGTCTCCTCCAAATATGCACTAATCTCCCCATTCAACCCCCCATCATCAGTCTCCCCAAACTCACCCAAACCACCATCCACAGCGCGCGCCAGCCCACCCCCAATCACAATATCGCCGGGAAAAGGCGAATCGGCAGGCCGAGGAACCATGTATTCGAACCCGTGCTCGTAGATAAACGAGTACGTCGTGTCAAGCCCAGCAACCGGCAAGCCGGAACCGGGTCGATGCGCCGTAACCTGGCCTCTGAGCGGGACGATTTTGCCCTGGAAGGCGGGCAGGAGATGCGCTGTATAGCCGTTCGTCGCTAGCACGACCCTTCTCGCTCTCAGGACCCCTTTCGCGGTCTTTATTTCCAAATTCCCATGTCCACTTCCATCCTGCCCCTGCCCCTGCCCCTGCCCCCTTTCTGCTTTGGTAAGAGCGAGAGCGGGCGTGTAGGTATAGAGTTGCAATCCTCGTTCGAGACAGAGTTCAAGCACACCAGTCACAAATGCATACGCCGATATACTTCCCGCCTCATAACTAACAGCCCCCCTCACCTCCTCGCCCCTCATGCCCTCGCCTTGCACCAGAAACTTCTCGCGCACCTCGGCGGCACTCCACAGCTGATACCGCGCCACGCCCTCGCTATCACCAGGCTGCGTGAACACCTCCCTCATCAGCGTCACAGCCTCGACGCACCGCTTCCACTCCGCCTCATCGTATATAACATCCACCGTATCGCAGCTCCTCGCCTCGCATTCTATCCCATGCCTCTTAGCAAACGCATGCGTGGCACGTATGTTCGCCAGCTCCATCCGCGCTATCTTACTCGCCTCCGCGAGCCCCATCGTCTGGACGTTGGATGGAAAACTCCTGTAGCTGGCTGCTTTCGTATGGCCTCCTAATCATACATCAGAATCGCTCCTGATCAGCATAAACACCTCCTTCCAGCCCCCCCCCCCCACATAAAAACACAACAGAATCAAAAATGAAAGGAAGGAGATAAAAATACCATACCATTTCTCCCCGTAGCCCCCGAACAAGCCCCACGCGCCTCCAGCATAACGATCTTCCCACCCCCCTTCCCACCCCCATCCCCATTCCCCAGCTCTCGCTCCAGCAACAAACCCCAAGCCACAGCCGCGCCCGTAATCCCACTCCCAATAATCACAACATCAGCATCTACCGGCAGCAGCTCGCTGCTCTGGTGCGAGGCAATGGCGCTGGGTGGATCTTGCCAGTAGCTTGTTGTGGGATTTGGGACGGGGAGGGAGACGGGGATGGAGGCGCGGGCTTCCATTTTATTGCTGTCGCTGTCGCTGTCGGGAAGCTTAAGTAGGTGGGATTGTTTTTGTTAGGTATGGTGAGAAGGAAAGAGGGGAGGGGAAGAGATGGATATGAAGATGGAGAGATAGAGGGAGATTTCAAGACTTACTGTATACATACTTGCCTATCTGTTATTTCATAATCATGATTTGTTGTAGAACGCGTTGAAGTGCGGTAGATCAAGAGTGGATAGGAGAGGTGGCTTCGGATCGACTTGCTGCATTGGGTTCGTGAGATCCGGGGGAAGTGGGTCAGATAAAGTAGTACCTAGTAGCTTTTCAAACTGGTACGGAGGGATGTTACGGTTTTACTTGTCTTGCAACCTCTTTTACAATCGGTTGATTCTTCAGTAAAGTGATGAAAGACCAGCACTACGATATGCCCAGTATTACGATGCCAAATGCCCATCACAGCAACCAACCCCCCAAGCGGCAGTCACAAACGCAGACGCAGAAGCACATGCGAGAGGAGAAGTGTCAATTCCGGAAGAAAGCTACCTATCTGCGCCAGTCGAAAATACGCCAGCCAAAGACAGCAAACCATACCAGAATACCTTATCCATTATCATAAAATCCATCAGCAAGCCTGCCGATTTGCGAATTGTGCGGAAATGAAGTTACGTTGCGTTACGTGCCACCGATATCCGAGCCTGCAGAGATCCGTATTTGCTCTAGTCTTGTCAAAGATAGTTGAGTGAGACATTATGGAGCATCTTTGTCTTCGAAGGAAGAACTTAGAGTTCGTCGCCTTCTTGACCAGCTTTCTTTCCCTTCTTCTTGGGTTGTGGGGCACCTTCCTTCTTGCAGTGAACGATGAGTCGGGTCCACGATTCCTCTTTGTCCCATTCGAAGCCTGCTAGGACTGGGTTCTCAAGCTCGTCATCCGCCTGTTTCACAAAAGATGTCAGCATTGAATACGATGGATGGAAGTATTTGTTATGATGACGAGACTGTGGGTTAGGTGTGGAAGTGAGATGATTGGCATACCTTCTTTCGGTATTGCTTGTAGATTGCATCTAATGCATCCTTGATGGTAACACCCCTCAAGTTCCGCGCAGAGACCTCCAGGCCGAGAGGGAAGTGTAGGTCAATCTTCTTGACAGGTGGTGTGGTAAGCATCTTCTTCAATGCACTCTTCTCCGGCTCCTCCAGGAGTGCTGGGGACTTGTTGATACGCCTAGGTAGACACTGTTCAGCTGATATTCAAGTTCGGCATTCACATGATGAACGCTCTCAAAGGTGGTGCGGGGTAAGCTGAGGGAATTAGGATTATAGGTCAAAACATACCAGTTCAGCTTCTGGGTCTCCTTTGCAATCAGCAGCTCAGTTCCCTCCTTTTCTAAATCACGATGAATATCAGTCTCAATCTTGATGGATTTGAACCCTACTCCGAGAGCGGATGGGAGTCGACGATGGAAGTGGAGTGACATACCTAAGTCGTTGATGTTGAACACACCAGGAACACTCGAGCTTGCTCTCCGCTTCTCCTTGGGTGGGCTTGACGAGAGACCTTGAACGGCAGAGTCGACCTTGGAGAGAGGTGTAGGTACGTCGGCGGACATGGTGATGGACTTGGGGGTTGCTTTACTTTGAAATCTGATAGATTGGAAGTAAAGGTCAATAGTATCTCACGAGTAGAATCGTAAGATGGAAGATGATATTGGGCTTGTTTGTAGAGGCTTGATGAAGTTGGGATGGATGGATGGATGATTGATTGTATTTGTATGTTGTCTGTGAATCAGGTACGATGCAAAGGAAGGGAATGAGTTCATTAAGGGCGGGGTAGGAGCTCACGAGAGTCACGCAACCAAGAGTCCACGTGGAGGGGTGTAGCGATTACCGTACTCCCTACCAGCCCAGCCATCGATCTCCAAGGGATAAACTCAAAATCTTTCTTTATTTCTTTGTTTATTTCTTTCTTTCAGGCATAATCAAACCTAAGTCATCGATATAGACCCAAGCAGTATTTACGACTCTGTTTGTTCTTCCCTTTTTTCTCCTTTCCTCACCTCGTTTGTTCTTGTTCACCTCGTCGTCACAGTCAACCCATACGAGCACGAGCCCCGGCCTTAGCGCTACAACATTATCCGTTTCCCCGCAAAATGTCGTCTTCAAGTGGGTCTTCCTCCGTATTTCCTGGGGTACCGTACGCTAAACGTTCAAGGGTAACTGTTCAGGGGGTTGGAGGGTATTGTCCGAGATATATTAATTATAGACTTAGAAACTATCAACTTGAAGAATCAATTTGGGCGCATTCGCATGGTGGTTTTCAATTGAGAGGCATTCGCGGGAACCGTAATACGGCAAGTTGACGGGTCGAAAAGTATCCTGATTTCGGCTCAGTTCGGGGGAATGTCACGCTAGCCAATCAGCTCACTTATGGGTCGATTTATGCTTCTGATAGTGGTATTGTTAACTTTCGAGTCTCGACTGGTGTCTCTCAGACAACTTTCGTCGTAAGAAATCTCCTTATAGTAAATATGCTATCCAAGGCAACATGGTCGGACTTCTCTCGTCAATTACTGATGTCCCGAAATAGCCTTCGGCTCATACAATTCCTCCAAATACTTCTGTTCTTCATCCGTCAACGTCTTTCCCCTAACATCAATCGCCTCATCAATCCTCTCAATACTACTGAACCCAATAATCGGACTGCTGATCCTCTTATTGATCCACGCCAACGAAACCTGGCTCATCTTCCAGCCCTTCTTCTCGGCTAGTTCTTGAACGCGAGCAATGGTCTTGTAATCGACTTCAGTCAATCCCTTGTCTGCTTCGGGCTTGCTGCGGACCGTGGTCCCAAGTGCTTCGGCGGGACGAGCGAGGTGACCGCGACAGAGAGGTGCCCACTGCTGTTGTTTAGCAAGTCGTTTCTTCAGGGAGTGGGGAATTGCTTACCGGGATCAAGCCAACGCCCGTGTCTTTACAGAATCTATTCATCTCCCTCTCTTCCTCCCGATACAGCAGGCTGTACTGATTCTGCATACTGACAAACTTCGTCCAGCCCCGTTTCTCTGCAACGAATTGCATCTGTGCGAACTGCGTTGCCCACATACTCGAAGCACCGATGTATCTGACCTTTCCACTCTTAACTAGATCGTGCAGAGCCTCCATCGTTTCCTCGATGGGTGTAGCAGGATCAAAGCGATGAATTTGAAGGAGGTCAATGTAGTCGGTATCGAGACGCTTGAGAGAACCGTTGACTTGGTTGAAGATAGCCCCGCGGGAGAGTCCTGTTTCATGTCATTAGTACGTACCATCAATCAGAATAGGAGGAAACATACCACGTTGATTGACATAATCCTTGGAGGCTCCGACCTCTTTTGGAAAGAAGAAGGACCTATCGGTATGTTAGACGGGGTCTTTGGAGAGTTTTCAGATCTGAAAAGTCGAGCTCTTCATTGCTCAAGAGGGGAGGCAGAATACAACGAACCTTACACTAGGATCTTCCCCAACTGCAGCAAAGCACTTTGTCAAAATAATGACCTTGTGCCTCGGAATCTCGTATTTCTTCAACGCCTTCCCAATGATCTCCTCCGAAGCCCCATTACTATACACATTGGCAGTGTCCCACGTATTGAGACCCCTATCGTACGCAGCTTTGAGTAGAGGAAGTGACTATATCTCACTCCACATCAGCACTGCGAGTAAGATTTGATAGCAGGAGATGGGTGGGTATTGAAATGAAATACCTTCTCCTCATCCAAAACCCAAGGTGCCCAATCCGGATGCCCAATGCTCATAGCCCCGAAAATGGGAACCGAGACACTGAGCCCCGAGTTTCCCAATCGTACATACTCGGCCTTGCTATTCTCGACGGACAGCTTGAGGGATTCGGCGATTTCTCCTGCCATATTTGCTGATTCTGCCTTTCTTTTTGGTAAGATACTTGGTGATAGAAGTAGACGGAATTGAGCTTTTTATGAGGTCGGAGGGTTTAGAGTTCTAGTTGAGGGGCAAGAATCGAATCAGGTGGGACCGCGGAATACAGCTACCCGTTGCATCTTCCTTGCTACTACCACGCTACTGTATAACCAGCGGGAAAATGCGGTGTTAAGTGTTTATCACCGTTGAAGCTACATTGTTTGCATTGCCGGCCTCACTTCACTGTGAGAAGAGTCGGCCGCGGAGTGTATTTGTAATCTCCCTTTATTTCAATTACTCGTGCTTTCAAAAAGGAAGGGAAGATGCTATCTGGATGTAGGATTGGTCAGCTTTGAGGCTGTGTGTTTTGAAGTCTTTCTCCCTGCAGAGGTGTGTTGTTGGGTTTATCTGAGGCTGATGATGCAATCGATGCGGGAGCTGGAGTGGCAAGTGGAGTGGGATGGTAAAGTGGGGCTGGGGTGTACGAGTACGAGTACTCGTATCTGCCGAGACGCGTTTTCTCGTGTTTTGTTTATAATCGGTCTTCGTAGTCATGTGCCTTGTTGACTTGCCCTCCTTTTACCCTGCTCTGCTTTGCTTTTCTTTGTTTTGATGTAGTTACGTTTGTCTTGAGAACTTGCTCAGTACAATAAAACGGCTTTTAATGCGGATACCACCTGTGTTCTTTTTGAAGGGAAAGGGAAGGGAAGTCTCGACGGGGAAATTGACGTTGCTCACATTTGTAATCACTAGAGCTTTCTTTGTAACATTGCCGTACAGTATATACTGTATCAACCACGCGTCGGAGCATTCCGATCGAATTATGGCATGTCATGACTGTTGTCTCTTCGTCGTAATGCTTGTTCTTGTCTCTTTACTCCGAACCAAAGTCTGTTTCCTTAAGCCAAGTGCAGTCCCAGACCAGAAGCAGAATTGTATACAAAGTTCATTGTTCGTCAGCGGAGACAGAGCTATGGCATTCCTACCTCTTGTCCCTCGCTCGAAAAGTCGGAATCTGAAATCTGCCGCTCCCTGCAGTCCCATTCAGATGCAGGCAAATCGAAAGACAATCAAAGCTCATATGTAAGCGTGAGGTCCAAAATCAACAAAACACCCTGGGTCCATGACAAATTGTCTTGTTGCTGCGTGGAGAGGGAAAGGAGATAGTGGCTGGTAAGAGACTATTTGATCTCGGTTTAAGATAACATGAAGACCTGGTTTAAGGTGCATCGCTTTCTTTCTCTGCTTTTCCACTTGATTTTGGAGTATTATCGATCGATTTCAATATTACTGTGACTATGTGTAAGGAAGAGGTCTCTTGCATTTGGTGTCTGATTGTCAACTTACATGATACTACAAGAGAGCACCGTCCCGCTCTCGCCCATCTATATGTTGCTTCATCATCGATAGCGGCCTACCTACCTACGTACAGCAGGGCTATTCTTCCACCGTGTAACCGAACATACAAGCTTCTAGAAGTACAATACTGCATCGGCCGTTGGATTCCTAGAGCAGCTGTCAGATTGATGATCATGATAACACAATACAGTACTGTAGATGCCCCGAAGTTGTCTTTATGGCATTGCAACATATTCCACCGAGTAGATGTCATGCAGGGCCAAGACGCACCCTTGCACACTCTATTTCTCCACTCTCCCCGCCTATCAATTATTATTCTACAGTACGAATACGTTGCAACAAGCAGTAAATATCTTTTATGAGTATTGTAATTATTCACAATACGGAAACAATTCTTGAAAAGTTGCACACCTTCATTCCATTCCGAGGTTATTTCGCTTTCGAGTATCTAGATAACTGCGAGTTCTGTTCTAGTATATGCCTGGCCCCCTATACGAAATACTTGACCGCCGTGTTTAGCACACCACCTCTGTCAAGATATCTAATAATTCGAAGTTTCAACTATCTTACGTGTCTATATGCGCATATACTGCACGCCACTCCGCGATTTCTGGATTCGCTTGTCCCCGCGCTCGCTTTTCCCCAGTCGGAGATCAGTCTATCTATTCCCCCTACAGCCAGCCACCAGACTTCTTTGGGTGTAGAAAGTTTTCCTAGGCATAATTGCTGATTCAAATAGAGTAAGAACTGTTGCGCTCAACAATTCTGGGAAGAGCATGCACGTTTATCTTTCTTAAGCTATAATTCCTAACTATTCTGGAAGGTGCTGCGGGAGCGGAGGCACGTTGATGCAAGGGCTTGCAGCAGCCAATGTGACACCGCACGGAGATGGACTATATCGCTCCACACCCTCAAACTTAATGGTAACTACTCACAGGTTCGCTCGCCTCTCTACCAATCGGCTTAGCTGTGCAACCTGCAAGAGAAGGTTCGCATTGTTCGATACTCGATACCTTCCACCACGCGTCCTTTCTTACAGGGCTGATTATATTGACTGCGATTCTGCTTGAATATGTACATTAATTTACATGAAGCCTAGATGGCTTTAGAGTATAGAGTTCAAATATGTGGGCGTGTGGTCCCCCACGAGTTAGTTGCTCTCCGCGTACGTCCACAAATGGAAGTTGAATCTTCCTTGCCTCTTGTTATCGATATCTCTATTATAAGAAGCTTTGTGCTAGCACTTGGGTCGTCCAATTCCTCATCGTCGCTTGGACACTATGTCTAAGTTGTCGCCAGAGCTCCTTGCTTTCTTGGCAACTATACCTGCGGGAGTCCCACCAGAGGGAACCGAGTCCAATTTCATCGATCCACCATGGAGGGGAGGTGTACTTATTATACTTCATGCGACATTCCTGCCATTGATGTTAATGGCCATCATAATTCGTATGATTGTAAGGTTTCGAATAGTGGGCCAGCTTGGATGGGATGATTGTCGGTTTTCCTCCACCCCAAACAGACGTCTATTCGCTAATCCAAACTCATAGACACTTGTTGCGTTGCAGCCTTGGCTTCAGTCTCCTACTCAGTGTGTATCTTCAACAGTTTTCGTTTCGGCTTCGGCAGACACATCTGGGATGTCCACGCAACCCTCGTGGTAGATGTGAATCATGTGCGCCAGTTAACCGCAAACATCATCGCCTACCCGCTCGTCTGCATCTTCGTCAAACTGTCAATCTTACTCCTGTACCGTCGCCTGTTCTGGTCAAATGACTTTCAACGCCGCGGAGTGATCGTGGGTTTTGTCATTTTGGGGACGTGCTATGGCCCTTATCTAGGAACACAGATCTACATCAACTACAAATGCACCTCTGAAGCTTACGTCTTGCACCAAAGCTTCTGCAGTAAAGCACAGTGGCCTAACATCGGTGGTGCTATAGTCAATGTCATTACTGATTTCTACATCCTCTTACTGCCTCTTCCATGTCTCCTAACACTGGAAATCGAGTTTCGAAGGAAGGTCGGGTTGTGCTGCATATTCCTAGCCGGTCTACTCGCGTGCCTCATCTCCATCGCACGTCTCATTGTCATCATCAAAACCCTAAACCTGGATGACTTTACCGTAAGGATAACTGGCTCTTTGATTTTGCCCTACCCCCTTCTATCATGTTTCGTCTCATGTACTCCAACTACTCCTTACATATTTCCTAGAAAGGGAACTTGCTCTTCTTCTGCTCTTAAAACACTCTTGAAGAAGAAATAGCTAACTTCCCCGTGATCTAGTGGAATATGGCTGAGACATCTGATTTATCGTTAGTTCTACATCCCCATCTATACTACTATATATCTCCTAACTCTATGCCCAACAGAGTTGTAGAAGTCAACCTCGCAATCATCTGCGCCTGCACGAGCACACTCCCCCCCTTCATCGCGCGCTCCAAGCTCCTCGGCAGCGAACTCTTCTCATCCTTCCGCTCCAGCCTCCGCGAACGCTCCTGCAGACTAAGCAAAGCAGAAGCAGAAACCCCCCCACGCTCATCCACTCGCACGCACAACTCGAAAAGGTTTTCTAACTCCGCTGCACATGCGCGTGGTGGCCAGTTACCGCTTTCCAGTCCAAGGGCCTCGAGCACGGCGGAGTGGATCCCGTTGGATGATAATGAGCTGGCGGCGGGGAAGCGGCTGGGGCATTTTGAAAAGAGGTTTGAAGCTGGGGAGAGGGGTCTTGGGTATTTGTCGAGGAAGATGGAGTTTGATGATTATGATTATGATAGTGGGAGGAGGGTGAATGGGCGTTTAGGCGGAGTTTGATAGTTTAATTTTGAAAGGGGGGCTAGCTATGGATGGGATGTGTCTGTGATATATTACCTATAGTGAAATGCCTTGGTATCTTGGCTTGGGTTTTTCTCGCCTGAAAAAAATAATAATAAGAAAAAAATCAATCATAAAACATTCTCAGCTTGAGTGGTAATGTAGGCAACGAGGTAAATGTTCACAAGTCAATCCCAAAACAGAAGACGAGAGGAATCCACCTGTTTCAGGTTGCAAATAAATCATCAGCGTTAAGTGTCGTTCACTGAAAACCCCCTTAAGCGTGCTGAGGAATTAAGCGAAGCGAGCCCCTTTCTACACCTACCACCTACCCCTTCCCTTCCCCAACAGACAGTGTACCACAACGTAAAGACGTGGAAGCACATTCTGCATATCGCCGATAAAATCCCAGCGCAAAGCAGCTCGTTGCATGCATGTCCTATGCACCCGCACCTGGAAAGGTTTGTTTCCGCCAAGGTTTTCACTTTCTGGTTCGGCTAATGAATGAATGAATATTATGCATTAGGAGGGAGGTTGCGACTTGTTCTCTTCTAGGCGTGGATTGTAATGGTAAGGGTAACAGTACTAATCTGGATGGGTTTTCAACAACTCCTTCCTCGTGTGTCTTATCATTTACTTCTCTTTCTTTAATCTCCCCACTTTATATTGTCTACAATTTAGATACGCTTGGAGTGTCATTCCCAAATACAATGCTTTTATCAAGCATAGCAGTCTCTTGCCACGGCCTATCAGAAAGCTTTTGCTGCTGTCGAGCATCCTTTTTAGCCAACCATCTTAGAGCGATTTCGTTGGCGATCGGATTCCCGTCTCTCAGCGCATCTTGAACAAGCAATGTCCCAGCAACGAACCATCCCAGACTTTCCATAATCTCTGGACTGTGAAATTGTAGCTCAGACCGGTCCATTGTCGCGACTTGCTCTTTGATTCGCCGCAGCTCGGTCAGCAGTATTCGGTACTGGTAGTCGAAGGATCCAGCCTTGGCTGCAAAGTCCCTGCACCAGTTTTCGAGTGTATCTAATACTTTCTGCCCCTCGCGACCGGTGAGGACGCGGATAGTGTCGTCGGCCATGATGTTTGATGTGCCTTCCCAAATAGTCATCACGTTCGCATCTCGAAATATCCTGGCGATATTTAGTTCCGGATCGTCGTTGTTTTCGAGATATCCGACTCCTCCTAAGCTCTCCATGGATGCCCTCAAGCCATTTACCGCGGCTAATGATACAAGTGCCTTGGCTATCGGCGTCAATAGTCGTAGAAAAAGTCTGGCTTGTTCCACGGATGATACGAGGGAGGACTGTTGGACTGACGCAGCATGTTCGCTGATGCCAAGCATGGAGACGGCGAAGAGTGCTAGCATGGTATGGGCTTTATACTCAACATGCTCCTTTGCCATACTTTTGACGTGTACGGGGACATCCAGAAGCAATCTCCCGCCCCCGACTCTTCGGACGCGAGCGAAAGCTCGAGAGATAGCCAATCCACGACCTAGATATCCGATTGATCCAATGGCAGTGTGTAATCTTGTCAGCGTCAAGACCGTGCTAATCTGTTTCACTCCAACGTCTTTCTTCCCAAGCTGGTGAGCTCGCATGCCTTTGAGCTCTAATTCCGCCGTCGGCAGAGCTTTCGTTCCAAGTTTGTTTTTGAGTCGTTGAGGATTGATGCCGTTGAACTCAGCGACTAGATGCCCATTGATGAGTCTCTGCCTCTTGATCGGAGCATAAAAGACGCTGAGGTTATCAGAATTAGGTGTTTTTGCCAGCAAAATCGTCATGTCCGCATCTGTAGCTGAGGAGAACCACTTGTACCCGTCGACCCACCAATTACCTAAACTACCTCCATCCACCGACTTGAGATTTTGTTGCTCTGATGACTCGGTTTCCGTCAAAGGTCTTGCTCTTGTCTCCGTGCCGCGCACATCAGAACCACCCGCTCGCTCAGTCATCCACTGACCACTTGTCCACGCAACGGCCGGATCTCGACTTGTCAGCTTATGAAGAACGCCTTGATACAGCGCCTGTTCCTCTGTATCCAGATCTTTTCCCTCCTGTATATGCTTTTTCAGTAGTGCTGCAGCACCATCTTGCATAGCACTCGGACAGGTAACCAGCCCCGAACTGGGACTCCACAGAATGATCCTCAAAAATTGCAACACCCTATCGTAAATCCCAAATCTACCTTCATATCCCGTTGCAACGGTCCCTTGCTTTAACCCCAAGGCTTGAAGATTGCGCCATCCTTCGCTCGTGATCAATTTTGCCTGAGATCGGCCAAAGGTATCCTGGTGGCGTAGAGACGGGGGATTCTCCTCGGCGTTTACGATCCAATTGAGGACTTCTGGCGATATCACGCGCTGGCTCCAGTCCGAGAATTCAGAGCGAGTTTGTTGTTGGATATCTAGAGGCAGGAAGAAGGATATGGCACGTTGGAAGATCTCGTCCTCTTCGGCCTGGGATATGACTTGGGGTTTGGGCTGGAAAAAGCCCGAGGTTGCGCTTGAAGGGGCTGGATCTGGCATTTTGGTGTATAGTTTGTTTTTCTAGCAGAATGATGTAGAGATTAGATGTGTAGGATGGGGATTGCAGGAAATATGTGAAAGTTATATGCAGTAGGTATAGCTTCACTTCATTGCCGGGGTGGCCGAGGCTCATGCAGGCAAGTCCCGAGATGCACTGCACTGCGCACCCCACCCCACCCCACATTTACGCGAGTCTGCAACAACCACGACACGACCCGACCCCTCCGAGCCCTCCTTTTTCATTGTGCTCACTATAAAGAATCCATTAACGCTGCTATGTAGCTTGAAAAAGGCAACACCAAGGATACCTTTACCTCAATGTTTAAAAAGGAGAGTCTCGCTATACCACTGGATATGGAGTAAGCTTGGCTACCCATGTTTCTGCTATGCCGCATCATATACACATTATTCTTCTTCGGGCTGAAAGTAGAGAATGAGACGAGAAACAGAGGAATTACAAATGTATGGGAATTGTGAAATTTGGTCGACTTTGTAGCTGTTATTTCGCCGAATGGAGAGGCCTATTGAGACATCGAACTCGGGAAGCTTCTCTCCATTCGATCATGCCAGTAATATCAAAATATTCTTCCATGAGAATGTTGATATAGTGTAAGTCCACATACATGGCAGAATGGGAATAGATCGTGTAGATATTGATCGATGATGCTGGACCGCAGTGCGTGTTCGAGGATCCAGGACGCGGCGAGCAACTAGCTCTCGATACTTATAATGGCAAGCCATTCATCCAACGAGAATCAAAATCCCATATAAATGGCATGAACCACCACCGCAATGTGATTAGTACGGTGAGTGGTATCTGAAGGAGATGACAGACCCCCCCCTAAAACCAAACTCTGCAACAGAGAAGCTTGTTGATTTCAATATCAAAATAATTGATCCTTGCAGAACGCGATATTAACAAAACGAGCTCCGATGAGAGAGTATCAAGGGATATTATTTTGAGTAGAAATATGAATTCTTGGTGGCATACAGAAAGATACAGGGTGAAAGTAATAGTCCATATTGTTGATTCTCGACAGCAACCCTGGAAGCGAGCTCAATCTCTACAGAACGAAAGGTGCATACTTAGGAAGGAGAAAGGACAACAATGAATCCAAAGAAAAAAAAAGACACTATGTATTAATCCAAAAGCGGCAGATCCAAATTATCCTATAAATTATATCTTGAACCGTCACGTGTGGCTATGTGAATTCTGCAGAGTTGGATTGGTTAGCTTCCCCCGCATCTCGGACAACGCCAAGCCAAGAAAATACAAGATCAGAAAAGGGCTGCTTGAATTGCCTTCCTTCCTTCTCCCTTCACCAATTCCTAGTACACGACAGGCTCATTTCAATGTGACTATGAACATGATCGAAAATCAAGTTACGGACCTCAACTACCTTGCCGAATCCCCCATTGCGCTGTCGGGCAATATGAACGGCCAGCGACAGACCTCGAGTGCGGAGAGTCCCGCAGAAAACGGGGCTGGGAGCGGAAAGAAAAGAACGTCGGACGACATGAACGGCAATAACAGTGGAGGAACTGGGGCGACACATACAAGGGCGAAGAGGAACAGATACATATCTATCGCATGGTACGTGCAGATATTGCCTGCGACAGGAGTGCAGTAGTGCTGGGGGAGACGAGATGATTCAAGATCAAGATCACCGTATCTTCCGCATACTGGAGGGCCCGGCATGTCCGTCAACAGATGGCTAAGAGCCAGCAGCGGAGCATGACATATGTTTGCGGGCTGGAGCAAGGCTCATCCATTGACTTCGTCTGCTCTGAATCCGCCTCGTATCCAACCTAGCCGTCGTCTCCTGGGCTTTCTGCATCGGGGATATTCCCGCGGCGTAGTCAAAATCGTAAACGGAGTTGTAGAATAATACTGACATGAGATGACAGTAACGAGTGCAAAAGACGCAAGATCAAATGCAATGGAAACACCCCCTGCCAACGATGCGGAAACTTGAATCTCGACTGCCAGTATGCCCCGAATTGCTGCACGAATGGCTTCAAAGAGTCAGAGGAATTCCGGCAGATGAATTCGCATATTGCTTCACTTCAAGAGCAGGTGGATGATTTATACGCGAATCTATCTTCTCTACGGTCCAGTGGAGAAGCATTGGCCTTTCCCCCTCAATCTGAGAGATCGATGTCAATGTCACAAACGGCACCTCGTTCTCCGCTGTCCAAATATCGTTCGACACCGAGACATCCCTCTTATCGTGGCCCTACAAGCTCTGCATTCAGTATGGATGTTGCAAAGACCACTCTTCATAACATGGGATATCAAGGGCTTGGAGATGAGGTGATGATGACTCAGGATGCTACTCCTCTTCCATCTCCCCCTGCAATCCAAGCACCCTCCCTAGCCAGTATCAATGGAATCCCGCATAATGACCCAACTAGGGACCCCCTATTGTCGATACACAAGAAAGAGATGATTCGACTTTGTCGGGTCTATGAAGAGGAGATGGGTATCATGTACCCTGTGGTTAACATTGAACAAGTAATTATACACGGGACTAATGTCTACAATTTCCTCAACGCGGCCTTCAGAACAGGCCTTGCTTCTACTACTGAGCCAGGTAGAGGCATACACGACGAGCAGTCCCTTGTCTTGAAAATGGTCTTAGCCTCTGCAGCAGTTGTAGAGGGCGACGGACAGAGTGAACTCGGGAATCAGCTGTTTGAGAGCGTGAAAGAGATTGCAGATCGTTATCTTCACAGAGAAGCAGTCGAGATCAAGAATCTCCCGTTCTTGACCCTTGTTGTAAGTTTGTTCGATTTCTCAAGTTCAAATCTACAAATCAAAAAGGACGAGGAAATCAATCCAGCCCTGGTACAGATTGGTGTTCAAAGAGAGGGAGACTGAGAAAGCGCCACTCCCCAGCTTACTATTGGCCCTGCAAACGGACGAAATTGATCCTAGTATCAAGCCAGCGTAGTTGTCGGCACTTCCATAAATGACGTTTTAATTGCCAGATGCAGCGGACTGCCTGAAGATTTCCATTTCTTGTTTTGATACCCTCATTTCAAGATACAAGTTTTGGTCAAGTGCCAAAGATGGTTAGACTGTTCCATTCTAACTTATCTTCAACACCGGAGGTGGCAAAGGCTAGTCCTCTAGAGCCATGAATCCAGGAACCCATCTTTGTGATATTAAGCTACGAGAAAATTCAGCAGTTTGATGTGCTAACAAGACTGACTAGGCTATTTATCACTTCCACTGCGACGAGGAAGCTTTGGCATGGCGTATCATTGGACAAGTTGCTCGAATGAGTATCGAATTGGGCTTACATCGACGAGACTCACTACTTAGGGTTATTACTGATGAAGAAGATCGGTCAAATGCCATTAAGCTGTTCTGGTCGATCTATGTTCTGGATAGAAGGTGGAGCTTCGGAACTGGTATGCCGTTTGCTTTGCAAGATGCGGACATTGATCCGAACCTGCCAGAACCTGTAAGTTGAAATCCTCCGCCACGCTGATGTAGTGAGTGTTGATTTGTACAGGATATTCCAATTCCATATCTTAAAGTGATGATCGCCTACTCTCGGATTGGCTCCAAAGTATGGCGTTCAGTCTGCTCTTTCGCCCCTACGCCAAGCCCACCTGTAAACGTCGAAGAGATAGGCTACCTCGACTACCAAATCCTCCAATGGCAAAAAAGCATCCCACCAGAACTCCAACTTCCCACAACATCAGTCCCCCAAACCTCATCCCGCGCCATCCACCGCCTCCAGATCATCCTCTACCTCCGCGCCAATCAAATGCGTATCCTGATCTACCGCCCCGTCTTGCACACAGCCAGTTCCATCCAAGAAAACCTCGCCTACGCCCACACAGTGGTTGAGCTCGCCAAAGACACTATTCGCGCCCTCACGCATTTGAACCAAACTACAGATATCTATCGCTGCCAACAAGTTTGCTTCAACTATTTCCTTACCTCGGCCATCGGAGTCATCTTCCTCGCAAGCTGCCACGCCCCAGTGCATTTTAGCTCCATCTGCCGCGATGAATTCTACATGGCTTTAGACCTAGTCAAGGGCTTCAGCAATAAATCATTTGTTTCTAAACGCCTCTGGAAAACCATCAAGGGCCTCAAGGAAGTCGGCCCTAAGCTAGGTCTATCACCTGACGTTAATGGTTCCGAGGATCCACATTCTTCTGCTGCGTTAGCTATGGCTGATCTTGCTGGTCATGAGATTTCGGGACTGGGAAATGGCTATGAGGGTGGTATGAATGGGATGAATGGGGCTAGTAATGGCCCGAACGGGTTCCAGATGAGTCTTGATATGACGAGTCTTTTTGAGGCGGCGTTGGGGAGCGTGAGGATGAATGGGAATGGGCAGAATACAGGAACACCGTATAATGGGAATGTGCCGCTGGATGGAGATGCGTTGTCGGGGATTGGGAGTAACGTATTTGGGGGCGATGAGGAGTTGTATAGGCAGATGAAGGAGTTATTTTAGCGTGGTGGTGTTGGGTTGAGTTTGTTGGGTATTGCGGGTGTATTGGTCGGTCAGTCACAGGTGTGTAAGGCTCATTTGCTTTTACTTCGTACACCTCAAAAGTGTGGTCAACATTTTTACAAGATCTATGGCTTTTACAAACCACGACTATGCATCGCTCCTACCTAAACCTGAATCGCACTCTCAATAGTCCCCACACACTCCCCAAAGCCAACCCTCGCCCCATCCTCCCCACAAACCCCGCGTATAGTAACCGTATCTCCATCCTTCAAAAACTTCCTTACATCCATACCCTTTATCATAATCTCCTTCTTGCCCCCCTGACACGCCTCCAACAAACTCCCCAAATCCCCTCCCCGTTCACTATTCCCACTAATCGTCCCACTCCCCAGCAAATCCCCGACGTTCATCGGACATCCCCCAATGCTATGATGCGCGATCATCTGCGGAAAACTCCACAGAAGATGCTTGCCACTGACTTGGCTGATATTCGTCGTATCGCCTTCCGGCGTCGTCAGATCAACTTCAAGCTGGATATCATACACGCTATCATCCCTCGCCTCCCTCAAATGCGGCAACACCCCTGTACCATTCTGCATCTTCTCCACCCGGAAGCCCTCCAACGCACTCGGCAGCACAACCCACGCGCTAACCGTGGTGCCGAAATTCTTCGCGTTGAACGGGCCGAGCGGTACATATTCCCACGTCTGGATATCGCGCGCGCTCCAATCGTTCATGAGCACGAAGCCGAAGATGGCTGCTTCTGCTTCTGCCCCGATGCGGATCGGGGTGCCGAGTGGGTTGGAGGCGCAGAGGAAACACCCGAGCTCGAGTTCAATGTCGAGGTTCCGGCAGGGGGAGAGGATGGGATGAGGGGGGGACGCGGTCTTGTCGAGGAGGATTTGCCCGTTGGGGCGCCGGATTCGTGTCCCGGATATGACGACGCTGGAGGCGCGGCCGTGGTAGCCGACGGGGAGGTGTGTGTAGTTTGGTTGTAGGGCGTTGGCGGGGTCGCGGAACATGGAACTGGGAGGTGGATGGTTAGAATGGGTTTGGGTTTGGGGAAAGGAAATAGGGGAGAGTGGAAGAGGTAAAAGAGGACATACCCAACGTTGAAAGCATGGTTCTTGCCGGCATAGAAATCAGTGTAGTCGCCAATTTGCATTGGGAGATGGGTTTTCGTCTCATGTTTTGGTAAGAGAGCCTCTTTTTGTAACGAGGCATTGTCTTTTAGGATTTGCGGGTTGGACGTGGATTCTGAGAAGATGTCTTGGATATATGTGCGGACGGAGTTATGTGTTTGCTGGCCCAGAGCTGCAAATACATTCAGGGTTGGTTGGGAGAAGATTGTGAGGGGATCTTTGAGGGATGGGAGGCCGCTGAAGCCATTTGCTTTGGAGAAGGCTTTGAGGTCAAGGACGTGGTTTCCGATTGCGATTGCAGGACGCTTTTCGGTTGGGTTGTTCTTGGAGTTTATGATACCAAAGGGGATATTGGAGAGGGAGAAATCACTGTCTGGGGGAATGGATAGCCATGATTTGAGGGGTGCCATTTTGGTGGTGAGGGGTCGGATGGGGATGTTGATCAAAGCGTGTAGGTTCTTGTGTAAGGGTCTGGGGATGGAAGCTGAGAATATTTTGAGCATAGAGGAGTGAGAGTCGCACCAAGACTACTTTCTCAACCACCCAAACCTTCTCAAGTGTTGTCTTTGCAGTTTGATGGAGCTCCCCACCACGGTAGCTTGATAGCTTGAGGTGGGGTTAATGAGCTGCGGAAGCTTTTCCGCCTCCTCATTAGACAAAACAGTCGGATAGGGGGTGCTATGGGAAGAACATGGGTGTGCAACTATAAAGAAAGTAAAAAGGGGTAAAACTCACGCACGGCTTTCCCTCAACGTAACATACCTTTCCTACCTACCTTGCTTACCTATTGAGTAGCGCCCTTATTCTAAACTTGATAGGACACCCGCTTTGAGTAGTCATCATTATAGTCTTACAGACTTTCCTCTATCTCCACACATGTTCCCGATTTATTTGGGTACTTCATTTATCAAGTTGCATGTCTAGAAAAGATCATCCCCCACAGAGCGCTTTTTGTTCCGCTGGCCTACTGTAGTGGCGTCTGGGGAAGCTGCAAGCTACCCCACCAATCCCATCGCATGTAATGTAAGGTAGTGGGGTTGAATTATCACACCTATTGTATTTCGCTACACTCTCCCTGTGCATCCATCGCATCCTCTTAAAAAGACAATGTCTTTCCGTTATCCTGAAGTTCCGTAGGCTTTCCAACCTTTACAGTATTCACCCGTCTTGTCCCTTCCTCACCCCAGCCATGTCTTACCAAACCATTAGCATAGCGATTGCCGCCGTTATTTTGTTCATTGTGAGATATCTGAACCGGACAGACACGCCGAAAGTTAAGAACCTACCCGAAATACCAGGAGTCCCGCTGTTTGGAAATCTTTTACAATTTGGAGATAGCCATGCCAAGGTTGCTGGTAGATTGGCAAAGAAATTCGGGCCGGTCTTTCAAGTGAGATTGGGGAATAGAGTATGTTCTTTCTTCCCATTAATTTGGTAGAGCTGACATTGAACAAATAGCGTATCATATTTGCAAACACCTTTGACTCTGTCAGGCATTTATGGATTGCAAATCAATCTGCCTTGATCTCACGTCCCACCCTTCATACCTTCCATACAGTCGTATCCAGCTCTCAAGGATTCACTATTGGCACTTCACCGTGGGATGAATCCTGCAAACAACGCCGAAAGGCAGCAGCAACTGCTCTGAACCGGCCCGCGGTGCAAAGTTACATGCCAATCATCGACCTGGAGTCGAATGTTTCAATCAGAGAACTTCTTGAAGACAGCGGAAATGGCAAGAAGGATATTGACCCAGTTGCATATTTCCAACGTTTCGCTTTAAACACATCCTTGACACTTAATTATGGATCAAGAATCGACGGCAAGATCGACGATGCATTACTACAGGAGATCTGTGATGTGGAGCGAGCTATCAGTAACTTCAGATCTACTAGCAATAACTGGCAAGATTACATTCCTTTGATGCGCGTATTACCAAGCTCTAGCAGTGGGGCTGTGGAGTACCGGGAGAGAAGAGACAAATACTTGACTTTCCTGCTGAACAAGCTCAAGAAGCAAATCCAAGAGGGGTCAGACAAGCCATGTATCACGGGAAATATCCTCAAAGACCCAGAGGCGAAGTTGAACGAGAGTAAGTAGCTTCGGTCTGGATACTAGAATCTCGCTGACTATGAATGAAAGATGAAATCAAGTCCATCTGCTTAACCATGGTCTCCGCTGGTCTTGATACTGTCCCCGGAAATCTCATCATGGGCATCGCCTACCTCTCGTCCGAGCACGGCCAAGAAATCCAAAAACGCGCCTACGACGAAATCATGAAAGTGTACCCCGACGGAGACGCCTGGGAGAAATGTATCATCGAAGAAAAAGTACCCTACGTGACTGCGTTTGTGCGAGAAGTGCTGCGGTTCTTCACCGTTATACCTATTTGCTTGCCGAGGACCAGTATCAAGGATATCAGATATGAGGACGCCATTATCCCGGCTGGAAGTACGTTTTACATGGTGAGTCCCTCCTTGAAACCAAATTCAAAAGTAAGTGAGAAGCTAATTTTGAAAATAGAATGCCTGGGCCGCCGACTTCGACGAATCCCACTTCAAAGATGCCCGCACCTTCTCCGTCGACCGCTACCTGCACAACCCCGAAGGCTCCGGCACCCCGCACTACGCCTACGGCGCCGGGTCCCGCATGTGCGCTGGATCCCATCTCGCGAACCGCGAACTCTTCACCGCGTTCGTGAGGTTGATTGTGGCGTTCCATATTGATCCTCCAAAGGAAGCTAAGGATCGTCCCATTCTGGATGCGTTGGAGTGTAATGCTATACCGACGAGCTTGACAACTGATCCGAAGCCGTTTAAGTGTGGGTTTAGAGCAAGGGATTTGGGGAGTTTGGAGGGGTGGATGAGGGATAGTGAGGTGAAGACTAAGGAATTGTGAGGGGGAGGTTGTGAGGGAGAGGAGGTGTGGGTTGGGATGGGGTTGTATATACTGACATACATCATACAAGGCGTTTCCAAAATGAATATGAAGCTTTCATAATCATTAAACTCCCTCTATATGATAGAAAGTGAATAGTGTGCGAGTTTTTTAAAGAGGCAGGATCAAAGCAGTTGCTCCCTAATAGCTTAGCATATAAATATTTACCCTCTAGGACTGATATTCACAGATTAAAAACATAATACAACGTTAGACAATTATATCCAGTGGAAGAGAGCTCGCCAATGCTTCACGTGAGATTATTATTCTCTCGATCCTTCTCTGCTTGAGCCCCTCCCGCCTATCACTCTTTCTCAGCATCTCACCACTCCTCCTGGTATCTCATCCTAGGATTTCGCACTACTATCTGTATAAACTTGCTGTTAAACCATATCTTCATTCCTTAATTAACTGACTCACTATCCTATAAATAGCGAATTCAGCTTCATCGGTACTGTCACTCGAATAACAAACAGCAATCAGAGATCGAGATGCTCTAGGGTTGGAAACGGGATAAGCAGATCTCGATCTCCACAAAGCCCTAGGGCGACGATCTCCCTGGGAGAACTTTCTCTATTGTCATTTTCTAAGTTGAGGCCCGGGAAGGATATATATACCTTTGTCTTTGTGGGGCCTAGAGGGACATTGAATCAAACTAACACATTCTCAAATCCATTCTCCGAGAAAAAGATGCGCTTAGGATTTGAAGTTTCTATAAGTATATCTATCTATGAGATAGTCTACTTTCTGCCATGACATTATCAGAGGACCTGAAAATGAATTGCCCCTACACCTTGCTTTTGCCTTCTCGCCAGCGCAAGTACCACTAATTTCAGTCACGTTTTGCTAATTGCCTCATTGAGAAAGAGACGCGCCAAAGTTGCTGTTTTGACTGGGTGTGAATAGCTGTCAAGTGGTTCTTTTCCTGCTGTCAAAATCAGTTTCGTTCATTCGTTGGTTTATTCGTTGCCATGATATGAAACAGCTGACGATTCATGGCCCGGGATTGATGAGTTCACGCAACCATCTAGTATTTCGCTCCAGACATGGTTCAGGATACGTAGGACATTTACTAGTGACTTTTGCCCTTTTCAAACCTTAATGAAAAGATGACAGCGAGATTGGCAAGGGTTTTAGGGAATCCATCACGATTGACAAATTGGACTGGTTCGTTTGAAAGATAGGTGAGAAGTATATATATTTCGTCAAGCGGTTCTTTAGGGAACGCGTGCGGCGTACCGCAAATTTCATGTTGAATATCCAAGTCTTTGATGATTTCAAGTGTATTTTTGTATATAAAACAATGGATTAGCTAAGCTGTTTCTCATTATTCCGATCATTGTGGGTGCAGTAAGCTCTGTTACCTAAATTTTTCTTAATCCCACGCAAATGTTGTAGCATGCCGCCAAGTTCCGACTCCAAAGTCAAATCATATTACCGTACCTCACTTCATGTATAGTGAGGAAGCTGTCCCTGATTCATCTCAGCCTACGCTCCATTCCCACTTACACTCTTCCCAATATCTAACCCCGCCGCGCCCCACCATCGTCACCATCTACCAAATTACTCACCCTCTTCACCCCCTCCGGAACCTTAAAATGCGCCGGCAACGGCGTCCAGCTCTCTTCATTATACCCCTCTTGCACCTTGTTACACTGCTTCAGCCCCCAATCCGTAACACCCACCATCAGACAACTCTCAAACATAAACGCCATGCTACCCTCTCCAACCTTCATCGGCTTGAGCTCTGCATTCGAAGCCTTGTCATGCGTACTAGAGTCAGGACCGTGAGCCGACATGATGTTGTGTAGACTCGCACCAGCAGGCCTGAAGCCACCACCTGACTTGGCGTCGTATTCGCCGCCGATCAGACCCATGAATTCGGACATGGTGTTGCGGTGGTACCAGGGAGGGCGGAAGGTGTCTTCGCCGACTAGCCAGCGGGGAGGAAAGATCACGAAGTCGGCGATGGAGGTGCCGACGTGGTCGGAGGGTGCGGAGAGGACGGTGAAAATACTTGGGTCGGGGTGGTCAAAGGATATGCTGCCGATTGTGTTGAAGCGCCCTAGGTCGTATTTGTATGGGTAGTAGAGACCATGCCAGGCTACGACGTCGAAGGGTGTGTGTGCTTGACTTGCAGCAAATAGATGACCGTTGAATTTGGAGATGATGTTGTATTCTCCACTGGTATCTTCGTCAAATGCAGCAACTGGCGCTTGGAAATCCCTCGCGTTGGCCAAGCAATTCGAACCAATAGGACCCAATTCTGGAAGTTGGAAATGGCCCTGGTATAATTCCAAGATATATCCTCTGACAGGACCAGCTGGAAGTTCTACTCGGTATCGAATACCTCTAGGAATAATGCAGATCTCGTTCGGTCTTACAAGAATCCGTCCCAATTCCGTCTGAATATCCAGCACCCCATGCTGCAACACAATCAAAAAGTCCCCATCAGCACTATAAAACGCATCATTCTTACTCATACTCTTCCCCGCAGCAAAAATAAAAATCCCGAGTCCCGCCTTCATCGTCGGATCACCAGCTCCCGCAACCAATTTTAAGCTATGCACCCAATCGACCGTCTCGTCCATATCGAACGGATCCCAGCGTAGCTGGTTAGGGACCTGGTGGATTTTGTCACCTTCTGGGTTTGTGTTGTATGTAGAGGCTTCACGGGGGATGAAGGGGGAGTGTGCGGCTGCTGGGAGGATCCGGTAGAGCCATGATTGCTGATTTTCGTGGCGGGGTGCTGTGAATGCTGTGCCGGACAGCTTCTCAGCGTAGAGGCCGTAGGGAGGTTTTTGGGGAGAGTTGGCCCCTATTGGGAGAGCTCCTGAGACGGCTTCTGACCTGAGAAATTGTCAGTGTGAGTTTCAGTTGGTATAATTTTAGAACTTACTCGTGGTAAGAATTGAAGCCATTCTGGTATTTGTACTTCTCGGGGGTAGTAAACGTTGTGACAGGCATGATCAGATGAAAGGAGATGGCAGTACTTAACAAGCTTCAAGAGAGATAAGACGGATGTTGGGAGAAAGAGCAAATAACTACTTAGCGTTGCTTATTCTATTTTCATGGCCTTATGTACTCGAGTAGGACAAACTGATGCTGGGGTGAGGTGAAGCTCATCATCCCCGCAAACGGCTTAAGCTTCACACACTGCCGAAGCTGGGGGAGGGACGGAACGAGGCCGCGGTGGGTTCCGCGACCATGCAGTGCCGGAAGCCGACATCAACTTCACCCTTCACTCTCCACTTCACTTCACTTCACTTCACTTCACTTCACTTCACTTCACTTCACTTCACTTCACTTCACTTCACTTCACTTCACCCATTTTCACTCTTTCTACTATTTTGACTCGTACTTGTATTATAAGCTTCCTGTCGTGGAAGTTCCGGCTTTGGTGCTGTGTCTGTATACCGAAGACCGATATCCGGATGCCGCTTTGTTGATTTTGCCACGCCACATCACCGGAATCTTTGAGCTGGTCGTTGGTAAGTACCCAACTTTGGGCTTATGTTCCGTGAGTGAAACCAATTCGGGTAGCGGCTTCCCTTCTTCTAGACAGCAGTTTTGGTGATGCCGTATCTGCAGGATGAGGACTCTGAAGGGAGTTGGAGCTGGAGCGATCTTTTGGAATGTTTTGGCAGTTGAAATTTGACCAGCCAGTGTTGGACCATGGTTCCAGATGGTCGGGGCAAGTGTTTTGAGTTTTCATCTCGCTCTTGGCATCAGCCATTTCCTTGGATAGGCTGGAGCAGCGCTCATACGTCTGCGCCAGTTGGCCTAGCCCTATGGCTGAGATATGTTCACGAAATAGAATGAGAGTTTATAGCCCGCTTAGGGTGTTGTGGACTTCCACTTCAAAACCCAAAGGCAGCTCACCTGTAAGAGGATTACCATGTTTGGTGGCAACGTGTAGCACGTAACACTTTCCCTATCGGTACTCGCTTGTCATTTGCTATGTACTGTACTATGAGAACTGATTTTCTTTTTATCATGAAACTTTCTATGACTATTTGTCACAGCTCATCGGCCCGTCACAGTTCAGGCATTCGCCTTCTTGAGGGAAAAGTGGTTTCTGCTCAACGAAGCAAGACCATTCAACCTTGCAGCTGTAGCTCTTGAACGTTGGATCTCTCGTTTCGGTCGAATTGGAGAGCTGTCTCGTGGTAAAGTGACCATTGGTTCGCCAGTTCTCTTTGAAGGCGATATTTCTTTTTCTTGTCTTTTGCCGACGAAGGCTCGTTTAGAAGATGGTTTAGTCGGGCGCCATCATACAATCATGCAATCATGGTGGTCATGTGTGAAGCTTATACATGGCTGTCATCAGGAATTGACGATGGCATCAAGGTCGCTGGCTGTGCTTATCGTCGATGTGGCCCTCGTGATTTAGACCCAGAGATATCTGGGGAGTCTTGTCCATCGGCATCTCATGCTTGTACTTGCACCCTATCTGTGTGACAGCATAACCCTCCTGAATCCACTTATCACAGTAGATCTTCTCTCTGCGAAGGTGAAGCCTCAGGGCCGCGCCATGGTCCTCCACCAATCTGGGGATCAAGGCCTGTACAAACAAGATCAAAGAGCAGAGCGCATCATGGTAACGTCAAATGCTTGGTGAGACCAATTGGCCTCCGCGGTTGAGTCTCCTTTGTTTTGCCTGTCTCGGCGCAAAAGTAGATGGCGACGTCTAATTTGAAGTCAGCTTTCTCTTTGGCGGGACGATGGTGGAGGGATGGAAAATATGCTGCATGCTGCCCACCCAAAGTCGAAAGGATTGGGCTTTTGTTGGGACATACCACTGAAGGAGACTTTGACATTGACGCGTTTTAAAACATGTACATAGATCACTGCCAGCCTGCCAGGTCTCGCCTCTGCGGAGGTTATATGACGAGAGTATGAGAGTCAATTCTAGGAGTCACAGTCAATTTCAGGCGGAACGAAATACTTGCTCAGAACTTACGAGAGGTGGAGGTACAAGCTCGTTAGCATTGAGCTTGACGTTTAGTAGTTGCTTGCCATAGTTGTTGATAATTGTGGTTGGTTCTGGTCGGCGTTCTTGTTGTGTGGGACAAAGAAAGGAAGAACGAAGAAGGTGCGCGTCGAGGAAGGAGATATCAGTCAAGCGAACTAGCACAACTCGCTCACCGAGTCAACCCCGGAGACTGCCAAAAGTCTAGCCCAAGGCATCCAAATATAGGTTACTCTGATATTCAAAGGCACTTTCTTTTTCAGTATCCCACCCATGCGAATACTCTCCATCCCCTCTCCTGAGAGTTACTCCTACTTCCAACAACACTACTTCTCGTACAGCACACTCGCAGCCAGTAACATCGCGCCTACTTTCAGCAAGACTCCCCATTGCTACCGCCCCCTCTCTGCATTCGACCAAACCTTCAACTACCGTACCAGCTTCGCATCATACCTTCTCGACTTCGATTCCAGAACGCCTCGCAGCAGCATACACATAGATAAACCGCGCAATAGAGGCAACAAATAGTCATGATTAGAAGAATCTAAGGAGTCCAGGTATCCACAATCTAGAAAGCAATGTATACCTCGTTGACTCGAATCAAAAGAACACCACGCAATCTCAGACAAACACAGCAACATCGCGGCAGAAGCAACAAACTAGGCTGTTCAGGTAAGTTTATCAGATGCAATGCCAGTTCGAGGAGCTCATCAGCCAGGCAGCGCGTTCCAGTAGTAGTCATGGTTCAGCGCGAATGTTCTAGAAAGGGCAAGTAGACAAATTCTAGACGCACAGCTGGAACAGCTCCGATTAGAGAGTAAAACAAAGACAATCATCGGTAAGTCTGAGCCAAACCTATTGTTTGTGGAGTCATTCTCCAATCCTGGTTTCACTGACTTCGCAGTCATCAGCAACTCCTCCAACAAACAAAGAATCGTCCGACAGGGCCATCGCTCCAGGATCTACTCTTTCATCGTAGGGGGTTCTCTATTTTCATATCGAAAACACAGTGCTGACGACTCAGAGATTCTTCTGCGTTTCTCAAGGCGCAGCTTTTGATAATCTCCTACCACGAAACCCTTCAGATTCCTGCTCCAACCCAGTTTCCACATAGTTGTACAATTACTATGGCACACCAGAAAGGTCATCCTTAGTTCGAGAACTAGCAAGACGGTCTGTCTATTTGGCTGCTTGTGGTTTAGGTGTCGACTGACAGCGGGACGTAGTTCATATTTGGCATAGTGGTGATCGAGAAATAGGAAAGCGAATAATATCTCAGATTCTCACCGACAAAATCATTTCTACGACAAAAAGGAGACTGTATCTCGAACGATCGTTTCACGTTGCTCATCCGCAATTCTCGTCACTTTTCTGGCTCCAAGAGTCTAACAGGTACAGAAAGGCCCACGAACAGCTAAAATCAACACTTGATATCCGAGAGGAGCCAGCCAACATGTCGCCAACGAATAGGAAACGCGTAGTGATTCGGCTTAAGGTCAATTCTTCGAAGCTCAAGTCTTCTTCAATGGCCACTGAACCGCAGGGAAAGCGACCCCGGAAATACTGCAAGGGTAAACGGCCTGCTATACCCAAAATATTCCACCCTCTTGGGGGTTCTTCTGAAAATGACTTCAAGATTGGACGGTTTCGATTTTATGTAAGTACTTGCCATTTCTCTTTCTTCTTTCAAATTACTGTCCTCCAACTTTGGGAGATCTTACTCCTGTTCACTTCTATTTGATCCTGAATCCTGATAGACGAAGAAGGTGCTAACTTGCTGACACAGCCTCGCATTATCCTCAAGTTGAGAAACCCAGCTACTCGTACTGTGGAGGTTGCAACCATTCGGGCACGTTGGATTCGTGTTCATCGATGAACCACCAACCTTGCGGAATCTTTAAAAATTGGTGATTACTACAATTTCGCTGTTGGTCTATCATCAACTAATTCGCGCTAATCAAGTCACCGGGATGCGCCATTCTCTACCGTCCAATACACCTTCCTGTCGAAAGCACTCATCAACGCATTGTCTCCCATTTCCTTCCACTACGAGTTCCTCTGCCGACATACCATCGACACAAAACGCTTCTCACCAGTGTCGTTCTTCACACTTGTGTTGAGCACATAAATAATGGCAACGAATCTTTATTGATGTGGATGATCTGCTTTCTGAGCGGATGCATGGACTTTGATGTATAATCTACTCTGAACTTGGTGTGGCAAACACTCTTCATGTTATTTTCTTTTGTATGGTTATGGCTAAGGTGTATTATGGATATGTAATCGGCGTCATGTCCTTTGATTTATGTACATGAGAAGCCGGTACGATGGCCCTTTTGGGGGTTTGGAATGTCATGGCGAATAAAGATAGAGTTTGGCTTGTTGCGATCGGTTTCATGTGGCTACGTTTGTCATTTGAAGACAGCACCCGAGTAGATTAGAAAAGACAATCTATATCTATTCAAATTCTTCTTGCCTAAAGTACGAAAAACTACGTGATAAGAAAATTTCCCATTTTCTACCCGCACTTGCAGGTTTCTAGAAATCTACCTACCATACCTAGTTAATACCGAATTGCATCTGACGTGCAGTATTAATCCATGGACGACCGTTTGAGAACCCGTAGATAGGTTACTTTTTCATCCCCAATTATTAAATAAACCGCTTATTCACACTCTAGACATAGAATCATAGAAGATGTAGTCATTTTGCGCAAGTGTTGCTTTTTTTGGGCGACCCCCTCCCCTTTTCCTCGAGAATGTATAGTTGTTCTAAGCGAGATTCGGAGTGCAGTGCAGTGCAGTTAACGTATTAATAAAATATTATAGCTTTTATATTAATTCTTTCTAATCTATATCTTGAGATAATCTGCTACTTTACCTTTGTTGGTATCACAGCGGTGATCACTTCTCACTACCTACCTAGGTTCTGGTTGAGGAAGCTGCGTCACTGAAATAGGGCTGAGGGCTCAGCAAAGGCAGCCCCACCTTTTAGCAGACCCCTGTAGAAGCTTTGCCTTTTTGAGCATGGCGCTGTGCAAGGGTAATGTTCCGATGTATTGTACCCTCACTCAAACACATTATTCGTTGGAAAACAGCAGCATGTTCGTCCGCTCGCCGAACCGCAAAGGGGGAGGGGGAGGGACCATTCACAATGAAACACGTTTTGTGCTCCTAATAACGTCACAATTATCTATCTTCTAATCCTTTGAGCTATTATATATCTACTCGACTGTTGTTTTAATGCTCCGCAGTACGCGTAACTTACATTATTTCCCTACGCAATGACAGATATTCATGCCAGCTTGAGCAGCATTTATGAGTCTGGGAAGTACTCCGACTTCACTATCCGCTGTGGTGATCGAGTATTTAACGTCCATCGAGCAATAATCTGTCCCAGGTCCTCCTTCTTCGCGGCGGCTTGTGATGGCCCATTTCAGGCAAGTGGGTGACTTTGTCAACCAGGCACGACTGACTGTTGTTAGGAATCTATTGATAAAGAGACCTCATTAGAAGAGGATGATCCCCATACGGTTGAGCGAATGCTAGCATACCTATACAATTCTGACTACTGTGATGGAGATGACTCTGGACCAGCAGCAGGAGTAGCCTCTCCAGAAAGCCTAGCATCTCCAGAAAGACCAACCGACGCTCTCGAAGACGAAGAACGATCCGATTCGACGTCACAATCTATACTGGAGGAACCAGATAATATTTCTGCCACAACTGATGTGCCATCATTGCTCAATAACGTTCTTGTTTACGCCATAGCAGAGAAATATGGCATTGCAGAACTAAAGGAATTGGCGAAATCGAAGTTCCAAGGTCAAGCCGGGAGCCTCTTGTCTGCGAGGGAGTTCCCCGAGATAATTCGGGAATTGTACAGATCTACGCCGTCCAGCGACCGTGGACTCCGCGATATTGTATCCCAAGTTTGTGCACAACACGGAAGGACAATTGTTGACAGCCCAGATTTGAGTGATATTATCTTGGAGGTTGGGGAGTTTGGCTTGGACCTTCTGCGGGAGGTCCTGAAGTACGAGAATGGTCGGGTAGAGGAGGCAGTCGCGAGAAATTCAGCCTTAGAGGGGGAGCTGGAGGAGAAGAAGGATGAAACTATCGAGCTCCAACGGAAATTACGCTCTGTCGGTAAAGTATTGAAAAATTCAGCAAAAGGTCTCGAAATGGGTAGAGGCTCTGAAAACATGTTTATGTTTTGAGAGGAATTCACCACATCAACTTATTGTGTAGCTTCTATCACTATCATGGACCATGACTCTGACCTGGGCGAATAGGAGATTCGTGCTTTGATTTCCACACACGTGGGTCGTAAGGCGCCAGTAGAAATGCTCGGGAGAACTTGCAATATTACCAATTTCCCTTATATCAACGTCCTATTCAAGTCTCCTCAGTGTCACAGCGCTGAACCTACCCCAGCATTGCTCGGCTGAAGAAAGATCTTTAGGACCGACCCTCGAGCAGTAATGTAAAAACAATTCAGATCGTCTAGGCCATGTGAGATTTCACCCTCGAGCGATTCTGCATTCACGATCGAAGATGCGTGTTGTTCTAGCACTTTCTCGGCTTCGCCGACTGCGAGCCATTCTAAGCTATAAGATAGATCGCTTGGATGACTATTAGGTGTGATCTGACTCGGACCTATCGAGTATTCGATCTGAACCTCGAGATGCCCTGCATCATATAGTGGTGATGCGTGGTTGACTTCAACGCCTTTTGACAATATCTGGCCTCGGAGAAGTGTGCAGCTCTCGACAGATATACTATCTGATGATAGTTCCCGGGGCGAAGGAAGAGTTTTTGGAGTAATATCATTCGAAGGTTGAATCAATACATCGTCTGTCCGCGCTGTAGGGCTACTCGGTGTTCTTTCCGAAGGCTTCGAGGGTGCCTTAGGATTCGACAAGATTTTATCTGTCTCTGAGCGATTTGGTATTTGAGGCTGTAAGACCACTCCCTCCTCAGCTTCTGGCAGCGCCGAGCTACTCAATGTCGACATTGACACAGATAGCGTGAGGAGTGTGCTCTCATGCGGGTCTGGATATACAGTCTTCTGCTGTCTCGATAGAAGTGTCGTGAGGCTATTTCTGATATGATGTGCCAATTCCGTGTTGAATCTTTGCTCCATTTCCTTAAGCCTCGGAGAAAAGGGTAACCGCCAACCAGGGTATAGTCTTCCGTGGGACCCTGGCGTGTGTATTTTCCCGTGCATTCGAATGAAAGCATTACAAAGAAAGCAGGCATCCTTGGTCGAACAAAAAGCTCGAGGCGGCAGTTTGAAAGCCTCGAGCTCGCAGTAGAAGAGCAGCTGGATCTCGGCGTGGATCTTGGCGTCCTTCAAGGTTTTTCGTGTCTGTTGGACAAACTGGTCATTTGCTTCAACCTCACTGACTTTTAATAACCGACAGACTTGGCCGACATTCCATTGCTGTTTATGCAGTGCGTTGATTCGCGAGACCGTGGAAGGAAGGGTCAGAGAAGATTGATTGGCCGGTCTTTTCTGGAATACATTCTGAGGTAGGCTGACAAGAACAATCGTCATCTGTCGGACCAAAGGGATTTTCTTCGCTGTGCGATAGAGGAATCTGGCAGCTTCCCGGTACCTTGCAACCTTACTGATAATATTCAAGAGATTCTTTCTCGATGTTGGACCCATAACTTGGTTCGGTATAGCGCTAAGCAGGTCTTGAAGTTCTCCTACTTGCCACAAGCGATTGACTCCTTCCACTAACTCCCCTAGCCGGACTGGCTTGCGATGTTTGGCCCATGCATCGACCAACTTAATCACTTCTTTAGCTCCTTCCACAAACAATCTAGAGCGTAGGAGCAGCTCGGTGTCTTGAACTGTCTCCTTTTCCCGCCGTCGGATAGCATCTACAGCGTCTTGGAGCAGTTCCTTAATGGGTTGCCTTGGGGTATTCCTGCTGTTGCGAATAAATCGCAGACGGCATAGAATGCGTACAGAGCACATAGAGATGATTTCAGTAAAGACTTGATCCTCGATAATTAGTGTGCCGTCTCCTTAGTTTGATTAGCAGTGAAAGAGTGTAAGACATGGGTCACCGACCATCTGATACCCGAGAAAGTAGTGTAAAGATTCTCTCGAAGCCTAACTTAAGGTTTTGTAGGACTCCCTCGCCATCGCCTGGCCTGGCTTTATTCACAGCAAGCAGGACGTTTAAGAACGCCGATTGGGGACCCTCCTGAACACAAACAGCAGGGATGTGCTCCGGACCATCTTTGAGATTCGAAAGAAATGCGAGCATGCCGGCCAAGCGTCGCTCTTGTAGAAGGGATAGCGTATAACCATTCTGATGAATCGGGAGACGGTCAATCGAATTGCGAGAGGGCGGATCAGGAACGGAATGCAGGAGATAGAGAAGGGCAATGTTCTCAGCGCAGGTGACTGCAGGTGAAGGAGGAGGAGGAGTACTCGGCGTCATTGAACTAGACTGTTCTAAGCAGCGCGAGGGATGTTGCTCCGTATCAGCGAGAAATGGGGAGAACGAAGGAATATTGTCGCTACCCCGCAACCCCGCAATCACAATCGCTACGAGTACTGTACGGCCCGGTCCGCTGCAGGAGAATTTTACGTGATAGCGCCAGCCAAGTGGGGAGAGGGAGAGATGTTATATGGAGCTCTACCTTATCACGTGCGTCAGCTTTCAACCCGACTTATCAGGTTACAGGAGCGACCTCCTTCCAACAGTTATACTCGTAAGTGCCGGCTAAAAAGTGGGGCTGACTCTTGAAAAGAGTGTGTTTTAAGAGAAAGCCGGTTTCGGGTACTACTATACTTCACTTGATCATGTCATGAAATAACGACGATGCATGTCACGAATTGGAAAATATACGGAGATCAGACAATGTAATCTTAATGGTAATAGAGTTGTATTGTGTGCAAAATTGAAATACTAGCCTGCAACAGGGGTTCATAATAGTGGTAGGCTAAGTTACAAGAAGACTGGATAATACATAGGCAGCACAAATTTGTGTTGTCAACGGTACTCGGCGAGAGATTCTTACCCTGACTTACCGTCTGGGTGCGTAGACATGAGATGGTCCCACCCGGACTTGAGTTCGCGAACGACTTGAGAGCCAGCTGTCATCAAGATCTCTGTTTCCAGTGACAGATTTTCCTTGACGTGATTTAGTTGGGGCCCTGAAGGTCGGGACCGTATCCTGGTGAGCTTTGACCGTAACTGGGGAGACCGGTGCGACACTCCCGTTGCCAAAACTCCAGGAATGGTAAAGATTCTTCAGTGTCGATAATGATTCTGGGAGTAGTTTGCCGCAGAGAGTAGCTTTCCGATTATAGCAATGGGTATATGGATGGGTGAGAAGGACAGATGTTCTGTCTGTCATTCGAGACCAAGGACTAGCTCCAGTCTTTTTGAATGCCGGGAAAGCATCGGCCCATATAATTCCATTATCGCTTTCCGCTCCAGCCGCAGTGCTTCTGAAATCATGCTCTCTGATAGACACAAACTCATTCTTTTCATCCTTCCTGTCGAGCCCTCGACCTCCATGGGTATAGATCGGTAGTGCAACAACGGACCTTGGGTGCTTCTGCACAACGATAAACTTCCTAAGTTTGGTATGAACCACGCCATACTCCGTCATTGTTTGACCCTGCTGTTGTGGTGTATCGGGCTGGTCGAAGTCATGCTGGTGGAATGGAATCGAGAACACAAGTCCCTCGTAATAATCAGCTGCCTCGTGAACTAATCCAAGTGACTTGTTTGCTGATCCATAGTTACTAGCCCCAAATGTACTCGCCCCGAAGTTGCTCTCCGGCCTCACCCATCGCGCTTTAGGCCCATAGGATGAGCCCATCGGAGGTAGTAGAGCGGAGTTTAGTGCCTCTGAATTTGTACGGGGACTTACATATTTCTGCACGGGGGCATCAATTTGAAGAGCACTGAAGCTGTTGTTGAAGATCGAGCTTTTTGTCGTTTGCTCTCGGGTTCGAGAAACAGAACCTTCTTTGACTTCATCTTGCTTCGAAGTTTGGGCTTTGATAAACCCCATTCTACCGTCTAGATCTTGGCGGGCCCTGTCTGGAGCCATCGTGGAATCGACCTATGAATTTTTAATGATTGTTTTTAGTGTTACTTTCCTGCTCCGTACGTATGGTACAGCTGATGCTGAGTGGCCTGGCGATAATGCGGGATCACTGTAGGTGTTGTGATACTACTTGCAGGTAGGAAGAGCGATATGCCGAATCACTACTGTCAGTTGTTGTCAAATAAAAGTAGTTGGAATGTGAGCAAGCTTCAAGAATTATAACGCGCCATTATATAGGCGCGTATAACAGCAGTGAGAAATCCTTCATTATGGCAAAACAGATAAAGGGGTTTCGCCCACCATACTGATTGTCTTTGTTGAAACAGCCCGAACAACCATTTGCGGTTCGTGTTCTGGGCAGTATTGAAAGACATACTGTCTCATCCGCATTAAAGCAACATAAAAAAGATTTGGCCTGAGACCTAATTTGGAAAATTCGACTTCTTTGTTATTTCAACAACAGAACAAATAAATCGCGCTCCTATTTAATCTGTGATTCATTTAGAATCTTGATAGATTTGAATGTCAACACTGCTCATCACGCCGAACTTTTTCATCCAGACGATCCCTTTTCAGACCACCGAGAAAGCCTGTAACCAGAGCTACTGGTGGTATCCCAAAGCCTTGAAGGAACAAAAAAGCTAGAATGCTTAGAATCATGACGGGCACTTTCTTCTGGCAGCTTGTGGGAATCGTTGGTGATGCGTTCAAATTGAATGGACCACCAGAAGATGACACCGAGCCCGGCGTCGCCAATGATGATCAAGCTTCAGGAAGCTTTCCAGCTTTAACCGAACAACAATCGTCAAGTCGAACGGCTGCGAGCGATAGTCAACACAGCAGATACACGCTGATCCCGGACGATACCCAAGCTGCTGTCGCTGCTACTTCCCTGAAGCCAGACCACGAAGACGTTGTCATGGGCGACCTTCAATCTTCACATACTCCACCTTTGACAGCACCTTATCTCCAAGTATTCAGTCATCCTGGAAGGGAAGGGGCGGAAGGTTCAGCGATGTCCCTCACAGATACCCTCATCTGGCAGTTGAACACTGTTTTTCGGTGCGAAAACAAGATTGCCAGGCTTCTGGCTGAGCTTAAGAAACGGGAAGCACAACAGGCAGAGCTGGAAACCATGCTCGATGATCTCCATCGCCAGCGCAATCAAGTACCAGATGGCGAAGACCCCACGGAACAGGTTCAGATGTTGGAATACGCACAAGACTTGGCTGGGGACCTGGAGAGCGAGAGGAACGAATTGCTCCATGACTTGCAACATACGGAGCACGAAATGAATAGCCCTAAGGCTGATATGTATCGTGACCTGAAAGAAGTCATGGGCAGATATAACCTTCTCGAAGACATATCTGGAAGAAGTGACTCTGGCCATGTCCCTTGGAACCAGGTTTTCAGACAGCAACAGCAGCAAAATGCACCTGCTGCACAGCCACCTACACCGACTACTAGTGAAGCTGCACGTTATGCCCAGGAAGACGCGAGAGAGGAGGCGCGCGATTTCAAGACAAAGAAGGAAATCGACCTCCAAGATGCGCGCGCAAAGATAGACAATTGGACCCATCACTACGATGACAAATACGGACAGTATCGCGCAATGGTTGATGAAGGAACAACTGATCTCGCCAAAACAGAATTCGATATCATTCTTTTAGGCCACCAACGAGAGGCAACGAGAGACCTGGTCGAGGCCGAGCAGGAGTACGATGCAGCACTGCAGCAGGCAAGAGCTCTCGGCGTGGTTTTTTGGGACCCAGATCAAGAGTCACAATTTCCCGATAATGCTGACGATGGGTATCGAATCTCCATGGAGCATGATATGGTTCAGCACGTTGATCGGGTTCGAATCGAGAGATGGATGGCAGAGAAAGAGGACCGACTGAATCATTCGACCGATTGCGACGATTGGGAGGCTAAAAGCATTGATATCTGTGATAGTATCAGCTTGGTAGCAGAAGGGAAGGACAGATCCCGAATTAATCGCTGGCAGGCGACGTGCGATGAACAGAGAGCTGAGCAGGAATCTCCTGAACCGCCTTTAGAAACTAGAGCCGTCGGTGTATATGACTGTGTACATAAATGTACACGGTCCAAGTACACCACACATAGTGGTTCTAGTTCGTGTACAATATGAAATGAAATGTATGTATAAGAATAATCTTAGGTTTTTTATGATGGTTTGTGATGTTTGCCCCCAAAAATAAGGCGAAAAGTGTTAATCGATGCTTCCCTACTTTCCAGACGTCATGCAACGTGACTGCGCATGGACTTTAAACAGTCAGTCCTTCCTCGGAGGAACTAGACAATAGCAGAAAACATAGCTAGGTACCTGGTTACTACAAGTCGGCGCTATCGAACAAGAACTCCAACTCTGACAATATTCTCTGCTTCTCAACCAATCCACTAGACCGATCATTGTACTCAGAACGGGATCCGTATGTCAAAAATTGCACATTCAGTGCGATTTATGGCCGTGCCTTAGAAGCAAGACCTTGTCCCCCCTCAAAGTACGAAAAGCATGGTTTTATCCCCTCCCCCGAAGTCCTGATATACCGAAGAGACGACAATCACCTGCTCAGCGCGATAACCCCGCCCAAACGAAAAAGAACTTACAGCCATATTCAAAAACACTGCATTTGCCCAAGAATATCTTAAGCTACGCTCTCAATCGGTTTCCGGCCAAAGTTCGCTCATAAAGAGCCACTCAAAAGCCACGTTACCCTGAGCCTTCTTCTTCTCCTCCCACACTGCATTACGCTGCCCAAGCCAAGCCCGCAAACCCTCCGGCAGACCAACATCCTCATCCTTCGCATCATCAACAGCCTTACCCTTGCCTTTACCACCCACACCCTGATCAACAGCCTTCCCCGCATCCAGACCCTCAACCTTCCGCATCAGCTCCCCCAACGCATTCCGCACCCTAGCCACAGCATCCGACATCACACCCTCACAATTCACAAACGCCTGACAGGCCTTGTACCCCAAGATGGACGCCCTCAAATAGTCACCCATATCAAGCGCAATATCAAACGCATCAGCGAACAGCATTCCAAGCCGGTAGTCCTTGATGGGGGGCTGTTCCAGCATGAGCGTGAGCGCACAGTTTACAAGCCACAGCGCCTTGCCCACATCCTTCTCGTGATGGACACGCATAGACCAATCCTCCAGCTTGTGATATCTCTCATCTGTCGCTTGGCGGTCTTCGGACCGCTGCATGCACCAGTCGCAGTAGCATGTGAAGCCGTACGTCCTCTTGATTAGATCGCGGTTGATGACGTTCGCGGGTGCGTAGGAGATGGTGATTTGTTCGTTGGCGGCGATGTCGCTGAGTGCGTACACAGTTATGGCGTTTAGGCTCTCGTTCCAGGCGTGATGCGCATTGTGGTGACAGGCATGATTGGCCCACGAGAGCAAGGGAAAGATGCCGAAATAATCGGCTTTCCGACGTCTGGCTCCCAACGGAATAGGAATTGCTGCGGTCTTGAACTTTCCGATGTAATGCGTCTTGAAGAATTTACCTGTGCTGAGACCATCTTGTTGGTATTCGGCAAAGGGGTGATAGTTGGAGAGGATCCCCCACGCTGCTTGATCGGTAGAGTTGTGCGACTCGATATGCTGTTTTACGAGTCTCTCGGCGGCGGCGGTGGAGGGCTTGAAGTAGAAAGAGGCGGGAGCGACAAAGAGGGGCTTCTCTATAAGGATCTGCGTGCCGGCTTTGATCCCATTCTTTGCGACGAGGCCTTTTCCCATGTTGTGTCGATGAACAAACATGTTGGGCAGGATCACTGGGGGTCCGGATGGCTCGGATTCAGATTCGGGTTCCATAATGTCTGATAGTTATGTGGTATTCTTCGGTCAGGTATTGAGGATAGTTTCGGTGCAGAGGAGGATGCCGAGGAATTATTTGTTGTTGAAGAGGGTATCCCTTTCATCGAGGAGATGCTGCGGCCAAGTGAATCAGTCTGACTCAAAGTCTGCGATAGTTCTCCGCTATACAGCTGCACTTCAGCCAGCCAAGGTGTAACTTCTGACACAAAGATGGAACTGCTCTGAAGTCCTGGGTGTCTCTCCAGCTTCCAGGTATAGGTATACTTAAGTTGATCTGGATCTGGTCTGCAGTATGAAGGGGACGAATAATCTTTGTCGTCGCGAGCCAGCTGCGAACAATGCTTGTATAACACAAATTCTGACGGGCTTGGGTGAATGTCAAAGAGAAGACACCAGCCATCTAGGGCAAGTGTAGGCAAGTCACTTTTGAATTGTGACATGGAATTAGATAAAAGGACACCGTTGGGCAAGAAAGTTTTGCGCCTCGAGCTAATATATGAAGAGATACAAGGGGCTGCAAATAGTTTTGAACGCAGCAAATACAATTAATTCAACACGCAATCATACTCGGCTTAGAGATTATTCTGAATAAAAAGAATTTATAGATCTGGATCAAACGGGGTCGTACAACACTGTGAGTATATTACACTTTCTAGGGAACACTCGCATAATTACTCCGTATTGCTGAGTACCCCTATATCACAACGCAGCGTTTCATAAGAATCTGACAACCCAAAGTGGCACATATAAAGCAGTACAGTGCACAATGACACTAGTCCTACATATCACGGAAGCATGAAACAGGCGCAGCAATATAAAGAAAAGAGATGAAGAACAAAAACATCGTTAGTTGTCCACTACCTCTACTTTCGGCATACAGCCCAAACAACTCCATATTACGCCAGGCTCCAACGCCAGTTTTCCTACCATTATGGCCAAATCATTCAGTCATATCATATCGATGTATCAAGCCCAAGAACACATCGTAGGTATCATATCGTAAGTTCCCAGCCCAAATTTCACTCATCTCAAAACGCCGGCACTCCTTGCACTCTCCCCAACCCTAACATCTTCCTCGCCCTCCTTCTCTCGCTCTCTTCCCCTCCCTACCCCACTGACCTCCCTATCCCTAACGCTCGCCGTAGTAGATACGCTTTCACTTCTCGTCCTACTGGCATCACTAGGTCTTCTCGCCCTAAGTGTACGTTCTAAGTCCCGGATTCGTCGCTTCAAAGCCTCGTTTTCGCGCTTGACGGCATCGAGCTCATGTCGGTGGTAAGCCGTCTCCTCGTATCGTCCTGTTGTCTGAACACTCGTGACAGAATCTGAACGATGTCTATGTCCGTATCCATGTCCTTCTCCACCTGCAGGATTGCCTACTAACCCTGCTAGATTCCCCGAAGACGGTTCGCGGTATTGGGGCAAGCTGGGCCGCTGTCCGTAGAAGTAGGAGAAATGATCGGGGTTTTGGTAGCTTGATTGTGCAGAGTTTATGGGGGCGGGACTGGAAGCACCGCTGCGTCGAGAACCAGTCATGGAGTTTTGGCGAGAGAGGGATTGCGATTGAGGGATTGAGTCGTGGCGGGGAATGTTGCCCCGGGTTCGGTCTGCGGTTGAGGATTGGAGACTACCTGCTATGCCACCGACGGTACTGACGCTGGTAGCTGTACCTGTCGTAATGCTGCGTGTACTTGTACTAGAGGAGGAACGGTGGTGTCGGCGCTGTGAGGGTGTGGGATGGCTTGGGCCGGAGAGGAGATGGTTTGCGTTGTGATCTGCGGAATCTGGGAGGCCGGTCGAAGTGGAAGAGGCGTTGGAGACGACGGAGGCATTTTGGGCTGCTCGAAGCGTAGTAAGTTCGCGGGTTAGTCGATTAACCTGTTTGTGTAACTTAGCATTCCGTGATACATCGATGGATGGAGCACTTACGACTGCCTCCTGCTCCTTTTCTAGCTGCAGATGCAAATCTGCGGCAGTCAAAGGACGAGGGTGTCTTAATGGCCCAGGTCCTATTCCTACGCCTGTGTTGTCGGCAGCGATTCCTCCTGCTGATCCGCCAGTTGTTGGCATATTCGGCGAGGCCGAGGGAGGAGATGTATGGTTGACGGCATTTTGATTCGAAGGGAGGATATTAAGAGAACTCGGAGCAATAGCTGGAGGAGCCAATTGTTGAGAAGCTCTTCTCGATGCGCTGGTGGAGGTGAGACGTGGGGAAGAAAGGGGTCTTGGAGATGGAGGAACAGAATTGAGGTCCGGAGCCATTTTGTCGTTCTCGAATCGACTTTTGTTCAAAGGAAGGGAACAAAAGAACGTGAGGAATACTGCTTCCTTCAAGATATGTTACGGGGAGAGAATTTTAACAGATTGGGAAGATTCCGTTGGTACATACAGTAAAAGCATCGAGTAGCAAGGGGTCATCAATTTCGAAGGATGCTGTGTTTCATTGGTCGAATCACGTGTGCTGGTAGCCTTGTAACAAGGCTACAGGGGGGCGATTTTAGCTATCCTGCCATGCCATGACGTAGGACTCTTATGGTGGGGTTACTTAAAACAACATCCTTCTTGACAAGATGTGGCCTTGTTTCCAATAAGCAATTTTATCTTGAATCCATTTCAAAAATACCCTGAAAAAGTAAGTCTCAAATTCGACTTCACATTCTTGATTTCTCATTGCCCTCCTCCCTCGTTACCACAAAAAGCCCGCTTTTGGCTCTTGCCCCTCATTCCTCCCCAACGGAGTCAAAACATTCAAATTCTGTTCTAATACTAATCCCCAAACAGAACTTCAAATCACCTCAACCATCAATCAAAATGTCAGCACCAAACGAAGGTCGTCAATCGCCACCCCCAGAGGAGCAATCCGGCAAGCAGCAGCAAGATACACCTGCCACCGGCCAGGGAGTCAACAAGGACAGCAACAACAAGGATGATAGCAAGTCTCAACTCGAGGTAATTTCTCCGTAGTCCTTTTACATCATTGATATCATTGATAAAGAGAGCCTGCTGATATGTTGACGGAAAGGGACTCTCTTCCAACCCCAAGGGACCTCTCGATGACCATGTAGCGGAGACGGCGAAGAAGACGGTGAACACGGAGAAGAATTAGATATGGGCTATCAAGTAAGAGATGTTAAGGAACGGTTATGGGGGACATTCCGTTTGCATATGGTCAACGCATGGGCAGTCAGACATTCAAGAACCCTGATGAGTAGAAAAATTACGAAAGCATAAATGAAAAGTCTCATTACATTTCAGTGATTTCACATAGCCACATTGTAGATGTTGCACACCATAAAGAAGATTGAAAATCGTGAATTGTTACTTGATACAATCCTTGGCTGGTCACCCCATCATGTTCTGACCTAAACGTATCGCTCGCTAGCACTATGAAAACTTTCCATAAACCCATAAACCTTGTACCGCGTGAAACATAAAAAGTAAAATCACTTCTTAAGTAGTCTTCTCAGGCTCAAGAGGAGCAACCTTTGTGGAATCAACGACGCTGGTACCTTCCGTAGCGGTGGCATGAGCATCAGCAGGGGTAGCTAAATTCTGTGGTTAACGGTGCTTCTGAAGAAGTATAAGCTGAATCACACATACCTGTCTTTTCCGATCCACCAGCCTCCTGCTTCTTCAAATCCGCAAGGCGCCGAGCCTCGGCATGAATATCCTGGACCTGGCGAGAAGTCTGGGTGTAGAAGTTGGCGAGCTTCTTACCAGTTGGCGTTCCGACAGCCTTCTCATAGTAAGAAGTCAAGCCAGAGAGCAGAGAGTTCGTCTTCTCAGTAACGCCATATGACTGGTCGACCGACTTCGCCTTGTCGGTGGCATGGTACTTGGAATCAAGGTTCTGGAGAGTCGACAAGAAGCGGTTGCTGACGCCGTGCTTCTGGTCGAGGTCGATAGCGCGCTGAACAGCTACGTCGCCAATAGCATAGCCATGTGCGAGATATTCGGCAACGATGCGGCTGCGAGGTTTCTCTTCTTGGGTAATATCGTCGCTGTCGCGGGTCTCGTTAGAGGTGTAGTGGGTTCCGTCATCCTCTGATGAGCCTGAAGCACTGGAGACTTTGACTTGAGTTGCTCCAAGTTGTGTGTTATCGAGAAGAAGTGCGGTCTTCGCTGCGGTTTCCTTCTCGAAGGTTACGGTCGCGCTCTGGGTTTCGCCGGAGGAGGTAATCTTGAGATCTGTGATTTTGCCGCTGAAATTTGAGTTAGAATGCGTCTCAATGAGGGGTATCGCCCGTTGCCTACCAGAAAGAGAAGAAGTCCTTGACTTCCTTCTCACCAGTTGCGGAACTGATGTTCGTGACGTTGACGGTGCTTGCAGACATGATTGTATGATTTCTTAGTATTTGTGAGAAATTATTGTTTGGTAGAATAGAAGGCGTGCTTTGCGTTTTGTACTTGTGTTTCGATGGTGTTGTGTCAAGGCAGCGTAAACAGCAAGGGCGGGGCAGTGGCGAAGGCTCTCATGACGTATCCCCTAACTTGTGGCTGGGGCACTATCACGAGAGTCTTTGGCATGTGAAAACTTGCAAATTCATCGCCATCAGAATAATTTACCTCAGAGAAACTGACCCCAGAAATCATAGGAAATTACCAGAAACTACCTGATGGTAGACCACAAAAGCGTTCTCAAGTCACGTGTAATTACCCCTTTCCAAGCCCCACCAACCCCTGAACCTCTCGCTACCCGATGTAGAGGCTAACTCACCAGGCCGTTGGTATTTCTGACCTTGAACTACCAGGTTTGGCTCTTATAACCTGAGTGATAACACAGTATGAGGGGGTGAACTAAGTACTAGGCCAATTATTACTTGTAGTAGTATTCCTTCCGGGTGGGTTCGGGAGTACTAGTGGACTGCGGTAAGCGTTCTCAGGATTCGGAATGGGGATTATTGCTTGAACTCGAAAGCCGACCGTAGTACAAGGAGTATAATTAATACCGTAGCGCCTTGCAGTATACACCTAAGCTAAGGTACCTAGATGCATCGTGAAGGCTCTCTTGGGGCGTCTTGGGTGCAAGGCAGGCAACCAGACCCTTGAATCATCACCATAAACTGCTTCAACACCATTTTGCCCTCGCAGGCCCTCCCAACATCGCTTACAGGCTCTTCCATAATAACTTTCTTTCCACCCCAACCTGCAGACCTGTTCGTCATTTTTCTCATGCATGCATCATTTCGAAGTCATATTCTGTCATTTCATAATGTTCTATTAACGAAAAAATTGTTTCTAGCAAACACTTGAGGATTCACTTACATTTTACCCTCGATAAGTGTTCACTTTTCTGTACTCAAGCGAGTACCCCCACGCATTCCGATGATGAGAACCGTTCCAAAAACCAATTTTCTTCTCGTGCAGTTGGCGATCGTTGTGGAAGTCCGAGAAGTCATTTATTACAAACGTCTTGCTGGAACAACATAATCGATGCAAGAAGACTTCCCATCCTCGTAAACTTCTCACGTTTGCGCAACACTTATGACATCCCAATCCAGAAAGTGAACAATGTCGCAGCCTATGAGCTGTAAGTACGACGCATCAAAGTGTGTGAATCATATATCAAGCTCTTACCGCACGTTTTAACTACCATCCACCAATGCGGGGTCCACTGCGGCAGAGAGAATGGGAGATAAGAAGGTTATAGACATGCGCAGCTATTTCGTGGCATGAGTTAGTAGCTGCTCTCTTTCACATAGCTCAAAGAGTAACTAAACATACTATGTTTAGCTCCTCACATTGCTCCAGACCTCGTTCGACGACGTGAACTCATGTGTTTCATCCAGCGTCGAATCCTCGTAGTAGTGGGATCCTTCCTTTCACTGATTTTATGATGTTCGAAAGCTTTCACCACGGTTATGGTCGAATCATCTCCCCCCTGACTACTTCCCGGAATGCTATCATGGTCACCCTCTTCCCAGTCATTCTTTTCCTCGGACTCTTCTCTCTCCCTCTGATTTCGCCACGCTCTGAATTGCTGTCGCCTTTCTCTCTCTGCCTCCTCTGGTCTTTCGATTGCTGAGAGAATATCGGCAAGTACCTCTTCTGATGCGATGCGATCGTGATCATCGGCTTCTAACGTTTCTTCTCCTATTCGAACCACTTCCTGTATAATCGGAAGCGCTTGTTGGTATTGGCCAGACAGATAATAAGCCCTCGCAAGTCCATGCTGCGATAGTAAGCGGGCAGGATCTTTAGGAGCGAGAATTCTCTCTCTGTTCTGCACAACCTCTTCTAACAGCTGAATTCCTTGCTCTAGCTGTTCATTTCTTATATAAGTTTGTGCTAGTTCATGCCGCGATGCTAAGCGTTTAGGATGGGTAGGAGCGAGAGTTCTGTTATTGATTTGCACAACCTCTTCAAGCAACTGAATTCCTTGCTCTAGCTGTTCATTCTTTATATAAGCTCGTGCTAGATTATGCTGCGAGCCTAAGCGGTCAGGATGGGTAGGAGCGTAAATTCTCTCTCTGATTTGCACAACCTCTTTAAGCAACTGAATCCCTTGCTCTAACTGTTCATTTTCTATATAAGCTAGTGCTAGATTATGCTGCGATGTTAAGCGTTCAGGATGGGTAGGAGCGAAAATTCTCTCTTGGATTTGCACTAACTCTTTAAACAGCTGGAAAGCTTTCCCTGGCCGCTTATTATATGTGTATGCCGTGGCTAGCTCGTGCTTCGACGACAAGAGACTTTCATTTTCAGGATCTAATATATCTTGCTGTATTTGTATGACTCCCTCGAGTACCTCAACCGCCTCTTGATATTTGCCCTGTGTGTCTAGTGCAGTGGCTAGGGCGTACAGGGCCTGCAGGCGCTGTGGGTCGTCTGGCTCCAACGCGTTATCGTCGAATGAAATCACCTCTTTAATAAATCGCAGTTCTTCGTTGGAATTTCCAAGGTGGCCATGACAAATTGCATAAAGATAGAGGATGTGTCGCCACTTTAGTGAGTTCGGTGGGATTTCAGGGCATTGTAGAGATGAAATAAGATCCAGCAGACGTAGAGCGCTGGTATCATTGCGTTGACGGTAGAGTATCCAGAAGAAACGGTCAAATATCCTACATATTTCCAGGGTGTTCCGTTTCCGTGCCAGAAAATAGTCTTTCGGTCGAAGACTGATATTGAATTCTACATGGGGCTGAATATTATTGAAGTAGTCTGAGTAATGCAGATCGTCGATTGAAAGTGCTAGAGTTGCAGCTGCAGTACTCCATGCCTCATCCTGCATTTCAACTTCTAGTCGGTCCTTCGCCCAAGCATGAACAAGTGGATGCATTGAAATGTCATAGGTATCCGGGTGTACATTTACCAAGGAGAATGATAAAAGAACATTCCTTGCTTTTCGCATAGAGAAAAGATCCAGTTCCTTACTCGAGGGCAATGGACGTAGGAATTTCTGTAACCGGTCTGTATGCCATGAGGAAAGTATGTATGTGCTATCTGGTTCATTCCAATTAACGTGCTTAAAAAATAGCGATTCCCCCCAAGCTCTAGTAAACATGTCTTCCGATACAGCTTCTCGATGGAAGTAAGCTAGAACTTGGAGCAATTCGAGGGCATCCTTCGCTGCTGGTTCGTGTGAAGCGTTGATGGCTTTGGCAGAGACCTCAAAAGTGGCATATACATCCCCGTATACAGAGTTTGCCTGGTTTGGACGTTGACTAAGAAGCCTGGCTCGCTGAGATTCAAACATCGAAGCGTACTCATCAAGTCTGCAAAGCCCTTGCCTAATGAACGCCCCGGCATGGACTATGGACAGGATGTGTTGAGCCAAGGACTCATCTCCAACTAGTGTTTGGGCCACTTCCAAGTTGTGTGGGTTTCGTTCTGCTTCTGCAGTCTTAAGCAATAGTTCCACTGCATCAGGGAATTCCAGCTTCTCGAACTTCTCGTATCCGGTGCATTCGGAGCCATAAATCTTGCAGCCATCGTTGCGTGTGGTCATAAGGATGCAACTCCCTTCCCCGGAAGGTAAAAACTTGAGATAGTCGATATTTGGATCGTCCGCGTTGTCGAAGATCAAAAGCCACTTCTCAGCTTGGTTCTCAATCCACGCTTTTGCCTCCTTAAAGGTAATGTCCGGCATCGCGGCAGCTTCTTTGACAATATCAATGAAGCCACGACGAATACTCTCAATTGATGATGCATCAACCCAGAAGACACCCCAGAAGCTTCAGATAATGGTATTAGCATCGGGAATAGCATTCTGAAATAGGAAACCTGCCTTTCTCTGTTTTCATGGGCGAATCTTAAACAGACCTCACTCTTTCCGGCGCCACCCATTCCATATATGACGAATCTTCTATGTTCAAATTGCCCTGCGTTCTCATCGTTGCCACAAAATGTCTTTTTGAGAGTTTTAAGTATTCGTTCTCGACCTGTGAAAAATGGACTGACGGGGTGGAGACCAATCCAGTGGACATTATCTTCAGAAATCGATTAGCTTACTTGTATCTCAGAGTAAACGCCATTGCCATAGATGAATAATACTGCATTGCAATTTGAAAGTGCTAAGTAAACGAAATAAAAACAAAGAAAAGCACAAGATTTGAAGATATTCTCTAAGAGCGGGACACAGTTTAAACTGTTGGCGGTCACCAGTAGCCAGGTAAAGGATACTTAGAGTTATTTCAGAACAGGTAACAATCGCCAACTTGATCACAAAGGCAAGGGTGTAATATCCTTGGTATTGTTTTGTTTACGAAAAAGACATATCTGGACGCAAGTACTCAACAGTTGTACGCTGGTCCAACTTTGAAGTAATTATAACAACCGCCCTTTCGCAAAATACAGTTCCCATAAACTCTTCTTATAGCTCTTCAACTTAACAGACGCAGCAAATGAATCACCACAAATTTGCGTACTCTCCGTTCCCTCATGAAACTGGAAATTACTCACTCCTAACAGGTTTCAGCTTTGACACCTCCTCCGGTGGGATAATTTTAAGCAGCGTCTTAGCATAAGCGGCAGCTACTGATGATGCGTAAGATTGCCATGCATAAGTTTTGTGGGAGTCCGAGTAGTCGCTAATTCCACGTATGACAAGACATGGAAAGTCATCCATCAGGCCGAAAGCTTCCATCTCGAAGCATATCACATTGTCTCTTTGTGCAAGTCGATCGCGCTCCAAGGCATTCTTCACCACCGCATTTCCCGAAGCAATATTGCCGTAATGGATTCGTGGGTTTTGGTGGTTGCGCTTGCGGCGATCTATGGTGTTGGCCTTATTCGTCTCGTTCTCACAATCGCAGGCAGGAGTTTTGATGTGGGTATAGCTTGCTCGAAAGAGATTATCCACCAAGTGCGTAGGGTATGTTTGTGCTTGCATATCTCCCTCCGAGTCCTCTACAGGCTCGACTTCGCTTAAAATCCTCGAAATATCGTTCCCCACTCCCGATCTTGACTGCAGATTGCGCACTGCAGTAAGTAGTAAAGATGGCGGCTTGTTCAGCGCCCCTTTCCGGCGCAATCCTTCAACTTCCATTCGACCCAAGTCGTACTGGATGACTCCGGGTCCTTGATCCGTTGGGATCGACACGACAATATCTCCAAGTCGAATGTCAACTTCTGGGGGGTTGGGAATGCCACCACCTATCCCAACCATAAGCCAAAACCTTACGTTTGGGAAAGTAACCTCTAAAGACTTGGCCGCTACTGCAGCTTTGACACCACCGAGCTCTGGAAGGCAAATCATCACCACGTTGTGCCCGCAGATGCGACCCAAGTTGTAACTGTTTTCGTCATGCTTTGGTCGGCTGCTAAGTTGGCTATGCTCAACATCGAAGAGACGGCGAGCAGTCCTCAACTCGACAGGGATAGCGCAGATCCATCCAACAGTGTATTTATCTGCTGGAAGTTCGAGGATGCTATGCGCCTCTCTCGCACCATCAACCCGCTGGAAATCACTCTTTGGCTCGGTCAAAGACATGGCGGAGATAAGATTCGTTTGGTTTGGAGAATGGAGATGCGATGGGAGGTAAATATGAAGAAGACTATGTATGGCACCAGCTGGTGGGACTCCTGACTTCCGTCGAGGACAGTGCTAGCAGGGTCACCGGAAAGCTCGACCTCGGTTTAGAAAAACTGTAATTAGAAGAGAAGCATGGAAATTTGTTGGAGAATTGATGTTTAAGTCTTGTAGTGTTATCTGCTATAGCAATTGTTCAGAAAGAAGGCTGGCGGCTGGAGCGCTGATAATAAGCCGCAGCTGAGAATACGCCCGATTGCAACCCAAATTCAACCGGAGGCGCATCACCGGGCGCAGAAGTTGACAAATAAAAGGCTCCCATGGTCAAAAAGCTCCTAAGTGGTGTGAAGATCCCAAGGCTTTGTCTGGGTAGGGCTCTGGTGTGCTTATCAGCTAATGCAGTGACCTCCTTTGGGGCAGACTTGTGGTTAAAAGGAAATATGCGCAGCGTTATCAAAGAACAGAAGCATAAAAACGCTGAACATAGCAGCAGCAAAATATACTCAAACCCCGAGCAATGAACAGACACTTATTGACTTGTACCCGGTAAATGTATATATTCTCCCCAACGCAGGTCGTCTGAGATGTAGTGGAGATTGGATGGGTACCGAAACGCTCGCAAAGTTCGAGCCTTGAGGCTGGCGGTAATATGAATACCAAAATAGGTACTTCAACTGTCAATGAATCCCATAAACCTTTACCTGAATTTATGCTATAAAGGACTTCAAGACGACTAAACGAGAAATCTGGGCAGGCAGTTCCCTGGCCACCGGCGAACTGCAACTGAGGACAGTAAGCTGAGCCTTCTCTGCTTCAGGCGGTCTAGAACATCACATCTACTTAATTTGCGATTTTCGGAGAATGAGATAATCAGAGTTGACCATGAAATGTACCAAGCGGGGCTGTATTTAGAAATTGACCCAAAGAGCAAGACAAAGTTGGGCTGCGGACCGCAACTAGAGATATGAATGTGCTGCCAATGAAGGGAATCATCACACGAACCAGACTTCAGGAACTGCGAGCTTTGTTCAAAGAATATGGTAGTAAGCTTAGTCGTCCACATAGGAAAGCGTGTAAGGCTTTGGCTGACCCTCACGGATGATACCAACAACCAAGAAACTTCCAAAATGCGCCTCCTCCGCCTCGATCTGGATTCTAGTATCATTCCTGCTATCGCTTGTATCGTAGGCTTCGAATCAGGAGACTGTGATGGCTGTGGCTGCGTATGCGGCGGTGCTTGTGGTTTTTATTGCTAGTACGCCAACGATTACACCGTCGTAGTGACAGAGAGAGAAGGGTGGGGGGAGGTAGATGGAAGTTTTCAGATGCGAAGATGCACGAGGGAAGAACTGTTGACTTCCGCTAGCTACTTATTTACCTTTTCATGTCCATATGCTCCAATCTTGCCCGTACTCCAAGGGATTCTGACTTTCGCTACTGTCCTGCAAAGGAAAACCACCATGACTTGCACCTTGCCCAAAAACAAATGGAACCTGGGGTCCCTCACTCTCGACAATGTACCCAGGCTCGCATTTGCTGAATGAAACTTTCGGTTGCTCTTCATAGAATGTATCTAAGCCTGACTTTAATGCGCTTGGGAGATCCGATACATCGCCTTGAGGATGCAGCACTTTCCAAGGATCAGTGCAAGAAGATGCCTTGCAGGACTTGAGAACCATCATGAGAGTATCAAGACGAGCTGTGATGTCTTTGATACCCCGCCCCAAGATTCTGTACTCTGAAGAAAGTTGTTCTGGGACTGCGAGGTTGTGCATTTGTTCTGGATCGCGCTGCGACGCTGTTAGCGAAGTCTTGATGAAGAAATATCGGCCTATTTACCGTCATATCATACAGCTCTGTCTCGTTAGTACACCAAACAGAATAGTACAGGTTATATGTATCGCCAATAAGACGAAGTGCTTTGTATGTATTGTTGGCATAGATAGTAAACCTACCACCTTCGGTCCCGTGCTTGCCCTCCGCGATACCCCTTCCCCAATATTCCACATTCACATGCTCGGTTTTGCCCTTCTGTTCCTCCGTGAATGGAATAGGTAGACCATCAAAATCGTGGCGAAGTTCTGCTCCTGCGATTTTCAAGAGCGTAGGCGCGAGATCGGTGTGTGAAGTCACAGCGTCAAGCACTTTCCCAACCCCGATGCCCGGACCTCGTACGATTAGGGGAATGTTGATATCAGTTTCGTAGCCACATGTCTTGCCGGGATGCATACGGTGTTGACCGATGTGAAAGCCGTTGTCACTGGTGTAGAAGATATAAGTGTCATCCAGGACACCATTGTCGCTGAGTCTTTGGACAATCCCTTCGACCATCTCGTCAACGGATTGGAGGGCGCGAAGGCGAGCACGTCCAAATTCATCGTTGTATTTGATTACTGTGTCGTTCAGCTGTGGAAGGTTTGCGATCCAGTTTGCTCCACTTGGCTTTGAGGCGTGTCAGTTCTGAACGAAGTGGATAGGGGATAAATTACCTTGTCGGGGTTGAAGTTCTTTGTTCTAGGAATTTTGTAATCTTTAAATAGATGTGCGTGTCTTGGAGCATATTTAGGTTCATTAAAATGAAGTTTGCCCATTTGAACATCACTGTGGGGTGCAATTGGAGCAATTGCCAGGAAAAAAGGTTTCTCGTCCGAGATAGCTTCCTCCAGGAACCCAAACGCCTTATCCGCAACGACGTCTGGCGAATACTGTCCAGTAAAGCTGATAGGTTTCTCACCGTTTCGTGAAAATGACGCATTATAATATGAATAAGTGTATGGGTCGAGCAGGAAGTCCGACCCCGTGAACCCTCCTGCAACTGGGTTGTTGTAGTTCTCGATGGTGTGCGAATTGAACAACTTGCCCGTATAGTAGGTATTATATCCAGCTTCCTGCAGCCATACAGGAAGGTAATCGGTATTGTAACCTTGACTTACAAACTTAGGATATCCACCTAAGCTGTTAGCTGGCGCATAAAATGTTCTAATTGCAGGTTACTAACCATAGGGAGGCACGACGTCTGTGACATTTGTGTTGTGGGCTGCTTTTCCCGTCCATAGGTTGACTCTTGACGGACAGCATAATGCAACAGTGCAGTAATGTCTTTTGTAGATTGTGCCCTCATTTGTGAGGTATTTCTTCACACGAGGCATATATTCCAGAGAATCCAGATGCAAATCCTGATCATCCGTTATGATGAACACAATATTAGGCCTTTTTGCTTCCGCCAACTGTGTTCCAAGCATTACGCTGAGAATGATCAGCAAACATAGCAGTTGAAATACAGCCAAAAGCATCTTGGTCAATTGACATTGATGCACTTGAAAACACCAGACTTCGGGTCACGGCCTCGCTAGGACGATGGGTTCTGCACGACTTATATATATCTCTGTCCCTCCGTAGCTGTACTAGTTGGAGATAAAATTGGTGGCAGGTATGGACACTACCGATACCCGGCACGCTTGCAGGCAAAATAATTGTTTTGATGTTAACACCCCACTTTTCTCTAAATCGCGACAGTCACGCCGAAAAGCACGCAATCATCAGACTGATCAAAATCTAACTACTTCTTAATATATAATCAGCTTTGAGGTATAAATCGTCACTTAGCATTTTTAAAAGTTTTGGCTTTCCAGTTTGTTCTCAGCAGTCCTAATATGCTTGCTTTTATATTTTCAGTAATGATTTAGGCGATCAAGTTTGACCTTACCTTGCCTTCTTTTCAAGATCGAAGTTTATGTTCTCTTACTAACAAAGATACGGCGAAAGAGGAAGCTGAAAATATGAGCGAGACCACTGTAATAAAAAATAGAATTAGTTCGGATAAGTTAAGTGAAAAAATTGGAGGACTTACAGAATGCTGCCCTGAATCCAGTGAGATATCCATCAACGACAAGACCATGAATGTATCCATCGAGGCTATTAACATAGCCCACATCTGACAAAGCTCGGTGTGCGATCTTGAATGTTAGTTTGAGGCTCGCGTTGCACTTTTTGGATGCACTCACCTCAAGTCCATTTTCGACACCATTCAAGGCATTTTCCAGCCCCTTTTTCGTCCACCATTGGAAGACGGCACCAGAAACGCTTATACCGATCACACCACCAATGCCGCCAGACGTGTAAAGCCCAGTACCAGCAATGGCCATCTCATCTTCTGTTACCGATGCTGCCAAAGCAATGAAAACTGCAGAATAGACAATTCCTGTACCAAGACCACCGGGAAAGACGTAGAGTGACTCCCAAAATTTCGTATGACCTTTCCAGCGAACTATAAGGAGTGTATACGCGATAGACGAGAGACCTCCGGAAAGCACGATGGGCAGCTTGTACCTTCCACTCCTATGGAATGTTTAGCACTTCATTGGTTGCGATGCCTCGGTCTTCTCACCTATTGATATATGCACCAGTGATCAGTCCACCAATAGTGTTACCAACAACAGCGGGCACCAGGTAAGCACCCGCTTCCCCGGATTTGGCTCTCTTAGTGACCTGAAAGTACAGGGGTACGCTGGACATCATCTGTCAAAATATTAGCCCTTATTTTGGAGTTGCGTATCTGTTTAGACGTACCGCTAACTGTGCTGCCATTTGACAAGCCAGAATAATATATGAGGTACACGTATCCAACTTTGTTAGCAGATACAAGGGAAAGATAGGCTCCTTCGCCCACAGTTTCTCGACCAGGCAGAAAGCAATTATCAAGGAAATGGCCACTACAGCTAAGACAATGGGCACAAGATTAGACCAGGACTCGGCATTGCTGAAGAAGTTCAGAGCCAAGAGGCATGCGATTATCGAGGCCGATAAGAACGCTGAACCGATGAAATCGACTCTTTTCAACTTTGTCCACGGAGATTCTTTGATGTGCCCTTCCCGTTTCGGGACTTCTAATTTCCATGCCACTAGAATTATGGCGAGAAGGACTATGGGGCACTCGGAGTAGAAGGACCTGATTGGTTTATTTAGTAACTGGTTAATTCATGGCAGACATGAAAATACCATCTCCAACCCAGCGTCTGGGCAATATATCCACCCAAAGGGCCTCCAATACTTCTGCCAGTCGTCTGAATCACGTTGACATAGCTTCGATAGGAGGCGACGTCTTTCAAGGGAACGAGGTCTTTGATTATCAATCAGCAATGTCTCATGTCTTGTTGAACATCCAGCAAGCCAAAATGTAGACAAACCGGAAATCAGAATGGAGACAAGAGACACCATTCCAGCACCCCCTGCGCCTCCAACCACCCGACCAATGATAATTTGAGTCATAGAATGCCCTGAGCCACTGGAATGTCTGTAAATGTTTGATTTGGAAAAATGGATGATGTTTGACTAACGAAATGATGCATCCAAGTCCGAAAATGGAATATGCCGTCAACAAGACAGGTTTGCGGCCAAAAATGTTGCTTATCTTTCCATACTGCAAAAACCTGTCAGTATATGGGTATGGTGAAGATGCTGTAACTACTCACAAGAGGCTGCGCTGCACACGAGGCTAGCAATGCAGCAGTGAGAAGCCACCGACCGCTTTCAAGATCATTGAAATCGGAGGAAATCTTTCCATATGTTGCTAAGACAAGCGAAGTATCGGAATTGGCGATAAAAACACCTGAGGACAAATGTGAACATCTAAGGGTGTTCGACTAGTAACAGAATTTGAATCTAAATACCGACGAGCAGGACTGCTATGATTCCAATTTTGCTCTTTGGCCGATCCTCTTTGGGACCTTGTCCCTCCCTGATAGAGCCATCTTCTATATCGGTGTTCTGTCCTGCCTAATAAAAAGAACGCGTCAATGATCATTTACAGCCATGCTTCTGATAAATTAAAGTACCTGAAATATTTGCGAGCCGAGGTCTGCTTCCGGGATCAAAGGCGTTGTCTCCTCACTGGTAGAGATCATTGCTAAAGATTTCTAAAAGACCTAACAGCAGAAAGAGAAAGAACCCTTTATGCCACTTACGAACAAAGATAGACGGAAACTGTGAAGAGATAAACACCGGAAAAGAAAACATAGTGAGAATTCGGCGTCCACACGTCTGCAAGTACCCAATGATAACAGCCCATGATCTTGATAAAAACCGGCCCCAAAATGCTGGAAACCGTACAGAGTCTCTGCTGCCCAAGACAGGAAAGAATACGCTCCGTATGGTCCCGATTGGTGGGGGATAATGTCGTCTTTGTGGGGACTGATGGCGATATTGCCAAACACGTGATAGTTCCGTGCACAATATGCAGGCCACTGCCAAGCGGTTCAGGGGTTGAAAAAAGTGTACTGTATGTACCATCCGAGGGTCTGGGAACTGGAACTTAGATACATCTTCATTAGTCTTGAATCTAGTCAGTCTTGTCTCTTTTGAGGAAAAAGAATAAGTGGATTAACTTCAAGATTTGTTGTGCAGACGTCTTGGAATCAGGAAGGAAGATCTTATTTGGCCTCAAGATTTGAACTAGGGCTCAATTAGGCCATAGCCTTGTGGGGTCTCAAACTGACAATATACCCAGGTAGGGTGTACCTGCACATACTCAAACTCCTCAGAAGGTACAATTATCGATATGGAGCTCAACTGCCAGCAACTTGCTGGTAAGATATGACCAACTGAAGAGCGGATAAAGCTGTAGGTACTGATCAATTCACGTGACCAAAGTTCAACCTCAATATTTTCTCTCACTCACGGCTCCACGACCATGACCAGGGCTGACTATGACTGTCAAATAAGCGAGCATGAACTTTGACGTCGTTCAACATGAACCGTCTTTCTGGTTTGAAGTCTCCGTGGATGCGGCCATGGAAGCTTGTGTATACTGTGATCCTGCTGATCGGCTTCGGGTCATGCCATTTCGACCGTGGAGAAAGGTATTGGTCTGGACGTCCTCAGCCAATTGGTATCGACTTCTCCCAAACCCGCCTGTGCGTTCTTCTTTGAATTGGGTCCCTACTTATAGCGCTAACAGTCGTGCCTTTTATAGGCTTGCAGTGTATGCTGATGGCCCAGATAATTTCACGTTGATCGGTGACGTGACTGGCGTCTCCAACACCAGTTCAGAGCATTATGACTATGCATCATATATGTATGTGTTTTACTACAGAAGAAACCATGGGACGAGTGAATTACCCTACATACCCCATGAATTGGTGCAGGAACCCTGGTACTGGGGAGTTGTTTCGAACGGCATGTCCTGGATGAACGGTATTGGCGAAAGCGCCTACAACAATGTGCCGCCTATTCTCCGAATTGTTCTTGATTACATCCGTTTCCCAGAAGACTCTGATGTCCCTTGGAAACCTCAGTCGAAGTATCGACATTTATTGCCAAAACTACGGAATAGGCGTCTTCAAGCAAGAATTTCGAAGCGGTTTCAAGCTTCTGAGGGACCCCCAGCATTAATCAGAGACAATTTTGTATCGGTATTGCTTGAGCTTCTTGAAACACTCAAACGAGTGTCCCTAGCAGATCACAATATCACTATTACGTCAGCTACCATATCACGGCCTTCGTGGGTGTCCACTGAGCTCAATTACCTCTTCGATGAAGCCTGTCTATTAGCAGACATAGAAGTCCTGGAGCAGCCCCACAGCCGGGTCGACATGTCTACCAAAGAGGTTACGTCAGGGAAGTCAGTCTTGGTTATAGACCACGGATACTACCATCTTGACATAACTCGGCAAGTCTGGAACGAGGAGAATAAAGCTTTTCAAGATGAGAGTTCTTCTCGCGAGAATGGTAGGGGTCTCGTTCAGATGTTGCTACCATTATCGACGCGAATTATCAGCTCCTGGGGTTCAACAAACTACACCAGTAGTGCCGGAACAGGAGGAATGGATTGGGTTGGAGATATAGGCATGGTAAAGATTATGACGCAAGTTCAAGAATCCAGATTGAAGCTCAAGTATCGCTATGGTTTGGCTCAAAATGTTGAGTTCGCGAACGAGTCCACTACAGTGAACTTGACAGACCGAACTGGATACTCGAGGATTCTCAATATGAGAGGTCAAGATATTCTAGATGCTGAGGAGGACTATGTAAAGAAAGTGAGCGAGATGATTAAAAGTGGGCAAACTCACTGGGATTCTGTGTACGAGCTGTCAGGTCTATCTGCCCTACCTGCTTCTGAAATTACCTAGCTTACACGTTTTTTAGAATCTGACGAACACCGACACTTGTTCAGCAGTGAGACAAATCCTTTTCACCAGAACTTCCCCACCAACGCTTTGGAGATTTTACAAGGCATCCCCCCACCTGCCCATTTAGGTTCGTGGCAAAAGTCCGTGGATAGTGTGGTTGTTCTCGATAACAACTGGGACGAGTCCCTGCTACACCGGGCCGCGGAGATGGCTTTCAGATGGAACGAGACAGTGGAAGATGACGGTGTTTGCGTTCCATCGGTTTTGCTCGCTGCTCGGGGTGCAGCACTAAGAGCAAGGGAATGGGGAGTGTACTACGAGGGATGGAAAAGAGAAATGGACTACTACTATAGGTTGAGTCGAGAAGAAGCCTATGAGCAGAGTTGTGAGGATGATGACGGAGAATGTGATGAAGACGATGAGTTGTAAATAGCCTCGCCTCAGAAGAGTAGGCTAGGATGTATTATCTTCTAGACACACCGATGTCTGTACATAAAACACTTCAGACGAAGTTGTATTCTATCACTATGTCTACCACCAGCTCACAACTAAATGTTGGAGGGCACGAAGTTATAACCTAGAGGCATACTTTCCTTGAAGAAAGTCGATTATATAGCCTTCTCTGAACTATGATTAAAGAGGTATTTCAAACATAATACAGATGATAGAGATGGCATTCCCTTAGCTCTAGAAAGTGATGTGAGCCTCGTTTCGGAGGTAGATATCGTGATCTCGCGTTTGAGAGATTTGACGCGACGCCACTCTCCTCTTCTTACACCTCTCCGTAATACAACAATGGACGACGACGACGAATACGGTGCTGATGCAGACTTGCTAGCAGCTCTCGCTGAATCCGCAGGCGTTGCTCCTCCACGCATTCAGCAGCCCGCTCCACAGCGTATTCAACAGCCTACCCCTCAGCGCCTCGACCGCGCCCCTCCCACGAACAACGCGCCAAGTGGCCCCAAAGTCGTTCAGCCAACTCCTCAAGCCATTGCTTCGCGATCTACAGGCTCTTCAATACTGGTATCGCTGCGTCAAAAGGGCAATCCCATCCTCACGAATCTACGGTCGTTTGCGTGGGAATATTCAGACATCCCCGCAGACTATGTCCTCGGAACCACAACATGCGCGCTCTTCCTTTCTCTCAAATACCATCGTTTGCACCCCGAATACATCTACAATCGTATAAAGAACCTTCAGGGGAAATACAATCTGCGGGTCCTGCTTACGATGGTGGATATTGGCAATCATGAAGATAGTCTGAGGGAGTTATCGAAGACGAGTCTGGTCAATAATGTTACGGTCATATTATGTTGGAGTGCTGCAGAGGCAGCTAGGTACTTGGAATTATACAAAAGCTACGAGCATGCAAATGCGGGAGCGATCAAGGGGACAGAAAGCAAAGGCTATGCCGAGAAGATGGTTGAGTTCATGACTGTTCCGCGAAATATCAACAAGACGGATGCTGTGTCTCTAGTCAGTGCATTTGGCAGTGTCAGGGCAGCAGTCAATGCTCGACCAGAGGAAATAGCCGTTGTTGCTGGATGGGGTGAGAAGAAGGTCAAGAGGTGGTGTAGCGTTGTTGATGAACCCTTCAGGGTCCGGAAAGCTGCTAAGAGGGGACTGGTCAGGAAAGAGACAACCCAGGATGGGGAAGGGGTCTTAGATCGAGCTCTTCCGCTAAGTATGGTTCCACTGAGAGAGGTGCGTACTGTCAGCGATGAGCAGCTATCGAAGGGGCCAGAGAACGTCGCAGAGCCTGTTAAGGAACAGTTTCAGATTTGGGATCCAGATGACGATGACGAAGAAGCCTTGGCTGTCGCTGCTGCTGAGGAAGAATCACGTTCGAGAACAGAAAAGAGACTGGAACAGGCTAGGAAAGACGATGAATTGAGTGGCGGAGTTGCCGCTGCACTTGCCAAACTTCGAGAAAAGGATTGATACTCCCTTGAGAGGTATCCTCTCAACGGTCTTCAAATATTATCGTTGTGGCTATATATCATCTGGTGGCTGCCAATGCATGAAAGTTCACAACGGCCGAGGTCAAAGAATATTGAACGGAATAGAGCGCCTATAGCTCAGAGCCTCAGACAGGGTGACTAAGGAGAAAATAGTTGGAACTGGGCTGCAAGTGATGGCGGCATGGCTACAGGTAAAAGCCAACGCTTTTGTGTGTAATTCCAACCAGGAGAGGAAATGTCATTTTGTGAGCATAATATACTGCCGCATTAAAGCATCTCTCTGCATCTATCAACTCGGCTATCACATCTTGTTGTTCTTCAAGACATACAAGATCGAATTCAGTTCGAGTTGCCTCTTTAATCTCTCCTATTCCGTCCGGGAAGCGTTTGGCACGCTCGTGCTCGTACAATTCATGAAAGTCGTCGTGCACATGCTGCGCGTCTCGCAATCGGATTCTCTGCCCCCTCAAGGTTCATTGCTAGTTCCCAAGCGTTTTCGACTTCCTGTTGAGCAACCTCACTCGGTGTCAGTTCTCTCGTGGACTCTGTTTCTTGATATTCTTCAATTATGTTCGATTCAGCCGGCTCAGCGCCATAATTCTTCTTGGGAATTGCTTCGAGAAGACCATTTCGGCCCAATACTCCTTTCCAGTCTCGGTGAAGGTCTCCTTCTCGCTCCTCGAATTCTTTCCTTGTCTCAGCGAGGGCCTTAACCCAATTGTCTTTTTGCTGAATACACTCCGCTCTCAACTCGTTTCCGACATCTAAACGACTTAAGAGTTTGGATTCGTCACCAGTTTGGTTTCTATCCGAGGCACGAAGTGCCTCTTCCGCCTCAGCAATCATGGTATCCGGTTGTTGCAGGCGACTTTCGGCTTGCTCAATCTCTGCTATGCAATGCTTGATTGTCTCTTCGCCTTGGAACACCTTGTTCCACTGCTAGAAACGGTTTTTGTCAGTGTCGCTACCGAAATCATCTCCCCATCTGTGTCTCTAAGAGTGACGATGTCTAGAAATCGGGCTCGTGGAAGAGGATCGACTGGAGAAAGCGAAGATCTAAAGACCTGAGATGTAGCATTCTTGTCAGTTTCTTGGATTTTCATACTTTCTGCTAAATGGGGAGGTGTCAAATTTTGCACTGGCTCGTCCGTAATTGAAGGCTCCGATGTTGTCCTGTAGTGCATTTTTGAGAATGGATGGTGTTCTCCTTGATAAAATATTCTCGGTGCGCTGTTTCGACGCTGGGGTACTTTCGTTCACGCTTCGATAAGGTTGGAGCTATTTCTCGCTGAGAAGAATGAGTGATGCTGGGGGGAAGCGGGGCGGGGTTGGGGGGTTGATCGGCTTCTTCTTGGAACTTCTTGCTTAGTCCATACATCTTTTACCCTCGGTATATCGAGCCTTTGTGTACAATTAGATCAGGATTTGCAACTAACCTCTTCTATTCAGCAGGCAGACAAAATATGTATTCACTCCGTGCAAGCACCTTTGTTTGATTTTGTTTGACAAAGAGATATGGTGCGAGTTTCGCCAGTTTAGAATTCTTTAATTCAGCTTTAAAGCATTGCTGCATTGTCTAAATCCACAACATTTGTTACAATTGAATTGTTTTAGAGCCAGAGTTTCATTATTCCTTGAAAGACTTCCCCCATCTTATTATGTAACAAACATTAACACGGATTCCTTCCGACATATTTAGCAAACTTGAAAAAAGTTCAGTCCAGCAAATATCTTGCATTTGAATATATCCGACCAAATATTGTTCAAAGTAAGCGAAAGAATCCCTAGGCTTCAGGGTTATCTCGAGATCATTTTGTTTGAGTAAGTATGGGCCCAAGAAATCCCCAAGCCGGTCCCTCAATTTTGAGCAAATCAACTCCCAAGACGATTGCGAAGCAGCCGCACAGTACTGCCGCCGCCGCAGAACAGAAACAGCAGATTTTGGCATTGCGTTTGGCACCAAAGCTGGCCGCTCTTAGAAAGGACACACAGGAACGCATAGCTGCCGAGCAAGCCTTAGATAAGTCTCCTTCTGGTCCGAGAAAACCCGAATCAACTTCGGGAAGATTAGTCACTAATGGCCAGAGCCAAGCCGTCCCCAAGACAAAACAGGATCAACCCAGTGCAGCCTTCGAGATTGCAAACAAAGTGCTGCATTTAGACTCACCACAACAGACTCAAAATACCGATTATCAGAAACTAGTCCGGCCTATAGCGTCTCGAACTCGAGAGGCTGTCTTCCATCCTCCTCGCGCACCTTCGCCAACAAATTCTAGCTCTAGCTATAGTGATCTTCATGAGAGCACTGTTCAATATCTCACTGATGGCGTCCACAGTTACAAAGAGTACGAAGTTGGCGTAGTATTCAGCTTTGCAACCCATGAGCATCATTACGATCAAAGTCAATTAGATATTCAAGATGATAGTACAATGACCTGGGTCGGTGTTGTTAATTCGAAATATAGAAAGCACGTGGTTGTGCGTCGCTATAAAAGTCATGTTGTCGCGCTGCCAATCTTCACCTACTGTGGAAATGGGCTAGCTCGAAAGAAAAACAAAAATGAGTACATCTCGATCCGGGATCTCGATAATAAAGAACACGCAGCTGGGGCTGAAACAAAACATGGCATACTATGGGCAGAAGTCAACCCTACTCTTAACAAAGAAGGTGCCAGTCCCTGGCATAGGATGAGTAATGTGACTAGTGTCCAGTTCACAAGACCTCAAATCCATATGATGAACAGCAAAAGCACGATATATGGGAAACTAGACCTAGATTCTAGAATGAAACTCAGCAAACTATTTTTGAAAGCAATGGAGGCTGACAACGATGGTGTTGAGACCCCAAGCGCGCCCATCAAGACACATCCGACGGAGTCGGTTGTGGAACCCACCCCAGAATTGGATTTCAAATAACTTAGTAGCAGTATAATGCTAACTTAAGCAAGAGTTCCATCTGGTATATATAATCCGAGAAGACACATTTCTTGGTTCAGAGTTCTCGAGCTGAGACTTGGCAAGTGCTGTGCTGGTCACGTACTAAGTTCGAGCCTGTGTCCTTTTTTAATGTTTTTGTTTCCAAGCATTCCTATAAAATCCTTTGGAAAAAGCCTTTACATCTGCTAAACATATTAATTTCGAGATCTCCTTAAAGCACTTGATGAACAAATGTGAAAATTAGAAGTTGACCTTCAATATTCAGACCATCCAATATCAGAGAAATGACATAGGAAAATATGAATAGCGGGGATGGACGCGGGGACCCTGGTTCAAGCCCGCCTCATGGGGACAGATTAGAACAAGACAGAGTGATAACAGTGGGACTTTCAAAAAACTGGCAGTAATGGTGAAAATATATCGCACTGGATAGCCGGAAAGGAATGCTAAACTTTCGCCATGAACTGATCTTTTTGTGACTGACACGCAAGCCTCGTCGGTTGCACCGGACCGTGATTTGGATATTGCACCGTCCGATCCTGATAATAGGCGTGTGGAAGTTACTGCAAGGTAGTAAGTTACCGAGGTCGTTACAATTAATAAGTAGCAGCTCAAGGAAATCCAGCGAGTAAGAGCTGCAGTATCCATAGCAATATTTGAACGATGAGTTTTCCGGGCCTATTTGCATTCTTTAAATAGGGACCGGATGCACGATCAACGCTCTTTCCAAACTTGACGATATTTGAGAACCGCGAGAGAAAAATCAAATAAATAAAGTCTACCTATCCACTAAATATCTCCACGAGATAAAAAATCGAAGTTTGCACAATGCCGGATTTCTCCCCAGAAAGGTCAGCCACTCACTTACTTCCCCGCATTTCATAATCCGGGGTCCGACTAACCTCGCAATAGCGTCGCCTTCATCACTGGTACGACCTACAAACAACTCATGAACTCCCCGTTAACCAACTGAACCAAAAAAACAGGAGCCGCCTCAGGAATTGGCCTCTCAGTCGCCAGACGTCTAGTAGCGGACGGAATCAAGAAAATCGCCCTCATCGACCTCAACGCGGATGCACTAACCGAAGCCTCCAACTCGCTCACAGAAATCGATGCGTCTGTGACCACCCTTCGCCTTGCAGTCGATGTCAGCAAAGAAGAGCTAGTTGACAAAGCAGCAGAGACTGCGGAGAAGTTCGGTAGGATTGATGTTTGTTTGAACGCAGCGGGGATCGCGGGTAGAGCTGCGGGCCTTGCGGATTTGACGGTGGGGGATTTGGATAAGGTGCTTGATGTGAATTTGAAGGGGGTGTGGTTTTGTGAACGTGCGCAGATCAGGCAGTTTTTGAAGCAGGAGATGAGGGATTTGAGGTGAGTTTTTATGATGTGCCATTGTCTTGACTTCAGTGGATGGCTGATTTGGGGATAGCACGGGACTACCGTTCAAGACAAGGGGGAGTATCATTAATGTTGGCTCCTTGATAAGTCTTAGGGCTGTAGTTCCCCGTCTCTCTTCTTATACCATAGCCAAACATGGTAAGTCTCCCTCTAAGAACTCCTTGAGTTGGAACTGAGTAAGAGAAGGCGTGGTTGGACTCACGAAGCAGGACGCTGCCGACTATGCTTCCCAAGGAATCCGGGTAAATTGCTTCTGTCCAGGTTGGATAAAAACAGGCATCATTGATGTCAGACCTGAGACTGAAAAATACGTAAGACGTCTTCCGTGTCTTTTTAAGGTTTCATCTGACTAACACTTGCTAGTATGAATCTGTACTTGCGAGGGTCCCGATGGGACGATGGGGAGAACCTGAAGAGGTGGCGTATTTTGCTAGTTTTGTTTTGAGTGATAAAGCTAGTTTCATTACCGGCGCTTCTCTTTCAATTGATGGAGCTCTATCGGCTCATTGATTGGCAAGATACCTGAAGAACACTGCGTTTTATCAGCGAAGGGTGTGGCAGGGACTCTGGGAACTTACTAGTGACTTAATAATTGACGAGATTTCCTACAAAGTGTATGCAATAGTTGATATCTCACATCGTTTGCCAGACATGATATTATACATCTTCATCCATTCATGTCCTATATCGTACATCTTTCAAGGACCATCTCGCTCTATCGCCAAACGCTGACCAGACACCATATATTACATCGTATTTCCCAAACGCCAGGCTATGTCGAAATGCAGAGTGAAGAGTTCCAGACCATGCTCGGGTTGAAGGTAGCCCACACAGACGGAAGATTCGTACAGACGCCCCCTTCTTTCCAACACCAAAATCATCCACCAGGCTCGTCTTCTCACCCAGCATCATTACTACCCCATCAAACAGCGGCAGTGCTACCGGTTTTTGAACACTTTCGGCTTCCACCCTTCCTTCAGCTCCGCTTCCCGACTCGCCTCCTCTTCCGCCTGCCGCACCTCGCTCTCTATCCTCTCCCGCGCCCGTAAAATCTTGCTCTGCAAATAGAAGCTCCCACCATTCTTCGGTTCATTCTGATCGAATAAGCGCTTGAACCTCTCGGCGACCTCCTCCATATTCGCTTTCCCCTGCTGTGGCGGCTTGACGTTCAGGATCTTGCACGCTTCTTCCAGCGTCAGACCATGGGAGGCAAAGGTGTGCGCAGCGTTGGGATTGTTTTGAGCTTGGGCTTTGGCGTATTTCGAGGCTGCTTGGGCTTGTTTCAGCGATGCAGAGGCTGCTCGTCCGAATACCTTGGAGCCGGTGACGATGGCTCGGACGATATGCTCCTGATAAAAGGTTAGTATGGTAGGATAGTATGATGCGATTGAGCAGCGCGGAGCGAGAGGAAGAATCGAGGCATACCATGATGAGACGAGGATCTGTCGGTCTTGAGCAGAATGACTGCTTCGCAACCTTTGGAATAAATGTGGCGATGGGTTGGAAATGAGGCGACGGTTGAATGCTGGAAAGTCCAACAGGACATCCTTAACTTTTTTCATTAGGTCGGGGGCGACCGTCCCGGATACATAGCTGCTTTAACTAAAACCAGGCGCCTCTTTACGCACCTTTTACCCCCTGATTGGTCGCTTATTTCAGGAGGTAGATTGATCGTCCTCATAAGCTTTTGTCTAAAACAATATATTTCAATATGATATGATATAAACGCTATGGGTACTTCAAGTGTCTTTGCAATATAATAGCAGTTGGGTTAAGTAGTGGATCATTGATTGAACTACAAAGGCTCTGAGTACATCTTGTATTGCCCGGACTTGGCGATAGCCATGTCTGATTCAGACTTCCGTTTACAGACTCACCTGGATTTATTTCGGTACTGTTTATAACTTATGCTAGACCATGTAGAAGAAATACGGAGTGAATTGTAAGTCAACATTGGTATAAAGTTGTACTCTATCTATTCCAACACGCCGCTGCTTTATAAAATATGCGTGGCCGCTTTTCACTACCGCAACCTCAAGAAAACACGTCGAGCCAAAAAGTCACATCTACCTAACCTCACCTCAACACCTGGCCTCTCCCTAATTACTGCTAGCAGACACAGCCGTTTCTTTCTTTCTTTCTTTCCCATTACAACTTGTTCTCCAATATGGCGCAATTCTTCCAACAACCCCCACCGCAAGCACCATACGGCGCATCCTCAGCGCAAAACCTCCAATTTTACCCATCTTCATACACACCGAATCCCGTCTCCGGGCACGCCACTCCCTCACAAGCTGCATATGGAGGATATGGAGCACCAGCTGGCTCACCTGGATATGGTGTTCCAGGCGGAGGAGGGTTCAACTCAGGTTTCGGCGCACCGCAAGGAGTTAGTGGGCGCATGGGAGAGCAGGGCGGTTTGAGAACAGGCTGGTTGGCTGCGTTTGGGACAGAAGGCTATGATGGTGAACCACCTCTATTAGAAGAGCTGGGCGTGAATTTCGCACATATACAATCCAAAGCACGTCCCCCGTCCCCTCATCCCATCACGTCCCCCTCCATAACCATTGATTGTACTAACCATAACACAGACATTAGCAGTCCTAAACCCCCTCGCAAGGATAGACCAGCACATAATGGACGACTCTGACCTCGCCGGCCCAATCCTCTTCTTCCTCCTCTTCGGGACATTCCTTTTATTCTCAGGAAAAGTGCACTTCGGATACATATACGGCCTCGCGCTCTTGGGCTCCATCATGCTGCACCTAATCCTCTCCCTCATGTCGCCTCCCCTCGAAACAAGCTCAACATCCGCGCAACAACAAGCACCGCAACACCTCTCCTCCACGCTCACATTCCCGCGCTCGGCGTCCGTGCTAGGCTACTGTTTGCTGCCGCTCGTCCTGACGAGCTTGGTTGGCGTGGTGGCTCCCATGGATGGCGTGCTGGGGTATGTATTGACGAGCGCGGCGGTGAGCTGGTGTACGTATAGCAGTAGTGGAATGTTTTGCGCGGTGGGGAGGATGAGGGGGATGAGGGGCCTAGTGGCGTATCCGTTGGCGTTGTTTTATGTGGGCTTTGGGATTATGGGAATTTTTTCGAGTAGGGGGAGTAAGGGGTTGCCCGGGAAGACTATGCCTTAGGATTGGTGTAAGGAGCGGGTTGTGTAAGATTAGAAAACGGGTTTGTGCGGTGGGAAATATGGATGAAAATGGGAGGGGGTTCTTTGGAGGGTTAGAATTGTGCTGTGGCATGATATAGATAATGCACCAATGAAATTATTTATAAAAGCACAGGATACTTTTAGATATGGATGCTCACGGCGAGATCTAAAATTTCAAAATGGTAGAAAATAATATTGATATGCATCAACGCTCAAATCCTAACGCCAACCCCCAATTATGCATGCATTTCATAGACCCAAAGTTTCTTTTCCAATCAAACTCATCATTTACTCCAGGCCCATTCTAGCATCATCACCAATCCCCCAATCCGCCTCATTATGTCTCGGTTTATCATCATCACTGGCATAACTATGACTACTCCTCCGACTCGGCGTCCGCGTGTGTCTCTTCCTAGCACCGCCACCCTGTCTGAACCCGGAGCTTTTAGTACTAGCATCATCGCTTTTGATGCTATTTTCTCTCTCTTTTTCCTTTTCTTGCTCGGGAAGCTCATATTGTGGTGGTGATATTGATGAGGCTGCGGAGACGGGGGTGCGTGTTGCGGTGGGACTGTTATTGCGGGTTGGGGTGGGGGAGGGCGTTATTTCTGTGCTGCCGGACACTTCGACGAGCTCGGCGTCACGATACCATTTTCGACGGCGGGTGTAGCGGCCCCAGCCGTCTTGGCCGCGGCGGCCATTTTGCCACTGGGGTAAGGTCAGTATTCAGGTTTGGACATGAATGCTAACTGAAGGAGGCACTAAAAGAATTAGACTTTGATAGACATACCTTATTATCATAGTAGATCCAGCCTTGCCCACCATCAGTGGCATCCTCTTTAGCCTTTACCCCTCCCTCATCAGACTCCCCAGCACCCTCTACAAGCCATTTGCTTCCCTCAACCCATCTCCACCTGGCCGCACCACCCTCAACATCAGGTAGCTCAAATTCATCCTTAGCAGGTGCTGGATTCAAATGCTCATCTGTCCACGTAGCCCTCTCATACGCAAATAACGAGGTGGTCCAGCCGAGTCCAACCCATCTTCGCTGATTCTCATACAGAATAAAGGTAAATTTCACCCCTGGAGCATCGGGTCTGCGTTTTGCTGCTAGTGTAGCTGTAGCTGCGAGTGCTGATGGATTTCGAGGAGGTAGGGCAGGCGGCCTCTCCTCATCTGTGGTGGGAGGAGTGAGGTTGTCGGTGAAGTGAAGACCTGTAATAGCGGCACATAATTGTCGAACGACTGCTGATCTCCATAGTATTGTCCTTGATACTCTGGTTGGCCGCGAGTGCCACGTCAAGAATATAGTTCCTGAGACTAGGAGAATTCTCTTGGTTGTGATGATATGTATTGGGTGGAGCGTGAGGACAATCCACAGTGGAGTAACAAGCAGTATACGTATCAGAAGCGTAGTGAGAGCTGGCCTCGTAGTCGCGGATGTTGCAGTCCTCTGGGTTGAGAGGAAATCCGTGAGCTCTAAGAGAGGATCTAGGAGCACATTGCATCTTGATGTGAATATTTTCAGTGTCTCAACAATTTCGTCCAGGGTCTTCTGGTGTTTGGTATTCGTGGCTTCCGAATTTTCCTTCTTGTGCCCTTTGTTTTGCTTCTCTCCCGTCCAGCCAGTAGAGGATAAAGGGGAGTATCTTCTAGAATACATCCCCAAAATCAAGCCCATAACAACCACAATCGGTCCTCCCACCCGCATAACCACATCTCCGTATAGTACAATCGCCCAGAAGCCTGCCACGAGCAGGAAGCTCTCCCAAGGATCCCCAGACGTCCATGTCAAAAGACCAACAAATTTATTGAGGGGCAGAAGAAATGGATGCGAATATGCCAACGCCCGAGTGATCTGAGGCGGTGTAGCTATCAACAGTGGTGATTTCTGATGTACAAGAATGGTGGACCGTTGTTTGGTAGATGATGTAGTATGGGACAGGGTCACAGGCGAGAAGGACGCCACTGTCGGGGGATTCGGATCATGGCTGATCTGAGATGCGCCATCATCATCTCTCCTGGTTGAAGACGGAGAGCTCGACATCATCCACGGAGTATCCTAATTGTTTGAGCACGATCAGTCATGGTGGTTGGTGTTAGGAGGGCTTGGACATTTTGGACATACAAACGCAGCCATTTACAAACGTCATGGCAAGGCAACCAAGCTGCAACCCGCGTAAAAGATACCCAGGTATGAACCTCGCAAACTGGCTTTAGCAAATTCAGCAGCGCAAGGGAACAGGACGGTTAGATTAGGAGTGAGTATGGATATGAGGATGAATATGGGTATGAATATGAACATCTAAAGGCATTGAGATTACATTATTGTTATTTTCACACAAGAGGTTGGAGAAGGGATCGCGCCGCTCGGCATTGCACAATCACATGCCGTCTTATCGCACGCAGCCTTGCATGTGGGGAATGATCATTGTAAGCAAACAAAGCTTTTCCTTTGGGAATATTGAGAAAGAATACCGTAATTACATACTAGATAACTATTCTCTTGTAGAAGGTAGCTTCCCTTCTCAATAGATAACAAGAGAAATCCCAGGAAACTTCTTGTCCAGAACATACCTACCTGGACATACCAGTAGGTGACAGAGCTGTATTCAGCCTCGTCACCTGACCGTCATCGTGCTAGTGGCAACGCTAGCAATCACTCGAATTTTTAAAGTACCTCCTTCATCTCCACCCAAAGACCAAACATCACCCCTCGACATTCTATCACCAACGCGACTCGACACCTACGGAATGTCGCGACAACCTCCTCCTCCCGGATTGCCTGCGAGGCCCAGTGGCTCTACATACCGACCCAATAACGACAGCTTTCATGCAAGTAGCGATAACTACCGCCGCAATGAGAACCCGCGTCTATACAGCCCCCCTCGAGACATGTATCGATTTGGAGGCAACGAACGAAACTCTAGGCCTGGTAACGACCAGCGAGGTTCTTCCAGATACGATGCCTATCCTAGTTCTTATGCTACCGACTCATACGCCCCTGGTACTGATCCCCATCGCAATTCTGACTCGTACCGCCCAGCCGGCCCTCGTAATGGAGGTTTTAACTTTCGTCACGAACCCCCACCCGGTGTGAATCTCAACCCAGATCGGAATTATCGGCCTCGATCTCACTCTAGGTCTCCTCCACCCCGACAGTCATACCATTCTCGCGATAGTAACCAATATGATTTTACTCCTGTCAATCGGGACTACCAGCGCGATCGAGAAAGCCATGGCCCGCGAGTGCGCTCCCAATACAATAGCCAGCGTGGTGGTGCGCGTGGTCGCGGTCGTGGTGGTTCGAGATTGGCAGCTGATCGCGCATTTCTCCAGACAAATCGTGCTCCTACCCCAGAGCTTATGCCGGGCATGGATGAACAAGCAGGAAACATTAGATACAAGGCCGTTGACGAGATGTCAGACAGTGAAGAAGCCGAGATGGATCTTTCTGATTCTGAGAAAGACGATGAGGCTCAGCAACCTACAAAGAAGCTTGCGCGCACCGAAAACCAGGCTGCAGATGGCGATAGTGTTCCTAAGTGGTCCAACCCTGATCCTTACACTGCATTACCGCCTCCAGATGAGTCTCAGCGGAAAAAGAAAGATGTTGTCAAATTAATCCGGAAGGCGCGTGTCACAAACAATTCCGAGAACACCGTCAAATCCGCTGCCACTGACGATTTCATCTCCTTTGATTTCGGTAATGAAGAGGAGACGGAAGACGCAACTAATGAAGCAGTCAATGTACCCGTAGGCGCCCCCACTGGCCCACGCACTCAACAGCCACAGACTCTCAAGAACACGCAGCCGCGTGAATATGGGTCCACTCAAAATAAGTCCGAGGAAGCCTCAAGAACTAGTCTTCATGGACCAACCACGTCTCAACCTGGATCTAGCCGGTTTGAGATCCAGATTCCCAGCCGCGCCCCTCCCGCAAATGCTTCCAAGAGGCCTGCGGCATTTGTTGACCTTACTTCGGATCCTGCTTTGGGTAATCGTAAGCGAAATATCAGAGATGAGATCAAAGGCCCCCCAATCATCCATACCCCGAGCGCCAAAGGTGGCCCTCCAAAGGGCGAAATAGTATCCACGTGGAAGATCCGCCCTGGTTCTCAAGCTCAAGCAACACCTTGGATCGAGATGGATCACTCTAAGACAGCCAACATGGGCTTATGGTAATTAGGAGTATCCAATGCTATTTATCTCGAGCTAATATTCGTGTAGGTTGCACAAAGAGATCGTGGATTTTTATTATCACGTCAAGCCCCGCAATTTCGAGCAGCGTATTCGTGCAAATCTAGTTGACGAGCTCCGCATTTCAGTCAAGAAGCATTTCAGAAACTCCAACATTCTATCATTTGGGTCATTTCCCGCTGGTTTGTACTTGCCAACTTCTGATATGGATATTGTCTGTGTCTCGGATGAGTTCATGAGATATGGCAACAAGACTCTTTGCAAAAGCAACAACCAGTACTACCAATTTGCCCGCTTCCTGCAACAAGAAAAAATCCCTATTCCAGGATCAGTCGAGGTCATCACAAAGGCTAAGGTTCCAATCATCAAATATGTGGATAGACTTACTGGTCTGAAGGTTGACATTTCTTTTGAGAATGACACTGGCTTGGTCGCCAACAAAACCTTTCAAGAATGGAAGACTGAATTCCCTGCCATGCCGATATTAGTCACATTGGTCAAGCATCTCTTAGCCATGAGAGGATTGAATGAACCCCACAGTGGAGGCATCGGCGGATTCTCTACTATCTGTCTTGTTGTAAGTCTTCTCCAGCATATGCCTCAGGTTCAAAGCAGAAACATGATACCCGAAGAACACCTTGGCGAGATTCTGATGGAGTTTCTTGACTTGTATGGAAATCAACTCAACATTGCTACGACCGCTATCTCTATGAAGCCACCCGGCTATGTTCCAAAAGTAAGTAACGAGTTCGATACTGCCAGTGTTCCATCGCTGACCATGTACAGAATCAAGTCAGGAAGGTGACCTACAAGGGCAATATAGACAAGATCTCCATCATCGATCCCAACACTCCTTCAAACGATATCTCCGGTGGTTCTAGTAACACAGCTAGAATTCTGGAATGCTTCTCTAATGCGTATAGAGACTTGCAGAAGCGCATGGGCGAATTGCAGGCTTCTCCAAACCGTGTCAAGGAGAGCATTCTAGGCTGCATCTTGGGTGGCAACTACAGCTCCTTTGACCTTCAACGCGCCCATCTTGCCCATGTCCATGAAAAGCTCTTTGGTCCCATTCAGGAGGAATTCGCATAAGCTGCGTCCACGCGTTCCTTTTTTGCTCAGCATTAGTGCTTTTAGCCTTGATTTCTTTTTTGCTTTGTTGCTGGATTGTTCATAATGATGGAACAGTATGGCGTATGACGGACAAGATGGAATGATACCCCGTGGCGTTTGCGGTCATGACACCTTGTAAAGTAGCTACAGACATGTGCTCACGCTTTTTCTATCTCTTTTCAAAAGAACAGAGATACTATAACTGACAAAGGCTGCAGTGGTCGAAAATCGAGTCCTTGCTATCGATCACTTATCCTCTGCAAAATACAATCACGATTTATCGAATTTCATGGACGTTTGCTTCTGCACGCATCGCTCTTTCTTCTTTGGGCGACCACCATGATGCATCTTTACCAAATGGTAATTACTGACAACTCGCTCTTTCTACTTTAGGATCTCGTTCCATTGGGCCAAACACTGTCTTCTAGACATTCGCATTCGCGCTCCCATAGGTAACCCCGCCACGGGCGTTGCGGCCTAGTATTTGGGCTTTATGTCCTGTACTGGTCACTGCAACGTCTTCTTTCTCACTGTGGCTGGCGCTTCGTGCGCTGCCATGGAGAGGATAGTAGCTTCCTTTCCTTTTCTTAAGAGCGTATGTACGGTACGGTACGGTACGCAATGCAGCCATGATTCGTCTAGGATGTTTGATGATGCATTCTCCTCATCTTTAGAAGGAACGAGACGGGCAGACGGTTCCCCCCCCAGGAATATTTTCTTCTACTCCAAAGTCCAAACACTAGCTTTGCTTTCTGGATATCATGTAGTATTAGAGTCAATAACAATAAATATCATGGAACGGATAATCATTTCATTTCATTTTCATCCGCCTGCTATAATTGCAAACAGTAGCTTCCTGAACACCGTCTCACTCGCCCTACATACCTACACCACATAAGGAGCAATGAGTAAGGTTTCAGCATCCTCTTGGATAATGTGAAGATGCCGATGGTTCTATACAGATACCGTACGTACGAAGACACCGGCTTGGGCATGCGGTTTCTGATAGCAAGATTGGGGAAAGGGGGAAGGAGTACCGTCGATGAATAGAATCTATCCATCGTGGAACTATAGAGCTACTTGATCCAACTTGAAGTGGATGGGTAGTATTGACAATGGGAATGGGAACGGCGTCTCCTTCTGTCACAAACATCTACAATAAAGTATGGTATGGTAAGTAAGTAATCACTCACCCTTTGCAAACAGGTTCGAGATGTCACTGGCAATCGAGGGGAGTCATTAAGAGGAGTTGTATCTGGAACACAAATATTAAAATCTCAGATGGGATTCCACAGCTATCTACCTAGGTGGAAGTTTTTTTGCTCCTGCCGTCATTACAAATGTTGATCGTTCAACAAACTTTTCTATGTATTGCGTTCCTTTTTCGCTTCTTTTCAATCCAGCTCAATTTCCAGAGTGTAAATTCGAGAGGCTCGCCTGCTGAGTGTATGCCCGCTTCAAAACATATATGTAAAGCCTGCGGGGGGGAAACGCAAAACCTTTCCCGCCCCCAGAAAGATTTCCCGGGATGGAAAAAAATACCCCTTCCTTTTTTTTGCAATATGCAAAGAGCGCGCAAGGATGTGATGTTTGGGAGACCGCTATGCAACGTCGAACGCACTAGTAATCAAACACAAATGTGGAAGCTTCCTAAACTCTGCTCTCTTCCTCCGGCCGTCCTTTCTTCCATCCAAATCATCACCACAAGATCTCAGATCGTGACATTCCAGAGTATATATGCTTGGAAGGTTCTTAATCTTGGTGGGCAGGGAGCACGTAATCAACCCACTTGCGAGCGAGGATAGGAATTCCATCCTTTCCACCCTGTACTTCGACATATTCTTGCCAGCCAACCGCCTGCCATACAGCATAGTCCTTCTGACGGTCTGCATTGGATACCTGTGAGCTGTTGTAGACCTTCACTCGACGGTTCTCCCTCTCCTGGATGACGCTGTCCATGACCTTTTGCCTGAGGGTAGCAATGGCCCACAGGTCAACGTTGCCAAGTCGTGGTGACTCCAGAACGTATTTCAGTAAATGGAATGGCAGGCCGAGTAAGACTTTGGACAGGGTGGTTATCACGGAGTTGGCATTCGTATACATAGTGCTCTCTCCAGTCGGGTGGTCGCCAAATTTGATACGGCTGAGACGAGCATTTTGTGCATTGGGACGCCCCTCTGGAATAGCGGGAAGTCGACGATTGCGACTATTTTCATCGACAGTGTCATTGAGTTCAAAGTTGGGAGGGAAGCCTGTGATGATAAACTCCAATACATATCGGATGAGCATGTTGGCTGCTGGGCCATAAGTACTTGGAGTCTCGGGTTGCTGATAAGAACTCTCTAGGATCCACTGGGCATCAAGGCCACCATCAAGAGCAAAATCAAGAGCCTTTTCGATTGTGACCCACTGCACAAAATTGCATGCAATTTCGACTCCGCGAGTAATAACCGGCGGGATCTGAAGAATACTTCCTGCAGCGGCGTACCCGAGAGCGAGATCGAAACGATCAACAGGCGTACCTGGTACTGGAATGGGCAATTGGGTGTTTGTATTTATAGAACCAAGGGTGTCGAAGTCCAGAAGTGGACCGCCATACAAACGATGTAAAGCCATCCAGAAGGCGTCAGATCGCACAAAACGATCGTCCGACTCAATAAGGAGGGTTCGGCCGCCGTGATTCTCCCTGGCTAGAGCTGTCATGAGAGTCTTGAGGGTTGGGCTCCGCGCAAACATAAGACCGTGGCCAGGAACATAATCAGGACGGACTCGGTCATCCGCGTAGCGCAACTCCACTGTGTAGTCGGCGAATTCAGAGATGTTGAATTGGCTTTGCACATAGTTGACCAGCCCGTCGAGGTTGTCAATCGGCATTGGTGGTTGAGCAGGTAGATGCGACGGAAAGTGATTTGGGTTGTTCTGATAGGAACCCTGGTGTTTTGAGCGCGACGAATGGTAGAGACGGACATCGTCAATGTGACCATTGCTGCCATTTGAGATGACAGCAGTTGGGTATTGACCATAGAAAGCCGGACCGTTATCTTGTTCACTGGGAGCCGAAGATTGCGAGCCATGGAAACTGTGGGGTGTGGAAGGAAATTCGTGGTTGTTGAATCGTTGTCCCTCCATACCTGAAGGAGTGCTAGATGGGGAATATCCGTCAGGGGCCGCAAATGAGACCATCTGCCGACGGGCATAACTATCTGCAGCTGGGTTCATGTTGCCTTCTGGATGCGTGTAGTATCCCGGAGGCGGGTTCATGGGGGAAAACCCGTTGGACAAGTGGTGAGAATGGCCTCCATTCGACTGATGTGCGCCATGACGTCCTGCAACCCTGGGCTGTTGTTGGTTCGGATACGGGTAGGGAGGAACATTGCCAGCTGACTGAGGTGCGGGAGACGATGTGTTCGAGTCGGAGTAGCCGCCAAACATAACACTTCCGGCGATGGGGTGGGCGTGATGCATAGGAGACTGGCCGTTGAAGTTGGCTTGGGGCGGGAATTGGACTCTCTCGGAGCTCATCGTAGAAACGAGGTCTGACTTCGCAGGGACGAATGGCGCAGGCATGTGGTAGGGTGATCTCAGCTCCGAAGACGTCGTCTCTGAAGATTTCGAAGCTTCCTGTGGTTCGTCTACCAAAGAGTTATTAAGGTTTTGTGCGATGTATAAGCAGAAAGAGCCATTCACTTACCTAGTGACTCGTGAACTGAAGCCTCTGTTTGCGCCACAGTACTCTCGGTCGCTGCTTCCTCTGTCGCAGAGACTGAAGCGGAGTCGTTTGTACCCTCCTCCAGAATTTCCGATTGATCTCTTGTCGACCCGTTTACTACAGCCATTTCAGGTTGAATTGTAGGAGACGGTGAAGGCTCGTCAACCACAGGCGGAGGTGGAGGCGGCGGAACAGCAATTTCCTCCTTTGGCTTTGCAGATTGTGACTTTTGACGCTTCTGGACGAAGGACAATGGGATAGCCGGTACGATCTGCCTTGGCCCAGCAGCAGGCCTTTGACGGTTCTGCTGGAGCGCCTTTGCAGCATTGCTGGTGGTGGGCGCCATCTTGACGGGCAGGGAACAAAAGCAAAGTCGAGCTCTACTCTAGAAGCCCAAATGACAGTCTTCTTTTAGTTACTCGAAAGACTGACGTCCCCAAGATTCAACGATGACCGGCAGGCAAGTCATGTAGCATCTGGGGAGTCTTCAAAGATGCGGCACCCAATATATGAGGCGCGTTCATGAGCTTTGGTGCAAAAGTCCCCGCGTTGTAGAAAAGTAATCGGCGGCGCTTTCGCTTGACTTGGCGCTATTCCCATTTAGAAAGGCAACTCCAACCTCACCTCTTCATCTCCTGTACAGACCTTCAATGCGGTGGAGCTTTTCTAGCAAGAGTGAGGAAGTGGTGATTCTGTACTAAGCATTTCTGGAAGAAAAACAAGCCAAACAAATCAATTGCTTTACCTTTGACCGTTCAAGAGTGATTGCTTTTCGCTTCACGTGAAATCCCACATGGTTGGTACTATTTTTCTAAACTGGAGCTACTTTCATACAATGGTACTAGATTTGTCAGTTATTATCATTACCAAAGATGTACAGAGTATTATCTCGTGATCTATGCAACTGAAAGAGCGAGATGAGGCCATTGCACCAGATGATCCCAGATGATTGCCTGCTTGTTGATTGCCGGCTTGTCTATCCTTGTGCCAAATCGTCACGACTTGATACACTTTTATCTACCTTTTAAGTTATTGTGTAATGACACGCAAAGTTCCTCTTGCGCCCAATCATACTTGACTTTGTGGGTTTTTTCCGAGACATCACCAAAATGTTTTGCTTCGTCAAAACACTTGTATACCGTTCGAGACACTCTGCAATAAGAATACAAGAGCTGTCAACAAATCATATATATATATATAATAAGAGAATTTGACGACGTCTCACCCGAATACAATCCAAATTACCCCAACTCACGTTCTTCCATACTGCTCGCGGGTCACGGGTCAACCTCAATTCAAGAGTTTCGTTTCGTTTCGTTATCCGGTATATCAAGAGAGCAACAGCCGCTATAAACATATAAATCATGAAAAAAGCCACTCTAGAAAAAGGAAAATCCACTCCTTCTCAAAAATGATGTGTAAAATCACCGCACCGTTAAACAACTTCCCCCTAGTAGAGCCTCCCAAAAATCAATATACCAAAAATATCAACCCCATCAAAAAAAAAAAACTTTCTCTCAGAGAAAGATTAGGGTTCTACCGGAATTCGAATCCGGGACCTCTCGCAAGTAATACTCAGAGTAGACCCTAAGCGAGAATCATACCACTAGACCATAGAACCAAGTAGTTTTTTAGTGCAGAAAACTTGCTATTTCGCTATATGATAGGCAATGGCGGGGTGACTCACTTGTGAAAGAGGTTCGGGGGAATAGTGGGGGCGCGTGTGAGAATGGTCTGATGCTACGTATTTATGTTATAGTATTTGGATTTGTTATGTTAAGTGAAGAATATAAAAGCAGGTAAGAGATAGTAATGCTTATCGCTTAGATATCAAGGATTGATCTTTTGGGGGGTTTTTTGCGAAGGGGAAGGTTTAGTGGGAATTGCTTCAAAAAAAAAGTTTAACGAGCGAAATGTGGGGTTGGACTAGAAGAGAGATTTTTTTTTGAGTGAACATCACTAGAGATACATAACATTTCGGTAATTTCGAATTAATATCAAGCTTTTTGTGAAACACGTCAAACATAATGCTGATAATTTCGGCACCATAGTTTCACATATTCCCTCTCCTCACTACAATCCCCACCCCGCTTCTCACCACACCTCCCAGCACCTCCTGCAATTCCAACTATTATAACGATGCAGGTTCTTCTGCAAAGGAATTATTCTCTTGCCTCAATAGCTATTTATTGCCAATGACAGAAACTTAGAAGCTCAGACGTCAAGTCATACGTGCAAGATTCGAGACAAATATATGCCACCGAATCGCAAGAATGGCATAATTTATCGGTCGAGATATCAACCATGATGAGTTATGATTGGCTTCCGCAGCGCGAGATTGTGGCTAAGTACACTCATTCACGTCTGTCAATATTCGCTGTCAAATTGTTTCTACTTCCCTGCTTCCTTCCTCTCAAATGCTGCCTTGCCCTCAAGTGAGACGGACTGAGGGTGCTCAAAAGACTCAATGCCGAAATTGCACGCAGGTCTGCAACGCTGTTCCCATAGATTTTCGCGATATCGGTTGAGACTGTAGGGTTGAAGGAGCGGAAGGCGTGCGTTGCAGCTCAAAGACACGCCAAATGAAGACCATAGAAGAACAAAACGTTAGTGGTGAATATATTGAGCTTGGGATTGAGGAAGAGAGAGTATCAGTAATCACCAGTGTCAGCATTTCGAGGAATCATAACCGGACCCCTTTTTCAGGCGCTTTGATTGAGATTGTTCAGGGTGTTTTCCAATCTGGAGTGTAGTTTCCAGGCGGCAATAATAGGAGACGAGCGTGGCAGTTACTCATAGACGCATTTCCAACTCGGTACCAAGCAATTTTCAAATTCATATAGTATTCTGGTCCTTCAAAATTTCATGACTGAGACATGCAGGTGAGACAGTAAATTCTAACCAGATCCAAAGCATTGTGTCGCATAAAGTGGACTTTATAAAGGCTGATTGATGTGATCATCGGACACTGAGGAAGTACCACAGTTTTCCGAAAGTGTTAGGAAGATCTGGCCGAAGATGCCAAAAACTTATTCTTGGCAGTGGAGAATACGACAGGTAGTAGTCAGTGTTCGCTAGCGTACCGGTTGTAAAGGAGGGACATGTGGTTGCAAGCATCGGCAGACTTGAAGCGGCATGTAGGGGAGGATGGACTAAACGACCAAAGGTTGAATTAAGTAGGTCCATAATACAGACAAACTATGTTTGGCGAGACAAACACAGTGCAAGATATGAGGCTTCAGAAAGTTAAAATGATGCACCTTATCGCTGAAGACGTTGAAAATCTTCTCTCTTTTGAGAAGTTCATTTGTGGCAAAATGGTTGGTGAAGCTGTACTTGCATGATGCAAACCGTACAAAGAAATCCGGAATAAATGGAACAGATGAGGTAGGTAAGGAAGAATGGGGTGGTTGCGAGAGATAGATTACTTGTCTAATGACTGTTGGATCAAGTGACATAGGCCTGGTGGTTGGGATCATATGATATAGCCTGAATTATCAATGCTGAGGATGTAAGACAACGAAGCTAAAATGTATCACTACATATGGTTCGAGAGGCTATGTTCATAGAACTTGCTTTATGAAGGGTCGTGATAATCTCTGCAAAACATTTGAGTCATTTTGTTCGGTAGCTTTACAGGACCACAAAGATACGAGATATATCTTGTATGCATCATATCACAGGTAGATACACAAGACTGATGACTATCGTGCCAAGACGAGACTGTAGCCTGTACCTTCACTTCACACAACTTTGTGTCGAAGGTAGAACGAGCTCGAGATACAGGAGAAGATACTCGAGTAATCAACAATAAAGGAAGACATGAAGGTCACTAGGATCTAGAACCACGTCCAGTATCAAGCTAGCATTAAGCAACATGCTGTCAACGAGAAACCACTTGGCAGATGGTATAAACAGACTCCAAGGAGACTTATCAATAATAGATTGCGGTTAAGTATACTCTTGCTAGTAACATTTGTTGCCAAGGAGTTGAAGTCTTTCACAAAGTGATACGGCTTTGCAAGCCCGGCTCTGCTCTGTGTTGTATATTCGGATACTCCACGGAATAGAGTCGGCACCGAGTCGGCAGGTATCTATGGACTGTATCTGAAGCATTGCACCCATGTTGATAATCGTGCCGATTGTATTTCGGAACTCAAGTTCGGAAATGGAAGGTGTAGCAGTCTCTAGACCGAATCTCATTGCAACTGCCGTTCTTGGGGCCAAGATCTCCAATCGGCCATGCTGATTTGGAAGGAATTGTACTGGTGAAGGTTTGAAAAGAGTATAGCGATTTAGGAACGGTCGATAAGGACGTTGAACGAAACGTTCCTTGCAGAAATTGAATCAAAATATACAAACCATTCGACACTTTGAATGCGCCTCGGCGCCGCAGCGAAAGGAATCGAAATACGAACTGGCGTCTATACAAGATCATAGCCTTGCAGCATCTCGGGCTTAGGCACCTCGCAACCTCATCCCACCTGCGAAAGAATCCGTACCGATTTAGCCATCGCGAATCTGAACTCCAATTCCCTGCTCACCACGAGGAAGCCAGAACCTCAGAAGCCACAACGTGGAAACCACATGTACGCTGATATACGTGAAAAGCCAAGGGCAGCAACAGAGGCAGTCAGTACCTACTTAAAGGCTCTTCCTCCGTGAGAAACTACCCCTCATGTCATCCCCACCTGCCTCATCCAGAAGAAATGCAACCACATGAAACTTTTGCTCGGCAACTCTGCTTTGTGGCTGTTCTGATGACAGATGACATGCAGATAGGATTTCTATACCAAAATACGACCCAATGGGCGAGAGGGATGGGGTCCCCCACCTTGTGGGTTACACTGCAGTCAGTGCCTTCCTGGTCGGATAGCTACTCGGATCCCCTGAAGAGCGCTCCCAAGCCAAGTATGAATGTTGATTGGAAGCTTCGTCCTGCGCGTTAAATTTTAAGTATGGTCTAGGCTCAGCTTGCACAGAATTCGATTAAATCAATAGATGTAGACAGATACGGCCTGGGGTACAAAGGTACGGAGGTACAGACAGTACTCTGAACCACTGCATATATCAATATGCACCGTGTATATCTCCATGTCGTGAGCCGAAGGACAGTTTGTCTTGTGCAAGGAGGAGTCTGGTGTGACGATCCGTACGTTATCTTGCTTGAGTCAGCAATTCCCTGTCTGTCTATCGAGTCATCCCACAAATCCCACATGTCATGTAAGCATCGCATCTGCCCCTCAAAAGCCTGGACCAAATGGCCCTCGCGAAGCACAAGGGTCCTCATCCCTACCTATACTCCGCAGCCAGTATAGAAAACGCGTCCCTCGTGCAGTGAGATGA